AACAAAAGGATTCAGGAAATGAATTATTGAAGACAATTTGAGAAGTGCTCAAAATGGATGTGTCATGGAAGTTCAGAAAATAATCCTCGCATTGTTTCATAATTCCGAACGTGTTTGTCTGACACGAAACACTGAGTTTCTAGAAAACTAATCCTGACGACAATAGTTCAAAGGGATCTTTAAACAAACTGAAATGAGTTCAAGTCAGAAGAATCTTGATTCGGAAAACCAAGCAAAGAAGGTCACGAAAAGGTTTCTTTGATATCTTGATTTTTTGAAATTCTTAACAAAAAAGCTCGATTCTACTCAAATTTCTGAATAACAATTTGAGTTCATTCAAACACTCACAAAATCAAAATTTCAAATAAAAAATCAGGTTTTCGTCCAGATGAAAAAATTAATTTGAGGCTTGAAAATTGTTATGAGCTAAATTGAATTTTTCTGATCAACAAAATCACAGAAGTTTGAAATGCATCTATTCATTTGCGAAAAAAACCGAAAAAAATGTATTTTTTTACAATTTTTTTCTATTCACCAAAATGCACGAAATAAATGTCAATCGTGACGAGACCCACACACATTTCAAGGAGAAAAATATGCGAGAAAAAAACAAGAAATGAAATTTTCGAAAGCATGCATTTTTCACACTCGTTGCCTTGAAATGAGTGTGGGTCTCGTCACGATTGCATGTATTTCGCGACAATTTGTGATTTTGGTGGATAGAAAAATATTGTAAAAAAATACATTTTTTTCGTGTTTTGCAAATGAATAGATGCAAAAGTTTAACGAACATTTTGAGAAAATCACAGCTTCAAAACAAAATTTCAGTTTGTTTTCATTCAGATATGAAAAAAATGAACTTCTGCAAAAAATATAAATTTTGAATTTGCAGAGTCATAGTGCTCAAAAATAGAAACATACTCACAGACGAACTACAAAAAATTATAGTGCAAATTTTGAGTGACGGAAAATTGTCTGAAAAAAAATTTTGGGATTTGATCATGATCAAATGCTGATAAGTTTCAAAGAATGATTTTTTATGATTCAGAAATCCGTTGAAAACTTTGAAATCTGATTTGGATTTAAATATGTGAATTACTTTGAATTATAGAAAATACATAAAAAAAGCTACTTCCATAAAACTAGAATAATATTTCAGTTCTTTGTCTCAAGGCTGACGTCCTTTTTTCTTCTATTCAAATGAAACAAACATAACTTCACCAGATCACACTGAACCTAATAAATAAATCACATTCGTCTCTGAGCTCTCACCCTAAAAAGAGCTAATATTTTAGGAAAATAAGAATGACAGCTCGTTTTGAATGGTTATTATTTTACAGGAACATAACATGCATAAACATATCTGGAAGTTAACGAATTGGATTTGAAAAAATCAAATTATACATAAATTTGTTTTGTTCGAAAAATAATTGATACAAGAGCAATAGATCAGAAAATTTTGGGAAAAATGAGCAGAAAATACAGAAGATGAAATGTGATCTTTTCTTAAAGAACTTTGAAATGAATAATTGTTCTGTTTGAGCTTTAAGCTTCAAATTTCTCTGACAAGACATCAACTAAGAATGAATGATCAAGATCAAAAAACTCTGAAACAATTAGCTATAAATAATTATACCTATTCAAATGATGCTTTATTTTTTGGTCGGGCGTGACTATTTTGATACAAACAAACATAATTCATTCAAAGAATGAAAATACATGAAAAACTAGTAAAGTAAGAAAAAATTGAGTATAAAAGTGTAATTAAATTTTCTAAGAACGTTCACATTTGTGGTTTACTGATTCTTTCTTTCCGGCACATTTTTTCTAATTTGAGAAAGAAACAAAAAAGGATTTACATTTTGAAGAATGAGAAAACAGCGAGAGGAAGAATTATAAATGAGCAGACAATATGTTCAAAAAAATGACAGGGTAAATCAAAAAATCAAAAACATTATGACGTTTCAAAAAAGTTTCCCACGGAACTTTGCCCAATTTTATCAATTGTGGAGTTCAGATTCGCACGATGATCAAAATTTGCCTACACTTTAAATTATACCTATTATTATTATTATTATCATGAACGAAATTGAAGTCATTATTTTTGAAAAAAAAAACGTTTTCTGCAAAATTTTCGAATGTTGCGAAAGTGACAAGTGCCACCTGATGCGAATTTTGTGTTTTGAAATGGGATTTTGAAAAAAAATCATGTTCGATATTTTTGTACAGAGAATTTTTATTTCAAGACTTTTTTTTTGAAATAAAGGATTTTTAAATAAATAGAATTTTTTCAAACTTTTTTCGCAGTGAAAAAAACACGTAAAAGTTTTGGAAATGATTTTGACAAAAAAAAAGTTCAACTTCAGAAATCAAATTTGAATAAAAAACAACAAGATAGAACAAAACATGTTTTTGTTATATATGAATCACTAATGCATTGTCCAAAGTAAAAAATATAGCAAAAATGCGAGAATATATCGTCCAATGCTCGCCTTATATTCTAAATACAGAACAGAGAAATAGTGTGTATATTCGAGAGACGCAGACACGAAACAGAGAAATAGTGTGTATACTCGAGAGACGCAGACAGCTAGACTTTGGACGATATATTTTAGCATTTTTAAAAATGTTTTTCACTGATTTTTCAAATTGTGTTTCTTTGATGATAGAACTTTGAGAACTCCAATTAAACAAAAATTGAATTGGGTCAGATGATGATTTTCAAAAATTAGAAATTGCTTTAAAATTTTTACAAAATATTATGTAAAGTGTAGAAAATTCGAAAAAATGTTCATAGAAAACGTGAATATAAACATTTTCTTTGCAAAATTTGGAACTCTTATAGTTTTCAGAAAAATAACAAATCAGAAGAAAACATATTTGTTTTGAATAGTTCAAATTTCTAATTTTTTGTCTGTGATTCTGAAATTGAAAAAATATCAAAATGCCCTTATTGTTGCTTGTTTGAAAATATCATCCAAAATTACTGCAAAAATCTAGGCATTCTCCAAAATCCCAAACAACAAGAAACCCAAATTATATCTCGTAAACACTTGAAAAAGTGCTACCTGGACAATTTTAAAATAATCAAAAAAAAATCACGAGGATAAAAATGATGAGAATTAGTAATACTTGCACTAAAATTCTCTTGAGAATAGAAATATCTAGACTCCAAAACACAAAAAAAATCCATTACAAAAATGCATCTTCTATTCTGAGTTATACAGAATCCAAAAGTTTAATCAATTTATACTTGATCACTGATGTTCAAACACGGTGGTAGATTTTTAGATTTGGTTAAATTTTGGAATGAATCAGAAATCACTCTGGATTCTAGGTGAGTATATATAAAAAATAAATACATTTGTATAAAACAAAACAAAAAAAAACGGGAAGAAAAGAAAAAAAAATGTTTTTGGGCCTAGACCAATTGACTTTTATTCAACCGAAAATTGCGTATTTTGAACAATAATTATATTTTTAATATTTACTTGAATGCTAATTTTTAATGATAATAATTAAAATTGCACCTCGCTTAATGTTTATGTTTTTAGTTCATAAGGTGCAAAAAAATGAAGATTATTTTTAGGTATTTACGTGTTTGCAAAATATTGGAATTCAGGCGTGAATAGCGTGAATACTGAAAATATGAAAATAAAAACATAGATATACTTTGTATTCAGTGAGTACAAATTTTGAATGTCGTCTGATATGAGTGTGAAAACGCCCACCAGGGAAGCCAAGATTTTACTTCGTGGAAAAAAGTTTTTTTCTCAAAAAACAACAACTTAAAAACAAAACAAAGCAAAACAAGTGTCAATTGTCAATCAGAAAAAATATATTTTACATAAATAAACTGAATTGCACAGATCGAAAATAACAAAGTTTTTTGATCGTCGAATAAGAATAAATATATTTAGAAAATGAATTGAATTATTTTATTTGGAAACACTTGATTTTTGGCTTTCATTTTCGGACTAATCTTTGAAATTTCAGCGGATTTAATTTGTATGAAGTTAAAAAAATGAAGCCAAACTTTGATACACACATGATTTCAGTATGTCATATAGTTAACATTACAAATGAAAATGATTTTAATCAGAATCAGAATCTAGTTTGTTATATGTGAAAAAACTACCTGATATGGTTTTTTTCAGGATTTTTCAAGCTCTATATTCTCTAGAACCATGATTTCATGAAGTACGATAATAAACAATTTGAAAATAACTGATCAAACAAAAAAAATTAGTTCTTGGAAAAGTATACCAGACCATGTGATTTTCAAATTAATGTGCCTAAACATGAACTTAGTTTAATTATGAGCTTGAAGTATGTTGCGACCTCTAGAATCTCCAAAGTTTGCACTTGAAAAAATATCAAAAAATTTTCAAACTGATCCTTGAATAATAGTTTTCAAACAACTGATAATAATCCCCTCCCACCTTTTTCAAACAGAAAGGTTATGACGTGGCAGAATTTGAATAACACAAATCTTGAATACAAAAAACATCAGTAAAATTTCTCGAGCGTCATTCATAAGCAGTTTTTTTTCCTAAATAAAAAAAAACCTGCAAAAGCTGGATCTTTTTATGTTAGTCTACTGAAAATTTTTTTGAAAATAATTTGGAACAAAAAAACATTTGGAAACATTTGAATGTTTATTTTCGAATGAAAATCTTTTAAAAATGGCAAATTATAACATTTCTTTTATTTTATATTTCAAACTTTCCACGTCACAAACTTTTTTCATCTGCAAAAGTTCGTGAAACACTTCAATCCATTCTTCACAAGTTCTGGAAAATGCGAAAAAATGATTCAATCTTGTTTTTTTTCAGATATATTTTCAGCAACCCTCATATCAAAAACCAAAAATCTGAACATCGTAGTAAATTTTTGATCTCATTGCCCTTTTGTTATTTCCACATTCAAACAAAAAACTAATTAACACATCGCCACTTTATTAACATCAAAAAACCGAACAAAAATACCAAAAAACATAATCATTTTCCGATTCTTGGAGCATAGAGGTATGCGCGTTTGCCAACTCGTGCAGTGTACAATCGTTTTTGAATTGTATCGAAAATGTCGTCACTGGAAAGAAAAATTAATCAGATATTTTTTGAGAAAAAAACATTGAGAGAGCCTTACCTATCCGAACTTCTCTTGCCAACTCTTGGATATGGAACTAGAAGAGCTGATGGTTGTTGTGGAGCTCGAGCAATTCTTTGAAGTGAGTAATCTGAAAAGAATCAAAACATCAACTCATAAATAAATTATTTTTAATTAATTTGATTTCTTGAAATGTTGTAAGGAGAAATGTTGCAATTAGTTTTTTCTCGTTGCAAAAATAAAAAATAATTTGTTTCTAGAGAGGGGTATTTTAATGGAGTAATTTTTAAAATAATTATTTAAAAACTAACCACTGTAATCAAAGGCTGATATTTCCGTGGCGATGATGAAGAGAATAATAGCAATTGCTGCTACTTTGTTGCTGCTTCTGCTGTTTCTCAAGATGATACCGTTTCGAGACATTTTTATTCTGTCTGTGAGAATAGAATGATGAAAATCGAAAAAGCTCGCAGATAAATAATGAAAAGAGAAATGCAATGTTATTATATCTCCTCCTATTTTTTCCAATCAACGCCAAAATTATTATTGTTATCATTTTTTTTCAGCGGGGCGCGCAACCCGCCTTTTTCAATTTCCGTTTTATCTCTAACAATAGCGACATTGATGTCGAAAATCGTAATAAAATAATCAAAATAACATGATTTCAGTGGGTGGATTGTATCTCGTGATTTAATTAAAAATTTCAAGATGTTTGGTGTTGAATTTGGAATGATTTGGGTTTTCATTTCTGTATTGAACTGTTTTGGTCACAATTTTTGTGCCGAAATATACATACTCTGGGTAAAAATTGTTTTGAAACTCAAAAAACTGATGATGAAAAAAAATAAGTTCTTGTTTTTCAACAAATTTGAAAAAGTGGTTCGTACTCAATCTAGTAACCCTATGTTTCACACAACGAAAAACTAAAAAATAATTCAGAGATTGTGAAAAAAATGAATTTCGGATATGAAAAACCGAAAAATGTTGCATTCTGACAAATTCTGAAAAATGTGGCCGTGATTAATTTCGAAAAAATCAAGAAATTTTTCTATATTTCATTTGAATCAGAAATGCAAAGGTTCCGCTTACCCCGTATGTTTAGTTTTCAAAAAATATTTTGAAATCATAGTCCCTATCCACATTTCTTTGTTTGAACTCAAATTTCTTGTAAACTATTTTGAGAAACATTCCGAGAAAGAAATAACTAATTATTTGGAACAGTTACTTTAATTTCGAGTTCATTAAAAGTTTAGTTGATGATGATGTCAGAATTTTAATCTATTTTCAGTATAATTTTTGATGCTAGGAGGAGGAAATGAATAAAAACGTTCGAATAAAACCAACCTTTTGAAAAATAAAAAAAAAGAAACGTCAGGTCAATCTGTTGAATGAAAAGATCAATGTAATAAAACTCACCAACCATCATAAAAAAATATATTCTCCATGCAAAAAATATATTAAAAAAATTGCGAGCGAATAAGATGTTGTGGTCGGAATTACGGTCAAAATATGAATAAATGGAAAATGACCGTAATAACGGTCACAAAATCAAATTCACTCAATTTACAATTAGCTCTTCTGAATAGATAGATTCTTCGAAATAATTCAGTATACAGCAGGACAAAATAAAAAACGTATCTAATGAGCCAATAAGTAGAATAATGAATGGAATAAGAATAAGAATAAGACACAGGGTTGGCTGCTGCTCATTTCCGATGTTTTGTTTGCCACAAGGATTTGGAGTCCTCCTCCCGTTTGTTGTCAATGTGATTATTTCTGATTTTTGTCTCGGCAGCCCACTGTGCACTTTTCTCTGTCTGTGTGTGTTAGGAAATGTTTGTAACATTTCTTTTTGAGCATACAGATTTGTACAAAAGGATTATTAGATGATAAGTTGACAAGAATGAGCAATCAATGGAATTCTTGTTTTGAACATCTAGAGCAACATTTTTGACTGGAAAAGAAGATAGAATCTGAAAAATATTGAAGTTGGGTAAAAAACTGTAAATACAAAAGTTTTTTGGGAAATAGTCATGGTGCAAGGGTTCAATTTTAAAAATTGATTATAATATTTTAATCAGAGTACTTATTAATCATTAGATTTTTCAAAAATTATATGTGTTTCGATCGGAAACCTCAAATAAATTCGATTATGGGCTGCAAAATTTCATTTATTATAATATACAATGAGATTCATTGAAAACAGTAAATTATTTTGAAAAATCACAAAATCAGAACTGTTTTGTTTCATAATTGATCAGAATACTGTTTGAACAATTATTTTCGTGATCACATTTTCACAATTTTTTCCAGATTCCACTTTTTTAAAAAAATTATTTGAATTGATCCAATGGTTTTGTTTCAAAGTGCTTTTTTTTCAAACTTTATTCTTTGGAGTTCGTGATTTTTTAAAAGTTTAACATTCATCTTAACCCCATAATTATAGCCTCTAGTTACGTTCTTCATAGCTCTTGAATTTGTCTGCTTACTCATACCAAATTTAAACTGAAAAATAAACCAAGAAACCATGAATTTGGGGGGTTTTGTTATTCAAAAAAGCCAAGGGGGGTATGTTTCTTCCTCTCGGTTTTTTTCTTCATTCACTCGTTCCTTCTCACACGTCACCACATCCGACTCTTTGATTGTGTTTTTATCATGATGCACACATACATATAACTCTGCCAATCTTTCGCTGTTCGAACAAAGATTTTTTTGGAGAAATTCTATTCCTGGATGTTTCAAAAAATCGAAGGGGGAGGTGAAAAAGGAAATCGGGGGAAATTGGAGATATCATGAAGTTGGAAGTTTTTTCTCCGGAAATCGAAACGGAAAATTTTTTGTGATAATAGAAAATAATGAGTCAAAAACGGAAATGAGGGATCACCTGAAAACATTATGTCATTTGATGTTGCGAAAACGGGGGAGGATTTGTGAAAAATTATAAAATATGTTTTTGTTTTGAATTTTTCTGATGATTATTCTGTGAGCATTTCATTTGACATTTACCTTGTTTTTACGCTCGAACGCGGTCTGAGCAAATAAAGTAATCCTTCTGTTCTAATTATACAAGAAAAACTATCTGCCCGAAAATATGATGTGCAAATGGAAAAAGTTCACTTTTTGCAAAAAAAAACTAATCAGCTTATAAGAACTTTCAAAATTCTCATAAAGATTCAAAGGGAATTTGGTTTGAACTTTTTTGAAATAAAAGTAAGGTTGTTTAAGTTCAAATAACAACAGCCTGAAAATATTATTTTTTTGCATTGTTAAATCTCACATTCAGAAGGCTGTGGGAATTGAGATACTCTAAATTTTTCATAGAATTTTGTGTTTTTTTTAGGAACAATGTTATTTTTTTTTCTTCAAAATCAACACGATTACAGATATTTCACATAGCTTTCTCTGAAAATTTTTCTCAAGCTTGTATTTCAAGCCCCAAACTCAAAACAAATAATTTCAAACGATGAAGATGTTTATTGAATCAATGGGTGCTTTAACATTTGTTTTCATTGTTTTAATAAATATATATGAATTTCAAAGGGGGAATCGGGGGGGGGGGGGGGGCAAAATGACAACTAGACAAGAGAAAATACAACGGGGGGAAAATTCACAGGAAAAAATCTGACACACACAAAAAAAGGGTTCGAGGAGCAACTGGTTGACACTTTTTATTTCAGATCTTGGATTTTAGGACAATTTTTATTTTATTTTTTTGAAGGGTAAAGGGGAATTTTCGGAAATTCGTATTCATTTATTTTCAAAAAAAACTAGGGCACAATGGAGAATGGAAAAGTGAGATTTCACTTTCTTCCAGAGTTCATGAAATGGAAGTCGCTTCCACCGTTGGCTGGTGATGCCATATATTCGGCCAATGACAATCCCATTGATGCTGAAAATTTTTTTAATGAATAAAGTTATTTATAGTCTGGTTGAATTCCTAAAAATAACTTACGACTTCTCTTGGATTTCAACAATACAGTTCGGTAGACTCGGGACATCAATTGATCAATGTTAGCATCTTCATTCTGAAATAAGTTCCATTTTTTTCAATTCAGATGAATAATTTTTAAAAACTTACTCCATCAGCCCAGGCATATGCAGCAGCAATGCAGAAAACAGCGAAAAGCATCCACTTCATCATTTTTATTGTGATTTACCTAGAAAAAACATTGTGTTAAAGTTTCTGAGACAGAGATCTTTTGAGCAAAAAAGCTCAAAAAATTTAGAATGAAAAATTTTGGAGAAGAAACTGGGAGGAGTTCTGACAAGCAACAACAAAAAGGCTAATTGTGAAAATCAAGCGAAGAAAACTGAAAACACTATGAAAATGCAAGAAATTCTCGGAGCTTTTATATGAGCATTTTGAGTTGACGTATATTTTATTTAGGCACATCTGTGTCTTTTGTATGAATAGCTCAAGATTCCTAATCATATTAATATATCCACATATGTGCAAAAAACGGAATTCATAAATTGATTATAAACGCCTACCAGAAATATGTTTTGCGCCAGACGTACATTTTTGGCTTGGTTTCGGTTTTAAAAAATGGGCTCCGGAAATATATACTCATTAACACAGAGAGAAAAAAAACAAATGTTTTATTTTTGATTTTGGTGAAAGATGTAGTTTTTTGACGTATATGAGCTTTTGAAAAAGCAAGTACAAATATGGTCTAAGAAAAAGTAGAAAAAAACATAATTATCTGCATTGTTGTTTTGTTTTGAACTTTTGATTGAAAAAAACATGGACTTGGAAAAAAGAATAAAAATTATGGAGTGAAGAAAACAAAGATTGGTAAAAAAACCTGGATTTAAAATTCAAAATGATATTTTGAAATACAATTCTGAGAAAGTAATTATAAGCAGGACAACGCAATTATGTTTTGGAAACAATTTTCTGAACTTTCTGATGTGAAACTTCCGGAATTGAGGATGTTGGAACGTTTTGAGTTGGATTTTGAACAACAAATTTCAGTATTATCTCACCTTGATAATTAATTAATTACGTTATCTTATTTATTCTAGACGAACTTCTAAACAATTACCAAAGAAAATCCTTGTTAAACTATGTAAAATATACATTTCTACCAACCCTAATTGATTTTTACTCTTTTGGTCAAACTTCATCTCTCAATACACAGAAACAATGACAAATTTTTTCTCCAACAAAATTCAATCCATCTCAAAAACATCTAAAAAATATGTGTCAGTTTTTCAATTAAACAAAGTCGTCTTTCTGAAAAAAAATTCTGAATTTTATATGTACATTTATGCATATTTGATGTTCTCATAATCCCAAGGATTCAAATATGATTCTGCAAAAATGTAGGCTATATTTATTGAAATAATATTAGATCAAACCAAAAATACATAAGTTATCAATTCAAAATATTATGAAAAAAAAATGAAAAAAAATAAATCGTTGATACGTTTTGATGATATTTACCGGTAAGGGCAAGATTCGTGATCGATATGATTCTGAAATAAATAAACTCTCGTGATTAATCTGGTAGAAAGTTAAAAATAAATACCTGGCTACAATAAAAATTCTGAAAAGATTTATGAGTGTTCCAATGTTCAACTTCAGCCGAGCAAAGACCTTCAAGTACACATGGTAGTTTTTCAAGTCGTGTGAATTCGAATAATAGTCCGCGAGCCTAGAAAAATACTCAAATATTGCGTGATATCCAGACATTTGTTGAGGATTTTCTCAGGAAAATAGATAAAGATGAACTAATTCAGAAAACAGGGAGATATTTCTTGTGGCACAAAAATAATATTTTATGTTCTGATCGAATTATTGAGAAATCGTATGTATTGAAAAGCGGAAATTTGAATCGGATGATTTTTAGATTGAAGTTATGTGAAATTATAGAACACTCGGGGTGTTCAGAAATTTGATAAATTATGTTCAGGGGGCTGGAAAATATGACTTTGTTTCCAAAATGTTTGAATTTTCAATTTTTCCAATTCAGAGCTTGAATTTCAAGCATTCTATTTTTTGAAAATGCCTTCGACATACACATTACCTTCTGTAAAACCAAGAGCCCATCCATATGATTGGCAAGCGACGCAAAAAACAATAAAATCTCATCATGTGGTAAATTTTGTGTTATAACATCTTTCCCATAAATGGAAACAATTGCGACACAAACAAAAAAGGTGAAAATAATTAGTGCGATAATGAGCCCAACAACATTCCCAAATATGCAAAGCGTGATTTTCCGAGAATTCTCGTTTGAAACAAAGAAGAATCCAACGATGAACAAACATCAATTGCATAGCATCAGCTTTTTGTTTTTTCAAATGCTCATAGAAATCAGGAACAAATAATTCAAGCATGTTGCGAAGATATGTCTGAAATTCAGGTTTATTTGAAAATTTTCTTTTTTTTTTGTAACAGCTTACCAAGTTTGACTCCATCAAATTCTCATTTCCCTGTGGAGTTGACGAAAAAACTGTCTGTTGCATAAAACTATTGAAACACCAATATGCATCAACTTCATCTCGCATTGTGCTGAGAAGTGGGGCTAGAAGATCAGACATTCCTTGAATATAGTTGATTTCTGGATACATGGCGGCATAGTTGAGAAGGATATTTCTAGAAAAACAATAAATGAATTTGAGGTTTTGTAAAATGATAATCAGATCTCACTTCATAACATCAATATTCGGGTTGTTATCACCGTAGAAAAATGGGTTTCTACGATCAGTTCTGACAACATCTTTGATTATTGAATTTTCAATATGATTCCAGCGAGATTGACCGCTCGCAGCAATTTTGTATCTGAAAATTAACGAAATATTTATTGAGTAATTCTTGGTGTCTTATTTGATTTATTTGATCTTTAAGATTTTGAACTTGAAAACCAATTTTATGAAAATCCACCTGTGGAGATGATTTTTAATATCAAACATCGAAAAAAATTTTTTAGAGATTGTTCCAATTTGGCTGATTCTGAGTCTCTGATTTTTCAAAAAAAAAACTATACCAAGATTTTTTGGCAATTTTAAAGATCCCTTCTCTCCAATTTTCAAACCCTTCTCCTCTCTCAAAATTCAAATTCTACCTCCTCTTTCGAATATTTTGGTATTCGAGAAAAATATCATTTTTAATTGTCTCCCTTTGTTCAGCCGTCGATTCCCATGGGTAAACGCGCAGCAAAAATGGCCACACTTTTTCTCTCATCTCACTATCCATCGATGCAAAAAATATGTGCTGAAAAGAGAAAAAAACTGAACGAGTCAGACTAATTATCCGGAAATAAAACCTTTCTAACAGTTGCACTATCATCAATAATTCCCAATTTGTTTTCATAGCTTCGCCAAGAATGAATATTCAATTTTTCATACAATCCTTCTTCTTGGTCTTTTTCACGACATGTTACAGCAGGTTGACAAATTATCAGCTGCTTGTCGGCAATTGCAGATGGTGAACCCTAAAAGTACACATTGCAAAGAAAATGTTTACTGGAAAATCACCTCTTGAACACTTCTCGCTTTAATGGCTGACCATTGCTCGAAAATATATGCAAGTTTATCCAATCCGCCGTGATGGAAATGGAGGATCTGAAAAACATCTGAAATTCAACATCACAAATAATTATCCAACCTTATAATGAGAATCTAACGTGGCAATAACTAATTGGCCAGATGTACATTCAGAATTTGAGTAGAAAACTCTCATACTTCTCATTTTTCCCAAATTCACTGAAAACAAGCTTGTCGTGCTGCTCTTATGTTTTCTGCCACGTTGTTCCTCGTTCTCGTTCTGCTTCGAAACATCAATTAACATCAAATCATGCTCCAAAGCAAATTGCTCCGGAGTTTTATCGAACATATGTGTAGATTCGATTATTTTTTCGAGACCATTTTCAAGGTTGGTTAACTTTGGAACATCGTCATTCTCCTCTTTATTATCTTCGTCTTCTGAAGAACTGTCATTTCGTTCTGACATTTCATCTGCACACGAAGTTGACATTGAAGATTGTGAGATATCTTCACGGATTTGCTATAAATACTGGAAGTTTCAGAAAGTTTTAAGACAAAATAACATACATCATCATTAGAATGTTTGACTGGAGTGTGGGGGATCAAATTGATTGTTGGAACACCGAGCGCGTCATTAAAGCTGTGATGCAAGTTGGAGTGCTGTAAAAATATGCTTTCTGTTACAGTTTTTCATTTTTGTTTCACTTTTCATGCATTTTTTTCAAAAATAAAAGTATTTTGTTCTTCGAACTATTTGTTTCAATTGGAAAATGTTCAGAAAGTCTTTTAAAATTGAATTTTGGAAAATCTCACGAAAAGGTCAATATTTCAATTCAATTTCAAAGAAATTTTCACTGGGAAGTATTTCTAGGTAGCAAGAAAAATGAGTTTTTTTTGTTAGAAAGTCATGATAGAATAATCTGAAAAGTGAATTGTTTTTCTAAAAAAATTTTTGACTTTCGGATTACTAAAAAGCTACTGGGAATAAGAAAAATAAATTACCTTGGATGGTGGAATCAGTGAAGTTGGACGTTTGACTTGTTTTACAGATGAAGCTGTTCCACATTCTTCAACTTGAACATCGAATGATAAACTCTGCAAAAACTTGTTCATAATTACCAACATATAGAAATCTTGAATTGCTGAAGACACCTTTCGAATGAGTGCTTGAAAAGTTTCAGAAAATGGCAAAAACATCTGATATAAATATACATTTTTCAAAAAAACATACACTCTCATCATCCGAATTAGTCGTGGCAATACTGATCTCATTATTATTCTTCTGATTCAGCTGATCTCTTGACGAATCATCATTTTCCGTGCACGGCGATGTTGATTCATCTCGATTTTGTTTACCCCTTGGTGACACACTTCGAATACTGAAAACAAAGATTAATCCGGCTGATCTGATGTGAATCAAATAACACTAACCTTGCCGGATTTTTCTGAAGTGTTAGATTTGGTAACCATTGAAGAATGAGTGTTAGGCCAATTGTTTCATCGCATTGACAATGAACTGTGAGATAGCCGGGACAATGTGCTTCATCTTCGCCCTAGAAATATGGAAAAAAATTGGATTGTGCGGAATTTTATTTACAAAAATTACAATTCTCTATTTTTTTATTTCATTTTCAGAAAATCAAAAATTTTCTACTTTTACTGCCAGAATTTATGATCGCAGTTTCTGTGGAAACTATGTATACAACTGCTGAAAAGTGGTATTTTCAAATGTTCCCGGCGTCCTTAGGGATTTCACATTGCATAATTATTGAAATGTTCAGAATAATTATGAATTCAATTATATCTTTCAAAAATTGCTGATCTTTTGTTACCTACTTTTTTGAAACTACAGTACACCAAACTCAAACTCTCGAGCCCCTGATATTTTTCCACCTGCTTTTTTCTTGCAAAGTACACAGTTCAAAAATCCAAGAAGAAAAACACCTCTAGACAATTAGCAACAACAACAATAACTTACTAAATTTGCACTAGATTCGTGAACACACACATTATTCTTCGAGTACACAACATCCCCATCTCTACCAAGAAAAAACGAGTTAACGCCTGCAAAAAACAAATAAAAATCGACAATGGCTATAAAACTTTCAAACCTCGAATTTCATTCAATGCATTACTTGCTTTTTTGAAAAATTCACTCAATGCTCCGCTCATAATATGAAAAAGATCTGAAATGAAATGAAATAAAAATTAATCTCACATCAAGCAAACAAGGTAATTACAGAGCATGAAAAAAAAGCAAAAGAGAAAAAAGAAAAATGAGGAGGAGGAAGAAGAAAAGCCTATAATTATGAGAAAAAGACGAAAAAAAAAGGAAGAGCCAGAAATCAACCACGAAAAAATGCCTCCCAGTAAAAAAAACAACAACAACAATAATGTTAATGAAGAGGGTGAATGTAGCCGATCAATAGCCGACAGCAAAAAAGAAACTGAGCTCTTTTCTGCTGCTTTTCTCTACGCCAAATATGGCTATTCCAGTTGTAGACGAGAAAAAAAAGAAAGAGCAAAAAAGAAGAAGAAGCTCTCTTTTGCTCTCTTTTCCTGGCTCCGTATGTATATGTGTTTTATGAAAAAGAGGAGGAAAAAATGAGAATTACATTACTTGTGATGAACATGTACATTTAGATGATGACTTTATAACACATTTCAAATGTTTGGAAATAAAATCGGAAATAATAAAGAGTCTAGTTCACAGAAAACTATAGTGTGGTCTACTCTGAAAATTCAACATCAACAATTTTTCAATGCCTTTTTTGAATTCAGATGTTCTCAAAACTTGAGAAAAACTTATTTGTTTGAGATCTTTGAAACTTGAGTTTTTTATAATCCTAATTAAATTTCAGAAATAAATATTTGAACATTCAACATTCAAATAAAGCTAATTAGATTTTCGAGAAAAATTTCTGCAAAATAATTGCCTTTTTTCAGTGAATGTTCTAGAATTTGCATAACGTTGATGAAAATGAAATCCAAATGAACATTACTTTTTTATTGAGAAATGTAGTAGTACTAATGTATACAGCATACCAAAAAAATTCGTACAGAAACTGAGATTCTGAAAAACCTTTTTTTTCTGGAAGTTTTTTTTTCCTCTCTGACTAATTTTGATAATATCTTCTGTATTTCTCATTTTCGTGTTTTTTCCTGCAAAAATCCTAAAAACCAACACAAAAACTCATCCGCAAAACTGATTGAGCAACTTTTATTGTGCGCGAAAGCAAACATTTGACCAGTAACATTTAAAAATGAGTAAAATACGTTAAGAAAATATGCAATCGCTCAAAATAAATATAGTTTGTGGAAAAATACTTATTGGGTGGTGGTATATAGTAGAAAATAAAGAGCATTATACCTGCTCACGGACGATACGCCCTACCGCAAAATAAAAATGAGATTTAAATAAAATTGGAACAGTACAAAAAATAAATTAGATTAGTTTTTATCCAAATCGAATTGGCTCTTGTTGAAGTGGATCAAAAGCCATTTGTTTCAATGAAGGTTGAATATTCGGATTGTCGTTTGGCGATGTTTTTCGATTGGCTCGACCCATTCGGAATCTTTCAGCATATGATTGTGCAATCGGAGCCATCCATCTGTAATGTTGTCTAAATCAACAAAACGATAGTGTTGCTCATTTTTTGTTGAGTGCAACGGTGAAAATCATTTTTTGTAAGTCTCGATTTTCACCGTGTGCATGGTTAATTGGAATTCTGTTTTAAAAATGATAAAGTAAAACTCATAAAGTGCATCTGAACGTGATGTGATGGAAATTTGGATTTTTTTTGTGAAAGTGTGTGGGTGGGTGATTTCAGAATTACAATATGTGCTCACTTTGCCGCAGTTCTGCCTTGTTTGAAGCACAACTCATTAGAGATTGATGTGAAAACTTTAGGTATCCAGGAACATAATGCAGTCAAAGTCTGATCATAAATTTCATCCATTGATCCGCCAGTTGGTTTTTGTTCAACAACTTTGTTGTCTGATTCATTGGGTTTTACCTAAACATAATTTTGATTGTTTTTTTGCAAATTGTTTTTTGCCTACCGATACTTTCTTCTCCTCTACACTTTTCGAAACTGGGAACAACGGTGGAAGGGTGTTAGTGGTTCCGGTTTGCACTTTTTGCCACCATGGTTGCTCGGTTGTGGCTGATCCCGCTAATGGCCACCATCTTGGAATTTTTGGTGTTGTGGTTGTTGGAAGGGTTACCGCTGGAAATAATTATGAAGTTAAGAGAAGCGCGCGCGAGAGAGAGTGAGGATCTTACTGGTTGTTTTCACAGTTGTTGTAGTTGGTGGCGTCCAAGTTTGAGTGGTCAATGTGACTGGTTTTTCTGAAGTGGTGATTGTGGTGGTTGGTTCAGGTGTAGTTGTGGTGGTAGTAGTTGAGCTACTGGTGGTTAGTTTAGTTGTAGTAGATGTGGTTGTTGGTTCAGGGGTTGTTGTTGTTGTTGTGGAAGGCACGGTAGTCGTTGAAGAAGGTTCTGTGGTCGTTGTTGTAGGAATTTCGGTTGATGTGCTTGGCAAAATTGTAGTAATTTTTTTCAAAGGAAGAGTAGCGATTCCTTGCTGAAAAATAAAATCAATTATTTATCCCCCCTTGTTTGAGAACCCACCTTCTTATCCATTGGTCTATATTGACTTGGTCCAACTTGGAATCCTTCGGGAAGTCCAAGATCTTTTTTCGAGAAGAATCGATTATGGAATCCAAATGGAATCGAGATTGGAACATAGGCTCTTCCAAGTTCAACCATTTTTTCAGCATCAAGAACAATAAGAACACCCTTGTTTTCAGCGGTATCCAAACCACGGACTAACAAAACTCCCTCATCTTCTTTTTTAGTTTCTGGTTTTTGAACAAACCAAGGCTCGTGAAGGACAAGATTTGGATCGGCGCGGAATTCCAAGTTACGACTTCCAGCTGGCTCATCAACATTAATCTGAAAAAAAGTTTGGTTTTGTTTTATTTTTACGGTAAACAAACCTTCAAAATCGAGTTTCCAGAAGCAAATGGATGTTGCACAATATATCCCCATTGATAGGCTTTTTGTTCATAGTTGTGGTTGAATTGGGGAAAATCAGCAGAGATGGTTTCTTGTGGGATCAAATAATTGTACATTACACGTTGTTTTTTGCTATCCAAGGTGAATCGAAGTACACGAGCTGTTGTTGGGTAGAGTTGTTTGGTCAAGAAATCAGTGTAGAAATATTTGATGTACGGGTCATGGGAATCATAGACGACCTGAAATAAAAAACATAAAAAAAATTTTATTATGGGAAATGGTTACCATATCTGCAACAAGATTTCCATCTTCAGCTTCAAACGCGTTCAATTGATGAGTGACAAACATTGATGGGAAAACTTCCAAAGGTTTTTGTGTGGTGAATTCGAGAGTCTTCTTATTGAAAATCAAGAATCTCATTGGAACCATATCATAGAAATCCATTCCCCATAATCCACCCTTTTGAATTGCTGATCTGATATTGTTCAATGGTGGTTCTTTGAATTTACATGGATTGATCAAAAGTGAAGTGATTGGAAGGATAACAAAGTTTTCAGTTGAAGTGATTGAATGAATATATCCAGGAAGAAGAGTTTTGTCGCCAATATATTCATCGTTACTGCCACAAGCATTTGTGTCCCATGCACCATAATCGTATAACCCAACAACACGTCTCACACCATTTGTGTCAACAGTGAAGATTCCCTAAAAAGTTGTATTTCTTTTTGGTTCAATGAGTTGGAAGAGCAAAACAACAACAAAAAACTTGTACATGTTTGCTTTACATTTACCCGCATCTGTTTACCTAAACGCACACTGTAATCTGACGCCACCTCACACCTTTTCGAGAGAAAATGAAACACTTTTCAAATAGAACCTCGAAATGTTCGAAAAAACACTCGTTTTTTTAATACACGGTGCGGTTCAGTAACAAGTGTTGACACTTGAACTTATTCAATCCAGATATATTTTTAGACAAATGTTTTTTTGAACTTACTTGATAGAAACGTTGTTCTTCAAAGTTCATCGCTGAGAATGATCCCCAGATAGTTCCATCTGCATCATTTCGTTCGTGAATAGCCATTGAGATTGGAATCATTGTGTGACGTGGGGTTGAGAAAATATCATTTTCTTCTTTGAATGGGAAAAGCTTGAATTTTTGGAGGGTTCGCACCTGAAATTAATTGTATTTATTCCAAATTATGTTAAAATTTTCTTACATCAAATTCATATCCAACCCAATATGGAGCCTCTGTTCCTGCGATGATACGATTTCCAACTTTCCAGAAATCAAGATTTGGGTGGAAACGCGCTGAATCTGGGTTTGCTGGAACCTGCTCCCATTTTGACATTGCTGTTAAATTATAATCCGACCATCCAGCAAATGGAACACTAGCCTTGCTCATATTACGATCATAGAATTCCCAAATTTTATATGGTCTAGCTGGATAATATTGTGCAGAAAACACGACTTGTCCATTGCTAACATGGAAACTGCCGACGGCTCCAATCGCGTCAATCATATGACTCAATTTTTCACCATCTGGCGCGGAAGAATTACCGTAGGATGCGGAAAGTTGACATAGGAAATATCCATCTACAAAAAATAGATTCAAACTAAATACTTTTAAATGTTTTGTTGGATATAATACATATTAAATAAATACACATATTATTATATATACAGTAAATATTGAAAAAGTTCCGAAAATCAGAGAACGTTTGAGGAAAATGAGTGTAGTTTACTGTGGAATCAAATTTCATATTTAAAAGACGGTGACAAGAGATCAAGTATTTTAGAAATAACAGAACTGTAGAGAATCCCTCCACTGGAGATGCTCCAGTTTTTGAAATAAACTTGATTTTCAGAAAAGATGTTCAGACAATATTCAAAAAATTCATCAACAAACTCACCAAGCCATTTTGGAATATTTTTACTTGGACAATATAATTCGCGATATTTATCACCATCCCAAGAATCAGGAAAACCAAGATGTGTCTGATTAAATGATTGTGCAACTAAACACGGCACAAGCAGCCCAAAAAATATCAATTGAATAATTGACATTTCGCAGAAATAATAATAATAATGTTAATAGAAGAGGAAGATGCTTCGAAGTGTCCTAAATATATGATGACTATTCGAATAGTTCAGAAGGAGGTCGGGTCAAAATTGTGGGCGGTCAGTAGTATTACTATACCGTTCTATATTGAGCTCGCGGGCGAGTGCGCAATCAAAGCGGAGCAGGAAAAAAAGAGGGGAGAGGAACACTTTGTACACCGGCTTAATTTTCACCTTCACTCTCCTCGTTTTACTCACTATTTGTGTACAAAATGATGACCCGTTTTCTATAGTTACGTACGTATCACACGGTTCCGCATCTCTCTCTCACTTTTTCGAAGCGCGCGCGCGGACTAAATTCGTTATACACGACTGAACGCGAAGCAATAGTTAGTTTAAAGAATCGTATTGTTGCTAATCTTCGAAACTTGCAAAGTCTGAACGCAAACCTTATTTGGCCCAACCGAAACAATAGAATAACAAGGGTCGGCAAAAGATACCTCACAAATAGAACTAAAAAAAACACAGACCCCCAGGGCGAATCATTAATTTGTTGTATAAAGAGCAAGGGTCGTGACTATTATGTTTTTAGAAGAGTGACACAAAAAAGTTATGAATCATTATTATTATTGTTAGAGTTTTATTTTTAGCTAACAAGGGATGCACACACAAAAGTTTTTTTTTGTGTTGGAATAATATGTGTTCAACTTTATGAGCAAACAGAATCTGACAATGAATCGTGTTTTGAACATGATCTTTCTGCAAATTTATTGTGCATATATGTTCGAACATAGGTCATAGTTCAGTTTTTGTTTTTGCTAACACGGATTAGGGTTTTCAATTTTTCATTGTTTTTACTTGATATGTTTGTTCTAGATGTTCTACGCTCATGACTTCGAAGCTATATTTTGGAAGCGTGTCCACAAAAACGACATATCTGAGAAATTCTACACAGCGCTTTCCTAATTGGAGAATGAAAATGAACGAAAAAAACATTACCCAAACATTAGATTCTCAAATTCACAGTGAAAAATAGTCATAGAATTTTATCCACGATAAAACACAGTTTTGGAAAATCTTTTGATTTTTCCTTCACAAACCAAACATTCAGACCAACCAGTTATGTTCTTTGATCTTCCACAATGCTCATTGCTCATAAAACAGTTCTCTCAACTCATTTAAACCAAAATGAAACATGATTCTTTTCAACTTCCTCGTGTAATTGTATATTTGTGTCAATTAGTTGACCAAAACAAAAACAATCAATCAAAGTGAAAAAGTAAGTGCAAATAAAGGAAGAAACTATAATGTTTTTGAGCAAATTTTTGACAACATCTAGAAAAAAGAAAGAGAAAATATCTAAATTGAAAGACACAGTAGAGCCGTTTTGACTTTAACATCAGACGGCAAAGAGGTAGGTCTCGTCAGTGATGGTTTTTTGCTGGACACTTTAAGTATGAAACCTAAACCTACAAGCGAAAAAGGATGAACATAGGAAAAAATAATAAGGAAATGCCTAATTGTAAGAGAATCTACAAAAACAGTTCGAATCTACAAAAACAACATTGCATGCTCAACACATACATACATATGTATACATGTCTTCTCATCTCTTCCTATCCATATGACCCGCCGGCTATAATATAGTCTATAATCTTTGATCGATGAACTAAAAAACAAAAAAGGGGAGGAGGAGGAAAAGGACGCCAAAGTGGTAATAACCAACGTTCATTTTTTTATAATCGATAAATGCTGGAAGATTAGTCTTTTTGTTAGTTTTGATAGAATTTTAATTGCTTATCTTTTTTTTTTGAAAACTGAAATTTTTTAGAGTTATAAACAGAAACAATGTTGTTTGTGAAAATCTCTTTCTCTTTCTCTCTCGAATTCAACTTTTTCAAATGAAACTTTTATAGCGTCTTATTTTATTTGAACATACAAAAATGAATTTATTTTTTCAGGTAATCATTTATTCTCCAACTATGTCGCAAAAAGCCGCACCAACAAGCAAAGCCGCCTCCGCCGCCTGCTGCTGCGAACGCTGAATTGGTTGCAGCTGCCAACGCTACATATGTGAGTGCGATGTTGCAAGATCCGAAAGGCGCAGAAGCCATTCGTTATTTTTTGGAGAAACCTTCAACGATGGTATTCAACGAGGTAAGACAATTTCGACATTTTTCTGATATTTATTACGAATATCTCTTATTTTCCAAAATAATGATTTGGTTTTCAGTTTGATGAACTCTAATCGATTCGAAAAAATGGCCATGTAAGCCCGCCAACTGAAACTGTAAATGCGCCAATTCCACCAAATGCTCGTCGTGAATTGAATTTTGATCAAGATCGTATTGAAGGACACACTCGGAGAAATGCTCAATTAGCAAATCAATCGCCGGTTGCTATGAGACAGCGTTTATCGTAAAATCGTCAACACCAAGGATTCCACGAATCCGACACTGAGCCCGATTATTCGTTTTCTGATGATGAACCAGCTCGGACAATACAAACACCGATTCATCAATCTAATGGTTCGCGTCAACCTGATGTCGCCGATTCGCATCGTGAAATGAACTCTCCATGGTCCAGGAACCCACGAGAAATCGCCAACACCTAGTGTTTGATGAATCCGTAGTGCGCATATATGGAATGCTCGAGCCGAACTTCATCAGTGTTCAAAGCGACAGAACAACGAGGTTTTGGTATAACCCTGATGATTTGGAACCCGAAGACGACGAAGACGACGAAGAGGAGATGCGAGACGTTGAAATTCAAAGGAGATCGGACAACACACCGCCCGTTCGCACAGTTCCAACGGCCTCGCCAACCGTTGAACCAGCCCGACTCTCACCAACATCAACCCCGCCGCAATCGCCTACACCGTCATCACTTCAAACCCCGCCACAATCGCCAGTTCCGCCAGCTCGACGAAGAAAGCGGGTCAATGCTGACGTTTGTCAAACCGCGCCGCCCACTAGAAGAAGTAGGAGCGCGTGCTCCGTCAACGATGCTTTGGATCGGCGAGATTCTGGCTATGATGCCTTGGATTTATCCACCAAGCATGCAAATCTCGTGAAATTAGCAAGAGCATTTGATGTTGCGCCAACTCCTGCGAAACTGGCCACAATTCACAAAAAAGCAGTCGATTTATCGGCAGCTTGTGAACTCAAAGCCCACTAATTTCGTGAGTTTCTTTTTTTTTCCCAAAATAACAAATATTTATTCATATAATTTTCAGTACAAGGAAGGCACCAGTGGCAAAACCTTCGCTCATCTGGATTTGGACATGGTTCTACAGAACCCGGGCGTGACCCCGTGAACGACGCGCATGCTATGGTAGCCGCCATGCGATAAGGGAGGCTTTCCATGCCCTGAAAAGCTAAAACCCGCTCAACCCCTTGGATTATATTGAATGGATATAATTTTGTGGATTTTTTGATTGGCGACTCGAATTTGAAGCATATCACAAAATGGATCAATAAGTATAGCATCAAATGGATTGGCAAACCATGAAGATGCAGATCAATTAAACGGGCGTTCTCCGTTAATGACGCGCAGTTTGGCCAACTGCGATAAGTTCCAAAATGGCAGGACGTTCACGGTCACGAACGCGAATTGGAATGTTTTTCTAATTGTAAGTTGTTTTATTACAAAACATAACACTTCCAAAAAACTATTAATTTTCAGAAGAACAATTGAATTTGGAATCCAGTTCAACATACCCGGACGTGCCCCAACTTCAGATGAAAATTTGAATCATTTGATTTCATCAAGAGCAATCAAATATGTGAGAAAATGCATCCATTTTCCAAAAAATCTTGATAATCATCAAAGGTTTTTGTTTGAGTGTTTTCTCCAACTCAAACAATCAAAAACGTGAGTTTTAATCTAATTTTTTAATTTTGAAATTATTTTTTGTATTTTCAGGACTTCTATGAACAGTCGCTGTAAGAAGCCGAAATGTGCTTCTCTCAAAACATTGAATACAGAAATGTTTTTTCTAAACGTAAGTTTTTTATTACAAAACAATGTAATCTTCAAATACTATGAACTTACAGAAGAACAATCAATTTGGAACCTAGTTCAACATCTCTGGTCATAAGAAAGACATTGCGAAGCTATTCTGGAACTCAGTTCAACAATTTTCCAACATTTTTTATGATCAACGTTTTTGGAACCAAGTTCAACAACTTCAAAAGTCTGTCAGTTTATTTTTTCTGTGTTTTTTCTTGTATTTGTCATTTTTTACAATTCCCTCGAAAAAGTAGTGCAATAAATTGACTATAATGTTTTCGAGCCAAATTTTGACAACATTTCATTTTGATTCTTGAAAAAATACGATAACAAAAGTTACCTATGATAGAGATACTTTTCCTATGGAAAATGATCATTGGAATTATGTCTGTATCCACATGTTGGACACATTGGTGGTGTGATCTCGCGAAGATAATCTGTATAATTAATAACGACATCATACGAATCAATATATCTCAAACAGAAGATGTTACGGAAACCAATATCCTGCAAAACAAATATGTTTTTTTCCCTTGAAAACTTTTTTTTGAAAAAATTACCGTTTTGATTTGTTCCATGTCCTCCAACAAGGAATTAGTGATTTTGGCAAATCTGATGCTAAATAAATCTCCGGTGAGAAAATCGATGATTTCTGGAATAACATCTTTGACATTCTCTGGAAAATCATCGTCCGATAATTTGGCATCCAACAAATCGACCATGTCACTGTTTTGCTCCATCATTGTTTGAAACTTCTTGTTGAATTCCTCATTTTTGTGTTGAAAATGATTGCTGCGTTTCTATAAGGAAAAATTTAAAAAATATATATATATATTTATTGAACCACACCGATATACATTGTGAAAGACAAAAGAATTTAAAAAGAAGAGATAGTAGTGAAATGATAATCGAGATGACTGCAATAAAACAAAAAGGCCCGTAGGTCCTATAAAAAAGACAAGTTGGGCCATTTGAGAGGATGTGACTATGTGAATAATAAATGTGGTTTAACATGATAGTGAATAAGGATGCATTAGAGGTAAAATAAAGAGGGGGAAAGGAGTAAAGATTAAAAAAAACTGAAATATGGGGGGGAGAAAGTTTAATGATGAATATTTGAATTAGATGAGAAGTTAGAAGTTAGAAGTTTTGACTCAGAACGAAGTTATTTGAATATAAGATAAAATGAGAGAATTAGAGATCCAATCCCCAACCCTCTGCAAACGCCTCCTTCCGTAAAAGGCCTGTTGGTCAATTAATCGGACCATGGCTAATATTGGTCAGGAGCGGACCAGTAACTTTTAGGAAGGGCTATTTCGGCTTTGCAGACAAGCATAGGAAGAAGAAGTTCTGCGATTTTTGAAAGACAAAAGTTTACCTCAATGCTTTTTCCTCGCTCAATTCGAGTTTGAAGTCCATAGAAGTATTTATGATAATCAGTGGCGTATTTTTGGGCAGTTTTTGAGAAATCCCAAACTTTGATCATAAAATATTCAAATATGTGTTGCACTTCGGGGACCTGCAAATAAAAATAATCTGGAACTTAGAAATTATAAAAATGATTTTAATTAATACAACAAGTCAGCCCGGTTAAATTGCCAATCGGTGAGAGTGAGCGAAACGCAGTAATTTTCACGTAGACATCTAATTTTTTCGTTGGAAAAAAATATTTTCAATAAAAATGTTAACTACGTGGCAATCCGTGGGACGTGCATTCAAAATTGTTTTCATTTAAAAAAAAACTATTCTTGAAACCAACCTCTTCAAGATCGTCCATCCAAATAAAAACAGTGTTCAGATCGTCCGTAAAATCCATTCTCAAACGAAAATAAAATGATTCTGTTTTTTCTCACAAAAATGAGGGGTTACAAAATGATTCATAACAGAATGACTCAAAATCAGTGAAAAATGTGTCTACAAAAAATAGCTACACGACATTTAACAAAACGTTTATGTTATATAATAAAGTAAATAGTGTAAATGTCATTAATTAATTGATTTCCTCTTCCTATTATTCCTCATCTGACTCATCCAATTGTTTGCAAAATCCACATTCTCTACAAATTTTTTCCAAGTCGAAGGTGTAGAAGTGCATGTTTACATGATAATCGGTTAACACGGTGCGAAATTTTCTCATCGCGTCCCAATCTTGATTCTGAAAAATGAATTTTTTTTTGAAAAATTGTCAAACGTTTCAATTACCTCAACCAATATGAAAAGTTGGTCTTCCAATTCCGAACAACTTTCATGGAACTTATCATCCAAAACTTCTTCATCGACAAATTTAACAAATGCAGGAATATACTGAAATTTCAGTTCGTCGGACATTCTCGCGCGAGAGAGAAGATGAGCATCAATTGAAGCAATCAACGTTGTTCGGTTTTCTTTGATTTCATCGAACAATCTCAATGATTCTTTTATTCTGTGCATGATGTGACGAGGGAATCTCTGGAATAAATAATTGAGATTGACATTAAAATTTTTTGTAATAATACAGCTTACTCTCATGCGAGGATTGGTTGGTTCCCGCCAAAATTGATCAAAATCGAAGCCGGTGGAAACACGTTCCATCATTTCTTGAAGATTTGCAAGAAGTTCGAGTGCTATTTTTCTGATTTCAGGAACCTGTAATAACACGTTTTCGGGAGTTACGGGAAAAACAGGTTGAGAAAAGTGGATTTTCTATTTACAGGACATCTGGTAGGTCAAAAATTTCTGGATTTCAGACTTGTTCGCTGAATTTTGTCATTCGCGATGACTCAACACAATCTTGGAACTTTCAAGATTGTGTTGAGTCATGAAAAATGTAAGGAAATTTTTAGGACAGTCATAATTTACTCTGCTTGCAATCACATGTATGAATAACTCACCTCTTCCATTGCTTTGAGCCAAGTTTTGATTCCAGGAGGTGGACGAGACATGATCGTATCGTGTTTCAAAAACGATAAAATGAATGAGCGAAATAATTGTGTCTTTCACAATATGTTATGTTTTTTTTTCCTAAAGTTCACGAAAAAAGAAACGTTTTTTTTGCTCGTTTAAAGAGGGAGATTTTATGTTGAGAGAAAAAAAAACATATCAATAAAATGAGAAAAATAATAGAAAAAAACATAATTGGTTTGTTACGATATATACAATCAAATGATGTCACTGATTTTCCTGATCACAACGCACATTTGGAGCACATTCCAGAGATGCAAAATTTTCTCATCTTGGAAACATCGTGAATGTTATCCCAGAAGACATACAAATGGGAAACGCGGACAACTGGAATCAGGCAGATCAGAACTCGTGAATACCATGTTGACCAATTGAAGATGTTTTTGAAAATAATCGAACGGGCTTCCTTGAAAAACGCTGGACATGGCCTCAGTTTCTTCTGAAATTAACGAATGAAAAATTCAATTTTTTAAAGAAAAACTAACGTACATCTCTCAATCTCCACGAATAAGTGATAAAATCCACAATCATTGTATGCATAAAATCAGGAATTGTGAATTCTTTTACAAATTCAATGATATTTGGGAATTTTCGGATTCTCAAAGCTCTTGTAACAGTATCATCTTTTTGTAATGTATAGATCATCTCCAAGACGTGTTTTTTGTGTTCCATAACTTTGGTGATAATCTCATCTATTTCCATTACGTGCTCGTCAAAGTGATCCAAATATTCCTGAAATTCAAAAAATTAGGATTGTTTACAAGGAGGCTATTTTCATAGGTTTTCTCATACTAACCTTGTCAACTGTGTGATCAATTTCAGAATTTTCAAGATTGAATGCGGACATTTTGAAAATTAAAGACAAAGACTGCATATTTGCAAACAACTGGATGAACTCGTCGCGTAATTCAGGAACCTATAAAAACTTTCTGATCTGAGATATGTAAATATTTTTTTCAATTACCTCGTAAAGATCTCGGTATATTTCAACGCATTTACTTCCCAAACATGCTTCTTCAATGATTTCATAGAAATACTCGGATTTTTTGATAATTTTTTCTTCGGCTACCTTTTCTGCGGGTTTCACACTTGTTTCCTGAACTGATAATGAATCACTATCTATTCTCATGTTGACTGACCTTGTCTGAAAAGGAATTTCCGCAATTCATTGTTTTTTCAAACAGTTTAGAAGAAAAATATGATTGTTTTATATTTCAGGAAAAACAAACGCAACAATGATAACAATAAAAACTATTACAATGATTTTTTGATGGTTTTTTTTCAATAAAAAATCACATTTCTTTTCTTTTTGCATTTTTTTTATCTTGGATTATTATTGAATGAGTCAGAGGGGGGAGTTTTCAGACAATATCTCATACGCAACACTTTTTTAAAGTAATATTTCATTAAGGCGACCGGTAACCAAAACCCTAGTCATCAAAAGTAGGTGGTGACATGATTGATTATAGACAAAATTTAGGAATGGGACTTCATAGTTTCACGTGATGGGGCATTTTGATTACATGTTTATAGATTTGGGGACTTCTAAAGTGTTTTGGAACATGGCCGACACGCGTCACTCCAATTTCAGGACCAACAAGATTTCTGACCATGAAAATATTTGAATGTGAGCTGTTCTACAATTCACCCAGAGATTGCGCAGATTTTTATTTGAAGTAAACTAAAAATACTGTGGAAATAAATCATTAATTTATTCTTGAAAAATTGAGAAAAAATGAGAAAAATGTTTTTTTCACAAACTGTTCACATCTGTTAGTGAAAAAAAATGAGAAAATGTTTTTTTTTACAAACTGTTCCCATCTTTTAGTGAAAAATATGAGAGAATGTTTTTTTTCCTGGGAAAGTGCAAGATTTTTTTGTAAATGATAGTTAATTATGATTGCCCAGTGTTCCGAGTTTTGCAAAGTTTGTTGAGAAAAAATATGTTTTAGGAGTTTCTATAACTTGTATGTCAGAGAAAAATATAAGAACTTTGGTATCAAATTGTTATTAATTGATGAATAACCAATTATTCTGTTTTCAGGTTCACATTGTCATGTGAGAAAATTTAGGAAGTTTTATCTTCTGTCGGTATCGCTTGCTTCAAATAAATAGCAGTTTTTACATGTGTTTAGATTCACTGACAAGAAGATCATTTTTGAAGCCAGCTAACATGAATGGGTTTTCTAAGGTAACACCCAAAAGTGTTTAATGTTTGTTTTGAAACAAAATTCATGTATTTATAACGCTGATAAAATCGTTCAATTGAACTCATCGTTATCAAATGTACACGAGACGCGCCCAAAACACTGCACAAAAATTTTGAAAAAAAGTCACACTGAAGTTTTTTCCAAGAAAAATGCGTTATTTTTAGTGAAAAACTAATTTTTCTTCTTTTTTTGCTCGGCGGTCTGAAAAAATCAATTTTCACACTGTTCAAAAATTTTTTGAAATTATTTCCACACTGTACAAAATGATTGTTCGAACATCTCTCGTCAGGTGTGCAAATGTACAAACTAAATACAATTTCTTTGTGTCAATCTTTTTAAATTGTTCATATTATTTTTTTAAGTTCAGTTAGCTCAATGTCAAAACGCCAAGATTTGCAAGGTGTTAGAGGATTGGCAATTCTTTCAGTTTTAGGATTTCATTTTTATCCAGACATTTTTCCAAATGGTTATTTAGGCGTTGATCAGTAAGTGTTTTCTCTTTTTAATGTGGAAAGCCTTTGAAATTTTCAGATTCTTTGTATTATCTGGATTTTTAATGTGTATGCTGTTAGTTCGAAGCAAAAATTCTACAAATTTTGATATTCTCACTACATTCTATTCGAGAAGATTCAAACGAATTCTACCCTTATATTTTCTAATTATTTGTTTTGCATTAATTTTCTTGTATATAATTTTTCCTGATTCTGCAATTAGTATTAATCAAGATGCTGCATCAAAAGCTATAATATTTATGTCAAATCAACCAAAAACAGTAGATGAGGAATATTTCAAAATGGTAAGTTTTGAAACTTTTGAAGTTCCTACGAATTTTTTTTTTATTTGTTAGTTGGAATTGGCTATAAATATATTTGCACACACATGGTCGCTATCCGTTGAAATACAATTCTATTTTATAATTCCTATTTTATTCATTATTTTCAAAAATTATTCGATCAAAACACAGCTGTTTTATTATTCAATTATTGGTAGGTCTTTGTGAAACTTCAAAAGAATTTTTCCAGCAGATTTATAAAAAATTGAAAAAAAAATAATCTTTGAATCACAGGTATTGCTTCTTTCTTGTTCAATGTGCAATCCCCACCTGAAATTGCTTTTAACAATGTTTTCGCGAGAATTTGGCAGTTTTTATTAGGATTTTCAATATATTTTTTGGATTCAAGTCCAACTGATCTCCCATTAAATGATTATACTCCGCATCATAATCCGGATATGTCACAATACCCAAAATATGTATCTCTGATCACGATGACTTATATCAATTTCACATCTATATTTCTTCCAGCATTTTTTGTTAGGTAGGAAACTTATTCAAATGATAATAATAATAATAATAATAAAACTCTGATTTTTATAGGCCGATGGTTACAATTTTGACATCAATTGTGATTTTGTACTCCAGAGATGATGCATTTCTTTCTAATAAAGTATTGGTGTACATTGGTGATATTTCGTTTTGCCTTTATTTAATTCATTGGCCAGTCTATGCATATTGGAAACTCACCATGAGTCATAATCAAATAGGTTGGAATCAAAAAATTATTTTTTTTTCAAACAAAAAGATTTTCAGCGTTGGTGTTATTGTTGATTGCATCAGTCATAGTATCAACAATTGTTTTTGAAACTTTTGAGAAATGGTATTTGAAATTGACGAATGCTCAAATCACAATCCTGATTTCATCATTTTTCATATGCAGTATCTTATTAATTAACAAAGATAGCATAATTATCCAAGAAGAGTTACAAGCTTCAAACCATACAACATATTTCAAAGTGTTGGAGAATATGACAGTTGACGATGCAATAAAGTACAATAAGAAATGGTCTGATCAAGATTCAAAAACGCTATTTCATTCAAATTGTAAATATTCTTTCAATACACAATTCAAATGGTGCAATTTTACGGTAAGTTCCATTAAAAAACTGACATTTGCCTTTAATTTTGGAAAAATTATAGAAAAACATTTCAGGATTACGAGAAAAAAGGAAAATCAAACATTTTGATTTTCGGTAATAGTTGGGCTGCAAATCATGCGAAATTGATTTTTGAAGAATGTAGCCATAAAGCAAAAAATATGGTTCTAGGTGCAACTTTTGGTAAGTGGAGAATTTCTATGAAATTTTGAAAAATGGAATGTTCAGGTTGCGAAGTGTTGTTTCCAACGCGAAATTTGACTGCTTGCTATCAAAATTTGGAACAAATGGATCAACATGTTAAAGATGCCAATGCTGATTATGCATTTATGATTTCAAGGTTAATATTTTTCAATTATGTCTTTTGAACTGTAAAAAAATGTTTTTCAGATATTTATCTTCTGATGGTAATTTCACAAACACTGATTTGAAAAAAGACAAAATATTTATAAGAATGAAATTACAACTAGCCAAATATATGAAAAATATCAAAAAGAAAATATTTTTTATTGATGCAATTCCTCCGATTGACAGTAAAGTTATACCAAAAATCGGACCTATGTTGAACAATGGAACAAGTATACCGGATGTGAATGTGAGTTTTTTCCGTTTTTATTGTTATTTTAGAAATTATTTTTTTATTTTTCTAGAAACTTCTGGTGAAAATGGATTCATATGAAAGAGTTCGTAAGAGAAATGAAAAATTGTTGGAATTTTGTGGGAAGAAATGTGAGAGAGTTGATTATTTCAGTCATTTTTATAATAATGAAACAAAACAATTTCATTATTTTGATAATCTTGGATTTATTTATCTAACAACTGTTAATCATTTTTCGCCTTACGGTTTGGAATATCTACGGGATATTTATAGTAATATTTGTCATAAATTGTGATTGATTTTTCAAAAAAGTTATGATTATCAGTTTTAAATTAGCCCGTGGCAATTTCATGCGCAATTTGTGCAGACTTTTATGAAATCAAAACCATGTTTTTTCTGATAATGAACATTTTTCAAATGAAAATTTTAACGCCGAAAATCCAAATTTATTCATAATCTGCAAAACATTTTTTATTCTAAGATTTTGAAACAATCATACGGCATTATAAATCGACGCGGTGTTCACATTTGAGTTATTCAATTTTTCCACACCAATTTGTCTGGATCTAAAAATTCTCAACGCCAAAAAATATCTTCGATAAGGCGCCACAAAAATAAACGATGAAATCGGCGAAAAAAGTGGAATTAAAACGAGCCCCGAGATTATATAATCCTCCATCATTGGGTTACTGTAAATCCCGAATTGCTCTAAAATATACATAAATACGCTAGTCGTGTAAATTGATGGAATAAGTGCTTGATATGTCAAAGCGGCCAAAAATTGAGAGTGCAAATTTTTGGTAGATTTGCTGAATTTTGAACTGAAAGTGGTCAATTTTTTGATGATTTTTGCTCTCAAAATAATAATTCCTAAATAAATTGGGATTGTCATCAGGGTCATTTGGAGGATTTTTGTGAGCGCAAAAACATTTCGAATATCTTCTACACCACTGATAACAAGTCCTGTGAAATCGTAGTTTGGGTAAATTTTCTGAAGATGGGCCTCGATACGATTTGGATTTCCAGAAGCAAATTGATAAAAAATCTACAAATATTGAGATTTATTAGAGCGAAAAATGAAAAAAAATCTAAAACCCACCAACTGTATAAAAGAAGGTGTATAGGTTAAAAAGACTACCAAAATCACCGCATTTTTTGGCGGCTCATTTTTCAGCAAAACATAATATCTATAAGCAAATGATAAAAATAGTGAGTAATTTGAATGAGTTATCATACTCGCCATAATATTATGACCTAAAAAACAGACTTTGTAGTTGAAATATGTGCAAGGGCCGTTCGAAATGTAGCCAATTGACCAGCCACCAGGAATCATTCTGCAAAAATTGAGAAAATGACAGAGTTTGTGCGTATTTTTGAAATCTTCTTTCTCATCCTAAAAACTACCTCTGCTGCACAAAAAAATTCGCCATAGCCGCCACACAATCCGTTACTGCCAAATTAATAATCAAAATCGTATAGGTTTTCACAGCTTTTGGTGTTTTAAAACACGCCAAAAATATCAGCAAAGCGTTGAAAAATATGGCAAAAATATCGATTATTGTCAAAATTGACCAGTACAATGTATGAAATGCCATTGTTTTTGGAAAATTCAAGAATTCTTACTAGAAAAGAATAGAAAACTGAAGAAAAGTTGAGTATGATTTGTGATTTTTTGCGGGGTGACATGTTGTTTTAATATGATTTTTTTCCGCGCAACGAGTGATGTTATTAGGAAAAAGTCGTATTTGGACTTCTGGTGCAAAAATACACATGTAAAATATACAACATTTGGCGCCTGAAAATCCTTCAATAGAAATTTTAAGTAAAATAAAAATCTGGAAACATTTCATGAAAATTCATCCAAAACTTGAAAAAATAAAGGTTTTCCTTTTAGATATATTTTTCTTGATTGTTTCAAATAACATTCTGATTTATATCTTCTGGTTTTTACAATATACCCTTTAAGCAAATTTCATTTTCAATAATTCAGTTGATAAAAATAGTAATACGAAAACTGATGTCATGGTGTTCTTTGTTCGAAAGTAAAGTTAATTTTTTTTCTGTATTTACTCAGTTAAAAGCTTTTCGGCAAAACAAAATGTACTCTAAAAAGATACATTTCCAAATGTCTACTTTTTTCACAATTGGAAGAAAAAACTTTTTGGAAAAACAATCATCATTTTCAGATTTGTTTTTTATTGTTTGAAAAAAAGTCTTCCGCACGTGAGAAAGTTTTGTTTTTCATATAAAAATTTATATTCTATAGAATTATATAGAAAGGTTCAAAAGTCTTTTTTCTCTGAGCCGAGTCAACAAGTTCCGCTGAACGAACAAAAAAAAGTAAAATGAGATTTTGAACTTTATTTCTTCAGACATTGAAAACGGAAATGTTCACTTTTTCTTATTTGAAACAAAAAAGATGAAACAATAAAAAAAGTGACGATGAGATGAATTTTTTATGTGGCCAGCCAGCCCGTTGCACTGCGAATAAGACCAATAATGATAAATTGTTGGAGGTGCGAGGGCGATTTATTTGATGTTTGGTGGATGAATTTTTCGATGCGATTAATTTTTCTGATGTGTGTGCAATTGTTGCCATTTTTAATTGGTATAACATCAATTGTGTTTTGGTTATATATTCTGGCAAGTTTCCAGCGCAAACATTATATATAAAAATTATAAAATTGTCTGATTCTGAGAAGTTAGAATTTTCAGGAAAAATTGATTCAAAAACTCTCTTCTTGAAGCCCACATTTTCTGAAACAACGTGGGAACTATTAGTAAATTTCCCATAGAAAGTCACAAATCTGAACCGAATAATGATATAAAAATACTATTTGGTTGAAATGTATTTGGTTGAAACGTGAAAAATCATCAGAAGCTTTTTCATAAACACTGAACTCTGAAAATACTGAAACCCATTTTTTTGATTTTCGTTCTTCCGTTTTTTTAAACGTTTTCAGCATGGTTCACTTATTCAAAGCTTGAGCAGAAAAACATTTTCTCTGTTCTTGAAAAACCACATTTTTATAAATAATATATGTCAAGAACAAATCTGAATCTGAAAACATTTGCCAAGTTGGAAAATATTATGGAAGAACTCAAACCTATCTTTGACCTTGGAACTCTCAAAAAATCCTCAGAGATTCCACTTTTGAGATTGTTTTCAGCATGATTAAATTTTCAATTCAAAAAGTTTCATCTCTCTAAAAGTTTCTGAAACTAAAAAATCCGATCTTTCAATCTCTCCTCAATTTCCAACAAAAAACCAAAAACCATAGGAGTTCGCAAGAAGAGGATATAATGAAAAACACTGTTTATTTGTTTTTTGGGCCCAATCTTTTCTCTATTTTTGCAATTTATTCATTACTAAAATATTTTCCAATAAATTCTTGGAAACCACAATTTTTGTGAGCAGGTTATGATGGAGTGACGTCGAATTCTGATTAATATTTGGATTGAATTCAAAACTAATCTTGTTGATTAAAATTTCGAAATAAAACTGATGATCTCAAAAATCACTGTCCTCATTTTTCTTTACTTGATCTACCAGCGGAAAAAACAAATTCCCTCTAGGAAGTCAACCATATTTCCCATTAATGTGCAAAAAGAAAACAATGAAAACATCTTTTTTTTCTTCTTGTTCATATTTGAAAATGAAAGCAACAGTTGTTCATTAGTGACTGAAACTATTCAAAAAAACGACCGTAACGGTATATTTCAGAGAAAACGTGGAAAAAAAAAATAATTTGTTAATTATTGTTCATCATCGGCTTCAGTTTCAGTTGCAGAACGTTTTCCAAATCGAACCATTGCAGATCTATCCATTGGGGATCTTTTTCCAAGTCTGAAATAATTTTTGTTTTTAATTTGTATGATTAATAAAATAATGATGCTAGTGAATCAAAATTTGATGAAATCTCTCACCTAACCATCGAAGATCTATCATAGGGTGATCTTCCGAAGCGTACCATCGCACTTCTATCCATTGGTGACCGCTTTCCAAATCGCACCATCGCACTTCTATCCATCGGTGACCGCTTTCCGAATCTCACCATTGCTGATCGATCCATTGGTGATCTTCCGAATCTTACCATCGAAGATCTATCGAACGCAGCTCGTTTAACCAAGCTAAATATGATTTGAAAAATTGTTGTGTTTACAATTTATAACTTACTCATTATCAAAGTTTTCCAACTGATCAGAAAATGCTTCAACACTGGAAAAAAAATCAGATTTTTTAAAAGATTTCTAAAAAGTTAGAGTAACTCACTCATTTTGTTGCTCATCAGCGAGCACGAGAAGACCCATGGAGAAAATCAGTAAAATTGGTGTTACAAGCATTTCTAAATATCGTATTTTTAATTTTTTTTTCAAAACGGAAAAAATTAAATAAAGTGAAATGAGAAGTGGTGGAATTTATATATAAGAGGCCACGCCTCCTTTTTTTTTCGTTGCTGCTCAACTTTTGTGAGAGAGAGACACGCCTACCAAAATATATATTTTTGTTACTTATTTTTTGGGTTGAGGAAGGAAGGGAAGAGGAAAAGACGAGGAGATTTTATAGGTTCAGCTGATCATTGACCTTCTGGAGTGTGGATTGAGTGAATCAAGATGATTGAGAGACTTGTAACAAGATTTTATGTATTTTTCAACAAACTTATTTGGAAAAATATGAAAAATACGTCATGTTTGCAACAAAAAATTGATTGGGAAAAAAAGATGAGTTATGGACTCACTTTTTTGCTCAAGTCTAAATTACCCTGCGTTCCTATAATGTAGTTAATTTATTTTTTCGAGCCCTGCAATTGCAGAAAAACAGATTTTTTCTTTTTTTTTTGGGGTCCACGTATTCTTATGAAATGTACTTATTTTCTAAGATTTATCGCATTTTCCGTAGAAAAATAATAAGTATCTTGTGAACATTAATAACAAAAAATCAGAAAGACACGGTGTAATTTTTGCACCGACAAAAGGAAAAAGACAAATGTCATTGTAAAAATAGAAATTCTTGAATTTTTCAAAGATTTTCAATAATTCACACCTTCAGACAGTTTTTTTTTGAAAGAAGCAACATAGCAACAGTCGCCCACAATTTTTGCCCACTCACTCAAAAATTCTCCACCAGCAAAGCAAGTTTTCATGGACTACAAATTTGATTTGATAAAAACTCACAAGAAAAAAATTTATAAATAAAAAAAGTTTTTTATAACCTTCCTTATGGGTTTTCCCTAAAAACAATAATAATCCAAGTGCATATTTTATTAGAACTCGTTAGCGCAAACATTATTTTTTATTGTAGAAAAAAGTTAACCTAAAAACACTACAATTTATTAGCGTTTTTTTTCTAGCAATCAGAAATTAAAGAAAGAAAGAATGACCAAAAAGTACACATGACAAGATAATTTTTGCGGATGATTAATGTTGATGATTATGAGGAATGAGGAAATGTTATGAGCCACTAGTTTTAAAGGTTTCCAGGGATACGAAAAGTTTACTAGTTTTTTTCTTGATCATAAAAATTTCCAGTTTTGTAGTTTTAGAAAATTGTATGACGTGGCAAACAAAATGCTCCAAGAAATAGAAAACGTGATTTTCGGATTAAATTTTTGATCTTGAAAATGTGGCTTTTTCAAATTTCTGATCGTCTAATTTTTTGAAGAAAAGGTTGATGAAATCGTAGATCAATTGTTGCAGATTCAGAAAAAAAGAGTAGACATTTTCGAAATTTTTGTCATTGTTTTTCAAAATGTTAGTCAGACAATTCGCGGTCTCAAACATTTGGATCAAAATTTTTGAAATTTTGCTTCTGAAGGGTTCAAGACTAGCAATATGAGTTGAAAGAATAAAAATATTTGCGTTTTATTACGGAATCTCTGATGAATATCGAAAAAAAACTTCTGAAAAACGTGGTTCAAAAACCACAAAAATCTCACCATTACACGACATAATTTTTGTTAAACCCTAGACTTTTTTGAAATTTTTGTCATATTTACTTTAATCGAAGTGAGTCAGAGAAATTACTATCATATTATGAAAATTTGAAGAGGTTGGTTTAATTTGCAAAAATAAAGGTTTTTACGAAAACAATGAAAAATTTCAAAGATGAAACTTTGTTTCGTTCAAAAAAAAAAATACTTTTCACTCACGTTGATGATTATGTCATGAATATCAAAAATGCTCAATTTTCAAACGTTCTCCTAACATATTTTTAGAGTCAAGTGGGTGGATGAGATTTTCTCATATCATAGCAGAGGTTTTGCAAAAAACTCATTCTCAAAAAATTGTGTTCCAGCCAAACAGAAAAGCTCAAAATTGGATTTGAATTCAATATTTTATTGAAGGTGAGTAATGTTTTATGAGAAGGAACCATGTGTTATTCAAAAACAAGCCTAGATAAACCCGGAAACTATTTTTGCCCATTTTCTGTTTTGTATCCTAAAATTATTATACTGAAATTTGAACCATGTTGAAGTGTTTTTCAAAATATTGAATAATATTTGCAAATTCGAATTCAAATTCCAATTTTTGGTGGGCTCAAACCCAGGAAATAATTAGAAGAAAATGCGTAATTTCTGACCCTTTTTGAGCTCGAGAAAAAAGCACTTATAAAGTTTTATGGATCAAATTCCGGAAACATCAAGCAAACAATGAGTATGCAAAAAAAACTATTGAAAAATAATTACAAGAAGATGGATAAAACAAGGAATGACGGAGAGTAAGAAGAAGAAAAATAGGATAGAATAAAATAAAAATGAAAAAAAAACACGATAAAAATCCAGTGGACCGATTTTAATATTTTCTTCTATGGGACCACTGCACAAAGAATAAAAGAATCAGCCTAGAAAATAATTCTGTAAATATATTATTTGCTTCCCTTCATGTTAGGCGGAAAAATTAAAAACAAAAACGAATTGAACAAATAGGTTTTTTTGAAGAAAATACAACAAGTTTTCTCTTTTTTTTTCATTTTTTTGAGTAGAAAGACATAAATAAGTTTTTTTGCTTTATTATTAAAAATTCATATGTATTGGTAGAAGGAGGTCTTAGGAAGCCAAGCTAATCAATCAGAACCTGAGAATGGCTCGATCTGACCAAGCTAACTTAGTTTTTCGAAAATTTTCAAAAAAAAATCTAATATTTGTTTTCTGAAAGTTTAGAGAGGTTGCGAATTTTCTGGATTTTCTAAAATGTCGAGTTGAAAAAAAGTAGCATCATTTTTTTGAATTCGCCTTCACATCAAAATTCTGAAGATCTTTTTGGTCTAGATGATTGAGCATCTTCAAGCCTCATACCATTCTATTTCAACAACTCTCCTATGGCTCGAGAATGGCCAGATAGTATATTCAAAAAACATAAAGCGTTCATTCAAAGTTAATTAATTTGAATTCACAAAGGATTATATATATATATATACAAATTTTTCCACTGCTCAAGTCAAAACAATCGCTTTAAGTAAAACACGATTGTCTGACTTATCAATTAAAGCAGGCCAAATAAAACTAGCAATTGTATTGATTGATCCAGAATAAGCGGCTCGAGAATGACGAGATGGATCGAAATCTATTCCATCGTATTCAAGACGTAATCTGTAACACATGAAAAAATGAACAATGAAACATCAAAAAAGTTTTGTTGGTTTTTTTTTCTTCGAAGGAAAATTTAAAATTGATAGAAAGAAAAGCGTCATGAAAAAGAAAAAAACGAAACATTTTGGATTAGAAAAAAAAATAAAGACAAAAAGTTTCGTTTTCATCACATTATGAATACGTGAGTAATTGTTGTCCATTCCGCTCGAGTTCAAATTTCTAGGAAAATTGTTGAATGACAACTTTGGATGGATAAAAATAGAATAGAACTTGAATGTGGGGTGTGAATTTCAAAGTTTAGTTTAAAAATAAATCGACGTGGGCTTCTAAGTTTTTGAATTTCGGATGAAAGTTAATTTTAGAAACTGTTATTTTTAGAAAGGTAGACTCAGGGATGCAATTTCATGTTTTCTTATGTATTTTAGATTTTCAAATCACAAATTGTCTCACTTTGCTTCTGGACAGCATTGAATATCCCACGAAATAGTGATGCATTTCTGAATAAATTGATGAACCGTCAAACATTCTTCACACGCTGGATAATCTTTCAATTGCTCTAATACTTGATGCGTTAACTCCTCAATTATTGCACTTCCCTGTTTTTTTGTATTGAATTCTTTATATAAATGCGATTCCAAAGCGTCTTCGAATGTTAACAATTCTTTTGAGCATTTTGTATTGTTGTTCACTGAATGAATTTATTTATTATTTTCTCCCACTTTTTTAAAATTTTGCACTTCTGAATTTACGATAATTCACAAATCGCACTTTTTGTCTGTTTTAGTACATGAGAATATTTTGAATCTTTGAAGTTTGAAATTTTGTTCACTAGAGATTTTCAGGAAGGAGAAGGGACTAACCTGATCCAAGGGCTTTTAAAACACATTGTTTACGATCTTCAATATAATTTTTGACAATATTGAAAGATGTCTGAAAAATGAAGATTATATTGAAAAACATTTTAAGAAAACAACTCACAATCAAAGTTTCATGACCAAAAATTGATTGAAGGTCTTCTTCTCCTTCTAAATCTGGCAAAGTGTCCAAACTCTCACGAAGTTCCTGAAATTTTCAATTTTTTAGAAACTGTGAATAAAATAGTTTGAAAAAACAACGAACATTGCTGGCGAAAATGAAAAGTTCACCAAATCTGGTGACTAAAAGATTCAAATCATCTTTTGTAGCTGTTGAATAATACGATGTGGCTTCTGGATAATCTGGAGCTGGGATTTGGCTGAAAATTAAAGAAAATTGGGTTTGAGATATTTGACCTCTGAATCTATATCCCACCTTTCTTTAATATTCAATTCCTCTTCAGATTTTTCTCGAAGTTGTGCAATTGTATAATTTGCAACTCGTAGTTCTTTTCGAAGTTTGGAAATTTCCTGTTTCAAACTATCGAATTGTCCAGGCCCGGGACCATTTCCAGAACCTTCAACTGCACTTCGAACCGATGATTTGTCATCTGAAAAATCATTTATTTTATGAATCTTCTAATGTTTAATTTTCAGAAAAGAATAATTTGAGTTCAACTCACTCAAAGATGATGGTGTTCCATTTGATCCTGATGCTGTTGATGATCCTGATGAAATTCGAGTCGAAGAAATCATCTCATCCGGACACATTGATAATAACTTATTATAAGAATTATTGAATACCACGATGAGTTGAGCAACAATTGGATCAAGTTGCTGAAGTGCAAAATCATCTGGTGCAGCTCTGGCAAACGCATTGAAAAGCCCAATGAGCAATTTATCAGAGCCAACGCGTTTGCGACAAATGCGCAAGAGAGATGTCAACTGAAAAAAATTCATTTCTCAACATATTCTAAAAAAGTTTTGAATCTTACATGTTGATTTTGAAAAACTTCTTCTAAAACACATTGAAGTGTTTCATTGAGTTTGAGTCTCTCAAAAACTTGTGTCAATCGCATACTCATTTGACGTTGATGGCTTTCTCCAGATGGATCAGTTGTGTTTGATTTTGGATCATGTTGAAGTTCTTTGATTTGAGTTGAGATGGCTTTTAGATTTTCCACATGTTTGACGAGTTCTAGATGAACAGCATCGGTCATTCTGAAAAATTGACGATTCTAGATTTTTATTTATTTTATCAGACAAGTTGCCCGGGAACTCTTCTGTAATATTCCTGAAATTTCTATTCTATTATTGCTTCCTTATTGGCTGTTTTGTTGACCTTGTCAAAATAATCCATCAGAGAAGCACACACACACAAATCAACAAAACACCCGTCTCGCCCATTTTTCATAACACATTCATTTTTGTTCCGAACCAAAAAACGCTCACCGAATCAATCCCGACGAGCAATTCACTAATCCGTGGCATCCCAAACTCTCTAAACACGTCTTCAGCTGATTTCTATCCTCGTGCGCTCTTTTCACTAAATCCGGGCATTGTCGTCCAATTATCGACATAAGACTTGCAATACAAGGTTGAAATTCCTTGAAAAAGTACATATTTTTGAGAGAAATCATGTTAGGTTAAGCCAATCTTACCGTAAACATGGCACAATGTTTCTTGACATTTGCCGTGTTGTTTTGCTCACAAAATGCTGTCCACCAAACAAGTTGGCAAAATAGTTGTTCACAACACATATCACGAATTGGTAATAACATTCCATCTTCAATTGAACGCTGAAAATGAAAATTGTTTTGGAAAGGTACAAAAAAATTTGGAAAAGAACTTACTAGTTCACATTTCAAGTAAACTGCTTCAAGTAATGGGAGTGTATATGGAATTTCTGAGACAAGTTGTTCAACGGGTGGAAGAATATTGAAAAGAACGGAAAGGTCATCTGTATTTTGAGCCTAAAAATAGTTGATTTTTGAAACTGTCATCTTGTTATTTTTTGCTAGGAACCTTGTATAAAACCTTAATCTAACCTAAGCGCAAAAAGGTAGAAAATAGTAAAAATAAAAAAAGAAACCTTTAGGTGATTATAAAATAAAAGTGATGAAAACATGAAGAGAGACACGATGTTAGAGAAGTAGAGTGTAGGTGAGAGAGTGTGGAAAATGAAGAGAGAAATATTGAGAGGTATGAGACGTATATTCAAAAAATTATATTTTGTGAAAGGAAATTATTGATCGAGTCAGGAAAATGTGGTAGAATTTCAACAGATATTATTTTTGTCATTTATCTGAAGAATATAATTTTTTCTTTGTTGAATTTATTTTGATTATTTTTGACGTAATTCAATTCCATCCAAGATACTGTGAGATCTGCTGAATCATTCCCACCTTGTGTAATTCTTTTTCTTTGATGATAATATGTACATATGTATTTTTATAGGGTTAATTAGATTATTTTGCAAATCCTTTCATTAATCCCATCCGCAAAAACATCTAAATAACCCATAATCTAGTTCAAAGAAGCAGCACTTTCACATGGTTCAAAAACTAATTCTCAATTTTTCCTCCACCAAAATTCGTGAAACTTCCAAGTCACTTGAAAAAATTCATTAAAACTATTCCCCTCAATTTCTTTTTTTTTCAATCAAACAAAAGCAGTTTTTGTATTCCGCTATTTCATTTTATTCATGTTCGCTGTCACCTTTCATCCCGCTACTCGATTAAAGCATTGATCACGGTTTACTTTTCTGATTAAAAAAAATGAAAAGAGAGGCTACCGGTCCATCCTATGCAAATGTTTGGGTTTTTTCGCGCTTGACAGTTTTCTATTTGTTGTCGGTGAAATTGATATATTTTGAGGATTTCGATGAAAAAAAAAGACTTTTGACCTTGATGTTTTTCAAAAAAATACTTTTAAAAAAATGACCGGAAAAGCCCAATTTTAAATGAATGATAAAAATTTTTTTGAAAGTAAAGTTTTCGGAGTAGAACCAAAAATTATAAACCCTCTAGATATCTTTTGTATTTTACCTGCTCTCTGAGGTGATTCAAAAGTTGAACATCAAGCGCCTCAACTTGACATGCATATTGAATCAAGTTCAATTCTTGTTTTGGCGGTTTGAAACTCCAGCCAGCCGATTTGCTCGTTTTATGCGCCATGCATACGTTATTCTCCTGCAAAAATCTTTTTCAAAAACAAAACAAAAAACACTTGGTTAATTAATTCATTAATGAGATGAGATGAAATGAAATGAACAGTGTGGATTAAAAGAAAAACAGAAAGAAAAAAGTGAGAATAAATGGATGAATAACACAAAAAGGATGTAATAAAATTAGAGACAAAAATAAAACCAGGGGAGGTCATGCTTCCACCCCACTTCATCTAATTACAACTGGACACTTCTTCAGCGATTATAATTTCGGAATTATTATTATTATTTTAATGAAAAGCATTTTTGAAGTGAAGTGTGGATATTTCAATGAATTACAAATATCTAGTTTGATATCTATCTTACAACGGAATAATTGAATTTTCAACACTTCCGAAGTCAAATGAACTTTGAGAGAGCTTGGAGTAAAAATTCTCCAAAATATAAAAAAAGCAAAAAAAATGATTTTAATTTATCTCCATTTATGATGGGTGTCTAAAAATGATCAAGATTCGCTAATTCGAAAAACTGAGACTGTTTTCCAGAAAACTATTCTAACGGAAGTTATTTTTCACAAGTGATGGGTTAAAAAACTACGGAAGACAAAAACTGGTGAGAAACTGGAGAAACTCGAGGCACATCTGTTTGAATATTCAATTCTTCGAGAGAAATGAACCTTTGTCTTATGTAGAGTCCATTTTTCAAGAAAAGAAAGAGGAACTAGAAAAATGTTAGTATAAATAGGAAGAGAAGCAGCAATTGAATTGATATAACTAATTATCTGAGAAAAATTGTATGTACGGAAAAATCCTGATTGTATTATGTATGTACATATAAAAAGAACAAAAATACACAATAAAATAACAATAACACGACGAAGAAGAAGAAGATCCTTGTAATTTGATACAGCGCAGCCAAAAAAACGATAATGTGTTGGATCAAACACATCAAATCCTCACCCATCAGAATACAAATGAAAAATGTCGATTTCATCATTATTCTTCTGGCGGGCCTGTCAATGATTATGTTTACATACTGACTACCGGTCCTAAGAAATCAGAACAGCAGCAGAAGCAGAAAAAAACGGGGGGACTTACGAAGGGCGGCGCTTACTTCGTCTTTTCAAAACAACAAAAGAGACGAGAAAAAAGGTTACTAGTAGTAAAAAAAGGCAAAAGTATCTTGTTATACACCTCTCTGGGTGTGACACAATGGTTGGTCAATTTGAATGAATTCACTGTTGTTATTGTTAGGAAAAGAAGTATTGTTATGAAACGAATTATTGTTATTTTTTTTGGTTGCTTTTGGTTTAGTCTTGCGGTTTTCACTGCGGGAGAGATTGGATTATTTTTATCGAGCTCGCTATTTTTTTTTGTTTTCTAAAATATTTTTAATTTTATATAAGGTTACATTTTCATGAGTTTGCAAAAAACGTGGTAATAAAATCTAACATAGAAACGAAAATCCAATACAACAAAATTTTTCAAATGAACATCACGTATTCAAAAAAAAATCACAACAAAAAGTGTGAAGTTTCAAAAGATTCTTTAAGAGAAAATCTTAATTCTCGAATCAACCCAAAAAATCTCAAGATTTTTTTCGAAAAGTTTTTTTCATATTTTATTCATGAAAGTGATCATCTTCAAAAATGTCCTTTTCAGATCTGAAGGTTCATTGATCTTCTCATTTATTTCAAAACTTTTCTCCCTCTTTTCGCCCGCGGAGTGTGAAAAAAGGCCAATATTTTTTGTTAAGATGAATAAAATGGAATGTAAGTAGCATCCAAACACTTGTGAAAATTCATTGAAAACTAAATTTTTCTTTTTTTTGAATGAATGAATGACGAGAAAATAGAAAAATTCCGGTGGCAAAAAAGAATATTGTGTTTTTTTTCTCACAATGTTTCGTTTTCTCGCGTAATCCCCGGTGTTTCGAACAGAATTATTGTGTTTTTTTTTTGTTCTGTTGCTTTGAGCTAAGCAAGACAAGAAACAAAAGACAATGTGCAAATATCAAGTTTATGTGAGAAGAATGAATAATTTGTTGCCAAAAAATCATTTCATGGTGCGAAAAAACTGGGGTGAAAAGTCAAGAATAAAATGAAATAAAAATTGAATTTGTGTTGAGTCACAAAAAGATATTTTTTTTAGAAATGTATTTTTTCTGAAAATGTCTGTCTTTATTGTTAGAAAAAGTCAAATTTCAACAGGAAAAAATACACGAGAAGGGTTTTGTGAATTCTATGAATTGCAAATTTTAAAAACATGTTTTTTTTTTGTTGAAAAAAAAAACGATAACCTTTGAAGGATTCAAGTCAGGAACACAAAAAAAAGACAACGATCTGTAACTAATTGGTTTTTCTTAAATTTGAATGGGATTCGCTGAAACATTTATTAAAATAATAGTTTTTGAATGGAGAAACATGATTAGATTTAAGACATGTGGAAGTTCAATGGAATAGTGTTCACAAGAAAAAAACTGATAGTGAACATGGGTTACAAAATAACAGGATAAAAATGTACGTTCCAACAAAATTCATTTCACTCTGAATTCACATTCAACTTATTTTCTCCACTCAAAGATATACATAAAGAATATTTCAAATTTCTGACACTTTTTATTTCATTTTCATCAAAAAATATTTAAAAAAAAACACTTCATTTATCAGTTTACAGTTATTTTTTAGGTCCAAATATTGTTTTGATTTCCAGACATATTCTGCGTAAGTCGATAGCAATAACTAACAGTAGCAGGAAAAAAACAATAAGCATTAAATAATATAAAATCAGTTTTATAGTATCGATGAACATTTTCACAAGAAATAAAACATCTGGAGGAAATTGAAGTTAGCTCCACACTTTGATAAATCTTGGGAACTGATGTGAGAAAATAATTCAAACTTTTATTTAAAAAATACAAAACATTGATAAATCAGAAAATATTGAATCAAATTTTCCCGAATGTTTCATCAAAATAACCTCAAAAAGAAAACGCTTTCCAAAAAAAATGTGTTTTGGAAATACTAATTGGTAATTTTTGGACACTGAAAAAAACACATCAAGGTTTTGAATTTCAGATGAAAATACTTTAGTTTGTGTTTTGAGGAAATTGGTTTTTTTTGTTCAATTTGAAGTTTGAAACTTTTTTCGATCTTTTAAATTACAATGGTGTTTGGGGTTCAGAAGGTGTTTTATTTGTATCTAACAAAAAAAAAACTTTTTTATCAAAAAATCTCTGAAAAACAAACAAATCAAGGAAAAAGTTATGTTAATTTGAAGCCTAAGAACGTGACAAAGCCACCTCCGCCAAAGTTACAGAAAATGTTTATTCGGTGAGTCCACGACCTTCCCTTGTGCCTTCAACGTGTGTTTATGTAAAAAGGATAACTTCCTAAAGGCACATCTCCTAAAGGCACATGTCAATTTGGCATAATCGAGAATTATTATATTGCACTTTTTCGTCTTTGTTATGCGTCTGCAAATTGAAAACTTTTGTAGATATCGAGTTGTATTATTGAACTTTGAAGAAAAATATTTCAAATGTTGCTCTTAAACATTGTAAAATAAAAAATGCTCGAAAAATTTGAAAACTCTCGTTCCTAATTAGTAGTTAATATAAATACATGTCTCGTATAATTAGTAGTTAATAAATACTCTCAAATACATTTCTCTCAACCTATTCACACGAGTTGAAATATTCTTGTTATGTCCTGTGTTTGTTTTATATGCTTCTTCTCGTTATTATTTTGCAATCATGGAAATTTAATGAAAAAAGTATCTCTTTCTATTACAAACTTGTAAAATATGTAACTTCTAATCAAAAAACGACAGGTGTTGGTGGTGTATATTTTACTATTTTGTTCCCTAACACCTCTTTATCTCTCTCTCACACTCGTTCAATTGCCGCCAAAATGTTTTGTTTGTTATGTGGTAAAATTGTTCTTTTTTGTTACATGATAATTTTGATTTATTTTTTTTCCATACTCTTTTAAATCAAAAGTTTTTAGGGTAAAATGGACATTCCGTTATTGTTTGTGAAAAATGCGTTTGACGCGCATTGCTCAACCATACAAGAAGCTAATCAAATGGCAAGATCTGAACAAAATCCACCAATATTCACTGCAACCACAACAATTGCTGGACCAAACTTTAATTGTTTGGAAAATTATAAATTCGAGATGAATGAGAATGGTGAAATTATAAATCTGGTAAAAACTTTTTCGCAAAACGAATTCAAGGGGAGAAAAGTTGTTCCAATGAATGTAAGTTTTTTTTAATTATTTTTAAAAATTTTCAACCCTTACACACAACAAATACATGTCAAAATCAATTAAAGACACAAGAAACACTGCAAAAACAGATTTCCCGCAATTATTTTCAAACGACAAATGCAGAATGTGCGCTCTAGCGACACACTGTGTGCAAACTCTTTCGAAATTTCCGTCGGCTGAGCGATTTCAAAAACAATTATTTTATTTTTTTTCACTTTTGCTAGACTCAAAATTTTTTCTTGATTTTCATGAATTTCGATTACTTGAAAGGTGTTGAGAATGAATAACAAACTCAATTTCTGCTCATTTCTAGGACCTCTTGTGTGTTTAAGAACAAACTGTTTCATGTTTCTTCAAAAAATAAAATTTCCAGGAATTCAACAATCTTCAATTCCCAAATTCTACTGTTCAGTCTATCAATGTTCAAAATTCCGTGCCAGAATCAACCACAAATAATACGGATTCATCAGAAGTGGGAATAGGCAATATTCCAAGCTGCATATTACCTGCTTTATCTCAAATGAACAGAGCCTCCAGTTGCTTGCAGACAAGTGATACAAAACAAAACCATGAAAAACCTTCTACATCAAGTGTTCCTTCAATTTTTGATGGAATTTCGAATCTCTATTCACCCCATCTAAAAAATCTTGAACAACTTTCTAACTCTCCAACGAAGAATGGAAGGAAACCTGATCAACCAGAATCAGAACCATCAACATCAGCAAACAATGTGATGAAAATGAAAATGGACTCTCCACCAAATATTCAATTGTTTCATAATAGTTTGTCACTTCCAATATTAAATGCCCAATACACTCCACCTACTAAAACTTTCTCTCAACAAAAATCATCAACCCCGGGAACAATTTCTAATGGGGAACCAATTTTGGATACAAACTTTCTGTTACCAAGTTTTGTAAGTACTATTATTTTTTATTTATTGTTCACAGTTCGAAATTATATTTCAGAATAACCTTGTTGCTATTAATCATCAACACTATTCTTATCCAACAAATCAATCAGGAAACTACCCGACTGTAGATCTCATTGAAAACAAATTATCAATTCCTAAATATAAACAAAATCTTTCTACTGATGTAGAAAAAACATTCAAAGAACCAGTGGAACACAAAATATCATTTGTTCCATTCAAGAAAAATATTGATCGGCCTGCTGAGATCATAACTATTGATGATGATGAAGAAGACAAGAGGAACGAAGTACCAAATATGGTAGTTGGATATGAACATTATTTGAATCCTATTACAATTAGCAAAGAAGTTGATGTCTATGAAGATTTGAAATTTGTCAAAGGTATGTTGAATACATTGATCTCAAATGAAATATTTGATATATTTCAGAATCAGAATACTTGATGTTGCACAAATTGATGGAAGATATAAATCATCCTGATGGTATCATTGATACATTGAAGTGTCGTTTATTCATGAAATTTCGATCCGAGTTTTCGTTTCAATATATTCCCAATGAAATTCTTCAAACCTGCATTGATATTATATTACGCAAAGCACTTTCTCTTGTTGATGGATCTTTGAGACATACAACAATGACTGTTAGGTGCGAATTTTAATGCAAAAAATTGTATTAATGATATAATATAATTTTTTCAGTTTTCATCAACCTTTCTTACCAAATCTCAAACAGTCGTTTGAAGATGTCACATATGAGTTTTTCAATGGACCATATTTGGTCCAACATATTGAGAAAATGCGTAGTACAATTCCGATGTTTCATATTAATGATATGTTTTTTGTTCAAGTAGATATTGGAGAACAAAAAGAAAGAGGAATCGTGAAAGGACATAAAACACTATTGAAAGCTGTATGTATCGGAATTGCGTATATTGATCAACTCGATGGTCAAAAAGAAACCAAGGATATATTTATTGAACTTATGACATCTAAAGCTGCCCAAAATAAAGCAGCATTGCAGTTACAAAGAAAATTAGGAGTTACCGAGCATGAAGCAAACGGAAATCTCAAATTGATCAGAAAAATTATAACTTCACTTCCTGATATCAAACTTACTGTAATATCCAGTAAAGGGCTACCGAGAAATTATAATAAATGCGGTGAAAAAAACATCACTGTGTCCGAAGTTAATGGAAGATTCGACATTTTGCTGCCATCTTAAATATAAATCTAATTTTTTTATTTTTTGAGTCATATGTTATGAAACTATTACTTGTGTACTCCAATATTTTTCATGTTTTTTTTTTGAAAAACAAATTTGAACTGAATTTTTTTCTCGCTCGTTGACATTGTTCCTAACCAATGAAGTTTAAAGCAATTAATTTGTTAACATTTCCGAAACCTTTTATTACATAATTTTTTGAAGGTCTCAAACGTCATCTCCGCTATTTCTAAATGTTTTGAAACAATTTCCTGTCCAGCTTTAAAGAGAAATGGCGAATAAAATAAAAAGCTCTCAAAAAATAGTAGTGGTTGGAAAATTGGCCTAACATAAGATTGAAAAAATACCGTATCGCCTCATTTGTGGATCCCTACAAATCCAACCGCAGTTCAGTGATGTTATTCAGAAAACTCATCATAACGTAAATGATTCCAACTTGTTTTTGAGAACAACAATTATTTAAATTTCCACAACATATATGAATTCGCTATAAGAAAGAAAAACAACAAAAAAAACCAAATCATCCGTATAAATCTACCTTTCAAAAAATTTATTTATGTATATCCCATTATCTAACAAATTACCTTTGATTCATATATAAATTCACGTAAACATCAGTGAAAGTGTTTCATCGTCTTTTTCCTTCTGCCAATGAAAAAAAAATCCTAAAACTCCCCAATTCTGTTAAAAAGCCAAACAGTTTTTCCTCTTGCGCAATAGTTTTTTTACACCTTGAAAAAATATTATATCATTCACTTATTCTTTCATCAATTATCTTGGCTTGCCAAGATTTTACTTTCTTTTCACTTTTTTCTAACTTTCACTTGGATTAATCAGGTGCTTTGAGAGAGGCAAACGAGATTTTGTAATAATATGACAACAGAAGCTTGTGAGGCAAAAAAAAAACGAAAAGACGAGTATTAGGGTATTTATTATAATAAGTGAAGATTTAGAAACAAAAAAAACACGAATGCTTGTTTTTGCCTGTGTTCATCATAGTTTTTTTTTCATGAAACAAACACTTAAATGTTCTTTTTTTTTTTCAAAAAAAGAATTCCTGTTATGATTGTTCTAGAATATTATTATTATTATTCGTCGTATTTTATTTTTATCCTCATATATTTCATTTCAGCTTCAGTGATCATTTTTTTTTCTTATTTCATATGATTGCGAACAATGTTGTAATTACAATTACAGATTCTTGGTATAATCTCATAATCCTAGGATAACTGGTTATATCTGATTGTTAATAGATAATTATTTATATATGTTGACAATATGTTGCAAGTTTTAGATCCGGAAAATTACATATCTATACAACTTAATGTGAATTTGAAAAAAGATTAAGATTTGTCATCGTTTTGTACAGATTACAAATTTTAAGCTTACATTTAGTGATTTTTATTATTAAAAAGGTATATGACTATTTTCACTAAAAGTCGGATCAATAATTTTTCTTCCAATATCCTAATGTGCTATTTTTTCGAGAAATTAAATTTCGTTGTGAATTTGCTTTTCTGAAACCTGATGTGAGAAACAAAGAAAACTAGTTGATAAATTGTATATCTGAAAATCTTCCCACTAGGAAAATCAAATCTAGACCAACTTCGCTAAACTAAACCAAAAAAACCCGACCCGACGCACGTTAACAAAAATCATATGATCGAAGTCGAAGTTTATACGGTGTTCACCTTGACGAATCAAATACAAATGAAAAGTGAGAAGCCAGTTCCAGTCGCAATCAGCATTTTGCATCTAATTTCCATATCAAACACCAATAAAACCACCTTTCCATCTCTTTTTTTGTTGTATTCATCCAATCATCAAAAACAATAGTGTAAACTTTTTGTACATAAGTACTTGTTCAAGAAAGAAAGACAACGAAAATCCACACACATATGGTTATTGTATATAAATAATGATAAAAAGGTTATTTATTCATTATTGTTATAAGAATAATGATAACCAGTTCGGTTCTGGGCATGCTTATTTTTCTTTTTTTTTTCATCAGACCAAATCAGTCAGTCACACATTTTCCACTATTCATTATAATTATTATTAATATTATAAAAGATGGATAGATTGTTTAGACGCCTATTAAGGTGGATTTCAACTTGAGATTTTTCTTTTTTGATATTTTATTGTTTGTTGGTTGGGCTTTTTTGTTGAACAAATAATAGTGATTATAAAGGTGCGAAAACTTGGAATGTTTTTGGGAAAACAACATTTTGGGAATGTTTTATTTTGTAGAGCTTGGGGCAGTGATTTAACTAAAAATTTATCGAAGGGCTCATGCTTTATTTCTCAAAATCTGAAAATTTTAACTACATTTTTTGGACGCCTAGAAGGTTTTTTTTAATCAAAATTTGATCTTTTTAGCTTTGAACAACCCATTTAAAGTTTATTTCTGTAATTCATTACATCAAAAAGCATTTCAATTTTCAGAAATAATTATTTTTGCATGGGTAATTTATTCCCAAATTATTTTTTGTAATTGAAAAATTCACGAAACTAATTAGATAAAATATTTTTCTGAAACACTGCAAAAACATTTGCAACATACGTTTGTTGATAGTGTTTTTGAGAGCTCAATTCTCATCTCCAAGGTCAATTAGAAAAAAAATAATGTTAGGCAGATTTTTTTTTGGCTATCTCATCATTTTCTCATCACAACGTTTGCCAATTTTCAAATTATTCTGAAAAAAGTTCTGATAACTTTCTTGAATTGAGGAAATTACTAACAACTTCAAGTCGAGAGCATTTTTTAACAAAAATGTTTTTTTTGTTAATTTCACAATTCTCAATTCCCGATTTCCTTTCTTTTACACTGAAAAAACCTGTACATTCAAAAGTGCGCCATTTCGAAAAAGTGCAACATTTTAAGAGAATGAATAAATCACTCATCCATCTGTTTTATATTTCCTGTTCTTTTTTATTCTCCCACTTCTAGTATAAAAAACATCGCAGAGTTTATCAAAAATTCAAAAACTCACTCATCCGTATTTATTTTCATCTCGTCTCTCTTTCTCCTCTCTCTCGCGTTTTCATCTCTTGTCATTTTACAGTCGAAACTCCGCCTTTTTCTGATTTGTCTGTCTCCACCTCTATTTTCTTCGTCGGTTTTTTTTGCGTTTCGTTTTGGTTTACTTCGTTTTGAATGAAGCATATCAAATTTTTGTTGAGTGGTTTAACAGTTGTCATTTATCATGTTTATTTATTTTGCAATAAAATTGGATAAATTTATTATTTTGATGATTGGTTTTTTTCCAGAAGAAAGAAGAATGAGGATATTGGATCAAGTTTTGATTTTGATTGCGGTGCCGGTGATTTTTGCACAGCAACAACAAACTGGCCCACATATTGTCAACTCACCCACTGCTCTTTTCCAGGTTAGAAATGAAAAGGGTCAGGAATTTTTGGATTCCGATTGTTTGATTGGAAATATGGAAAATTGTCTGATCTTTGTTCTATTCTATGAAATAGGTTTGCATTTTGAAGTCAAAAAATACAGTAATCTATGAAGTTGAGTACACTTTTTCGAAATACCACCTAAATCATTTCAATTAAAAAATTAGTTATGCCTTAAAGTTCAAAACTTTTGAAACGGTTTTGTTCGTTGCAGAACATCGAAAATCGAAAATTCTTCTGACTCAATTTTTTTCGGATTTTTGAAACGACCTTTAAGCTTTAGTTGTAAAAATTTGCATTTTTTTAATGAAAAAAAATAATCTGGAAACAAAACGTACAAGTTTTCAGTGTCACAAAACTTTTAAGTTGGGAAAAGAAACTTTCCGGAAGCCCAAAACCCGTTCAATTTTCAAAGATCAATAAAACAAGGAACAAAAATCGCCAACAAGATTCCTCCAAAGCATCCGTACAAAAATTAGAGCCAATTAAAACAACTTTCCTATATATTTCTTGTTATCCATTCATCCAAAAGTGTGTCCGAAAAAACTTCCGCTATTTCTTGATTGTGAACAAACAGAAAAAAAAACCAAAAACTTTTCTCATGCATGCGCAAAATGTTGTTCTTGTTTACAGGCTCGAGCTACCGGATCAGCTCAACTCGATCCCTGTCAATATATGCTCACTTTGTTAAATGGTCAGTAAAATTTCGGATACATTTCCCATGTGTATCTATTTTTTGTAGAAACTAGCCATGATTTGATGCAACATGAGACAAACACATTGGAGCAATGTTTATATTACTTTTTGGCGGGAGAAAGTGCAAAAAAATTGGCAAAGTGAGAAACAACATGTTTTTTTTTGATAAGATAACAATTTGGTTTACAAAGTTTGGATATATATATTTCAGATTAAACATCCCTCATCCTATCGCAACAATTCCACCAAATTATTTGTCCCAACAACCAGTGACAGTCAATTTTGCACAATTCACACTTCAACATTTTGAGCTGGTAGATCAAGAAAATATGTACATTACAAATATTCAATAACCTGTTTTTTTAGAACGAACACTTGAAAGATATCTCAATTCACGGATACCTCGAATTAAATTGGCATGATGATCGTCTTCTTTGGGATGAGAACACGTGGAAAAAGAACAAATTGACAATTCATAGTTTCCATCATGTTTGGGTTCCTGTTCTTGGATCACAAAAGTATGTTTGACCTCAACTTTTCATACGGAAAAGAAAAAAACACCCGAAATTTATGACGCTAACCGAAATGAAATGAATTCATAAATATTCGGGTCAAACTTATGTTTTTTTTTGCGTTTCGGTTAGTTTTTCAAAAAAAAAGTATATGACAATGAGAGATTTTGAATCAAGGATGGGAAATCAATCAGGAAAGATTCGAAAAAAAAAAAGTTATTGGGGTTTGAAAATTATTTTTTTTAGTATTGATTCATTTTCAATCCGCTTCAGCAACTCATGTGTATTTTTTCAGCCCTGAGAATCATTTGAAAAATGGAGATGCTTTTGAAGTTAGAAAAGTTGAAACAACAAATCAAGGAAACGTCACCGCAAAAGTTGCATTCTCCTTGAGAACTTTCTGCGATGACACAGATTTCGAAAACTATCCAAACGATGTTTACAAATGCTGTTTTGCTTTTGAACCACAACAAGATCGTGAAGTTATTCAATTTACCTCATCTGGTTTGCCAATATTCACAGATCCTAAAAACTTCCGTGATTATGGCTGGGGTGTTTCCGGAACTGTTCCAGAAAGTTTTGATGACCCATCTGAAGTTGCACAGGTATATTTTGTTGTTTCCCAAAAACAACAACAACAACAAAAAAACAATATATTATTTATTATTTTCACACCCCTCTTCTTATCCTTTCCCTTTTTAGCATATTCATCCACATCACTTGTGGTGTACTGGTTAGCACATCTGCTTACCAGAAAAAGGGGATGGGTTCAATCCCCACTAAATGTGTATGACGAAAGATATCCTTGCTCTGCGAGTGTTCTTGTGGCACATTGGATTCTTTCAAGAGCTATGGTATACGGGTTACTGTAGCGACTTGTTAGAAGACAATGGGCGGAATCAGGAATACGGTGAACAGCGATGGCCTCTGAAGCATTATCGCAACCCAAAAACCCCGTCTCCTCTATCCCTATAATCAATTATTTTTCAGCTCGGTTTCTGTCTCAACCTCAAACGTGCTCACTCATCCCTCAAAATTGAGCTCACAATTCCACTCTTCATCTCAACAGTAATCTTCTTATTGCCACCACTTTTCGGAAGTGTCAAGATTCAAATTTTCTTGAAAATGTTTGTTATGCTTTTGCAATTTTTGACACTTTTGATGTTCTCAACAAGAATCGCACCATTCCTCTCGAGCACATCAAGCACACCAAGACCAAGTGAGTTTTTATTTTAAAAAATTTTGTGCGAACGATGATTTTTCCAGTGAGATTCTTGGAAATTGCATTGGTTATCAATTTGACTTCTATCACAGTGTCAATTTTCATTTTCACCTGTATGAAAGTTAAGAGAACTCTTCCACCATGGGGAAAAGCTACACAGTTAGTTTATAGAAAATTTTCAGAAAAAATATTCTTGAATGACATCAAAAGTAAAAAAAAAAACATCAGAACTGTTTCAAGTGCTCAAACTATTTTTCAATTTAAAGTTATTTCAGAGCTGCAAACATTGTCAACAGTTTGATGGGAATTTTGAACATTTCATCAGTTGAAGAAGAATACAATTTGGATAAATTAGAAGAGCAAGAAAGCACAAGCACATATCACAAAGATTGGGTAAATGTGTTCCGCGCAGCTCATGCCGTCATAATGGCCATTCTTAGTTTGCTTATGATTTTCACATATATTGTATTATGTTTCTAAAAAAATATGTGTTTTTCTTTATATTTATTCACTTCCTGTATGTATATTGCCAAACATTTGCGCTTTATTATTTTCTATGTGTAGATCATTTTTGTTTTTTTCTGTATAAGTGTAGATTTTATCAGAGAATAAAATAAAATAAAATATATTTAATTTCATTCGTCAATCAATCAAGAAAAAAATGAAGAACAATCAAAAAAATTGCTAGAAAAAGTTAAAGGGCTAAAAGGAATGTATGGGGGTATGTCACGTTAAAGGGGGGAAAGAATACTGTAGAGAGAACGAATGAAATATGATTAGGACAGGGAAAATCACGTAACAAGAAAAAATATTCAAAAAACATTTGAGAAAAGGGGAAAACTCGAGAAATCAGAGAGAGAGAAAAATATTCAAAGGTCTATATGACGAGAGAAAAATGACCGGTGGTTGAGATCGGAACAATTCGGATGAAAAGTATAAGTAAAATTTTTGTGAGAGAGAGAGAGAGAGAAGAGAAGTTATTAGCATACAATTATTATATTATTATATCATGCCTAAATCATTGTTTTGTCATTTTCCTATTTATTGCGGATATCCATTCGGCAAATTACTTATTGTTGCGTCACCTTGCGCTTGGCGCGTTAGACGAGATAACAGAGATGTTTCGGGCAGTTTTGATCGATCCACATTACGGCTAGAAAACATTTCATATTAGAGATAATGAGAGATATATGGAAATCAGACATTAGAGAAACAAAGTTTTCTCAAAGCCTCTATATATTTGGAAAATGAGGTTTTATATTTGTCGGCCGAATGGTCTAGTGGTATGATTCTCGCTTTGGGTGCGAGAGGTCCCGGGTTCAATCCCCGGTTCGGCCCATCTTTTTGAACTTCTGGGGGGTGTTGTGGTTATGATTACCTGCAGCACACCTGCAGGTAATTTTTACAAGCCTGATTTTCCCTGTAGAATTTCAAGATTCCCCACTCACTTGATATAATCTTCAATATCTTTAATTTCAACATCTCCTCGTTTTCGTGCCGCCGAAGGTATTGTGGATGTTGTTTGATTGCGATTTGCATCACTTGCCGACGGCTCATCGGATATATCAACCGATAAAGTTTTCAGAGTTTTCTTTCGAAAAACATCAACTTTTGGCTGAAATAAATAATGTAAAATTGATATTAGAGTTTGCTGAACTCACTTTATTTAACTGGGTACTTCGAACGGGCGGATACATTGCAGTGACTATTGAAGAACTAGCTGGTCCAGCTGGTATTAGGAAAGGTGCGGTCTGAAAAAATTGAATTTTTGTTAGTTTGAAACAGAAAACAAAAATCAAAGATTAAAAAAAACTAACAGTTCCTTTCCTGATTGGTGTTGGTTGTTGCTGTTGTTCTCGATCTGCTAGAGTTGGCGGATCATCTTGAGATTTGAATAACGAATCAATGGTTGTGGTTTTCTCTTTTCTCGGCGGACTATTTTCCACAATTGGTATTTCAATTTCTTCTTCCAATGTATCATCATATAACATTGGCTGATCACGGTCTTTATCCTTTTGCGCTTTGCTATATCTATAAAGATCAATTGATGGATTGAAATTCTAATTAGCTTCAATCAAACTCACTTTGCGTTGAATGACATTCTTGAGAAATCTTTTTCACCACGCAGGATTCCTGTTGTTCCACGGCGCTCGCGTTTTGGCGGGGTTGAGCAAGATTGCAGCTCTTCGATTCCTTCCTGAAATATTGATTATTGTTTTGATTTTTTCAATTTTTCATTTTTCAGAAGCTTTAGAATCAAAATGAAAATGTAGGAATGGTATAGAATTCAAATTTTTGACAACCAGACTTGGTTAAAAACAAATTGCTCCATTTTTTTCCTTAAAATTATTCCAAAAAATATACCTGCTCTTTGATTGCTGTTGCTGCAATCGGATTTGCTGACATTGCTGCACCAGAAGGTACATTTATATCAACTAGAGGATTCGACATCAAAATATTGAAATGAGATGGTCGAACAACGTTGGAAGTTTTCTCATATTGATCACTACTTGAATAATCAGTTGTATCATCAGCATTACTTTCGGGTTCCGTTCTAGCACCATCATCGCCCTTCCTCCGATCTCGAACTTCTTTTGCGGGTGGTAAAGATCCAGCGCGAAGATCTGCCAATGGTTGAACTTGATATGGATAATTTGGACGAATCGCAGATCCTGCAGGTATTCTCGGATCCGAGTTATCAATTGATAATGGTAGTATTCGAGAATTTGCTGAAGATGACGATGGAAGTTGTTGTTGTTGTGAATGAGATTGTTGAGAACTGGATGGTTGTGATGTGCCCACATGAATTTCGTTGGTTATTTTCGACTCTAACATTTGTAATCGTGTGACTAAATTCTGGACTTGTTCTAAGAGTTCGCGATTTGCTGATAATAATTGATGTGTTCTAGATTGTGCTTCTAATCGAGCTGTTGTTTCTGATGTTAGTTGATCGCGGAGGAGTTGCACTTGACATCCAGCGACTTGAACTGATTGTTGTGCTTGATCTAATTGAGATCGCATTAGTTGCTGATTTAGCTGGAAACATAGATTTTTTTTAATTAAAAAAATTTTAAAAAAATCGAGTATGAAAAAAATGAAGCTTAAATTCTCTTACCTGTTCAAGAGTGACCTGTGAACCACTATCCACATGTTCTAAATGATGTTGCGCAGCAGGCATATTTAACTGTAATGTTGCATAAGGTGAGACCATAACAGGTGATGAAAGTCCAAAAGGAAGAGATGAAGATGATGGAAGAATACCCGACATTTGCTAAAAAAAAATGAGAATGATTTAACTTCCACAGAAAACATCAAAATCGAATTTCAACTTACAGGATAATACATAGGAACGTTTTGCTCTAACGATTGCATTGATTGTGGATAAGAAGGGACTTGGGCGGCCCAAGTTCGAGAATGTGGCAAAGTTGCTGATGGATATTGCATCGCCATAACTCTCTGAAATATCAGGACCAAATTATGTTGACGAAAAAAAAATAAATTGAAATTACCGGGTTATGCGAAGTTGCATCTGGCGGTAATGTTTGAGTGCTTGGCATTTGCGACGGTAACGTGTTGAATTGTTGTGGTTGAATGTTTAGAAGTGATTGTGCCGGTTGTTTTTGTTGATAAGGTAGAGCGGTTTGTGGTTGAAGTTGGGGAACAAGTTCAGGAGCTTTTGGTTGAAGAATATTGCTTGTTGATGTTGGGATTTCAAGCGCTTGTTCTGGTATGGCTGTTGTGTCGATTGCTGTTCCACCGGATGATGAGGCGGTAGAGGCTTTGCGAGGTTGAAACTGGAATGAGATATGAATTTTTTTTTTTTCAAAAGTAACTTTCTTTCAGAATCCAAAAAACTTTGAAAGGGATCTTACGGCATCAAGAAAAAAATCTCAAAAATAATATATAATTTCTCGCCTTCTCCCTTCTCATTCCATAAAACATGTTGTCCTTTTTCCTAATGTACACACATACACATAAAGCAGACATTAGAGAAACAAAGTATCCCCAACACCTCTATATATTTGGAAAATGAGGTTTTATTCTTGTCGGCCGAATGGTCTAGTGGTATGATTCTCGCTTTGGGTGCGAGAGGTCCCGGGTTCAATCCCCGGTTCGGCCCATCATTTTTCATTTTTTTTTCTTTTCGAAAAAAAAAGTTTTTTTCATGAGAGGAAAAACACCCGACCTAACTCAAAAAGATCATCTATCACTATGAATGATCTCGAATTTCAAGCTTGTATTCTATATCAAATAACACACGGTTGTTGATTTTTCTCTCGATTTTTTCAGAAAAAATAGGAAGATACATTGTAGGATAAATTAATAGAAGTAATTTGCTGACTGAGGGCCTGGATATTTAAATACAGAAATATAGAAAGAGCTTCTTGAAAAAAATTCCTATGTCAAAACTTTATGTGTTTAAAAATTTGTTTTCAGATTAAATTGTCAAAGTAGGGACATGAAAAATATACAAAATTTTTACCAACAAAAAAAAAACTGACCAGTGATAATCGTTTGCCATATAATGGTCCACCTAATGGTGGTCCTTCCATTGGCGACGAACTTCGACTCATTTCCTCTTTTCCACCACGTTCTTCAATAACATCCAACGCGGGACCAGCTTCGTCTTCAGATTGCATCGAGACTGAAATATTGTTGTTTTTTGTTTTCGTTTCACAAAAAATAATAAACAATAATAAGTTATTTTTTTGAAGTAAGAAAATAACAGTTTTGAGGTGTGAAATCTATCAATCATTCATTCTATCTTTTTGTTTTGTTTATCTGTTATAAATTGTGGATGAAATGAAAAATGAGAGGAGACGAGAGAAAGATACGGGAAAAAAACCAACTTTTACTCTTGGCTGCATCATCTTCGTGTTTTTCCTGCATTTGCTCTTGTGCAACTTTGTGACAAACCTGCAATTTGAAAATTTCATGAAAAAATCGAGATTCAAAAAAAATACCTCGAAAGCTTGTCCAATCGTTCGAACAACTCGCATTGCTTGGCTCTGGAAAAAAAATGATTTTTGTTTCGAGATTTTTTGTTTCAATGTGAAACCAGATGTGTTTTCTTGGCCTTTGGTGATTTTAATATTCAGATTATTTCTGGAACATTCTAGAAATATTTGAAGAATCAAAAGGGCATTGGTGTTTTCCTGTTCCATATGGATTGAATAATATGTGTTGTGTGTAACAAAAGAAAAACGAAGCGTGGGTTGTAAATGTGGTGCGAATATCGGAAACTGGCCCTGATTAGTTGTGAATTTTGGAGGGGTTGGAAGGAGCAAGAATATGAAAGGGTTTATAAACTTCAAATAAGAATTACTAGATTTTCCAAATTTTTGATGGAAGTGAAATCTCCAAAACATCTCAAGTTTTTGAAAAATGTTCCGAAGCTATTGATAAAGTATTACAGAAATTTTGTTTATTTGGAAAAAATTAACATCTCTATTTTTTCGTAAAGATTCAAAAAATGAGAGACTTCAGTTTCATTTCAAAAAAAAAAAAACAATGAAAACCATATTTTTGAATGTATCTTAACCTTAGAAGTAATAAAGAGTATTTCATTTTTTTAACGCAAATCTCAGATTTTCGGTATTTTGAGAAATTTAGAATTCAATAAAACATTATGATGTGAATTTCTGAAAAGCTATGGAACCTAATTTTAGAATACAAATTCTGAAAAATTAGCGTGCTCATTTTAGAAAAATAAATCTATAGTTTTTACACATTATATATGTAGATTACAAAAAAAATACTGTTTGATTTTCAAAATAACCTTACGATTTTTTCGGAATCATGTCTCAATAAAACTTCGAGATTACTCAAAAAAGTTTTTTTCATTTATCGAAACTTTCAAAAATTACACCAATACACATATTTTGCACAATCCATACCTCTAACTGCTGATTGCTAATATTCGATGCCGAAGCTTTATCTTCGTCTCTAGACCATGTAACAAATTTAGTTTTAATCGGTTTTCCGCCCGGTTTTGCCATTAATCGTAGATAATAAAATCGTTTCTCCTCGCTCATTTCAGAGCATTCGTCGGGATCAAACCGAATCATGATTTTTTTGTTTTTGTCTTTGTTTTATATAAACAGCTCACGGCGTTGTCGACATCAAATACTGTATAATCATAGTCGCCGTTGATCTATCTAGATATATATATAATTTCAAGAAGAAAAATTGAAACAACACGAAAATAACTGAAGAATAAAGAATCAATCGACAGCAAGAGACAGCCAAGACAAAAAAAAACGATGTGAAAGAGGAGCAAACGATCTTCTTTTTTTATTTCTTCTTTTCGTTTTGCTCGTGTGTTTTTTCGTCGTCGTCGCAAAAAAATTTCCAAACGCAAAACGGCAGATTTTCTCTCCCTTGCGGGAAATAAAGAAAGAAAGAAAAAAGCAGCTGACGCGTTTTGGCTCAAGACTGGAAAAACGACGAGAAAACGCGAAAAAATGGCAAACGAAGTGAGTATATATGAAAAACGAATGAAGAAAGATCGAAGTAAGATCAATGTGAGAAAAAAAAACACGAGGGATTTTTTTTCGTCAATTTATTGCAGCTAGAAATTATTTATATGATTTTTCTGGAGTTTGAGGTTTGAAAATCAAGAAATCTCGAAAAAGTTTGGAGTTTGACATGTTTCGAAAAGTTGGACACAATTTTTACTGTGACCTTGAATAGTTCTGCAGAGCAAGGTCATGCTCATTCAAAATAGGAGAATACTAAATGGGGCCACCAATTGGAGCTAAAAGTTCGTGATTAACGTAACCATAGAAAAATTATTCACGTGGACGTTTTTCATTTTTTGAAATCCCAATCGAGAACAGATTACAAAATGTCTTTGAGACATTTTTTTCTGTTTAAAAAATCAAAAAACTTCAAAGATTAGAGATGATAAATCATGTATATTTGATACTTTAACATTTGTCATTTTTTGAGAACATGACAAGCCCCAAAAAAAATCCAGCTTTTTTCTCGCAAAAAAAAATAACAATAAAAAAGAAAGGTCAGAACACACTACACTAAAATCTTGCGTCCAGTCTAGTCAGAAACATAAAAAAAATAAAGAAAGAAAAGTGTGGAAACAAGAGAGATAGTCCAATTTATCACAAAATGAATTGTTTCAACAACTATTTGACACGTTGCTTTTATTTTTATAAGCCTGACGGATGAAAATTTTAAAACGTTATATAAAAATCAAACATTTTCAGAATAATAAAAAGTTCTGAACACATAGGTTTTTTGAGAAGAGGCGAGTAAAAGACAAATCACTATTAAAAACGAAAAGAAAAGCGAAAAATTGTGACGTCAATGCTCACAAGAAATATCTGGAAATAATAGATGATAAAAACACATCTCTTTCTCGTCTCGAAATCTATGAGGACAACAACAAAAAAACAAAAATCTATACATCACAAAAAATATATAGAATGGAATCGATTTCTCTTTTCTTCACAGAGCAACAAATATCATCAGAGAAGACAACAAGCAAAGAAAAAAAACGAAGTTAGTAAGTGAAAAGTGGTGAACCAACTGTTTCTAATTATTATTGACGGGCTCATCTATCGTGAGCCCGCCCAAAACGTTGACGATGAAGATGAAGAAGAAGAGGAGAGTTGCAAGAGGAGAAGATGAAATGATAAAATCCGAAAAATCAAAATAGAAGACGTCTCGAAATAGTTAAAACTTTCAAAAAAATACAAATTTTTTTAAAAACTATTAGTTTGATCAGCAAAAAGCCTAACTCCAACTGATCTTTTTTTGAAAAAAAAAACAAATGATTTTTTTATGAATAAAAAAAAACATTTTGAACTTTGATATATATTATTCACACCTACAAAACAAAATATTTGAAAGACGAGAAAAAACATTTGTCAATAGGGCAAACTTGCGCGTTTTTGCTATTTTTTTGTTAAAAAATATTATTTTGAACATAGTATTATTTTTTTTTTCTGAAGTTTCTGAAGTTTAACAAAAAAGCTGCATTTCCTAACAATTCTAATCGTGATGAAAAATTTTTATTCTGAATGACCTTTCCCTGAGAATTTCCGAAAAGTCAATTTTTTTTCCAAAAAAAAATGTGTTTCTTATTCATGCGTTCCGGAAATCATAAAAATCCCATTCCATTTTTTATCCCAGTTCGAAAAATCAACCACAATTTTGATATTTTCGAAACGAACCTTTTTCGAACATTTGAATACATTACACTTGAATGTATTACTTGCTCCATCTCTGGCAATATATGAGAATATTTGAAGATCTTGCGAATCATGCGAAACGTAGAATATTCGATAAATCGGGTGAAACATGACGAGCAATTTCGATTCGTCCCACGACATTCCCTTCTCTTTTTGTTTTTTTCGCTGCAGGACCACTTTGACACCATCGACGGATACTGTAATGTCGACCGGTCGTTTTTTGATGCCTCGAGCTTTGAATTCGTACTGGAAATTTGGAAATATTGGATGAACGTGAGAAGGGATGGGTAGAAGAACTTACTCGAACTCGTCGCATTGCTGCCACAATTTCGATTCGTGTTCCTGGTCGTGGGATTTCCATGCTCCCGACATACTGAAACATTTTTGATGAGAAATGTGTGCATTTTGAAAACATTCAACTGATCTCTTGATTTTTCAAAACAAAACTTGATTTTGATAATGCATTTTGATTCCCAAAAAAAAACTAAATAATTTCTGGGTTTGGATGTTTCACAGAAATTCTAGAAAACTTCTTGATTATCTTCGAACCTTTGTTGGGTTAAAAAAAAAGCTCTTATCAATTTCAGATTCTAGGACTCGAGAAAAGTTCTTCTGATCTTCTCGCATGTTCACTCTTCGACCCCTCACATTCAATTTCTCCCGCCACTGATCGATGAACATTCAAATTGGGCAACAATTCAATTTTTCGCCCTTCCTTTTCCCTCGACAAGCCAACCAAAGGAAAAAAAAGAGAAGAAAATACGTGTCGACAAGTTATATTTATTCCGTTTTGCGTGCGCATCTATTTTTTCTCGCGCCCAAAATCATCCCCTGGGGCAAATCTTGATGATTAAAAACAAGGCAGAAGAAAAAAGTATAGCCTTGTGGGAATGTGAAGGGGCCATCGGAACAAAAAAAAACACAACAAAACGAACCTTGGCTTCGAAATGGATTCCGTGCTGATAGGCAAGTTCATTATGTAGTGGAATACGGCAGTCGTAGACATCGTCGGCGATGATATCGTACGGTCCATGCTTTTTCCGCACTGGCATTCTATCCTCACCTCTGAAAACAAAATCTCTTATTCTAACAGTAAAAAAGCTATAATTCTGAAATTTTATGTACATTTTTCATATAAAAAAGAGTATAAGTCATGTTTGTACATAAGAAGAATACTTGAATAAATGAGCCGATTTGATACAAATTGTCTAGGGAATACTGAATCGCATAGCAAAAAAACCACGTTTTTATGTTATCTTGACTCGCGTAGTTTTTTTTTTCTCGCGAAAGAAACCAACTAGAAAATTGAGAAAAATGTTTGTGTTGAAAAATTTGAGTTATTTATGGGAAGTGAGAATTTATTGTTTTGAAGAGGTTCGTAACAATGATAATTTCAAATGTAAGTATGAACTGGAATTGATAACAAAATAGGTTTGAGAACTTTTGGTTGGGAAGAGCTCATTATTGAATCGGGATAATTTTTGGCTCTCTTATTGTAAATCAGATAATTCAAAATTTTCGAGATTCCTGAACCTTCGAAAAAAAATTGAAGTTTCGGCATTCTGCTCTAGAAAAAAATCAACTCAATTTTATAAATCGTCAACTTTTTAAATAAAATCCCGATCGGGTAGTTTTTCAGAAACAGTTTGGAGTTGCTGATGAACTTTTCAAGATTTTTCAAATGTGGAAATAATTTTTGAAAATTAAAAATTATCATGAAGTTTGTTTTTGGTTCAGGTTTACCTGTTTTTATTTAAAAATCTCACTTGAAAAATGTTTTGACTTTACTGTAGCGTTAGTTCAAATTTGAAAAAAAAAACGGATATTATCTAAATTTAAGGCTCACTTGTTGATTTTTGTCCCATTTTTTCAATCATCCCAAAAAACCAACCTCTAGCTGCATAGCGATAATACCAGCTACAAGCAGCTGAACATGGCCAACACCCGCAAATAACTACACAATGAAAAATAGTATGAAGAAGATCGTTTGTTCGCTGAAAATGTTCACTTTTTTACTCAAAAACAAACGAAAATCAAATTGACAAAGAGTATCATCAAGTCTCAGAAAAAAAGAGAAAAAAACTATTTTAAGAAAAGCACAAAAAAGTGACTTTTTGATGAATAAATCATCCCAAAAAGACGATAAATATCAAATAAGTTAAGGAACAATGAATGATGGGATGAGTAAGAAAAGACAAGAGTACAGCAAAAAAGATGGAGCAAGAAGAAAAAACATAAACGTTTTTCGTTTAAAATTGAATAACAAGGTTTTCAAAAACGGGCCGAAGAAAATTGGAAACTGGTAAGTAAGTATGATGAAAAGTTTCCATAGGAAACGAAATATGATTTGCGGAGTACTTCTTTTACGCCAAACTTGTAGTTTTTTTCTTTTTCGAATTTTTTTGAAAAAAAGGACAAAACAAGTATAGTATAAAATAAAATCAGAGAAGTAACTGAAAGAATAGAAAAAAGAGTGAAGATTTGTGGTAAATAATTCACGTCAATTTATATTTTGCGGGAGGGCAAAAGCACAACAATTAGTGACTTTTTTCGCCGCTTCTTCATCTAGGCTACGCACTTGTTGCTGATTGACTTATGCGCATCTCATGCATATTCCTAACTCCTCCCATTCCTTTTTTTTTGCTACAAACTTCTACATATGTTTTTGCTGGTACGTAAGCCTAATGTTTATGTAACTAAAAAAAATGAAAAAAATATTCCGAAAAAGAAAAAAGAAACGAGCATAACATAACATAACAAAAGAACGAAATGAAATGAGTTGAAGAAGGAAAAAAGAAAAACTGCCGAAAGCAAAGAAAAGTTGAAAAAATACAAAGGCTGGTACTGAGTTCCGCATTCGAATTTGTTATTCGGACAAGTTCGAATATTCGATTAAAGTGTATCAAAAAAGGATGGGGATACTGTAGTTGGGATTGGAGAAACTTGATGTTTCCGGTGCAAAACCGACAAATCGTGTCAGTTTTTATTTATGGCTGCCCTTTCTTTAAAAAATTTAAATTTTCTGGAGATCGAGAGATTCTCAATGATAACTGAAGGACTCATAATTTTTCTGAAAAACTTCAAAATGTGTAGTCCGATTCCAAAAATAATCGGTTTTATTTCCAGAATTTGACTTATTTTCATAAAAAAGCCTATTTCCTTCAATAATCCATGATTTATCAACTGACGTTCAAATAAATACAAGAAATAAATCAGAGATAAAGATCAATGAAATCGAAATTTAAAAAAAATCAGCTATGGAAGAAATCAGACCACACTTAATTTTTTATTATTATGCAATGATTTAGCTGAATATCTGATATTTTCGATTTTTCACCTGGGAAAAAAAGAAGGTTGATAAAACAGTGTTGGGATCTTTGAATAACTTGTTCATTTAACTGAACCGTGTTGAAGTTTCAAATAATTTTCTGATTTTTCTGACATTGAGAGAACACATATAAAACTTTCAAATTTTCATCTGTAAAAGGATCTCTGGATTTGAAATAAATACATCTGAATTTCTTTGATAATTTGTCCTCATTAGGAAATTTTCATTTTTACAATCTAACCCTTTGTTTTCCTGGTTTAAAAAACAAGGTGTCAAAAACAGGGATATGACAAATATTTCAAAAAACTATTGGAAAAAATACACACAACAACAAAAAAACAATTTAAAATCATGTGGACAGAAAAAAATTTGCAACAAATTGGGTTGAAAAAAGAAAAAAGCAAGACAGTAGAAAACGAAGAAGGCAGACAAAAAGGAAGAAAATGAAAAACGCCAATGGCTTGATTAGCTACTCAAAAACGTTCAAGAGTCTATTCTATTTTTCATTTATTTTTAGGATGATTTTTCATAGAATGTATAGAAGAATCCACAATAAATTTGTGCGATTCGGGAGTGAGTAAAATAACAAAGAAAATAACAGAAGAGCAAAAAAAAAGAAAAAAAACTACATAAATGAATGAATGAATAAATGAATGGATGGATGAATGGACAACGTGACTAATAAAAAATGGCACAAAAAAGAAAACGTTGACTTTCTTATTGTATTTACTGAAAAGGTGGGTACTAACCTTTTTCATTTTCTTTTTAGTTTGAATTTTTGATCTACCTTTTTTACGAAACAAAACCGAGCGAAGAATGTTGGAGAGGAACAGGAACATTGATAAATTTGAGAGCAAAACAAGAACAATCTATTTTATCATGTTTTTTTTGCAATGAGACAAATCGGTGAGCATTTTGCTGCTAACCCATCAGAACAGAACAAAACATGAAGTATAAGAGCAAAAAAAAGAGAAAGAAAAATGAAATATGGATATAATTAGTGTAATTTTCCAATTCTCTAGAGAAATCGAAATTTTTGGAAAATATTGGAAAAGGTCGTGCAGAAAATATTGGAACAAAGTTGATTCTGGTGAAATGACAAAAATAAATGATTGGAGCCAATGATTTGAAATAAATTAGGCATATTGAGGAATAATGGTACGGAAAAATCATGATCGGTCAGAGAATATTGCAAAATTAAAACAAAGCGTGAATCTGGCTTTTGGATAGGAAAAGGTGAGAACTTTAGAGTTGAAAAAAACTCTAGAATAGTTTCATATTTCGAGTGAGAACATTAGATCAAATTAACAGAATTTTTTTTTTTCGTAGAATTTCACAACATTATTGTAGAACCTTTCTCTGAAAATTTCAAAACTCAAAAATCTCTCATCAAAACAATGTTCAAATCAAAATTACGAACATTTTAATTGCCTCCCACCTGCACTTCTGTTATCTTTTTTTCCCTTGCCGAATCATCTCATTTAATTCCTCAATTATCACATCCTCAACTCAACCTTGCCGCAAAGATGACGTAAATCGAAAAAAAGAGCAATAAACAAAAAACGATGTGTTTTTGAGCCAACTTAACTTGCTACATGAATTCAATCAATCATATCTATTGTTTCACAAAAAGAACTAACAACAAAACTCAACTGTGGCTCGAAAAAAATGAAAACATATTGGATGTGAAAGATGAGTGAGTGAGAATGAATGTATGATAATAATTATATTGGAGCAGGAGCAACAAAAAATGAAAGAAAAAAAAAAAAAGAAAAGACACACAAAAAAATTGTCAAATCATAAGTGACAGCAGTGGAGGAAAGATGAAATTGTGTACTATTTTTTCATATAAGCACTTTAGGGACTCTTTTTTTTTATTTTCGCACATTTCAAAAACTGTCTGTACATCAAGCGTTTGAAAAATAAGAGAAAAATAAAATGAAATTCCAGTACTCGACAATTTTTATTACGAATTGTTCTCATCACGCGAGGTTTTTTCTTGTTGCACTTTGAAGATTCTTGAGAAAAAACACATTTTTTTGGAATTGGGAAAAATAGACAATTTTAGAATTTTCAACAAAAAGAATGACGAGTTTTGAGGGAGCGAATGAGTTAGTTAATTAATAATATATAGATGCTTAATTGAGAAAGTACGATAAATTGACAGACCATGGGATATTTGAAGGATGGGTTTGAAAGTACACAAAAGTTGAAAATAATAAACGAAAATTTGGAGTATTTTCAAGAAAATTCAAATGATTGAAGATTTTTTGAATACAGAAATCTTGAAATTTGAAAATCGAATAGAATTGCTCAGGCCAACCAAAAATGCCTCACATTCTGGAAAATCCTTGTTTTTTTTTGAATTTCATCTTGAATGAATTATAGGAAAATTTGTGATACAGACTATTCAAAAAAATTAAACTTTTTTTTTTCAAAAAAAAATTCGAAAATACATAAAAATTATCTACAAATTATCAAAATGTTATAGATCATTTTTCTCACCCGTAAGATCAAAATAAAAATTCTCAAAGATCAAATTCAAAAATGATAAATCAATATTCAGGAAATCTCAGGATAATAATAGAAATGATAATAATAATGAGTTCTCAAAAGAGCAAATGGATGGAGACCAACAGTTGCGTCATCATTTTGATCAATCCACTTTGACACCTATCACATTTTCACTCTCTATTCAATTTTATTTTTACTATGCTTTTAATTATCATAATTGCCATGCTCATAAATTTTTTAACTTAGAAATAGCAGAAAAATATGAAAAAATGGATTAAAATTTTCAAGATAAACATTTTAAAAATGTATATTTCTTCGTTGAAACAACTGTTTTTGTTGTTTGTGTGAAAATTGAGTATTCAAAAATTGACAAAGGTCAAGATGATAGGATATTTTAAATGAGATATTGTTTTAAATTTTGTGAGTCAGATTGAAAAGAAAACATTGCGGGTGAAATAAAAAAAAACAAAGAACTAACTAGATTTTTTGAAAAAAAAAATAAACTAGAAAGATTTATAATTAAGATTAGAGTAGAAATTCATTCATTGACAATTTTTTTTGTTAAATTTGAATTCTGAGAAATGAAAATTGGGAGAAAGAGTGTCCATGGTGAAGGTTTATGTGTAATTCAAATTTATGTTTTTTTTTTGAGAAAAAATAAGAGTTTGGATTTTTTGTTGAAAAAAATGAATAGAATAAAAAATCTAGTTTTTCTTCTAATCGTAAGGTTTCAGAAAACTAAAAACGATTCCGATTTTTAAAAAAATTATGTCAAGTTTTTTTTAGTTGAAACCATTTCTGAATGTAAGGAATTAAAAAAAAATGTTGACAAAGCAAAATTCAGTGGGGAAATTCATCTCAATTCAAAATTGTAAAAGTTTGCAATCGGAAATAAAATTAGCACAGTCTCAATTTTTAACTAATACATAATCAAGTCCAAAGCTCGCCTTATATTCGAAATACAGAACAGAGAAACAGTGTGTATATTCGAGAGATGCAGACACGAAACAGAGAAAAAGTGTGTATATTTGAGAGACGCAGACAGCTAGACTTTGGACGATATATTTTTGCATTTTTTGTTAAATTTTTTACTTTAAATACCGCGTACTTAATTTTTTTTCCGGAAATTAGAATTTTGATACAAGTTGATTGTTTTTGGGATCAGAATTTTAATGAAGAGATCCGAATGAAGATCATAATTCAACTACAATTATGTTGTCCTTGTTCACTTTTCAGAAAAAAAAACGATAGAAATTATTTAATTGTTTTAATTTTATTTTTGACATTTTCAAACTTCTACTTCAAGGTTTATTGATGAATTGTGTTTCATTTATTACCGATAATACATCTTAAATAGTTTGCATGATATGTATATATTTTTTATCACTAATCAATCAACATCGAGGTGTTCTTTTGATTGTTTTCTCGTAATTGTATCAAGACACACAAAAAAACAAATCTGCTCCAAGTGGACACCTCCTCGAATCATATTACACATTCATTTTCTCTTCACACACACATACACACTGACAATTTGGTGATGATTCGTCCGACCCACCAGGGAAAGAAGAAATGTGGAAATGTAGGAAGAAGAAAGCAAAAGAAGAAGTATAAAGCAAGACGAAAAGAAATTGAACGATGTGGAACGGGATTTCCGAAGCTCAGAAAAGCAATGCAAAGAAAAAAAGCAAAAAAGATATGTGATATTATGAATGGAAAATTGATGCAACAATTTTTAATTAATGACACATTAAAACAACAACACATTAATTTCAAAAATGAGAATTGAAATTGAAAATTCACTGGAGAAAAAAAATTCGGAGCAATATTGCTGGAGATGTTGAGAAAATGATGGATGGTAGTGTTATTTTATGAAAAAAAGAGATAGGTGAAAGGTATTTTTATTGATTTCCCGCAAATTAATTGGAATTTGAAAACAACTGAAACGAAATTTTTCTATCTAGAACGCTCAATTTTAAATTAAAAACATCTATAAAAAATAAGAACAAAGAAATGAAACAATTTTACGATCGTATTTTGATTTATGTTGCTTTCAAAAATATTGAATTTCACCAGCGAGCACACAAAAATTTGAGACATGTTTTTTCAAGAATTCTGCCTAATTTGTCATTTTCTTTGTTTTTCCGACTTTGATTTCAATGTGGAATTATTCGAGATTATTTTTTGAAAAAAGAACAAGGAACATGATGGAGTTCCAAAAAAACGAACATTTTTTTTAGTTCTTGGAAAACAATTTTGGAACTCAAAAATCAGTTCACAAAAACCAATAGAGTTGAAAAAAGAAGAAAACATCTTCTTTTCAGTGGTGAAAAAAAACGGATCGAGTGACTGGTCAAAGATGCAATTTCAACGGTCATAATTATATAGTTCCAGAAAAATTGATTGAGAATCCGAGAGTTTTGAGAATGAATTTTTTTAATCTTATAGAAAAAATTACATAATGTTTGATGGATTTTGAATTAAAAAATGGAAAAATCAGTATCCTTCAAAAAAATATCGATCAGAGCCGAGAAATTTTGTAAAACCATATTTCTTACTAGAAATGGTTACTAGAAAAATTTATTCTTCGTTAAAAAATATAAAATAGAAAAAATTTTAAAAATTCAACTGGCCATTTTTTTCTGTCGCTTCATTTTCAGAAAAATCCAAGCCATACAGTAAAAGTTAAAACGGGTTTTACACAAAATCTGTGCTGCACAAATTTTGAAAGTCAAACAACACTGATCTTAAAAATTTCAAAATTCAGTAAGACAGAATCTTTCTCGTTTTTAAAAAATTTCAGGTCAAAAATTAAATTTCTTTTTTACAGTACGACTTTAATTTTTTTTTAATTTGAGACATTTGGTATTTTGGATTCATCAGAGATTTTTTTTTCAAAAATTTGAATATTTTCAGTTTTTATTTACGAAAAATGGTTCAACTGGAATTACGCAAATCTTTTTATTTTAAAGAAAAATTTAAAATTTAGAAAAATTTTCAAATATCTTTCCAAAATTTAAACCTAGAAAAAATTGAAATTTTTTGAGATACACATTTTGAAAAACATAAAAACTTGGGTGAAAGTGGTATGTAAATCATAAGCTGACAGACAGACTGGCTCAAACATGTTCCTTCATTTATCTTTTCATCTCTGTTCCCTCTATCATTTTATCATGGTCCATTCAGTTAGAGACAAAGAAACACACATAGAATAGCAAAGAAGAAGAAAGTGGTCCGCAAAACAATATTGGTAGAGTGTAGAGCAATGAATAATTGATAGAAGATAGGCAAAAAGAGGAAAAAATTGAATGGAAAGAAAAAGAGAACAACGGGACAACCAAGGGTACACCAACTGTTAATTTCGTTCTTTTCACATTGAAAAAATGATGAGAATGATGATGACTTTACCCAATCGGACAACAACAACAAAAATTAACACTTTTTTAATTAGTCTTCATGATCAAGAGGTTAGAAACATGATTTGAACTATCAGAAAATAGTGTAAGGGTGTTTCGAAAAATTCGAAAAATTCACTTGTTGTTTTCAGCTTAGGCCTTGATAATAAAAAATGTTATAAAATTATCGATGAATTGTTTTGACCGTGTTCAAAAGTTTCTACAAAATTACTCTTGGAAGGTTTTTGTGATTTCATTCTGAACTACAGTAATTTACATATTCATTCCTAATTTTTCTAGAAAAGAAAAATCTACAACAGTTTTGAAATTTAAGTTCGAGGAAAAAATACCTGTACTTATTTTCAAATTGATTGAATAAAAATATATATTAAACTTCAATAAAGTATCAGCACGTGGTTTTTAATTATTATCCGACGTTAAGATTCTGACATTTTTAGCTATTTTCAGAAGATAGATGAATAAATGAGCATTTTTGTAGAATAATTTCAATAAAGCTCGATGTGCCTCATAAAAAACTTTTATTTTTTGTTGATTTATGGGAATGAGACTGACTGTCACATTTTTTAATGCTGTGGGTTTTGATGTTTTAAAAAATGATGCTCGAAATGAATTTCAGATTAAAAATGATCGAAGCATTGGATAACAATTTTGGTTTGTGAACTTGCAATGTATCCTAGATGCCCTTTTCTAGATAACAGTTCAAGCTGACCTCAAAAAAATAAAAATTAGTTCCTCAATTTCTGAAAACATATAAAACAATTTCAAAAAGAAAACAAACTGAAGAGAAATGAAAATGAGAGATGAAGCGATCAGTCGATGTTTTTATAATAATCATAAATTATCAACATTTCATGGTAAATCATCAATTTTCTCGTTATTTTTATGTTTTTCCACTAGATCAAAAAATATTGCGAGAAAATATTTTATTCCAATTATTCATAAACAAAGAAGCATGCAATTTTGTAGAAAAAATAAGAAGTGGTCAAGAAAAGTTTGAAAATCCAAGAAAAAAACATTTCAGCAAGAAAAACATATGAAAAAATAAATCTTCCGACTATAATAGAACATCGGATATGTGTTGTTTTTGAAGAAGCAAAAATAAAAATAAGCTATTTGGTGATAAACACCGGAAACGATTTTTTTAGTTGAAAGAAAAGCTATGACGATTCTTAACTGGTTGAAAATTAGAAGAAAAATATGATGAAGAAATGAAGAAAAACCCGAAAAAAGCGAAATTTTCGACTATTTTTTTTAGAATTTGAATTTGGAAGATGGATTTAGAGGTGAAAATAAAATAGAGATTTATTGTTCCGATGATGTGATGGTTTCAGTTGTTGTGTGTTCTTGAATTAGTGTTGATTCACTTCCATCCGCATGTTTTGTAATGGTTGTGGTTTTGATGATCACAGTGTCACCATCTTGAATTGTCTGAAAATAATTTTATTTTTATTTTTAATTTTTTTAATTTTAATAAATCCTTACCTCACTGGAAACAATAATCTCTTCTCCATCTTCGTTCACCGAAGTTTCGACAGTTGGTTCTGAAGCAACTGGACTTGCAGCTTCATTATGATGTTTTCGTTCTTCTACGAGTTCTTCAATTTTTTCACGAGCTTCTTTGATGATTTCTGGCACTTCGGCACTTTCAGCTACACGAGTTTTTGATTCTTCTACTGATGTGTTTTCATTTCCAGATGCATCGATGACGGTCTGAAAAATTAACTAATTTTGGGATTTAATTTCAATTTTTTTTGAGAAAATATACAACAAGTATTTTCAAAAACTCACTGTTTCAGTTCTTTCACTCTTGATACCATCCTCATTGACAGTAATTTCTTGAACAGTTTTAATAACCTCTCCCTCTGTTTGTGTCACAGTTTCCTCCATAGTCTTCGATTCATGTCCATCTGAATGTGTTACAACAGTATGTGTTGTAGTGATAATTGTTTTTTCTGGTTCATTTTGATGGCCACTATGAGTTGTATGGGTCACTTGAATATTCGCAGCTTTTCCATTTTGTTGCGGTGTTTCTTCTTTTGGATAAGGATAAACTGGAGTGTATACAAATGGGCCATTCACCGCAATTTTTCCTTTTTCATCAGCTTCTTCAACTGGTTGTGGTCCAGTAATAAATGACTCCAAAGTATTGGATTTATCTCGAGTAGAAAGTTCACCAATTGTGATTGGAATTTCCAATAAAATATGGGTTCCCAAAGTAACCTGAATTCCATATTCAATTTTCAAAAATGGAATTTTTCTAAATCGCAATGTTGCAGTTGACGGACTCTCGAGCAATTTACCATATGGGCTTAAAATATGCTCAATTTTAGATGGTTCTTCATAATCTTCTTTGGTGCTTGGTGCAACTGGTGGAATTGTGAGCAAATAAATTCCAGTTTGCTCAAATGGTCCTTTAACTTTGTTTGGTGTTTCATGAGATGATTCCAATTTTCTAACAAAAAGAGTTCTCCAAGGTGAAGCTGCGGCAATTTCAGGTGCTCCAATTCGTCGAACTCTGTCTACTAATCTAGCTTCCATCTGAAACATTGATGTTTACTATCATTTTCAATATCAGAATAAATTTTCAAAATCAAAACTAACATGTTCAAGAATATCTTTCGGATGTTTATTGCCAATACTCAATGTTCCAAACACAGCTTCTCCTGGTAGATATCCAGTCTTTGGTAATGACAAACTTGCGGAGAGCTAAAAATAATCATAATTTACAGTTTATATTATCCGAGTTATAATCAAACCTTTGATTTGCAGCAACATTTTCCTAAAGTGGCTTCATCTTGACAGTTGACTTGCTCACCAATAACTAAATGACCTTCAGATGGTGCAACCAATGTGAACGCTTTCTTGACATAGTATTCGTGCTGCAAAAAAATTGGTCAGTTTCAGTAGACTTTCGATTTTCGTTCATCATTACAATGTTCATAAAATTTTATAAATCAATAATTCTCCTTTTATGTCTATTTTCATAGCTTTATTTTAGGTAGTTCCTGAAAGGGTCCCCTGAATGGGGCCTTCCTCCTCCAAAAAAGGGTCCCCTGAATGGGTCCTAGTGTTTGTCATTTCACCTGAATGGGACCGCGCGTAGCACATGTCAAAAAATGGCGAAAAAAGGGTTTTTGTCACTTTCCTGAATGGGTCCTCTAAAAAATGGGGCCCAAAATGCATTTGGCGTTTTCCTGAATGGGACCAACCTCTTGTTTTGTCACTTTCCTGAATGGGACCTCAAAAAAAGGGGCCAGTTGTAGTTTTGTCATTTTCCTGAATGGGTCTTGTAAATTTTTATTTTGTTGATTTCGTTTCGGATCGCCCATAGCCATTTTTCAACTCGAAAAATGAGTTATAATTTTTTTATCTACTCTGATCTTTCCAGTCAGAATATCGGAAATAAAATTTCAAATAATTCCCTCCAAATTTTTTGAAACGATTATTTTCGAAGTTATTTTGAAACGACGAAAAAGAACAACAATTGTGTAATTATTGAAAGAAGCCTCGGAATCGGTTAGGATACATGTAATGCATTTTTCTTATTGTTTCCGAGATTTCTTTGAAAACTTTCACTAGAATACTCACGACAAGCCTCACTGCAATTCAAAATTTCATATATCTTTCTAACCTACATTTTATCAACAAAGACACGAATTTCATCAACTAAGTCGTAATTTCTTACAAAATTAGAGTTTTTGATTGCAAAATTTAAACAAAATTCAAAGTTATACAAAAATGTCATCTCTATTTTCACACCTGTCAAAAATTTTCGCACTTTGGCCCTAAAAAAGAATGCGTCCAAGAAGAAAATAGTGCGTATTTTTGGAGAACGAGATCACGTTTTTTGGGAAGTTTCCCTTCCGTTGTTCACTGAGATTGCGCATTAAAATGTCATAAGCCAATAATTAGGGAAAGTTTGAAAATTAGTTTTTTTTTTCAAAAATATGGCTCTTTAGCAGGTCCATTTTCAAGCCAACTTTATTTTTGAAAATGAGGTGAAATTGAGTTTCTACTGACTAATGATTCTCAAAAAAACTTGCAAATAGTAGGAGTGTTTCACAATCGACTGTTCGAAATAGAATATCTCATATCAGATTTTTCGAAAATTGTGTCGAAATAATTATTTTCAATGTATCAATTTCAGAAAAAAATCCAAATTGTTCTTTTTCGTCGTCTCAAAATAACTTCGAAAATAATCGTTTCAAAAAAAATTTGGAGGGAATTATTTGAAATTTTATTTCCGATATTCTGACTGGAAAGATCAGAGTAGATAAAAAATTATAACTCATTTTTCGAGTTGAAAAATGGCTATGGGCGATCCGAAACGAAATCAACAAAATAAAAATTTACAAGACCCATTCAGGAAAATGACAAAACTACAACTGGCCCCTTTTTTTGAGGTCCCATTCAGGAAAGTGACAAAACAAGAGGTTGGTCCCATTCAGGAAAACGCCAAATGCATTTTGGGCCCCATTTTTTAGAGGACCCATTCAGGAAAGTGACAAAAACCCTTTTTTCGCCATTTTTTGACATGTGCTACGCGCGGTCCCATTCAGGTGAAATGACAAACACTAGGACCCATTCAGGGGACCCTTTTTTGGAGGAGGAAGGCCCCATTCAGGGGACCCTTTCAGAGACTGCCTTATTTTATCCTCATTCAACTCACCACTTTTTCAAACTCATCCTCTTGCACCAAACTAGCTCTAATAAAATATCTAATAAAAGCGTGTGGTCCCTCATAAGTGCTTGGACATCCTTTTGGTAATGGGCATTCAAATGGAAGTTTGTATGTGAATCCACCAATCCATTGGAAATGTCCTGGTTCTGGTTTGCCTGGTGGGCGTTCGAGAAGTGTGAAATCTTGATCAAAGTATACCTGAAACAGTTTTTGTTGAAATTGAGAAACAATTTAGAATTTAAATGAGGTGAGATTTCTTACTTTTTCAATATCATCTTTTTTGAGAGGATCGTTAAGCCAGGCGGCTCTTCCTTTCATTTGAAGCTTAACTTCATTGATGATGATTTCTTTGCGAAGTTCGATAAATAAAGTTCCAGTGATAACTTCACCACCTGAAAAATTATAATTTTTGAAAAGGTCCCTCGTTTTTTTCTGAAACGATATACATACATTCTAAAAATTTCAACATCAAAATTTGTCTTTTTCTAATACCCTCCTGACTTTAAATTTCGCAACAAGTAGTTTCAATTTCACAATCTCCTCATCTCCCTTTTTTTTGAAAAAGCAAACGCACCTTTGAAGACAGGATCATCTCCAGCATCGAGTTTGATATCAAATTTGGCGACTATATCGTTTTCAGTGCCCATTTTTCGAAAACTGAAATGTTTCAATACATTTTGAAGTTTTAAAAGAGCAAAAGAAAAAAGAAAAGCATCAATAAATAAAACGAAACGTTTTTTTTCAGAAACAAAATGAAACAGGAGGATAGTCGAAATTATTTGTTCAAATGAAACCAATGTGTGCACAGATCTATGTAAAAAGGTATAGATTTCAAAACTGACAAAAAATATTTTTTACCAGTGTTGTCATTTTGATTTGAAAAAAGAATAACCGGTTTTCATTCAAAAAAAAATCAAAATATTTATTGGTTGTTGTTTTTTTTTAAAGAGACAGTAAAGGGGGAAGAAGAAAAAGTGCATTGTATGTCAAAAATGAGTGAAAAATGTGAATTGACGGGCAAAAAATCAAGAGGCATGTGTTTTTTGTTTGAACTAACATATGCGAAAGAAGATGATTGAGTAAATCCCAAACATTTTTGTCGTTTTTTTTGTTTATTCAATACATACATGATGAATTGGAATTTTACGAATAAAAATTGATTATTGAAAAAATAATGTTAGTAGACTTTGGGGAAGAGGAAAAAATTTTAAGACAGTTTTGATTTTAATGAACAGTCTATAATTTCAGAAGATTCTAGAAGTGGCGTTTTGAATTAAATGTTTTTAATTATAAAAATCATGAAGATTACTAAATTCAAATCATATAATTTTTGGAGTGTTGTGAAATTTCTCAAATTTCTAGATGAATTGTTGAAACATTTCAAATAATAATACAAAATTCGATAACTTATTATTTTTCTCAAAATCTAGACATCAAGAAAAACAGAATATTTCCCAAAAACCGCCCATAATTCCATCTTAACCCCAATAATCCATTCTAAACCTCAGAAAATATATAAAAGTGCATGCATAAAGCGGTAAAAATAGGCGAAAAAAAAGAGTTAGGCTAAATAAAAAAAACTACTCAAACTGTCGCATGGCATTGTTTATTCAGTTAGTAAGCACACACGCACACGCATCTTGCTCAAATCAATTTGAAATTTCATTTTTTATTTATTTATCTATTCTGTTCTCCTGGAAGAAAAAAAACGCTGGAGAGAATGAGGGGTGCAAAGTTTTCGCTGACTTTTTTTTGCTTCTGATAAAAAATTAAAAAGGAAAAAAAAGGAGTGTGAAATAAAATAAATGTGTACTATTTCTCTGCAAAACATAATTCAATAATCGCAAAAAAAACGGGAATGCGAAAAAAACACACAGTTTTGTTTTATGACAACGTTCTCATATGTACGGACGTGTGTAATAAATATATATCAGCCGAGTGAAAAATGTTGGCTCAATAGAGCAACGAGCAAAAAAAAACTTTTATGTTTCACAGTTGTTGGAATTTCATTTTCATTTGTCAGCAAGGGCAAAATTTAATGAAATGTCAGGTCACGCTATTTTGCTGGAATAATTAAAAACCTGATGAAAACATTTCGAAATTTCTATATTTATTTGTTTTGGGGTAAAGATTAAGTGTTGAAAAGAAACAAATAAAAATAAATATGTTATCATTTCGAAACAATCAATATGATAAGGTCGCTCATCTAAAAAAGGAATGAGAAATAAAAATAAAAAAATAGACAGCCAGACTGACTCATTTTATGAATGAGAAAGAAATTCGATAGATTTTGATTCAGAAAATAGATAATAAACCAAAATTCATAACAATAGATAAACATCTTGTAAAAGCTTGTCCTTTGGGCTCAGCTTCCCCTTCAAAAATAAGCGGGTGGAGCTCCAAATTTGCATGGTTCCCCTTTTTTGCCGGCCACACTCACTCATTCACAAATGTAATTGATGACTTGATGACATTGTCTTTTTGTGGAGAGCATTTGGCAAAAAAGGGGACGGGGAGTGAATAATGAACCCACCACAGGCTTTGCTCGTTTTATTTGGTGCTTACGAGTTTTTTGAAATTGGATATTGGACACAAATTTGTGTTGGAACAGAAAATGAGTGAGTGGGAGAAAAAAAGAAGAAGAAGAAGGCAAATACATACTATCTTATTGTGTTATTTTTGCAATATTTATTTAAAAATATTTTTTGAATGAGAGTTGGGAGGTGACACTTTTAATGGATTATTTCAAATGGAAAGTGAGTACTTTTGTAAAGTGCAAAATAATGAATATGGTATTCAATAATAAAAATAAATAACTATATTTTGTGGTAGTTGTGGTTGAACTTTGAAAGAGGAAGGGCGGGTACAAAGTTGGGTGACGCATATTTAATCAGTAAACAAACGTTTCTAGAAAATTAGAAATGATATTGTGAAATTCGGGTGATTCAATTTAAAAAAAACATCAGTTTTGAGGTGGATAGATTCTGGAGCCCTTTTATTCCAGGGATCTACGCAGTTACTGAGCGTTTCTGGAATTATGGAATATTCATCATTCAAAAACGAGAAATGATATTTTCCGTAATAAAGAGAATTTGAATTAACAAAACAGAAAATTTAAAATTGAGAAAGCCAGAAAAATTAAAGTGAAATTAAATTCGAAAACTATTTCATTCAAAGATTCTCACGAATACAAATATTTTCAGATCTACTTTGGTCGTTTGTTCATTTTTCAATTTTCTCAGTATCAGAAGGAAAATAATATATAATTCAGGCGTGAATGACTTCCTGTTACCATAAATTAGGTTTTTATCTAATTTGGATCAATGAGTCAAAATTCTGATGATACCCCTTTTCCCATTATATCAAAATTCCATGAAAATTGAAAAATAACACAAAGACTACATTTTCCCTTCAAGAAAAAAAAACGACAAGAGTAAACATGTTAGCTAATGGGAATCACAACGTTTTCAATTACAAAGCGAAAAGATCATTGGACAAAAATAACAACATGTCACAACAAAAAAAATAGATAGATGTTGTTCTTTTTTTGTGCTGTTGCCTGCCCAAAAACGTAGAAAGAAAAGGCTCATTCATTTTTACAACACACACACACAAAACTCGTCATCTATTCTATTCTATTCAGACAATTGACCACAAATACCGAAAAATAATGAGAAAAAAACACAGAAAACGAAAAGGAAAATGAAAATGAGGGGGGAAGCGAGGAGCAAAGTTATTCAGAACGAGTTGGCCAATGAAAAACGAGGAATTTGAAACAGATGCCTCCAGAATGAGAATTTCTTTTTTTCCTGGAGAGCAGGAAAAAATGCAAATTAACATTTTTGGAAAAAAAACTATGACTTTTTATGTATATTTTGTTTCGAAATAACACAAAAAAAAACAAAAGAGAGGCGCAGAGCACACAAATTGACCCTGTAATAGAAGAAAAATGAGCAAAAAGGGCGGCGAGCAGCATTCATCCCACCTTTCACCCACCACAACATATGCCACCCACTCCGCTTTTTTTTTCTGCATATTATCTAGCAGCCTGGGAGGTCACGGATATATAAACACAAGTGTTGGGAAGAAGAGGGCAAGGGCAAAATGGTTTGGTTTTCCACCTGACACCACCACCTATTTATTATTATTATAAATACTTTGCGTTGCCCCAAAAATTAATTAGTTATGCATTTGTCTTTAGGGTGGGTGGTAAATTGAATGGGAAAAAAATGAGTATACGACCCGATTGCTTTTATATGTATTATGTGAGAAAAACCACTGTATTTGGGAGATTCGAAAAAATAAGTAACAGCAAAAATCCGGTTTTATGATGTTCCAGATAGAAACTTATGGGGATGAAAATTATAAAAGATAAATTAGGAAAGGAATGGAATCTATGCAAAATTTCTTGAAAATTTCTGAAATCAAATTTGTGGTTTTCATTCTGTTCAGTTTTATCGATGACCTTTCTTCCGACCTTCAAAATTATTTTTTTTCGAGAATTTCCAATCAAATTTAAGAATGTGATGAGTCATTTTCAGGTTTTCTCTTACTTATTAGCATTCCAATCAGAATTGTAGGTAGTTTTTTTGAGAACTTGAAAAACTATGATTCCCATCAGGTACAATTTTCTAAAGATCAAGAACTCCAGTAACTTTATTTTTGATAGATCTTCGGCACAATTTTTGGAAATTCGGCGTACAGAAATTTCAGATAATGAAAATAATTATCTAAATTTCAATAAGCAACAGTCATTGACTCATATTGCTTGAAACTTTAAGTCTGTTGATGATATTTCAAGAAAAGCTAATGAGAAAGCAAGTCACCTGCTTTAAAAATCCAAAGACCAGCAAATTTGTTTAAAAATAGATTTATAAAGCTGAAGTTTTCCAATTAATTTAAAGCTGTTCATGTTTTGCAATATTCAAAAATAAATTATTCACGAAGTTCTGCCCATAATCAAAAATTCATAGGATTTAACATTAGGCGAAAGATTGAATTTGCCTCTTGAAAAATAATTCATTAAAAAAGTTCACCTAGAAAAAATGAATTGAAAGAAAAACAAAAAACGTCATTAATTAATTATAATCTCAAAAGAGTCTAGAAAAAAAACAGTGATAAAAATAAAACCGAAAATATGGTTGCCATAGCGTGTCTAATAGTAAACAAATTATCAATTCAGCGAGGAATTTTTCTAAATTTTATTTGAGAAAAAATGCGAGAAAAAATAAGACTTTCTAAGAAAAAGCAAATGTACCGGAAATCAACAAATATGTGACAAAAATATTTTGTCTATGAGAAAAACACACACACAAACAGCAAAAAAAATATTACACTCTTCGATAGAACACTTGACACTATTTTTTCGGTACTTGTGAGCGGGAATAGGTGGAAAATTTAAATTACGGTTACTATTAGAGAGGGGTGCATTCAAAATTGTTTTCAAAAAAAGGAGAAGAAGAACTATTGTATTCAAAATACAAAAAATTGTAAAAATGTGTCATTTTTACTTCTTTTTGATAGAAAAATTAAAAGGAAGAAGAAAATAAATTGTATAAATTTTGAATGATTTACAAATAATAAAAATAATAAACATGAAAAATGGAAAGTGATGAGAATATAGGTCATTTATTTTATTAAAATAAATAGATGATTATATTTTTCTATATGTACATATTTTAAAATAACGTCAAAAATACTTTGAAAAAAAGAGAACTTTTGACTTGATGACTCTAATTATTTCTAACAAAAGGTGAAAGAAGAAAAATGAGAGAAACAAAAAAAAGAAAAAAGTGAGGGCGAGAATGAAAAAAAGCGGAACGTGGATTTGTTGCGGTTCTAAACGAAATTGAAAATTGACATAGATAGCGAGAGATAAACGACAATTGTCATGGAAAATTGAAGCAAATTGCTGCCTAATTTTTTTGACACTTCTCAACTCAACTAGAGTTTAGCTGCCCTCTATAAATAATAAATTTTTCCTGGAACATTTTTTAGTAGTTCATTTTTTTTTTTGGAAAAAAAAACTGAACACATGAAATAAAAGATTCGATCAAAAAGTCGTTAAAAATAATTGGAAAAGCCCATTAATGCCATTTATTCAAACTGTTTGTCATACGAATATAATAATTTTGAAATAAAAAATAGTTTTTTGCCGCAAGTCTCGTTTTGTGAATGTTTCACTTTTCATTTGTAATCGGATCGGCCTTGAATGCATTTTTGTTCTACATGTTCATTAAGGGAGAATGAACTTTCGGGACAAAAACTGACAATGAGAGTTAATTGAAAACATGAATCATTTTATGACATGCTTTATCTCACTCACTGAAATGTGACCTTCTGATATGATATTGAAATATAGAGGTTGTTCAAATTCCAAAAAAAGATGGGCCGAACCGGGGATTGAACCCGGGACCTCTCGCACCCAAAGCGAGAATCATACCACTAGACCATTCGGCCGACAAGATATAGCCTATCTCATTTCTGATGTATCTTTCATATAAGCTGACCAAAATCTAGCATACTGAACTGGATTTGCTAACGCAATAATTTTATCTTCATTTTTCTCACTAACAAGGGAACTGTTTCAACTTGCAATCGAGATGTTTAATTGAATGTATGTTTTCTAGAAGTTTTTGACCCTCCGCTTATAATTCCGCTGTCAAAAACTGCAAAGCTCAACTTCTAACATGAGGAAAAGTTGAAAAATTCCGAATATAAGCAAGTCAGAAATTGCTTTCAAAATAATTTCCATAAAAATCTGATGCTAAAATTAAATTTCTTTATTCATAAACCGCAACAACAATAAATTGCCTATACTGTTCAGAAAAAACACTGGCTACGCCAACCCACGATAAATTTGTATCATCCAAAAAGTTCCGCGTTCCATATTCTTCCGATTCATCCCACCAAGTATCAGCAACAGATTCAGTCACCCGATTTCCCATCCAAATATTCATGTAACGCTCGCGATCGGTTCTAAATTTGCGTTTCACATTGACGTTTTCGAAAAAAAAAAGAATTTACCTGAATTCCCCTCTCAATGCTAACATTCTTGCCCATTGTGCTGCAATATCAGCTAATCTGACAGAAGGTTGAAGTGGGTGACATGCCATAGATTGGCGGATTCTATTGATTCGGTTTATAAGACAATCTAAAGGTTCACGCCATTCGACACGTTGTGATGTTGAAGTTCGAGATTGGTAAGAAGGTGGAGGTGGTGGTGGAGGAAGAGTTTGAGATGTTGGTCTGCAAATTTCAGCATCAATCTTTTCTTTACAAAAAATCGAAAAATTTTTTCTCACTTGAGAATCGATGTTTTGCGAACATAAGAATCAGTAGTTCTCCAATCTCCAGTTGACTCATTGCTAGGATTTTTGCTATACTCACGAATTATTTCATGAGGAACAACACGATCAATTTCTGAAAATATCTACACAATTTTTTTGTGATCTGTAAAACCTACTTCTGATAGGATATTCTCTCTCCCTCGGTGGCTCGCGTTCCCGTTCCCGTTCTACACTTGGTCTAGGAATCCGGTAATATTCTCTTTCTCTTGGTGGAGGTCTTGGCGGTAATCCTGCTGGAAATGTTGTGGTTGTAGTATAATTTGATCGAAGAGTGAATTCAGAATCTTGAGGAGGCCTGTTTCCGACAAATGAACCAGAAGTAGAAGTTGAATAATTGGTTCTCGGCATTTGATCGTCAAAATGTGTGGTTTTCTAGAATGGAAACGAGAAAAATTGTTTGAAAAAAGAAAAGGGTATTAAAAAGTGAAATTTGGGAGAAGCAATAGACTACACCTTCTACTTACCACATCAGTAACCGATAATAATTGTCCACCCGCTGTGAATCGTTCCATTCGTTTTGTTGTCACTGTATGATGAGGATTTTCCATGCTTCGCGATGATTTTTGTTGTTGTAGAAAAATAGGGGGAATGAAAGCATTGATATTCATATTTGGAGGAAAACTAGGAAAGAAATGAAAAACGTCTTCTTCTTCTTTTCATTTTTTGTCGTCTATTCAAACAACTGTAACAACAATAAAATTCGTCGACATTCCATGAATTCGATGAATCACAGAGCCTTCTATCAATGTTTGTCAAATGCAAATATGTAAACCATAATTGGTTCATTATTTGATAAAATCGATTCATTTTTTGTTTGTTTGATTGAAAACTTTTTTCAGAGAAGGAATATTTGTGTGAAAAATTGATGGAAATTCTTATTAATTATATACATAATGGGCAAAACCACCAATCGTTACGATAAACTGTACTCTTCCACGAGTTCAAATGGTCGTGTTCACATTATTTGTACATATGTGCTTCTCAATGTTTTTCTAGTAATTTGAAGAACTGAACTACAAGTTTCACAAAGCAATAAAACACAATGTGATTCGGAAACACATGTTTGCAGATTTATGGAACTTTTTTTGCAAGATTTATTTTCTCGTTTCGCATATTTTTTCAGGGTTGTTCTATAAATTTTTTGCCGATGATGAAATTGAAAGTTTTGAGGAACACCTGCAAGTGTTTTTCAACACCTGTGGAATTTCTGTTGATATTTTTTGGTTGAGGCAGAATCTGCCTGGCAGATGTTTCGGTTGAAATTGTGTTATCGAAAATGGCCTTGAAAACACTAGATATAAGATCTGTTTTTCAATAATAGAAATATTTGTGAGAAGATTTCTTATTCAAATTTTTATGAAAAGTCTTTCATTATAGTCCAAAAAACTCGAAGGTGTCTAAAAATTTCCGATTTTTTCTTCTTGCGCAGCTCTTTATTCTAAAATTTCCTTTCCGAGCCCAAAAAAATAAGTGTTGTATATATGCAGGTTGGTAAATTGTGAAGTTCCGTCAAACATCTGTGCATGATCAGCAAAAAAAACTACTGATGAGTGGGAAAATCATTGTGTATCTTTTCATTTTTTGCTTTTCGTTGCTTTGCTTTTCCGAGAGCAGCTGTTCGTTTTTAACCATCTGCTTCTTTCTTTTCTCATTCCCTTCAATTTCCTCCTTTTCTTCCCGTTTTACACACACACGCACACACACAAAAACACTCACCCCCAGTTCACGTTGTGTTGTGTTTTTTCATCCTCTTCTTATGTATGTTTTGTGGGGTGTATGGCGGTCCCTGCTCAATCCATCTCCATTCTTTAGTCCCAGTCCCTCCCTCCCTCCCTCTCCCCTCAATTTTCGTTTTTGTGTGCATATATGTGCCGTCGTTTTTTTCGCCCCTAGAGCATTCAATGCTTTTTTTTTGCTACATGGTCCCTTCTCTCACCGCCCAGCCAGCGCAGTTTTTCTTTTTCTTCTTCTCTCTGATATTATTTATTATTTTTTTTGCCTTGCCGCAAGCCATCAGTTAGATTTTTTGATGCGACGGACGGCTGCTGATCTGATACCACCTGGGTCAGAGGAATATGGGTGGCCATTGGGGTTGTAAGATTTTAATTTTTGGAATTTGCTGCATGTGAATTTTGAAATTTTATTATTCAAGTTATGCAATTTTTGAAAATTTTCAAATCAAAATATCAAGCCCAAGATTTCCGGACCACTACTTTTTCTAACTCGAACAATAAGGGTTTTATAGATACCGGTACGTATATCTAATTAGACTAGAAAACTGCTTCAATTCACATAGCCTTGGTCCTGCCGATCCTATTCAGACAATCTTAAATTGAATCCAATTAGGCGAGAAGAGCTCAATTCAAAATTTGCCTAATTAGTCTCTTCAAATAAATTTATTCTAATTGGCTTTCTCAAAATAAGCTATTTATTTTCATTTATTATCTATTAGAACAATTAAGTTCCAAACCTCAGTTCCCAATGAAACCGATATCTAATTGAGCGTTTCGAAAATGATTCTCTTAGAGATCTTCGTAAATAATTTTGATGTTTCATAACTATTCACACCCAGAAGGATATTATTTTTTGTACATACTTCCTCCAAGCCGCTTGCTTTCAGAGTCTCTTCAAGATTTTTTCTGAAAAATTGTGCACTACATTTCGTTACGTCACAATCAATCACATTAAATTAATGTTGATCACAACACAACTCTGATCATTTTTTGAGAGATCAGAAAAGTCTCCCTCTCGTGAGTTTTTCTGAAAACTTTGATATTTCAAAATAAGTATTTCATAATCCCCATAAAAACCTTTCATGGTTCTAAAAACTCATAAAACTTCAAAAAATGAGTAGATTCCTTGTGAAATACATAAATAAAAACATTATCATACGGTACTTGTCTTCCTTTGTGTGCTCATTCCAATACCAAAAAGTGCTCATTTCGCTTGGAAAAAAAATAAAATTGCTCCCTACTATGGGCTGCTCATTCTCCATCCTAATGAAAAAATGCCATTTTCTCCCCTTCTCTCGTACACTTCCAATTAATGTGAAGATTCACTAATGAGTTATCGCAAGAAGAAGAAGAAGACTAATTTGCACTTTTTCTTTTAATTTCTCAAATATAAATATTTTTATTTTCCATATAAAATTTTTTATATAAAAAATTGGAAAGGAAAAAGGAGAAAAGCGAAGACGCGAGATGCGAAAATTGAATCTGACAAATTTGATTTTGACAGAAGAAAACATCTCGATTTTTTCCCCTGTTGTTGAAGGGTTTCTTGATTGAAAGTCCGCGTCATCAAACAAAATTTTATTTTATTTTCTGTAGAAAAAAGATTATATTTTGATTCGTCTTTTTACACGGAATATGTCCCCAAAAATAATCTTCTTTTTGATAAGTATACTTGATCCCAAATTTTTTCGAAGCATTGAAGAAAAAAATCCGGAAGCAACGAATATCCGCCCGCTAATGATATATACATTTGTCAAAAAGTTAGTATATATAATCGTGACCAGTTTTCTCACCATTCAAATAAAACAAACAGTTTGGGCGCTTTTTTTGGTTCCCACTATGAATCACCCTATTCCCATTGTTTGAAATAACAATGTCTTGCCGTAAAAGGGCAAAATATTACGGTACTTTTCTTCTTTTTTTTCGTTTTCGTTTTTTGGCGGAAAAAATAAAAGCGAAAATAATTTGCGTGATTGGCTCACATTTACTACGACCCCAGGCATGGCTGTTTTTTGGTTCACAATTCTTTTTATTTTTGAAAAAAGCTCTTTTTATGAAGATTAAATTTTTTGAATATATAAGATAGAATATGTGAGATTGAACTTCAGATTAGTTGAAATAGCAGTTTGAACTTTCTGAGATTGCTTTTCGACTCGATGATGTGTAGCCAGACATCGGATCAGCGTAGACTTTCAATGTTTGTCAGTTGAATTTTTAGGATTACTTTTTTCCTGGTACGATTTGATGATCCTGAAAATGGTTCAAGTCAGATTGATTTTCCGACCTTTAGGTTCATAGAAATGTTCAATTTCAACTTGAATTGAATAAAAAATTCAGTCTGAAACAATTTTTGAACTCGTGAAATTCTATAATCCCTTAATCTTCCTTTGATATCATAATGGACTCAGAAAATAACAAAATGTTTTTGAAATCTAAACCTTCCAAAACAACATTGCGTGCTTCAAATAATACCGAAAAAACTTTGAACTTTTTGGACCCTTTTTCACCAGCCAACTAACAAAGAAGTGTTCTGCTCCTGCCTGTCTCACATAATTTTGTCGTGGCCTCGCGCACCAGATAATATTTCAAAGTACGCGCCAAAAAATGGGCGGAGCCAGCTTTTAGTTGAGCAAACTAACTATTTGAATACTTACGAAAGAAATATCATAAATAATTCAAAAAATCTTTCTCTCCCTCTTTATTTTTGCTGCATTTTTCTTTTTCTTTTATATAATAATAATGGGTGAAACAAAAAACTTCATTTTTGCTCCATTTTTTCAAGTGCCCAAAAAAGAATGAAATGAAGTGCCGTTTTCTCATCAAATATTCAACATGTTCTTCTTTTTTCGCAACATTTTTTTCATTTTTTCAGATGTGAATTCTCGTGGCTTGATTGATTCTCCATATTTCGTACCCTCATTTTTCAATATGATTTTTATTTTTATTATGATAAGGTGAGTAAAAATACAAAACATTTCAGAATTTTGAATAATAATCTTCATAATTTCAGATAACATTTTGTGATGAACCTTCTGTGATTGGAGACGACGTGCAGCTTTCGATGTGATGTGTTTTTGTGTTTTTCAATCAATGCCAAAACAATCACAAATATGATCAGCTATTCTTCATCCCCGATGCATTTCATTGTGATTAAACAAAACTGTTTTGATATGCTTCTTTTTTGATATTTTACCCTCGGGTTTTTTGAATAAAACTCCCATCTCTCTCTACGATAATAACTAAATTACATAAATAACCCCTCTCCTCTCCTCCAAAAATTATTGTGACGAATTTATATACTGTGAGTAACTTCTCGTGATCTTTTATTACAATTCAATTTTTTTATTTAATGCTGACAATTCTTCGATTTAATAAATAAATAAATAATTTTACATTTTTTGTATTTTGCTGACAAAAATGATCAAATGACATCAAGAAACCAGAAAAATGTGTAGCCAAGAATCAGATAGAATTATTAGAAATTGATAAAACTACAAGTGTTCACTGTTCAAGAAAAACTATATAAGGTTAAATAAATGTTTCGTGAAATCATCATTCGAAAAATATGAATTTCTCAACCATCTTCTCAACTATCTTTGTTCTATTCACATTTCTATTCCATGTTTCATATTCTGCAATTATACTGAATTATCCACGAGTTCAAGTTCAAGATCCTTTGCATTTTGATAGTTATGGAAATTTATTAATTGGCAATCAGTTTAATGGATTCTACCCAGGCACATGTCTTGGCCCAAGCTGTCCGTGGGGAAAATAATTATTCATTTTGGTGTTATATTGTACATATATTTATAAATGAATAATAAAAATTTTGCATTTACACTAAAAATGAGTCATTTGGACACAATTAAGTGCAGTTTAGTTGTAAAATAATGCATAAGTGTTTCACCATTGTTTTATTTTTTGAATAGTATATGAGATTGTGTGAGAGGGACTTTGGAAGTTTAAAAAAATGAACTTATGGAAAACGTCCTGCATTATTTCTGAACGAGAAATTGAAAGTTTTTCAATTAAAAAATTTTTCAATGAAAGCAAAATTTAGCTTCCAATTCTTGAAGTTTAATAATTCTATGTTTGAAATTACAGAACGTATTCAAACTTTCAAAGTTGAACTCATTTTTAAATGAAAAAGTGCATCATTTCACTTTCACAAACATTCATTAGTTCAGAAAACACGAGAAAACTTCGAAATAAAAACACAACTACAGAAAGACCACCATTAAAACTGTGAGTATCATATTTTGTAACCATTCCATATCAGTGAAACACTTTTTTTTCATATAATTTCAGCTGATCACCTTCGACCTCGAAAATATTTGTGTGAACTGGAAATTCATGAGGTTTTGTTCAGAAAACACCAACAAATTTCCGAATAACCCATTAGAACAGTAAATATCATGTTTTGTAGCCATATCAAATATTTCCAGCAGATCAAGTTTTTTATTCTGAATGCGAGAAAAAACTGTTTCCTGTTTGAATGAGAAAAATAGCTGTATTCTAAGATTTTCTAAGATCACTGTTCTGAATTCTCCAAACACACAATAACGATTACCGAGACCACCCATCACAATAGCAAGTATCACACTTTGTAGCCATATAATTTCAACACATCACTGAACCACTTTTTTATCATATAATTTCAGCAGATCAAGTTCGTCATTCTGAAAAAAACCCACTTCCCTTTCAGGAAAAATGAAAGTTCTTTGTGTTGTAAACTTTTAAGATCACTGTTCCCAATTTTGAGAAAAAGACTCTGACTTTGATAAGAATAAGATCAGAAAAACACCTGAAACATTGTTTTAGCGACAAGGGAGGTCATATAAGGTTAGTTTCACTAACAAATTCGAACTCTAGTGTGAACAAGTCCATTCTGAAAATATATGGAATTTTTTTTTCAATTCCACGGTATTACTTATCTTCAGATAGATTTCTAAAAAAAACGACGACCAAATATATTTTAACGTTCAAAGTCGCAGATTCAGACAGTAATTTGTGTACTCAAAACTCCAGCAAAGGTTAAGATTTCAAAAATATTAAAAATGTACATACGTGTCAAAGAACACATGAGTTTTATTCCCGTTTTATTCACATGCGTAAATTCGTGCAAATATTAAAATTTTGGAAACACTTTTGATAAACAATGTATGTGGGATTTTCTAGTGTATCGAATATCGCAATATTTTTCGCTACATAATTCATAATTGATTGGGTCACATAATGTTCAAAATTTTCAAATTTGAGTTAGTAAAAAGCCTCACTAAACATTTTTAGGAATTTCGTAAAATAAAGTGTTCTTGGTTATCCGTGTCGTTTCAGCTTAATAACATCAAGTGTTGAAGTTCTTTCTGATATCTCACAGTGATAAGTTATGAAACCCCATTGGCATCTTACAAATATATAACAAACAATTATGAAAAAATGCACTTTTATCCCTGCACTTTCATGAAAAATTTAATTATTTTCTAATAGTTGTATTCATATTAATGAAATTTTATTTGTTGGCAATGTTTGTGCAAACAAAACAATTATAAATTGTTGTTTAAAAAATAAAAGTTTGCAAGGGACTTTTCGGAAATTACCCGAGTTAGGAAAACCCTAGAAACCATATGACACAAATGAAAAACGAATTGAAAACAACTGTAGTGATCGAAATTGCGAAGGTGAATATCGGATATGATTTAATGTTATGAGAATAACATTTTTACTGTAATGGTGTGGAGTGACTTTTATAAAAAGTTTCAGGCAAACTTGTATATCCAATTATAAGCGAGTCAAATTTTTTCAAGACCACCGAGTTTGTATAGGAGAACAAATAATTTACAAATTTTATCTGTTTCAGATGTTCCAAAATGTTTGAGAAATCAATTTTTATTTGTTCGAAGAAAGGAAATAAAATCGGCAATGATAATCAAAAAAAAAACACAATTTTTCATGTGAAAATGAAAAATTCAAAAATCAATCAATATTAAGAGGCCAAGGAGAATATTCATGAACTGATTCGTCTTTCTATTTTCTTTTCTTCCCTGTTTTTCTCGAATTTTTTTTGATCATTAGAATATGAAATGGCTGAACTGGCCGACCTTGTTTGAACAGCAACAATATCTATGCGATTTTTGTATTTTTGCCTCAATTTTATTTAGTGTACACACATCAGATTTTGAGAGGATTTCATTTCGATAATCATTTGGTTTTTTTTTGTTCGTGCCATAACTAGTTGTTTTTTGGCATATGTTCGGTTTTTTTTGAATCAAGTCAAAACCCGAGATGATTACATGTTTACATGTATTCTATTCTTTTTTTTGTTCGTAAAATTGGTTTTTTTCAATTCAATACAATTCATATGTTTTTTTCTAGTTTCAAAATTAATATCTATTTTTGTCCTCTGGATCATACGTTTTATGTTGAATATTGGATTTTCCATGTCTGCAAAAATATTTCACTCAAAATCAAGAAGATCAATTTTTATGACCTTTTTGAGACCAAACCAAAACAAATCGATTATTTTTTCTAACAAAAACAGCTACAGTAATCCTTTTTCATATGAAAAACACAATGTTTGCCACCGTGATTTTTCTTCTTCATTTTCCCAAAAATAGTCGAACTTTACTCTGTCCGGATTCCTTTTTGTTTGTTTTTCATTTTTTTTTTCATACATCGCTTTTCAATAATGCTAACATTGAATTAATTTATTTCTAGATTTGAATTACAAAAAAAAAATAACTTGATGTTTTGATAAATGGGACAATATATTGATATTCAACATGCATTTTCAATTTCTGGATTTCTTCATATGAAATATCTTGGGGGAGGTTGGTTTTTTGTAGTGCTAATAAACTTTGTCAAAATTTCGTTTTGACCTCACAAGGGAACCTTTTCAGCTTTTCCTCTGGATGAGATATAGTTGAAAAGGTTCCCTTGACAATCAAACCTTCTAAAATTTTCTAATTTTTTGGAACTTTACTGCTGTTTTATGAATTGTTTTTGGATATAACTTCATTCTGAAAAGTTCCATATTTCTAGCCAATTTCAAAAAGTTTTGTCAGATTTTTCAAAAAGCGAAAGTGAAATGATCTTTTTTGGGTATCACTTGAACACTAAAACTAGAAATATTTAGCTAAGCCAATTTCACTTTTTGAGTGCATTCGGCTTTGCAATTTTTGATCACGCTGTTTGTCGGCAAAAATGTGCTGAAACATTAGCGACCAGAAACTGTTTCGACTCTAATAAAATTCTGACATAAAAGCGTTGTTCGTATTCTTATATGTATAAAAAATAAATAGAAATTTTTCAACAGTATAAAAATTGAATCTAGTTCATCAGAACAGACATTCCAAATCGCAAAATCTAATAAGTTGCTCGAATTAATTTTTTGCAGCTTTATCATTATGGCGTCCCCGTCGTCGATATTATTTTGCCATTGATGAAATAGCAGAAGAACTAATATATCACAAATCCGAAGTTGATTTCACCGTTCATCGAATTCCAATTGGCTCATTTCCCATCTCAACTGCTGTTATAACTCTTGACGATAACAATAATTGTGCATTTATTTTGCAGTAAGTTTGATGATGTTTTCATTTTTCTCTTTTCTAAAACAAAGAAATTGGAACAAAGAGGCACACGTAGAATATGTCCGTCATCCCCTTTTTGCCTGTTGTTCAAATAAATCACGTAATCGAAACGAAACATTTGATTTTTATTTGATTTATTTTACTTGTTTTTTTCAGTGTTTCTGGTCGAAGTGTCGAATTTGAAGCTGACAACGAAAAATCTTGCCGCTGTTGGTTGGACGCATTTTCAAATAGATATTCCGAAGCGGAAAAGCAAAAATTCTCACAAACAATGTTGAGAAAAACAAAAAAGAGTTCGAGTTTGCCGGTAGGTCTTTCACACGATTCGAAATTTTATTATCATTTCATTTGCATAAGAAATATTATTATTCTTCTTATTTTTTTTCATCTAACAAAAAAACTATTTGTTAACAAATTTATTTTGATCGAAACGAAAAAAATGAAAAACTTATAGGATCACGAATCTTCAACAGAACAACCAGTTCCTCCTCGAAAATGTCAGTCATTTTTCTTGTTTTGTTATAAATGGATTTTTTTTCAAAAAAAAATAATTTGTTTTCAGTCTCATTCCAAGTTCGTCCAACTAAACGAGATTTATTTGCATCGCCTTCAAAGCATCCTGAAATTTCGGTGAGTTTTTTCTAGAACAATCTTAACATTTGTGAATCTTGTGCAGTTTTGAAGGGCCTTTTTCAAACACTCTAAAGAAAATTTCAGAACAAAAAAAAAGTTCAATTTTAGGAAAATTATCTTCTCGATGAGGAAATGGATGATTGGGTGACACAATGGTTACGAAATGAAAAATTCCACAATTTTTCAACATTAACTGATCCCACAACACCAACTTCAACTAACATGAGCAAAAAGAGTTTGTGTAGTGATAGTGCTGATACAGAAGAGTTGGATTTATTGAGAGAAATCACAAATAATCAGAAAAAACGAATCGAGGAAATGAAACACGAGATGCATTCTTTGACTATGCATTTAGATCAGATGAGGTTTGAAAAATTGTAATGTAATTTTTATGATCCAAAATTTTTAGAAGAAGATGTGATTCAACAAGTGGAACCGATCGAGATACATTATCTTCACAGAATAAATTTCTGAATTCGGAAATTCTTCGAATGAGTGCCAAATGTGAAATTTATGAGCTTCAGACTTCCAAATTCAAAAAGTAAGAGGAATTTTCAATGAGAGCTGTAGAAATATTTTCTTTACTATAAAAAAAAATTTCAGAGAAAACAAAAAACTTGAAGAAGATCTCCATCAACTTCGTTGTGATTATGTCTATGCAGTTCAATCAACAATCCGAATTCCTCTTCATGATAACACAGCAATGGATGTGATGAGTATGAAGTTACTTGGAGGAGAGACGGTATGTTTTTGAAACTTATTTTTTCTCAAATATTTTTCATTCAGCACAAATCTCGATTGGTACAATTAGTTGCTGAAGCAAGGGTTGAAGATCCGAGCTTGCCAACACTTCAATCATTGATTCAAGGAATATATGTGGATTCTTTTGGGTTTCGAATTTGTTTAAGGGATGAATCGATTGCTTTGCATTACATGGCCACAAAATTGCACCAATTTTACACGAATAAGTCGACTTCTTCAATTGAGCATAAGAAAAATTGGAAAACGTTTCTGGAAGAGAATGCATTTATCGAACTTTCTGTAAGTTTAAAAAAAAAAGTTTATTTTGGAAAATTAGAGGATTTACTCTATATTTTTACAGAAGGAAACGAAAACAATGTGCCGAAGAGGAATTCCAAACTCTCTCCGCTCCACAGTTTGGAAAATTCTAATCAACCAACAAGTCGAAGATTTGAAAGTTGTTTATGGTCGATATTATTTCCGGAATCTTTGTAACACTCAAGGCGGAGAAGATGAAAAACTTGTGAGTTTTTTTTGAGAGTTTATTAATGAGAATGGGATTTTTCAGTACTCGGATGTTCATCAAAAACAAATTAATCTGGATTTATTGCGCACAATGCCAAATAATGTGCATTTTATGACTGCTAACAGCAAAGGAGTCACTCAATTGCTCCAAGTTCTTCATGCATTTTGCTTACACAATCCGCAAATTGGATATTGTCAAGGAATGAATTTTCTTGCGGCTACTGCTTTATTATTTGTTGGTCCGGAAGATGCATTTTGGTTTCTTATTGCGGTTACGGAGAGATATTTTGATAAAACGTATTTTGACAGTAATTTGACTGGCGCACAAGCTGATCAGGTGAATATTTTTTAAAAAATGTTAAAAAAAAAAACAATTGAGTTTTAGGAAGTTTTGAAAGAACTTCTCGAAGTTCAACATCCAAAAATCATGAAACATCTCACTGCTCTTGATATTGATGTAGCTTCGATTACTTTGAATTGGTTTATTGCTCTATTTTTTGACGCGGTTCCTTTTAATGTAAGTTCTCATTTTTCAAATGTGTTTCCACATCAATTAATCAAATTTTGTAGACATTATTACGCATTTGGGACTGTTTTCTTCTGGAAGGTCCGAAGGTTCTCTTCCGTTTTGCAATTGTTCTAATCGGCAAACACGAAGAAGAAATAATTAGTAGAAATGATGCAATTATGCGAGTTTCAAAAGCTGCAAGTCGTTTAGCTTTTGATGAACAAGCTATTGTTGATGTTGGTTTTACAAATTTGAAAATTGATAATCTTTCGAAATTTTCAGATGGCTTTCAATATTTTGAATCTACCAACAAGATTGGAGCTCAAAAATTTGCAATTATTGTACGTTTCAGTTCTAGCTGAGCGTCTTGAAAAGAAAACAAGAAGAGCAAATGCATTTGTGGTTAGTTGGAAAAATGAATGTAGCTTCAAATTTTTACTTATTCAAGCCATATAATCATGATTCCAATTTTTCAGAATATGCTCGCAAACACATTCAGCAATGAAAAACTGATTTCTAACATTTTCATTGATGAGTTTTCCCCCGATCATGGTTTCGTTGTATCCGGTCATCATTTGATGGGTAAAATTGCAAAAATCAAAGTCGTTCAGAATCGTGGAACAATGGCTGATATTGATATTGAGGTAAGTCACAATACAATTCCACAAAATTCCATGATTTTTGTAGTTTGACTGTCGAGTGATGTCAATATGTATGGTAAAACCAGACATGGCATATGTTAGTTTGATATCCGGTTATATGATTTGCGCCCACATTGGATCAAATGATGAGTGGAGTGTTTTATGGGAGATCAAACTTCCAGATGTTGCAACTTGTTTGATTCATCGAGAAAATACTTTATTTGCTGGATTGGCAAATGGAATTCTGACCGTTTTTGAGAATTCTGGAGATAAATGGCCGACCAGTGTGCAAATGTGGCATTTACCGTTGAGTTCAGCGCCTTTGATGAATTGTGTAATTCATGATGATTTATTGATTGTTGCTACAGCTTGTAAACTTATCACTTTGGATGCCGCGTGAGTGACAAAATTGTTTTTATAAATAAAACACAAGTACATTAAAGTTAATTGTCATTTTTTAGGTCCCTGACAACATTATCAACAACACATGTCGCCTCATCGAGCACTGGCTCAGGAGTATTCTACTTTGATAAGGTAAACAGAGTACACCCAAAAAAAGGTTACAAATATTTTCAACAAGTATATTTGTTTGTTTGTTTTCAGATAACATGTATGTGCGAATCGTCGTTTGGTATTTTTCTGACCACCGATCATTCGACGCTAATTCAATTATGGCAAGATACAACATGCAATTTGTTGTATGATATTTCATTCGATCATAAAACACGGTTCGCTTTTTCTTGCAAACATATTGCAAAATATAGATTTCTTTGCAGAAAACCTTCACTTTCGGAGACTGAAAGTTCTGTTCACGTTGAATCATTGCTTTTTAATGATTCGTTGTTATGGATTGGAACTTCTGATGGATATGTGTTTATTTATGATGTTGAACCAACAGATAATGATAGAGAAAATGAAGTGAAATATAGATTGAAGAAATTCTCCACAGATAAAAGAGGAAGTCGAAGTTCAGCATCGAAATCATGCCGCCTTGAAAGTCTTCCAGAAGATTTGGTGGAAAATGATGTTCCAGTTGTTGGAAAAGAGAAACGAGCAAGTCGTGTTAGTATTTGTATTGATAGAGAAACCCAACAATACAGTGCTATTTTGAAAAATGCCGAAGAAGAACAGGAGGGAACTGGATCATCAAGTCGATTTAATAGTCATTCAAGCAAAACTATCAGATCTCCAATTCGTAAAGGATTCAGTGCCGATTCAGCAGTTTCTGTGTTCAGTTCAGAGCCTTACACTGAAACGAAAATTGATTTAATTGAAAAAAGTGATGAGGTTTTTGCTTTCAACAAGAAGGAGATCAACAAATTTCCAGAAGCCAGGTAGTTTTTAATTGTTTTTCCTCGTAACTATTAATAATTGCTAATTGTAGATTGGTTAGTTCTACTGATTCGAGTTGCACATCAATGGAATTTGATGACACCTTTGAATTATATTCCGATGAAGAAAGATCGAGAAGACAAATTGCGATTACATCGCCAAAAAGATTGGCAACAATGAATTTGAGTCGACAAATACATTTGAAGAGAAGAGATTTGACATTCGATGAACCTTATTTTGTGCCAGTTCCAGAGTCGACTGATAAAGAGTTGGCTAGTGATATTGATGCTGATACTGTGTAAGTGGAATGATCGAGGTCGGAAAAAATCTTTTATGAACTTTTAAAAATGAAGAGTCGGCATGATGTTCTCATCAGAATATTTTCTAGAAAAAACTATTTGTTCTTTGTTTTTCAAACGAAGTTATGAAATTGACCTTTGTGGAAAAGTTCTTTTGACAAACCATAAACCACAAGTCACATTTTCCACGTCATATAATTTTTTCGCAGAACTCATCATGTGAAAACATAAAAAACCCAAAAAATTTTGATTTTCCAGAGTTCCAAGTGTTCGATTAACATTATCAATGAAAATCAAAATTTCCGATTCGTCAGTCAGAAAAATAATTTCCAGCGGGTAAGTTCACACAACAACCATCAAAAAAACTAGGAACAATCTCATATTTCCAGACCTTCTCATATTCTAACATGTTCCGGAGAATTTGACGCTGATGAAGCTGTTTTATTATGGAGAAAAGATGAAGAAAATGTGGGTTCCCTCTATTTCTTCTGAAATTCTCGAAATCTTTGTTTTTCAGAATTTATGGATCAACGATCCGGTATTGCATATAAGTAGTTTTAGCTCAGGTTCTTCCCCAATCGATTCGCAACCGTCAACCGGAAGATCAAAATAATTTAATGTATTTATTTGTTTTCGGTGTTCATATATAAAGTTCAAAAATGATTGATTAGTTTAGTTTGTGAATTAGTTCAACAAGAGATAATAAACCATGCCAACAATAACAGCAAGAAGCCCAAAATATACCAAGTTATCGAGAGGTGAGGATGAGTCACTGAAAAATTTTGCAAAGTGTTTTGAAGGGGTGAGAATTCTAGATACCTTCTTTGTTTGTTATCTGAACTTGTGGTGGATGACCAGGATTTTTTGTCATAAGAGTAGGTTTTTCGCTCATCGAGCACAACTTCGCCAACCAAAAAATCTTCTTTCATTTGACGAGCATCTGTAGAATGACCGACATCTTCGAAAGCTTCGGTTCCATCACCACCGGCTTGTTCGAGAAGAACTTCACAGCCTCCCGGATGCTGAAACAGTTTTATAAGGGATTGTAAGGTGGATTAGAAAATCAATTACCTCATCCAAAAATTTGGTGACATCATAAACTTTGTTGCCAATTACCATCCATGCTGATTTGTTGGTATTATGTTCGGAGACCTCTCTCAATGAGATTTGTTGAAGCTCAGCCATCTTAATTAGAAATTAATTAATATTTTTCATTCAAAAAGAGAACAACAAATAAAAGAAAAGGGCAGCAGAAAAGGTATAAGTAAATCAATACGCTAGACTATGTAGAATGATAAAAAAAAGTGTGTATTTATTTTTTTATAATAAAAAATACATAAACCATAAATAAATGTGCGACAACAGAGAAAAGTGGCGAACACACACATACAACTAGGCCGATCGTTAGATTTGATGGAATTTTGAAGGGCATCGAGAATGCGAGATAGTGAAAGAGAGAGAAAAACTGTGTGCTAGAGAGTTAGAGAAAAAATGGTCGACTACACAATACCCCCGGCATGTATTTTTTGTTTTTTTGTGAGTAATTAGTGAACAGGAATTGTGGCATGAGAGATGTTTTGTTAACTGAATTTTCAAGAGAAACAATTGATACGAAAATTGAAAATGTGACCATTTGTAGTGTGGTTTATGCCTTTAGCTACACAAATACACGTAATCGTTGTGATCAAAGTTTTTTTCTGCAATGAGGGAGGGAAAAAAACAAATAAGCAGCGAATTATTTGGAGAAAAATCGTCCGATCAATGTGGTGTTATCAACCATTTTTACTCTTATTAATATGAATATGATCAACATTTTTTTATTTATTAACAAAAATACAGGAAAATACAAAAAAAATGGGTTAGGGTAGGACTGGAAGGGTACACGAATTGCAGACTACAGGCAAAACTAATATCTAACAGGAGATCAAATGCGGTAAATAAATATAGTATGTGTACAGGGTTTTTGTGGACAAGAGTGGGCAATAAAATGTTTATTCAATTGGTTGTCTAGCGCATATTGGAACAGATCGATGCTCCATTCTGAAAAAAATCCGTTTTTTTTAGAAAATTATTAAACTTCTAACGAATCTACAAAATAATTCTATTATAAAACTTACACTGGTGGGCTCACATAGAGATTAACAAACGATCCTCCATCTCGTAAATTTTTCATTTCTGTAGTGGGATACAAAATGAAACGAGATTTACCAAATTGATCAGCGACGTATAAAACGAAACATTGAACAGTCTGAAAAATGATATATAAATATATTTTTTCTGTTTGTTTCAAAAAAAAAAATGAAAAACTTACAATACCGTTGAAATACACATCAAAATAGTCTCCTTGTCCTGGCCAATGTGTGAGCTTTGATCTTGTCAACATTTGGAATTCATCTAAATCTCTTGCTTCGAAGCCTGAAATGTAATATGTTTGATTATTTTTATTCATAATTTTCTATTAAAAATTCGTACCTCCGTGCACTTTTTGACCATTTGCCAAATATGCAACAGCATTACATCTTCCGTCATAAAAATGACTGATATCTAAAAATGGTCGATTTTTCTTGGCTTCAATAGCTTCCTCGATAGTTTTTGTTTCAACTCGTACGCCTTCAATTGCCAATTTATCACGTGGTGTAAGTGTTGGACGACTATTCTCAAAGAACTCATTGAACGGTACAACTTGACAGAATGTGTCATCAGCATCTTTGATCGTACTAGTATCCATTTCTGGTGAAAGTGCATAATAGTTCTCTTCTTCACTTTCCTCGAAAATCACATCCAAACTTGGATAATATTTATCGCTAACTGGAACCTCTCCATGTCTTTTAGCACTTTCAATAACCGGTGGACGACGTTCAGCAGGTTCAGTTGTTGAGACGACAGGTTCACGGTATCCTTTTTGCTCTCTTAGAGTTATATTCAAACCAGGTGGAAGAACAGCTTCAATGACGTCTCTTCTTTGTTCAACTGGTGTCCATCCATATTCTGGTTTTTTCTCCAACAATTCTTTATGCAACTTTTCATTTTTCTGTCGGAATATATCACGGTTTATATTGATTGTAATATTTGATCTATCACTCTTGATAATAAACACCGTGCGTTTTGGAGCTGTTGGAGCAACAGGGGCGGCTTGTTTTCTAACAACCACTTGGGGATTTTGAGTGGTTTCTGTAAAAAAATATGATGTCATCAATTTCATAATGATGCATTTTTAGAAAATTTTGTTTTTTTTTTCGAATTTAAAAACCGATTTACAAAAAAAACTCACGATTATTTCCAACAATTCTGAAGCGTTTCATTGGAGGTGAGAATGGAACAGTTGGAAGTTGAAGTTGCTGTGGACGATGATATTGAATTTCATAAGTTTCTTCCTCAGTTCTCATTGTTCTTTCAGGTCTCAAAATTCGTCTTGGTTGGACTTGTTGTTGTTGAATATTCTGCTGTTTTTGAGTTGGTGAAGGATAAAATGTTCTCACTGGCACTCTTTTAATAATATAGTTGGTATGCACAGGAGCCTATAATTTATGCGTTTTTGGAGAAATTTTTTTTTAATTTCATATTTCAGAGTTACATACCTTCTCATAGACATGTACAACTTCATCAGCAGCTTCTTCGTAAGTTTCAACTGGGAATGATTTTCTTGGGGTAATGTGACGTGGCACCATATTTTCCGCATTGTTCATCATTGCATCAACAATTTCTTTAACACTTCCAGCTGGCTCGTCTTTTTTCTCCGAGAAAACTGATTCTGCTAAACCATCAATCTAAAAAAAATACACTAAATTATTTTTGAAATTAGGTTGATTACACATACCAAAATACGACATTTGTCCAGGTTAGATCGATCGCAGACTCGCAACACATAAGCGATACCGTGAATAATTTTGTGCATTTTATCTTCATTCCAAGTATTTTGAGTGAATTTGGATAAGGCGTATTTCGGGAATGGACATGCATTTTTCCAATGTGCGTTGAGAAGTGGTTGATTTTTGAATCTGAATGTTTTTTTTTGTTTTTCTAACATATTCTGCTTGTAAAACTCACTCTTCCTGGCAAAGCATACATTGTTTCTTTCCGTGTCTCTTTTCATAATGTGCCTGTTTTCTACCCTCACTTGTAAAATGAACATGACAATTTTGACCTGTACACTGTCTTTTCAATCTATCGTTAAACCAAACTAATTGATTTGGTTTTATGATAGGAGTTGAATTCGGACCAAATTCGTACTGAAAAAAAACATTTGGAAAAGTGGATTTCTTAATTAAAGGGGGTATACCCTATTGTCTCTTGTGCAAAGTGTGATACATCATTTGATTCAGAATTTTGTGTTATATATGCACAAAAAATTTTAGCTCTCAAAACGCATTCTAAGTACACGTTTTTTGCGTCCAAACAGGACCAAAATCTGCTCGAAATAAAAAAAGAACACACAAGAAAGAGAGACGCAGACTCTCGCTGTCTGCTAGCCAGCCAGCATGTGTGTTGTTTTTTCTTCTTTTTTTTAATTTTTATAAGTTTATTACAGTATATTCAGACTTACCGTAGTTGTTGAACACAAAATTCAAAAAAAAAACAATATACATGCTGGCTGGCTGGCAGACAGCGAGAGTCTGCGTCTCTCTTTCTTGTGTGTTCTTTTTTTATTTCGAGCAGATTTTGGTCCTGTTTGGACGCAAAAAACGTGTACTTGGAATCCGTTTTGAGAGCTAAAATTTTTTGTGCATATATAACACAAAATTCTGAATCAAATGATGTATCACACTTTGCACAAGAGACAATAGGGTATACCCCCTTTAAGTTTAAACAATTACCGTATTGAGTACAAGATCCGAACCATCCATGATGTAGATACGTTTAACTATTTTGTTCGGGCCTTCAATATTAATCCAACTTCCTTTTGTTGTAATGTAATGAGGGAAATAATTGGAGAAAATATTTGCTGTACACGCATGCTCATTATCCGGAATTTTATAATCCTGAAATAAAATTTTCACAGTGCTCTAAAAAAAGTAATTCAACTTACCGTTAATCGTTGAATTTCGAAACAATCATTAAAAATATCAAGAGTGGTTCCCTCATTTTTTCGAATCGGTGTCAATTGTCCAGTATAATAATACAATTGTCCATCTGATTGCATAATTTGTCGTTGTTCGTTGAGAAGATCATTCATAAAGGTGAGTCTTCCAGACCAATCTGCCATGTTTGTTGAAACATATGCTGGATGCGGTATACAATTTTGAAGTAAAAGAAATGCGAATCCAACTAATTGTTCATCAGTGAGATTTCTGTCTGATCCATGTGCAACCATTTGTGCACAAACCGTTCTCCAATGTGTGAATAGATCTTCTTTACTACTGAAAAAATGAATTTTGTTAATTATAAAAAATAAAAACAAAACAAACCTGTAATGTTGTGCGCAAAGATGACAGAAATAGACTTGTTTAATTGGTTCATCAATTCTTATTTTCATCAAATGCACATTACAATGATCCTCTTTATACAAAACCGACATAACCAATCCACAAATTGGGCAAACTTGCTCAGTGATATAGGCGATTCGATCAATACAATCTCCAACAAACTTATCATTCATAATGAAAATAATACCACCGTGAAGAGAGAATTCATGTCCACGATTTTGATGCAGCATAATAGTATATACAACAGTTTTAATAGCCTCGACACTGTTTTTCACCTGAACAAATTATTTATTGATCGAAGAAAACAAAAGTAAAATTAGAAACTCACATTTTCTGGTATTTGAATTCGCAAATGAACACTATTTTTTATCACAGGACAAGTTTGCCTCCAATGATTGTAGATGTTGTAAGTGTATTTCATTGGTGCACTGCAGAGTTGGCACAGAAAAATACCACATACCTGGAAAAATAATAATTTATAAGGATTTCTGAATTCAGTATTTTGTAGATCTCCCGGTTCTACTTATTAGATTATTTTAATTTTTCTCAAAACAAATTTCTGATACTTGACATTTCCAAGTTTAATTATAGGTTTCAAAAAAATCATTACTTTAAAAATCAGGTAGTGCGTGTTTTATTATTTTCAGCTAATTTCTATTTGTGTGTGTGTTTCTGGAATTATACTTCAGAATATTATTGTTTCAATTGTAAGTTCATAGAGCGATTGAAAAAGTTTCAAAACGCGTTGCGAAACATAAAATTAAAATGCACGAAACTCAATTTCTCGACATTTTCAATGTGTTTTGTGTTCGTTTCAAAACTTTGTGAATCGTTTCATTATCAAATATAGAGATAACTGTTTTTTTTTGAGATAACGGCTTTCAAGCATGAAACTCTTTCAAAATATTCTATAAATTTTAAACATCTTTGTCAGTTTTTTTATTCTTGATTATTTCATATTAGTTTGGTTGCCATGCCAGTGTAGTTACGATTTTTTCATTGTGGTATTTTTTGTTAGATTGTGTGTTAAACTTGAATAACAAAACAAATTTATGTGAATAAACTTGTTAATTTGTAGAATAAGCGTCGTGTTTCAGATATACATAGATACGCAAACTGATACTGATAATGATGCTTGTACTCTTTGTGGTTGAGGTTCTGATTCAAACTCAGATTCTGAGTCAGATTCAGTGTCTGTATCTTCTACCTCATCGTTCTCACTTACTCTATGAGCAACGCTATGTCTTGTAAGATGCGCTTTCTTCTCAAACGACCATGGACAATCTGGGCATCGGTTTACAAAGCATCCACGAGTACTTGCTGGTGCTATAAATAGAAAATATAATAATTTGAGAAATCTTCTTGAAGAAAAATTATTATAACTTACGTTTGTATGCTTTTCCGGTGATTGGATAATCCTCGAATCCTTCTACAGTTGGTCTCTTTGTAGCTTTTTTCTTTGGTGGTTGCTTAGTTGGTGATTGTTGTTCTGGAGAAGATTGAACAACAAATTGAACTTGTTGTTGCTCCCCCGTTGGCACCATTACCGCTGAAAAAAGAATTATGACTTTAAAAACAACAATTTTTTTGAGGGAAATAGTGTAATTTTAAAATTCAAAGAGAAGTAAGCGTCAACTATAAGTTATCTAGTATTTTATAAAATTTGGAAAAGTCAAGTTAATAATGTATAAACATGCAAAAAAGACGATAATGACCTGCTCGATGGGTGGCAATCAATAATGCGGCAAACGCGAAGACAAAAGCAGGGAAGCGGGATAGACATACAGGGGACAACATCAAACGCGCCCTATTGCTAAACAACATCTGGTCCCTGTGAGATGGGTCTGCCTAGTGTGAATATGTGCTAAATCCCTTTATTTTTTGTTTTTGAACACTTTTTTTTGATTTTTTTAAAACTTACTTGTTTCATTTGATCTTTTGGTAGGTTTCTTGCGAGTTGGCATGGCTGAAAAATACACAAATTTTTGTAATCCTGAAAATTAACGTGACAAAAATAGAAAAAAATATAAGCGTGTATCTGAAAACCTGCAAATTTCCTGAATTTAATTGGGATATTTTTAGAATTAATTAGTATATTGAATTTAATTGGGGGTTTGGTTGTACTCCTGAAAGGATATGACGTGCTTCTGGTTTTTTAGTTTTCAAGTTTTCATAAGAAAAAATTCTAGAAATAATATGCAAGGATTCGAAATATTTCTCTTATATTCAGAAGAAATGAATTCGTCAGGAAAATTTCAAATAAAAATCCGAAAGGGACGCTGTTTCCATAGTGATAATTCATTTTGTATTCAAATTTATAGCACCAAAATCACCTGGAATATTATTTTCTTGAAGTATATAGTGAAATTTTAAAGGGAATTTGAAAGAAAAATGGAAAAATAAGAATATTCGTGAGAATTTTTTTTTATAATTACTGTGAGAAAAATTGAATATTCAGCAAAATGTTTTTTTTTGGAAGGATAAAACCAAAATAAACTTTTTTAAAAGAGAATCTAGGAAAATTTATAATCTAGAAGATTGTAAATAATGAAGAAAAATATATTTTCCGCTAAACTTATAAACAGAAAACTGAATTATAGATTACTGTAAGAGAGTAATAATATTTCTTATCAATCCAGTATTTTTTTCTTGAAAAAAACTGCCCCTTTCATTTCATTTCGATGAAAAAAGGTTGCCTGAGAATCCAGATGTTTGCTGAAAAATAAGCTACAATGTCTAGTCGCATAAAATTTTCAGCCAATTTGATAAACCAATATAAAGTTCATTTTGATTATAAAATGTCAAGTTGAAAGTTTTCAATTTCCTTTGGGATTTTAGATATCACCTCAATGTCAAACTCTGTGCGTCAAACGTTGAAAAATCATCATCACGGGTGCTCAATCAAGAGTGACAATAAATTAATGATACTCAAAAATACTATGACGTGGATAACCTCCCAGATTTCTACGTAATAGAAATGGTGATTGGAAAATTACGTTACTTAAGGAGAGAGAAAATTTGAAATAAAAATCATTTTATTTCAGAAATGAATACTAAATCACCTCTACCTTCATTAAATTTTTGAATGCTTTCGATTTCAAATATTCCCCTCCATATTTCAATCTGAAAATTCTGATTGTCTTCTACCCTTTTGAAATATCAAAAAAACATTTTCCAGTAAAAACATAGCTTCTGAAATCTGTAATTATTCATCAAATATTTCTATTTTTGAACAAAATTGCGAACAGCTTCTTTTTTCCACAAGAAAAATCCAATTTGTGTCTCCGAAAATTGGTTTGATTAATTTCTTCAAGCAAAAAATAGTGACGCCACTTGAAAATTATTTTCGGAACACTGATTTTCTGAACAACAAATGTTTCTGATCTAGCGTTTTTCAGCTGCCTCGGCCAATTTTTTGAAAGCAAAGTTTGTCTGAAATAAGTTCTGTGAAATTTGCACATGTACTCCAACAATTTATTTTCTCCCTTATTTTTCACCATTCAGGTTCACAAATGTCTGATCTCTGTAACTACCCCACATTTTTCGTCGCTCTCATTTCCTTTTTTCTCACTCTACACTCCATTTTTTCCATATTATCTCAATATTTTCTCTCCCTATCCCAATTTTCGCCTGCCTGCCTGCCTGCTTGCTTGCTTTCTTGCAGGGCGAAAAAATCAGTTCATAATAGAAGAAGACAAGAGAGCAGACAGTGAAACACTCTGCTGTTTTTTTTTTCAAAATGTTCTCGCAATAAAACGCGCTCTATTGAGAGAACACAAACGCTTCGCAGATGTGCAACGGCATCGGCCCTGCGAACAGAAAATATTGGCTTGTATTTTTTTTCTTCTCGTTCATTTACATTTTTTTTCAAAAAAGGTGTTCTACCCGAATTTCAAACATTTCTCTGTGTCTATTTCACCTGGATCAGAAAAAAATTGTTTGTATTTTTTGTTGAATTTGAGAGAAGTGGCTGAATAATTGGTGAGTTGAATATTTTTTTAATGTATTTATTCAGAAAGCATTTTCATTCAAAGTTTCATAAGAGCTATTCAATTTTTTGTAAGCAAAGTTCTTCTTTTTAAAGTAATGTTTTTCTAACTTTCCTAAAATGTTTCGAAAATTCAACCGATAGACAAAAAATAGTACTATAAACATATGTTCTTTTTTTACTAAACCATCTGTTAATCAAAAAAAATCTCTGATGGGAAATTTTTGTAGAAAATTGAACGATTTTCGAAGCAAAATCTATAGATCAAATTGAAATTTAAGCGATTCTTTACAAAATTTCCGGTTTTAGGTAGATATTTTTGATCCTATAGCTAGAAAAATCATAATTAAATTGTTATTTTGTGCCAAATTCGGGTTAATTCAAACAACCGTAACATATTTGCTATAAAAAGTTAAAAGTTATTTCGACTCCGACTTTATTATTTAAAAAAAGTATCGAAATTTCATGCACTTCAAAAACAATAATACAGTAATCCTCTGACTATGAGCATTTTTCATTTCTTCAAAACCTGAATATCCATTAAATTTCTCATTTTATTACGTACTTACAGTAATCACGTAGCACTCAACGCCATTAGAATTCTGGCTTGAATTGAACTAATAAACTACAGTAACCTGATGGCTTTAAAAGGGTTGAAGTCATTCTTCTTAAAAGTTTTCTCATTTCAATATGCACTTACAGTACTCCTCCTTTATATTATAAAAAAACGACTTCTAAAACAAATAAATTTAAGAAAAAAATAAATAAAATCCTGACTCATACATTTTTATGTGAAATAAATGTAGATCTGAAAATCTTTCTCCTTATTTTTTTCTTTCATTTTCTTCCCACACAAACGCCCAAAGAGTTTTTGCAAATTTATATTATTGTGTTCGCCCCTAGCACGATATTTTTACACCCCCTCCTAAATCGACACGATTATTGTATGTTTGCTACTGTTTTGTGTTTTGCATGTTACGTATTGCACTTTCATTTTTTTTCCCAATATTTTTGTATTCAATATAAAACTTTGCAAAAAAAATGAGTGACAACACATTTGTTTCCAGAGAATTTTAGACAATCTAGAAAAATCAATCAAGTAACCTTAATTCAATTGAGTGTTTCTTAAAAAAGGGCGTCCCTGCTTTTCACTCATCCTATTTTTTCCAACTAAATTAAATCATCCAACATCCATCATTGTCAAACATTTTTTTTCTCCTTCTTTTTTTTCTTCATTTTGTCGCACTAACAAATAAAAGAACACTAAAAATAATACTAACTAACTAAATGAGTGTGAGCGAGTGAGTGAGAAAAAGGAAAAAAGCGAACAGCAGCAGCACGATATTGATTGCGGTCTTGTCGCGAAGCTCGTGCTGCCATGCACCTTTGATTCGGTTGCCCTATTGCACTTTTAAATCTTCTCTCCGCCTTTTCGCCGCTCTTTCTTTTTTCTTCTTCTCTCATTCTATTTTTTGATACTGAAAAAAACGAGGGAAACGAGGGAACTTGTCAAGTGTTTTTGCTTGTGTGTATGTGTGTGTCTTGAAACAAATATAGTTCAGTTCAGAAATATATTTCGCTCTCTTCGTACCTCCATGATAAGTGTGTGTGTTATCAATTTTTTTCCTTCTCTATTTCTCTTCAATTTTTTTTCTAAAATGTGCGTGCCTATATCGGTGTTTTTTTTCAGGGTAGCTAAGGACGAGTTCGTCCTTGACAATGACATCGAACCAAGGTAATTTTTTGATTTTGTTTTTTAGAAAAAAAAAAACAAAAAAAAAGAATTTGCAGAACCTCATGTGATTTATCAACCAGCGTATGTGCAAGGTTATCCAACCGGAGCACCAGTAAATGTTTGGAATCAGCCGCCAAATCAAGCAGTGACATATGCGATTCCTTACCCACCCAATCAGATGGGAAGCTATGCTGATAAGGCAGGATATGATGGATATCCCCCGTTGGCATATCAAGCACACGATAACGGTGAAATGATGAGACAACATCATTATCAAGCACAACATTATGCACAGCCAAATCAATGGCAATATCAACAAGGACAATCGCATTTCATACCGACTTATGCGACCAATTTCAACGCCGTCACTGATCCAGCATATCAAGGTGGACCGCCCCCAAACATGAATCGACCACCGCCAAATGTGAAACGAGACGATTTTCAAGGCACCATCGGTATGATGGAAAACCCCGCCCAATCGGCAGCCGCATACACAGCAAGTTGGGTCAGCTCGACGTCGAGTATTCCTCCGGAGATGAGGGATGAGCCAGAGATTGTGAGTCACTTTTTTTGTTTGAACTATAATTGTTTTATTATTTTTTAGGCAGAAGAAAATGGGGGAAATTATGAAGGTCGAAATAGTGGCCAATGGCCATCGTTGAACGAAGAAAATCGCGCGAAAAATGATAAAAGTGGCGCGAAAAAAACCGAAAGACGCGATGAGCCAAGAGAGCTCACATTTGACGAGCGTCTTGAAAAAGCAAGAATGCAAAAAGATCGGGTCGAGAATCAAGGGTTTGAAAATAATGGAACCAATAATACTGCCCCATCCACTGCGCCGCCAGCACAAGGTGCCCCACAAAGAAATAATAGTAATAATAATAATAATAATAATGGTGGAAATAATAATGGAGCAAATAGTGGAAGTAGCAGTGCACAAAATACGGGAAGTTTACCAGCCGGTGCTGTACAACAAACACAAGGAATCCGTCCAGAGAGTAGTAGTCGCGGACATAACGGTCCAGTTATTTATAATCAAGGCCCACCACGTGGTATGGCAAGAGGAGGTCCACAGATGAATGGCGGAGATCGTAGAAATAATTATAGACAAGACGTGAGTTTGTTTTCTCTTCGGAAGAGGCTCTTCCTTCCATTTAACAAGAACAATTAGAAATTTTCAGTATCAAAATGATGGCCGTCAAGACATGGGATATTCGGGTTATCAAGGTCGTGGTGGCAAACGTGTTATTGGCAACGGCGTTGGAAATATGCCAAGTGGAAGTGGCGGTATGCCACTCGCTCATCAACCGCATATTCAACACCAACAGCAACCACCCTTGCAACAACATCAACAACAACCATATCAAATGGGATTGATGCATTCGGGTATGCCGATACAATATGCGCAACCGCCAGTTTATGCGCCACAAAATCATCAATACGTTTTGGCGTCGCCAATGACACAAACTATTGATCCGCAATTATTGGCAAATATTGCAGGTAATTTGGAAATATTTTCAGAAGGTTTCATAGAAATTCAAATATTTCAGCTTTGCAAAACACACATTTGTCATATTCACCAATGCGTCGATATTTGTTGCCTGGACCATTTGGTATGATGCCGCAACCCATCCAACAAGACGCCAAATTCCGTAACACTTGGTTGGATGCTCAAAGTTATCCACCATTCGGTGCAATGTTCGGATATGACACGAGAGGACGTGGCGGATATCGTGGCCGAGGTGGATCACGTGGGGGATATAGAGGTGGCGGACCTCGTAGATATGATAACCGTCGGGATGATCGTCGAGATGATCGCGAGAGAACTCAAGCAGCAGCTGCACCAGTGGCCGAAGAAGAAGGTCAAGAGAAGTCTGATGAAAATGAGGAAGAAGGTGCAACATCAGCTGAGACTGGAGCTGAAATTGAAATTGGAGTTGAGGGAGCTGAAACTGAGGAGGCCGAGGAGAACCCGACCACAGAAGCTGTGTCGACTGAAACTGATGAGAAAGCTGCTGAAACTCAAGAAGAGAGCAGCGAAACTGTAAAAGAACCAGTTGGAGAGAAAGATTTAGCGTAAGTTTTGATTATCGCCATTCACTTTTCAACAATTATATTTTTGCAGTTCGAAGCCTGAACAGAAAGAAGCTAAATCTGAGGGGAAAAGTAAAGAGAAATAAATCGGCGACTACCAATTGAAAGACAGTGCATTCTCCAACAATAGAAAATAGAAACTGTCTTGTTTTCGCGATTTGTCTTAATTTTACTTATTTTTTTCCAATTTTTTTCATTTTTTTCTTTGTCTTGTCTCACTGGATTTAAAAAATTTATTCAAAAGCTTTTAGCACCAAAAAAAAATAAAATCCTGTGTTCATTTTTGTATTTTTTTTGCTAACAATTTCATCGCTGTCGACTGAACATGGTTCACATTTTTTTCTTAAATTTTTTCGCGTCGTCTGAAACAAGATTTTCTAATTGCAAAGATCTAATCTATTTTCATTTTGTGTAGTTTTTTCTTGAAATCTTGTCTGCTTCGTGAAGCGATTGTAATTGTAATTGTTCCTAATAAAAATTTCAAAAATGTATTCATTTGAACTTTATTTTTTTACCGGCATTGATTATTATTTGAGATGATTTCCGACCAGATTTGTTTTCGTTTATCCATTGGGTAACTGCAAACAATTTTAGTTATTCAAATTTTTCAGAGAAACAATAAAAAACCTTTGGGATGGCCTGAAGTGAGCGAAAATCGTTCGAAATTTTTTGTGTTTCAAATTCAATAACCTCTGTTTCAGCTCATTTTCTGAATTTGTAGAAAGCATATGTTGGTCTAACGAATAATAGCTGATTTTTTGGTCTCCAACTAACGACCTAGTCACATACCAGTCATCCATCTAAAAAAACGAACTCGAATGAGGGAAAAGGGTAATTAAAACATACCCATAAAATTTGCCTTTTTGCAATGTTCGAGCTGAAAGTTTTCAATAAATTCCCACTAAACAAATATGCCATTCCTTGACAATATGTCCCCAAATCATTATATTTGTACTCTTTTTTTGATAAATACCATTTTGATAGCGGATTTCGGACAACTGTTCCATGTGGGAAAACTCGACATGCAATAAAATCATCTTGTTTTGAATATCTGAAATAAGTTGGCAAATCACTTTTTTTTTGATTTTCTAAAATTGGACGAAAATTGTTTCACAGTGTTCCTTTCACTTTCCTTCCCTTCTATTAAAAAATACCAAAAATAGTTTTGACCTACCTTTGAATCAGAAATGTCAATCCGATAAGATCTACATGAACATCGTCGTCAAGTTTAATGATCAGATTTGGGGTTTCCTCACATTTCGAGAATTCTTTGATCCAAAAAATTGCCTTGTATGAAATATTATGATATGTTTCATCAATATCAGATTGTAAAATATCACCATATTTCTGATTTTCAGATGAAATTGTAATATTTGTTCTACTTCCAACCACGAAATATAGAATAGCGTTGTTCTAAAAAACTCAATTTTGCAGTGAAGAAGTCAGAAACCAGATAATTCTTACATAATTCAACCAATCTTTGCTAACTAGTGATCTTTGATAGTCTCTCCAATTAGTATCATTTATATCGGAATGTATTACGATCACAGTTTTTTGTCTCAAATATTTACAATTTATCGAGATTGACTGATTGGTTTTATTTGGCAGATAAATTGGTTGGGGGTATTTTTCGAGCTTTGGACCTTGCGCCAGAAAAACCTGGAAATTAAAAAACCGACATGTTGAGGAAGATTGATTGAGTGTGTTGTTTTTTCTATTTGACAATTGAAATTGAAAATGAAATTGGAATCAGTTTTTCAAACAAAGGAAGTAATAACACAATGGGTTACGGTAGCTTCCGAAAAGAAGAGTGACAGGTTCAAATTGAGATTTTTAATGAAAAGAAAAATATATAGGCATTGAGAGCATTCTGAATTCAAAAAAAAATGAGGTAGGGATCAGGTTTGGAAGATTTTGAAAGCTGAGCATTCATATCTGATAAATTTTCGAACTACAAAGAATTTATAATTTTAAATTAGAAAATATATGTAGTTTTGAATTAATTGAACGAAATTTCAGATAAAACGGGTTTCCAAAAGTTTTGAATGATCTAAAAAAAATATTTTTGAAAAACCCACCGGATGGACATGCTGATTAGGCGGCAAATTCAAACATGCAGCCGCCTCAAAAGCCCCAGTCGCTCCAAACTTGATGGAAAATTCTGGCAACGTCGAAATAGTAAAAACCAAACAAAACACAACAATTACAACCACCAAGAATATTCTATAAACAGTTTTCATTCACTTAAGATGAAAAATACTATAGTTATGGTATATCACAAAAATATTCTCCATACTTATCCATTATTATTAATGTTGTTATTGTTCTTCGTTCTTTTTTGCCTTTCTCTATTTCTTCTTCATTCTCTCCTTGTTCTGATCCTAAATTAGGTCAATCTCAAGAAATTCACACGTTCATTATTTATTACATACAAACAACATTCATTTTGTTTTTGTTTAAAAAAAAAGAAAAAACCTGTACAAAAATTATCACGGTTCAAGTGAAAATCTATCTTCGCGGAATAAGAGGAAACAGTTTGATATGAGCAATGGTATAGTATACAAGAAAATTAAAAATTATTTTTTCAGAGTTTGGGTTATATTTTTGATTCGTAGGCAAGTCGATGGGCATTTTTCGGATTTGTTAGTTGTTTTTCCCACTTCGCGAAAGCGTAACAGCTAATATGATTGCAACGATAATTAGAATTATGACGATTGTAATGAGGATTGCCGCAACACAAATCTGCAAGTTGTGTTTGCTTTTTTTTTTCGTATTAGTTTATTTTTGGTTCTGCTTAATTGGACAATTATAATCCTCCGGGAAAACATGTTTCGTCATCATATTTTTCATTTTCATCGAAATATATATTTTTTTGTTTGAAAAATAATTGGATGAAACGGACTATGACGAATTTCGAATAAAAAGAAAAAAAAGAGTTCGAGAGAAGAGTAAAAAAAATGAGGGGGTTGAAATGAGAATTTTTGACAGGGAAGCTTTTTTGCAAGAATTTTCTGGAATTTCGAGAAAGGGGGATTTTCAAAGAAATTGTTGAAAGGGAACTTTGCTTGGGATTTAGGTTATCAATGAGTTTGAAAAATCTAGTTTATGTTACTATATGTTATAATCAATTCCAATAGTCAAAATTTTAAAATATACCAAAAAATCCTACCTAGTTCAAGAACTAAACTTTAATTTTAGATGCTTCGAACCTCCTAAAATTTTTTGAAATTTTTTTACCTTCTTTCTCATTGCACTTTTCTTATATTCAACCGCTGTTTTCACATTCACCGCTCCTTGTCTCACTTGTTCTTTCGTATTTTCAACATTGGCTTCAATATTATTCACCATATCACCCTAAACAAAAAATCAATCAAGGTTCAAATAAAATTTAAAATTAAGAAAAAAATACCTGTGATTCAGTAAGATGTTGCATATCTAAAAAGATTTCCTGCAACATTGTGATACTTTTTTCAAGTTCAACGATTTCATTATGACGTTGTTTGACATCTTCATAAGCTGCGCGCCCGGAAACTGACAGCGGATTGACCTCGCGGAAAAATAACTAAAAAATGTTTTTTGAAAATAATTTGTAATTTGTGACGAATAATTCTACCTGTTCGGAACCGCTAGATTCCAAAATTTTATCAATATCTTCATCAGTTAAATTTTGACCAACTGTTTGCAATTGTCGTCGTACGCGAGCTGAAATAAGAAATGTTTGATAACAAAAAAATGAGAAGAAGAAGAGAAGAGAAAAGCGACATTGCGGCGGCATAACTCCATCCCGTCGATAGCTCAGTTGGTAGAGCGGAGGACTGTAGAGTCAGTGGGTATCCTTAGGTCGCTGGTTCGAATCCGGCTCGACGGAATGTTTTTTGTATTTTTTTTGTTTGGAGATTTTTTTTTCAGAATTTTTCTATTTCAAAATTTGAAGTCAGAAAGTTGATTAATTACCTGAAACTCTTGATCGATAATCTGTATGTGTATCATTAAAAACAAAAATCAGATCTGTCATTTTCTTCTTCAACAACTCGATTTGATTTTGTCGTATTTTTACTTCTGTTGTTGAATTGTTTTCTGCAAATGTCAGGTTATACAAACAAACACACCAAAAAAAAACTATCAAATTTCCGGCTTACGTCGTGCAAATTCGGCGAAATCATCTTCAGCTTGTCGAACCAATTTTCGCAAATCACCAGTGCGTCGACGAATAGTCCCAATTTGCTCCTCCAAAACATCTTTATCTCTGGGATCCGCAACTGTCAACGCCAAAATATGTTGTTGTTTTTTGCGAAGTGCTTCGATTTCCCCATATACACTTTCAATAGCACTTCGAACTTCCTGTTAAAAATCGAATTTACATGTTTTTTTTCTGTTGTACTTTCTGTTTATACAGCAAAGGATTTAAATCGTCAATAAATAAAAATGATTCATTTTTTTTTTTGAAAAACGGATAGATGGGAAAATATAGAAAAAATAATCCGAAACTAGTTTTGTTTACCTGCAATCTTCTATCGACATATTCTGCAGCTGATGCTGGACGAGGAGCTGACAATTCTACTTCATCAAAACGATCGGTCACTCGGCTCTGGAAAATAAAAATTATTAATGAATTAATAATTTCTGGAGATTGTCTTGGAGGAATTTTCAAATCTGGTGATAAAATGTTGAATGAAAAATATTTGCTTTGAAATAAATCCCTGGATTTTTTTGACTGGTTCAAATTACAGGAAAAAAATAAATGAAATTTCATGAACTGTTTTGAACCGGACCTAAAATATTCGAAGTTCTGCTTGAAATTTTTATGGAAATTGTAGCTATGATTATTCTTCTGAGAGGAAATATAATTTTGCATCAATGAAACTATTTTTAATAAAAAATTGAAACAAGAATCATGGAAAATGATTTTTTTCTAAAATTGATAATGTTCTTAAAACACACCAAAAAGAACAAGAAAAACACCTTTATTTTCAAAATTATTCAGAATTCCTACACTTACCTGAAACTCGGATAAACGATCCCTCATATTCCGATAAGAAGAAGATCGCTGTAAATACATATCGAAAATATTCCAGCCAAAAATAATAGTAATAAGGTGAAAAAGAGGATTGGAATTTAGTTGTAATTCGATAGTCTCGAAATTTTGTTCACGAAAAATATGTATAGAAAATGTGGAAAAAGGGGGAAAGGGTAGAGGAAAAGCGAAATAAAAATAATAATAATAATATTTGTCGAATCTATTGATTTAACGATTAAATTTTTTTCTCACATTTTTCTTGGATTTTTTTGTTTGTCATTAAAAACTTGGGAAGTTTTTTTCACATTAGAACAATTTTTGAGTCAACAACCAAAATATTTATAGGTTCTGGAAACTTGAGAAATACATACTTGACAGTGAGCAACATCAAATAAAATAAAATACAAAACAAAAATCAATAGCCCAATTTTTCACTCGCTTTGCCTCGAAAAAATTGTGTTTGCTAGTAACCACAAAAATTTTGTACACATAGGCGGAGATGACTGTTTTGTGTTGACTTTGAAAAAATTCAATTTTTTTCTACTATGAGTCACACTATTGTATTTCGAAATGAAATTTATAATTGATAAGAGCCTTCAACACATTTTTTGAATTTATTATTTTCATTGTGATAAAAATGTTTCCTTCGTTTGAAACTTGAGCATTTGCCGCCTCGTTCCATTTTCTATCAAAAATGACGTAGATCTTTTAAGAAAAAATATGAAACGAACAAATAACAAAGTTCAAGTTCAACCCAAATGGAAAATTTTTTAGAAAAAAAATAAAATGAATTGACAAGAGTCAAATATTTACTCTATCATTTAAAATCATGTATTTATGTATGTTAAAACCAATTTTTAGTTTTTGAGGGGGAGAGGAATAAAAATAATTTTTGAATATTTTGAAGGGATTACTATAGCATGAAAACAGGTGGATAAACATAGAGGAAATGCAAAATCTGGTGTTCAAATAAATAAATACGTGTTGTTCAAGAACTTTGAAATGTAAAACAGACAAACATGACTGTTTTTTGAAAATTAAAACATTGGATGTTTTATTTTTATAATGAATCAATGTTTTTGTAATAAGGTTCTCATTTTTATATTTGGAAATTTGAAAAAAAAACCGCGTGTAGTCTCTGAAATTGTCTAGAAAACATCAAATAATTATTATTCATTCAACACCTTTTAGAAGGTTTAAATTTTGTTTGAAAATCAATGAGATTACATTTGCTTTTTATTGGTCATTTAAAACAAATGTTTCAATTAATGATTCTAGAAAAAAATGTGAATTTTCGAGAGCCCCAAAGGCTTTTTTCTCAAAAGAATTCATGAAAACTAGATCAATCAACTCAACAGAAAGTTCGCCAAAAAACTAAAGAAAGACAAATATATGGTTCCAAAGATACAAACTCATTGAAAAAGTCCATTGAAATTCCAAATTAATAAATATATTTGAAAAAGGTTCTAGAAAAATGTCAATGGTCATAATTCACCAAAAATGGATACTTGACCACAAATGTAAATAAATACATATATATGTATATATTTGTATATATATATTCATTATATTCACCCAATTTCTCACTCAAAAAAATGGCTGAACAATCATTCATTCATTCATTCTTTGAGTAGGAAATTATAAATGAGTGCAAACATTTCTACAAAAAAATAACAACAATCCTACGAAAAAAAAAGAAAAATGGAAAATAAAGTGGAAAAAAGTATTCGATTTTTCTTGAAGGCAACCAACAATATAAATGTGGTCAACCGGTTGCTAGGATATTATGCGATTTCGCAATTTTTTCATGTTTTTCGCAGGATTTTTTTTGGAAAGGTTTTTGTAGTTCTAAAAATAGAAACATACAAATTAAGTACCTGGAAATATAATAAGAGAATTGAGAGAGGGAAAAAGATTTTTGGGTGTGTAAAAAGAAATCAAATATACGCAAGTAAAAATTTGACAAATAGTAAGTGCTTTCAGAGCTTTTTTTTCTGTTTGCTAGATTTTTTTGTTTGATTTACACTATTTTGAAAATTCTATTTTTCTCCAAGTTCATAAAAACAACTTTGAAATTGATGTTCGATGAACATTGTGTTTTCAGAAAGGGTTAGAGTGAATTTTGAGAATCTGGGGTTTTGAGAAAAATAATTCCTAGTGAAACTGAAAACAAAAAAATAATAAGACATAGAAAGTTTTGTTTGAAACTTGCTTGATAAATTCAGAAAATTTTTAAAAATAACTTCACACCTAAAACCAAAAGATTCTGTATGAACTCACAAGTTTTGAGTCAGTTTTTTCAGCTTCCAGATAATAACAAAGCAGTTAGTTTTTTTCATGGTCTAGATCGTTTTTTTCTATCCTTTTAACTTTATTTAAATTTTCAGGTCAAGCGAGTTAGAAAAATATTGAAGTATCGAACTCGCAATAAAACTTCTTCATATAACATTTTGAAATTAAAGAATTTTAATAATTTAAAAACTAATTTTCTTGAACCTGTAACCATTCCCTCTCTCTAAATTTCCTTTCAAATTCATAATTCACAATCTATTTCAGTCCCTCAAACCGTCAATCCCCCCAAAAATCCTTCCAAAGCGATGATCTGCAAAAGCTGAAAATTCCTCCCCAAAAGTACATAATGAATAATTCCAATTCGTGTCAGCTAATCCTTTAAAAGTGCATTTTACATTTCAGCCCAGTCCAGATGAAAAAAACACAGTGACTACAAAAATCAGAAGGATTAGAGGCATGGGTCACGTAGACCAAAACCTTCATTTTTATATTTGCTCATTTCAATATTTGTCAACTTCTTTCTTTTTTCAACGTTTCTAACAATAGGTTTCTTTTTAGTTTTCCAGTTGTATTCAAACAATTATCAAAATAAATTTTTTATTGATTTATAGCTATAATCTGGTGTTACACGAATAAAATACAATCGAGCTGGTTTGGCTTTGAGAAAAGAAAAACAATCGAAAAACGGGAGAAAATACGAAAGACCGGGAAATCTTATCGTTTTTGTGTTTGTGTGTGAAATAGCCGAGCACCCAAAATAAAATAAATCATATAAAAAACGTGAGTAAAATATATAAAAAGCACAAGATGAAAAATACAGGAAAAAAAAAGACGTCGAGGGGAGGTTTTACAATGAAAGAGTTGGATTTTTAACAAGTGCAATTATTGAGATAAAAAAATGGCAACACAGGGTATTTGGGGTGGTCACCAACGAGAAAAAAAATGAAACACGACGAGATTAGTATAGGCGTAAGAAGAAGGGCAACACTTTTGGGGTTTTTATTGAATCGAAATGAGAAAGGCTGAGATATTTCAAAAAAAAAGACAAAATCCGTTCTAGTTTGAATTTGGAATTCTTGCAATAGGAATAAGACAACAAAATGAGAAATTGGTTACACGTGTTTTTTTGATTTTATTTTTAGATGGGGATTGATAGAGTTTTTGAACAAAATGACACAGTTTTTTATGTGTTTGAGAAACTGGAATATTTTTTGACGAAAGCTGCTAATTGGTAAAATAAAAGTAAAAGTTGAGATATCTGCCGCTCTAAAGAAATCACAGTAAAAAGTTGAGCCGACCAGGAGAAAAAATGGATTGAAATATTCTAGTTTTGAAAGACGCTTAAAGTTCACCTATTTTTGTTGTTATTGGGATGTTGTTGGCAATAATTGATGATTATGTTTCAAATACAAGTTTGAGGTAAAAATGAGGCGTCAATTACGAAAAAGGGGAAAGCGAGAGCGCGAGAACTATCAAAATGAATTCGGAATCTGTCATGATACTCGTCTAAGTAATCCCTCAACAATAAGAAGAAAAAAACTAAAAAACTGTACAAGAAAATTAAAACAAGAGAGTATAGAACAAAAAGTGTTTGGGTAAGGCAAAAATGTGATGAGGGCAGAAAGAAAGTAAAATGGGGGGAACAAAAAAATTGTTGGGATGCGTTGGGGGAATCAAAACGATGTACAAAACCAGGTGGGACGAGAAGTGAAGATATCGTGGAGACTTGGCGTTGCTCACAACGAAAACGCGACTTCACTGGCCAAGATCGTCTTTTGAAATGGAAGGCGACCAACCTAGAGATAAATTCATTTATTGAATTTTCAATGAGAACGAATCCAATTTACCTGTCATTGTAGTTTGCAAGAACGCGCAGCCGAGCTGCCCATACCACCTGCTTAAATACATCTTTCTGAAGCACCGGGGACATTTTCAACAATATTTCTTTGAATCTAACTACAAAATTTGTATCTAGAGATAGAGAAAAGGGTTGGTTGAAATGGTGCCTAGAAATGATGTAAATTAAGCAAAATACATAACATTGTTGGCGTCTGGATGAACCTGAAAAAATAAATGATTAGGGGAAATATTGAAACTTAAATATCTTACTTGAACAGCCCGAGCCATGTTTGATAATGTTGTGTCTTCAGATGTTCCAGATGGTTGAGATCCTTCGCCTGAATCGTGTTCACGATCTACCAAATGATATCTGGCGCGGAATGCAACAAGATGAGCATAGTAAGCTGGAGCCGGAATCGACACAGATCTTGTGCATCTCACATAAGTGTGGCACATTTGATAGGTGAGTTGTTGAACTTCGTCGGCTGTCAAATTGTTATCATCCCAGAGAACGTGATAATGAGATGGGCGAGATGTTCCTTGGATACCAGCGTGTGAACAAAGGTAGAAATCAAATTCGGTTGGGTGAGTGATTCCAACATCGACGGTTGTTCCTGGTGGGATGTTGTAGGCTTTTCCGACTTGATCCTTCTTTTCGATGGCGAACAAACGAGTGTGATGACGTTTTTGAACTGCGATGAAGGTGATACCTGGTTGATATCCACGTTCCAACATCATACAAGCTTCACGAATTGCGCGAAGTTCATATTGAAGAACCTAAAAAAATTAGATTTGAATTATTATTATTAGAATCCCATATGGGTGGTAAACTTACATTGAAGAATTGTCCTTCAGAAACTCCATCACGGTAAACAACAATTCTTGATGGCTTGAAACGAGTGTTGCGGTAGAATTGAACAAGAAGTTCGCGGACCATGTAGGTAAGATCCGAGATGATTTCTTGACGATGTTGTTGAACGCGCACAGTTGCCGCATATCTGCTTGGATGTGCATCCATTGATCCGACGACAGCGGCAATTGATGGTTTGCGTGAATCACCAGCTGGTGGATGAGTGATATCACAACCAAAGAAGATAACCGGCTCGTTGAAGATTCTTGGACGAACATTTGGAATCAACACACTGTTGACACCACCAAGTTTCACATTCATCTTCAAGCACAAATTCGACAAAGTTTGTGGTGTTGTTCGAATCGCATTCTTCGCTTGCACACATTGAGTTGCAATTCCGAGAACAGTGTCTCCAACACGTTTGACTTCAGCATAGACTGGAGTTTTTCCTGGGAGAACAACAACGACCAATTGGATTCCAGCATAGTTTTGTTTCAAATACTTGAACATTGGCTCAACTTGTTCAACACCGACGGCATATTTGCAGAAGCATGGGTTACCCACAATTGGCATTCCAGCGTCGTTGGAGATTCTTTGCAATTGTGCGGTGAACATTCGCAAATCATTTTCCTTGACGTGTTGCTGTTGGGCGAAACATGCGATAGCCCATACCTATAAGAAATTATTGATTTTATCATAAAATATCAATATGAAAAAGACAGTATGAAAATTTGAGTTCAACTTACTCTGACATCAATACCGGTGTGGAATTGTTTGCCACGCATATCCCAAACTCCTTGATTTGGCAATGCTGTCGCACGAGTTCTTCCACCGTACAACAATTTTGGTGCTGGCAAAAGTCGTCCCTTGACTTCAGTCATTGCTGGATTGATAGTGATTCCAAATTCGTGAGCAAATGGATCAGCCGAGAATTCAGCTTTGCGAACAAGATTGCTGATCTCGCGCTCTCTTTCTGGTGCTGATCTAGCTGTTGCCTTGATCATTGTCGATGTTTGAACATCAGTCAACTTCTTGATGCATCGTTGTCCTGGAACAATATTGCAGACCTCTGGTGGCAAATAGGTGTGCTTTTGCTCTTGTCCAACTTGAAGACACGGCAAATGTGGGTATTTGAGTTGAATGCGATATTTGTCGTAGAAATATTTGGCGACGGTGCATTCGATGGTTTGTCCGATTTCGAGTTGAAGTGGGAATGTTTGAGTTTGAGCTGGACGTCTGGTGACGTTGCAAACACGATATTTTCTGCGCATTTGTCCGCAATGAGTGATTTCAATTTTCAAGCCTCTGATTTCCTTGGTGAATTTGACGCGTTGAGCGTCAGAAAGAGCACGTCTTTCGGTGAGCGCTTGAACTGGCAATTCCAAAACCTCAGCAATGAATTCGATAACTGGCATTGCTCGATAGAAAGCTGTTGCGGAGACTGAAAGAAAAATTTTGAAAAAGTCGGTTAAATTTTCTAAACTCACCATCAATATTGAGCATCATTTTCCATTGTGATGGTCGGACAGATTGATGGAATCCAAACCAGACTTCGCGACCTCCTCCTAATTTGCTTTCAGCGTGATATTGTGATCCGTGTGAAGGAGCATTGTGTTGACCAGCAGCTGGAGGCGAGAAGAATGATCGTCCGACTGGTGTGTACTTCAACGATGGTAAATGTCTCAAAATCACATCCATCGCTTGAACAGCTTCGAATGGAACTTGTCGAACACGACCTTCCATCGCATCTTCGAGACTTGACAATGACACTTGTCCAATCCATTTGAGTGAAACTGAGAATTGTCGTTCGACAGCGGAATCGCCAGGTAGCACAACTTCGAAATCCATACGATCTCTACCAATATGCAACGGATCTCTTGTATACATATTGCGTTTTCCATCATAAACTGGTCGACAATTGCCAAAATATTTGGAAAACGAATGGATCATACAACCAATAATCTCTCTGAAAGAAAAAGTTTATATCATTTCATGTTATCTATAGGATCACTAACCGATTGACACGCCGTGGGCATTTGTCTGGAGATACATCAACTTGATAATGTTGAATTGTTCCGCCAGGAATGCGAACTTGAAAGTGATTGGCGCGAAGAAGAATTGGCCTTCCATCGACACCGTGATTTGGTCGACGAGGACATTGGAATTGTACACCCGATGGATTCAATCTGCAAGAACAATGGTTAATCCAATTTTCCACGATTTGTGAGAAACTTACGGTTGAAGGGCTCCCGATGTACCCGAAAATTGTCCGGTTGATTGACCCGCAGATTCGCCAATGGAAACTCCCGTATTTCCGATTGGTGCGCCTGGTGCCAAACTGCCACCTTCCCGTGGTGGTACGTCTGCATATGATTGTGAACCTCCGCCGGTTGAATTCGAGCTAAAGATCTCTTCGAGATCATTTTGCAATGTGGTGCTCTGAACAGTCGATGGCGGCGGGTAGGGCTGTGTAGATGACTGTTGTGGAGGTTGCACTGTGGACGACGATTGTGGTCCATTATTGTAGGAAGTTGGTCCATTCTGCATAACAGAACTTCCCATCATTCCTGGCATATATTGTGGCCCGCCGGACATATTGGAATCGCTCACTTTTAACGACTCTGAAAAGAAAATCCTGTTAGGAAACATTCTCGAGATTTGTGAAATCTAAAAAGCACAAGCACAACAACAAACAAAATTTTCTGAATCATGCAAGTTTCTTTGAAATTCGATAAAAAACTAAAGGTACGACAATCAATAACTTGCCCATTGAGCTGTTTATTTCAGCCGCCATAGTTTATTTGAAAGCACTTTGGGGCACAATACTACTAGAGTTTTAATTGAGAAAAGAAGAAATAAACTACAAGTGGCGCATGAAATGTTTTACAGTTTTGTCTGGAAAAAATCAAAGAAATAGGCACAAAAAATCTATGAGGTATCAGGCGGAAAAAGAGAATGGAAACTACAAAGAGAAAAAGACACATACACACACACACACACGCATATAGAAAAACGAAGCAGCAAGACAACGACCGCTTCGCGACCGCACGCGTGCGTACCACGCTGTGATGGGGGCAACGGGGTTGAAAGGAGACAACGGTATATCGATGCGAAGAGAGAGGATACGGAGAGAAAAAAAGAAAAGTGAAGAGATGGAGAGGATATTTTTGGTTGGGGGAAAAAGGGTGCTGGCTGCTGGTGCTACTTGCAGGAAAGGAAAAGAAAATATATGGGAGAGAAGAGGATGACATATCTATTTTGCATCTGCGTCTCTTTTACACGAACATGTATTTCGTATTGGTGTCGGAGGAAAATATTTTTCTTTTCCGCCTCTTCTTATTCTCTCAAAAACTATTGACTGTGCGTTCCACTCATTCTCTCCGCGAGGGCAATAAGGGGCCAACATACATTCAATACATATAGTAATATTAATAAATAACAACGCATACATACATTGGCTAAGTACAAAGAAAAATAAATCTCATCGAAATGTCAAAGCAGATGAAAAATTTGTGACAAGCAGGTGGAAAAATCTTGCACTTTGTCAGCAAAAATGAAAAATCACGAATACCTACTATATATGTATGAATCAGAGGGAAATGAGATGAAATAAAAGTGCAAAGCTGATAATTGCTACCCTCTTACTAATAACCAAACGGAAAATGAAAATGAGAAAAAATAATGATCGGGTTTAGCAAAAAGAGCTTACGAGGCAGATGGGGGAGAGATAAACTGGCAGATGGTCAGAAGAAAAAACTACCCGGCAGGGACACCGCATATTATTGATCAAATGACCTTTGTGAAGGTGTTTTTTTATTAATACACTATTAATAAGAATAGTGTGGTGTGTAGGTAGATAGGCGGGGCTGTGTAGATGCAAACAGGAATAAATACATTTTGGGAAGTTTTGTTCGGTTGGGATTTTGGGAAGAAGAATATTCTGGAATAAAAAAAGGTGTATGGAGACATGATACTCTTGAGCACTGAATTTGCATTTTTAATATAAGAATAGAATAAAATTTCAAGAGAAAACAGGTTTTGAGAGGTATTTCCGGGTTTGATATCAATAATAATCTTATGTAAGTGAATTAAAATTAATCAAAATTTAGAAATAATTTGAGATGATTATTAATCAAAATGGACAGCGCTGTCACATTTTCTGATTGGCTGAAAGTTAGTGAGAATTTGGAAGAATCCTCAAAGAATCAAACCGAACACAAGAGCAACAAAAACGCATGAGAACCGGAAAATCAAGAATTTAAGAAGTTTCAAAATATTTTGAAATGTGTTTTGGTATTCTACATTAACGTTATACAGTGAACAGAACAGTTTAATGACAATAAAAATCGATTTTCAGAATTTGAAAAATGATAGAAACGAAAACAAATTTTTGTATGGACATAATTTCAAATTAGAAATAAGTCAAGATTACGTCATGAATTATTTCGAAATCGTTTTAGCCATTTTTAGGTTGAAAAGAACGTGTGAGATTCACACTGACATTGATATTGAAGCATAGAAGTCTTGAAAATGACAAAATAATTCAAAACGAGGATCACATTAAACATGTATTTTTCAACTGATTCCTTTTTAAATTCAGAGATCCCCAACCTTAATTTAAATAATTTTTAAAACTTTGAAAATCATATCTTCCAGAAAAACAGAACAATTTCAGAGAAACACTAGCACAAAAAAATTGTACAAATTTTGCATCTGCTGATTTTTGAATCACAAAATTTTTTGCTGAAAATGAAAATTGAGTTAATTCTAGATTCTGATGAAATTCGCTCTGAAATTCTAAAATATTCACATTCAATTGCGCGACAGTTTTTTTTTGATTCCTTGTCCAAAATCTTGCAAATTTTCTAAGAAAAAAAACAATGAAAAAATAAGAAAGCAATAATCAAGAGCAGTGCAAAAAAACCAAGAATTGATCGAATGACCTTTTCTCTATCGAGAGAAGGTGTTTTTTGTTGCTAATAAATATAGTATGATGGTTTGGTCATATAGTAAACATAAATAAATAAAAACACATTTTGGCAAGTTTTTTTCAATGTGAACTAACATTAAGAAATTTTATACTTATGTATTTTTGATTTCATAAATTTTCAAAGGATGCAATAAGAATACACATTTTTTTTTTGAAAAAAACACTAGAAAGAGAACAATTTTCAGAGACAAAAAGTGGCAAAAGTGCACTTTTCAGACATGATGATTCTCTTGAGAATTTGACAATCGTGTTTAAAAAACCAAATTGAATCAGATTACAAAAAAAACTCGAGTTTCCATTAGGGATTTTATTTATTTTTTTGGTCTCTGAAAATGCTCTTTAAAAATAAACTCTGATCTTTTGAATAGTTGACAGCAGTCACTTTGATGAACAAAAACTAATTTTACATCGTCTCAAAAAAATGAAACGTCAATTGAATGTCAGTTTTATTATCAAATTGTATAGAAAATGGGTGTTCATTTTTTATATGTTCTAATCAGCATTTCTTAAAAAGTATTAGTCTAATATTTTCTTATAAAACAAAAGAAACTACTAATTTTGTAATAATAAATTCATTATTCAATCAGATGTGGTTCAATGGAACATTTTAAGCTGACAAGTGAAAGCAAATGAGATTTTTGAGATTGATATTAGAAAAAGGATTAGGATGTAATAAGACTGGGTTAAGAAATACTTTTGAAAATAGTAAGGAAAAGAATGAAATAAATAAGTGCAAAAAAACAATAATTTTTACTAAGACTGGACCACTAGCGGACCACTAGTCCCACCGATAAAGGACAAAATTGCAGCGTGTTCGTATCTTCTGCACTTCATTCTCTTGATTATTCTTGGCTATTCTGTAATAATAATGTTTTTTTCTACATATTTTATTAAATTTCAATAAACTTACCTCATTGTCATTTCCACCATTATTGCTCTGGTAGTAACCACTCGATGGATCATACATTGGAGATCGAACCTGAAATTTTTCAAAATAATTTTTTCTAAAGTATATTTATTAAAAAAATGGCTCACATTATTATAACCGTCCCGAGGCGGGGTTCCGTCTTGGTCAAACATCCGCCGATTAGAATTACTATCTTGTGGTTCATACGATGGCGGACCATTTTCAGTATAAACTGGCGAACGGTTATTCAAATGGTAATCTGGCGAAGATGGTGCATATATTGGCGACTCATTTCCCGAACCAAAACTAGTGTTTCTCTGAAAATGTTTTTGTATAATTCATTTTGAAGTTTGAAAATTAAATATCAAAGTTAAATCGGGGTTTTGGGAAAAATATGGTCAGAAAAAGTTTAGTATCATCCGAAAGAGGAGGTTTCGTATAGTGTGTTTCAAATTTTTATGGATTTTTTTCATGTTTGATGCACAAACGCGAAAAATTTGCGCTCGACGTTAAAAAGGTAGAATACGAAAAGCGACAAGCAGTTTATTTATCCGCTCATTTTTGCATACCGATAAAACATACTGAACGAAACCTCCTCTTTCAGATAAAAATACATTTTTATAGAAATTCTTATTAGGGTGTACTTATTGAGGTAAGGAAAATATGAAATTTCGATAAACTTACTCTATAAGCACTTCCATCATCATAACTCGGGTAGTAACCGCCACTGGATGGATCATATATTGGAGATTGAACCTGAAATTTTTCATAATAATTTTTATTGAGTATATTTATCTAAAAAATGGCTCACATTATCATAACCGTCTCGAAGCGGAATTCCCTCTCGGTCAAACGTCCGTCGATAAGAACCACTATCTTGTGGTTCATACGATGGCGGAGCATTTTCAGTATAAACTGGCGAACGGTTATTCAAATGGTAATCTGGCGAAGATGGTGCATATATTGGTGACTGATTTCCCGAACCAAAACTAGTGTTTCTCTGAAAATGTTTTTGTATAATTCATTTTGAGCTTTGAAAATTAAATATCCTCTTTTACAGTGCGTTTCATAATGATAGGTTCACCCCCAAAATTTCTGAAATCAGCCGAGGTGTGAGTTGTAATAACAATCCGAGTTAAAAATAAAAAAGAGCACACAAAATTAGCTAAGAAAACTCAATTTTATCTGAAACTACCAAATAATAAAAAAATAAATGACCGGAGTTCAAAAATTTCAAAAATTTAGCGTTTCAAAACGATAGGTTCACCTAATCCAGAATTCCCATTGGAGACATATAATCGAAAATCAATACTTAGTTGGACCTCCATGTTTAGAAATGACATCATAGAGACGATTTGGCATCGAGTCAACAAGTCTCTTGAGGTAGTTCTTATCGATTTTATTCCATTCCGTCTCGATGGCATCTTTGAGTTGGTCCACAGTATCATATTTTTTCCTTGAGCATAAACTCGGCGAACGAGCTCCCCCATACGTTTTCCATCGGATTAAGATCAGGAGAACACGCTGGCCAATCCAAAACTTTGATTTTGTGGCTTTTGAACCAATCTTTTGATGATTGGCTGACGTGGATGGCAGCATTATCCTGTTGAAAAGTGAACTTTCTGGTCCGGAACCGCCTCAAATATGGCAAAAGATAGTCATGGAGGGTTTTTTGGTAATCTAACGAATCCATCTTGAATGAAACAAAAGCTATTTTTAACGTTCCAGCTGCAGAAAATGCGCCCCAACACATAACCCGTCCTCCTCCAAAATTTCTCTTTGGGAAGCGAAGTTGATCCTTTCTGATATCATGCCAGTATGAGTTGTAACCATCCGGACCATCAAGATTAAACTTTTTTCGTCAGAAAAAATTATCTGAACAAGAAAACATCAATATTTGATGTTTTTAGAAAAATTACTTACCTTATCCCAATCTGTGGCCATGTTGGCTTTTGCGAAAGTAAGACGGTTGTCTTTGTGGCGAAGTGTGAGACGCGGAGCTGGCACCAATTTGGCTCGAACGATTTCTGGGGATTGGTCTATGGCTCTCCAAACTGTAGTCTTACTGATATTCAAACCCAGCTCGTTTTTGATGTCATTACACGATTTCATTGTGTTCGAAGCCAACCTAACAATCCCTCGTTTATCTCTCTCCGTGAGTTTTTTGGGAGCTCCAGTGTTTTTCATTCGCTCATAGTGATCCGGATTGTTGACAAATTGATTAATACAGTTGAGAGATCGTTTCAATTTTGACGAAATCATTCTATTGGACCATCCGGCGATTTTGAATGCTCTAATTTGAGCTTGTTCCTCTTTTGTAAGATGACTTCCCCGCGACATTGATGAATGACGTGAAAAAACGAGAACAAAAACAGAAACACGTTAAAATAATCAAATATCACTCGTATTTTCCAGAATATTCGATAAAACTCCTACCACGAAACATAACTACAGTACTACTGCGGGTGAACCTATCGTTTTGAAACGCTAAATTTTTGAAATTTTTGAACTCCGGTCATTTATTTTTTTATTATTTGGTAGTTTCAGATAAAATTGAGTTTTCTTAGCTAATTTTGTGTGCTCTTTTTTATTTTTAACTCGGATTGTTATTACAACTCACACCTCGGCTGATTTCAGAAATTTTGGGGGTGAACCTATCATTATGAAACGCACTGTAGATGAGAATACATTTTTATAGAAATTTTCATTATTGAGATGAGGAAACTTTTTAGGTTTTCTCTGATAAGTTTATTCAAGTGAAACCGATGTTAAAAAACACTCAAAAACAAAAATATCATATTCAAGGTGTGTCGAGAAATGCCGAAAAACTCAACAAAAGAGAGGTTTCTCGACACTTCTTGACATTTCTCTACATTTTTACAAATGAGTGAATAGGATATTTTTATTTTTAAATGGGGGGTTTTACTTCAATAACCTTATAAGTTATGTTTATATTATCACTCACTGAGTCATCACTTAAACAAATCGGATCGTCGGCCGTCCCTCTTTGAACCGGTAAGTACTATAAAAATATGTTAGTTTTTTGTAGTTATATTCACAACTTACATCGCAAGAAACATCGGAATTGAACGAAGTATCCCAATCGTGTTCACTGTGGCCATTTTCAAAACTTTCATTGGAACGGTTTTCCGAAACGTCTTGTTCGTGACAGTTGTTGTTTGCCTGAAGGAAGAAATCATTTAGGTAAGGATTGAATACTTCCACCATTATGAGAACTTACGCCAAGCTGAGACATCGATCAAACTTTACACTTTGACACTGAAAAATTGTTGTGGGCAATCTGCAATATTTACATTTTTGGAAGAGACTAATTGAGTGAAAAAAGTAGAGCACTTGGCAGTTCAAAAATATCGAGAGAATGATAAGAATCCTGAAGTTTTTTTAGAAGCTTCACAGAGATTGAATTTTTCGAACCTTTTTCATAAAAACCATCATACGCATCATAAAAATAAGACAAACAGTTAGAAAACTCGTTAGATGACGAGAAAACAAAACTTATGAGTATATGAAGGAAAAAGTGTTAGGTTACAGATTGTACAGAGAAGATGAGAAAGTGTGGAGAATGAAGAGAGAATTTGTGATAGAGAGAGAGAGAGAGAGGGGGGTGGAAGACGTATATTCAAATAGGAATATATACTCCTCATCACAATTATTCGATATCTCGCGTGTTTGGAGTTAAAAAAAATACGGTTTTCATGCAAAAAAAGTGTGTTTCATAAATTTAAAGGTTTTTGACATTATGTAAAATTTACAATTATTGAATTGGCACTCTAATTTTATCTAAAATTTTCTTCGTTCATGTCAAAAAATAATTACAGTCAAGAAATGGATTTGAACAATAACGTTAGAGATTTTAGTTGTACATAATAACTAAAATCATCAAGAAGAATCTGACTGATCTGATGGGACGCCCAAAGTTTTTCATTATATTTTTCAAATTTTCACTCAAACTTAACGAAGAATTCTTATGAAAGAAATGTTCACTCACAACATTTTCTCCGGGTTTTTCATATCTCCTCATGAGTTTTTATTTGTTCATAAAACCGAGTTTTTTCAGAAGCTCAACTTGGGATTTATTTCTTGTTGGTATAAATTAAAGTTTCATTTGATTTATGTCAGAAAAATGTGAATGAACAATGTTAGGAATAGGTCTGAATAAATTTCCTATAGAATCCGGAAACCAGAAATACATCGCGAGTTCAAACATTATCTCACCCACACTACCCTGAACTTTCTGTTCCAATCAATCAAAATCGTTCATCGAATACGATAGCAAAAATCTCTCAATTTGTGTTCAAACTTCAACAAAAATCTTTGGATAAATATCACCCATAATCTATCATTTTTGTGGTTTGACCACTTTATGAACCGATCAACAATATCCAAACAAAATGCAACAAAGAAAAGATCGTTAAAAACGCTTATTGATAACAAACCGTTTTTTTGTGATCAACGAGAAAAAAAAACAAAAAAATGAACAAAGTTTTCAATTTATTTCAAATATTTTGGAAAAATATATGTTTATGCCTAATGGGATTATGTTAGATATGTTAAAATTATGTGACAGAAAAAATGGGTTAATGCTGGAAACAATTTTAAGGGAAAACGGAAAAAAAACATACCAGTAAAATACACAAACAAATAGGCAAATTTTCGACAAACAAAAATAATATTTGCAAGTCATGGAAAATATTGTAACAAAAATTGGGAGAAAAAACATCTTTGGGAATGGTTTTGGGAATTTTTGGAAGTAGGTGAGCAGAAAACAATTAATTAAGAAATGCACAAAAAAGAGTATTTTGTAAGATCATGACGAAATGGCATTTTGATGATCTATGAATAGAGAAAACATTTTTGGGAGACTGTAAAAACACCAGACATTTTTTCGGGGCGGAAATGGCAGCAACGACTATAGATAGATACTAAAATAATAAATGAGAGAAATCATCTGTACATGTCGGGCAAACACTTTTTTAGAAGAGAAAAAATCAACAAACAAATTCTGTTTGAATATCAGCAATATTTTGTTTTTGGGAAACGGGGAAGTTTAGCATGTGGCTTGTCTTCTGATCCCATTTGGTGATTCGTTTCTTGGACGACGATTTCGTTTCATTATTCCATCTTTTCTCAATGACAACGGCCTTTTTCGATTGTTTTTGCGGAAATACAAATTGCAAGCGCTGCAAAAAATTTGGTTAATTTTTTTTTTCGAGTTAGAACAACTTACTTGCACTCAACACCTCCTTCACCATTTCGTCGCCAAAGTGTAGTTTCACGTGTCTTGCAGTTTGAGCAAATTGAATTTTGATGACATTGCACGGCCTGAAAAATGAAGAATTAAGAACTCTTTGTTTTTCTGAAATCACTGTTTTCTGTCAACAAGGAAAATCAATAAAACCCGTTTTCAAAAAAAAAAAAACAAAACTTACAGCCATTCGCTTTTTGACAAGTGGTTTTTGTTCAGCGACCAATGGATCTTGTGGAGGTGGTGTAAAAGTTGAATGTGGCATCACATAATTTTGTTGAGAAGGTGACTGGTGCATTAATGGTAGAGCTGGATCACACGAGTTGAATGTGGAGAAGCCGCTGAGATCTAGCAAATTGAGTTGCACAGTCTGTTGGTGGGAGAATTGTGTGGCTCCCATGTAGTTGGTGGAGAAATTCATCGGGTTTAGCATATCTTGTTGATTGAGCATCGGACTGAAAAAATTTAGGGGGTTACTTTTGAGATAAGAACAATGTTGTGATAATGGAACTCTGGTTTTCAGTTACAGTCAAAATTGTGAACTAGAGTTTTTAAAATTAAAATAACACTATCACTTTTCGATTTTTGAACCATCTGAAAAAAGTTGGCTCTACTCTAATTTGAGAATAGTTTCATATTTGTTACTCAGAAATGTGTTCATAAAAATTCTGGAACATGAGTTATTCAATGAAAAGTTTTTTTTTGAAAGTTTAGAAGTATTCAGATAAAGAAAAGTGCTAAAAAGCTCTCTATCATCAATTTAGCTGCTTGTCATAATCACACTTAAAATCACTATTTTTAATTCCAGTTTTCTAACAAAACCATAACGAATTTTGGCTTAAAAAGTTCTAATTTTCTCTTTTTTTAACCATCCACCACTCTCTTTTTTCAAATCCAAATAAAATTGATCTCTTGGCTTCTCAATTTCCACCCAGGTTTTTTCCTATTTCAAATTCTTCAATCATACTTATTTAACAATTAGAAAAAAAGAGTGATTGATGATAGAAGTTGACCTTGATAATGATTGTGTATTGTCGAATCCCCCTCCCCCTATAGACATTGTTAAGGAAAATGAACAAAGTTTCACTTACGCATTTGCAAAATCGGTATAAATTGGTTGCTCAATTTGAATATATGGGTCAGCCAACGGATTGGCAATCTTTTCAACGCGATAGTCGTTCATTGATGGATTGGGAGCTGTAAATAACATATTATGTATAGGAATGAATTGAGATATCTTCTTTTTGTTGCGGGAAAGAAAAAAAGAGCGATAAAGATCTTTTCCTGTGGGTGGAGAGAAGGTCAAGATTGTATACAGTTTATATAATAATTTAATAAAAATAAATAAATATAGGGTCGAGGAAAAAAGAAAAACTTACCATAATATTCGTTAAACTCCTCTTTGATCTGAACTTCCTTCATTAAATGAGCGATAGCTGGAAGGGGAGCAGCAGAGGCGACAGTAACCGGAGCTTGTATTGTCTCCGTTGTTGATGGATATGGACAATAATAAGCTCGTGAATTTGAACTATTTGTTGGCTCGAATTGTGGTGGTAGTTGATGGTGTGGCTGCGCCTCTTGGTGGTGATGATATTCTGCAATTTTTTTATTTATTTTGGAAATGTTGAACTTGAGAATTTTTAATTCAAAATTCTGAATTCATGGCTCTGAAAAAGGGTAGAAAGGTGTCAGAATCTTCAGTAAAAATATTGTAAAATTTCTAACAAATTCAATAAAATAATTTTGATGGAATTCAAAATACCGTTCTAAAAACAGCTGGAAAAATGCAACACCTTTCTTTCTCCAAAAAAAAAAACGTATAAAAAATGCCAACTCGTAAAAAACGGTGTGCTAACAAGGATGAGACGATGTAAATGGGATGGCAAATGCAAATATGGTAAGAATTTTTGTGTTGGAAAAAAAACGAAGAGTTTCATTGTTGACACAATGACTAGGAGAGTTTTGAGAATAATGTTTTTTTTTCAAGAATAGGAAAATGCGAGAAAAAATCGAAAAAGACCGAATAAAGACAATGCCCCGTGATTCGCAGTATATTACTACGGTAGTAGAGAGTGGCCGCAACTTGTGTTGCGCCGCCCCATTCTCGACCAATCGGCCGGACGCACAATCAACATGAAGAGAGAAAATTTGAAAAAGAGAGAGAGAATGAAGTGTTAACCTAACATAACCTAACCTAAAAATACAATTTTCACCAACAATAAAAAAAACTAAAAGTCGAATCGAGAATCAATACAGTTCCATTTTTTCAAAAAATAAAATTGTTTCATTTTTTGCGAAAGCAAAAAAAATTGGGGGGGAACGGGAAAAAGTGTAAAGTGCAGCTCGACAGATTTTTTCTTATTATTGCCTTTTCAAATTTAAATCGTGAGAAACTTTTGGATTTTAAAAAGGGACGCATAAAAATCGTAACAAAATAAAATAGTTGGAAACAAAGTGAGCGAAAGTGAGCGCAAGGATGGAAAAAAATCATTCCATTCCCCTATATCAGTGATATACGAAGAAGAAGAAGAAGAACGATTGAATGGAAAAAAGGAAAAAGATATGGGGGGAATACACAGTAACAACATTGCGGCCACTGTGTGGACGGGTTACAAATTGGCGACCCGACAATGTCCGTCCAAATTCCCGATCTTCTTTTTCTCCTTCTTCTTCTTCTAAATAGTCTTCTCTTCTTTTTTGTCTTTCTTCTATTTTTTCTTAACACAAAAATACGAAGAAGAAACGGTGAAGTGAAAAATGATTAAGTTGTGATAGAGAAGAATGACCGTGAAAAACTATTACTGTCTTCTGTGTCTCTCTTTTCGAAGAAACACACATTTGAAGAACAAAATTTGGAATTACATATTTTTTCTCAAAAAATTGACAAAAAAGCAACAATATTTTGAGCGAAGAAGAAAGACGAACGATGACAATACAACAGAAAAATGGCAAAGAAGAAGTAGAATTTTTGTGTGTTTTTTGTCTATTTTTTCGAACTAATCGATCAAAATTGTAATGATGATAAAATAACATTTGAACAAGTTTTCAAAAAAAACTATATTTTAAAATTTACCTTGATACTGTTGCTCAAATTGATGATCTTGATAATTTTGCACTTGATTATGATTCTGACTTTGATTGTGATTCTGATTTTGTTGATGATGAAGATGATGATAATTTGCTGGCGAATATGTATCACTTGGAATTGGTGTATTCATCATGCTATCTTAAATTTATAGAACATTTAAATTATCTGAGAAAAAGTTACAGTAACTTACCACGTGATGATGTATCAGTGCTTGAATGCGGTGAGTTTGGGTAGTAGGTTTGAATCCCGAGAGGACTTTGAGTATTCATTTTGTTGTTAGTGTCTGAAAAAACAACTGATAATAAACGATCGATTTCGAAAAGGTACCAAAAATGGAGAAAAAAACAGTTTTGTTGTTTTTGAGCAGACCTCAAAACAGTCAGTAAAAAGCAAATACTACAAAAAAAATTATCTATCATCAACAAAAAAAATATTTAAGATTATTTTTAATGAAAGAGGGAGGTAATGAATTGCGCATGCACTATATATAGTACTGCTACCTTCCCAGGAGCAAGTGAGCTACCAGACTCCGCCCACTTCCCAAGTTCTCTAGTTGATAATTGAAAAAAGGCACCGCTTTTTCTTCACACCTTCTGGAAAGCGGCACACTTATTTTGTAAATCATCAAGGAAAATAAGCATTTTGGGAAAAGCACACACCGAAAAGTTAAAAGAAAAAAGCTTGATTGACATTCGTTTTCGGTTCACAAATTTTTGGTTGAGACACCCCGACAAAAAAATTGATAAGAAAAAAAGAGGCGAGTATTTTTTGGCAGTTATTGAAAAAAAACATAAAGACATTATATTTTTCTGAGAAAAAGTTCATCTGACCATTTTATCGTTGTGTGTTGCGTTGATTGTAGAGGGCATGTTTTTTCTGTGAAACCAGGAGTTTTGAGTTGCGTTCTAGTTTGATTTTCATCTACTATTTTTAGGTAACAATGTTTTTTCTCTCAATTTGAAATTTAGGTGGAAGATCGTATGTTCGGGGGGTGCGTGTATTTGTCTCTCCAATCCGGTTTCCAACACTTTCTCCCCATAAATCTTCCGAAAAACCTTCACAGTTGTTGCTGTGTCTCTTCTTTCGTTTACACAGAACCATATTTTGATTCAAATATAATCATAATAATCTTTTTAATTCGTAGCAGCATCTTGCAAACTTACAAACACACACAAAAAACTGCGTAGTAAAAAAAGTGTAATTTTTTATTTGGTGGCAAAAATGGGTAGTAAAAAGTAGGTAAAATCACAGAATGCTGAAAAAAACCGTTGGGGAAACAATACACGTGCGTGAAAACAAAAAATGAATTATAACTCGATAATTTTAAAATGCCCAATAGTGATGAGAGATCGATCATCTCGAATATTTTCAAAACCACCGTCGAGAATACAAACCCCGTTGATTGATTTGAACACGAGTTTTCCGGAGAACTAAAAATGAAATGTTATTCTTCGAGAAACATCGTTTACAACAAAAAGTGTCTCACCCTTACAGCGGCCGCAAAGTCTTTTCCCCAAACCACACAAATTGGATGGCAGTTTTCTTGTGCAATTTTGAAAGCGTTCATTACATTTTTAAATGTGTCATCTTCAATGTTTCCGTAATGTATCGATCGAATAACGCATCCACGGTTGAAGCTGAATAGGAATTTTATAGTTACAAAGAAATCTTGAATCTTTTTTTTAAGTTTTTCCAAGAATATGGAACAATTTTGTAAACAAAAAAGTGGCAAAATGAAATGATAAATAACATTTTCAGATTTGGAAACTTATATAAAGTTCTAGAAATAACTAGAATCAACTATGAAATTGTTTTCTCAGATCGTTAGTCTTTTGTACTTTGTTTACACGTTGATTTGATCTTCCAAAAAGTTTCAGTTTGTTTCAAAATAAATAAAAAATATTTCCTTGTGTTTTTTTTTCAAAAAAGATTTTTCCTCCGATGTTTCTTATCATCATATTTTGTTGGTTATACACATTTTTGTGCGGTATGGCAAAACAAAAAAAAAAACACGCACACAAAACTTTGACCTAAGTACCCTCCACATGTTGTCATTTTTGCTCATCAATGATAAAAGTACAATTCTCTTTGTTCACATATATATTATCTCCCCATTTTAATTATTATTGCTATTACTCTAAAAAAAGGAAAAAGATCTTACTCCATGCTTGACCTGATATCAATAACAACAATACTTTGCTGGTGTACACGCCAACAGAACTCATCTTTTGACATTCTGGGACAATTGAGCTCTTTGAGTTCAGCAACGGTGAATGGGGAGATTTCTCGATTCAAATTATAAGGCGCGTCGGAATATGTGGCTGGAAAAATATTTAATATTTATTTGAAAAATTAATAAAAAAATGTTACCTTTCCATGGACTATCGTGAACTCGAAAAGTGCAACTTGGTGGAATGGTTTTGTAATAATACACAGCATTTTCGATGAGTTTATCGATTGGTAAATCTGAAAATGTTGTACTTTTCCTTTTTCCATTTTTTATTTACATATACATATTTGTTCAAACAATTTTTTTTAGAAAAAAAAACGTTCGAATTTTTATCAGGGGTTTTTCAGACTACAATTTTCTCTTTGTCTCTTATGAGAAGCTAAATAATCTTATCAGAATTTAAAGAAAAAAAGTTTGAATAAAAAAACTGTCTGAAATAATCTATTGCTGATTGTCTGTTTTGAAAAAGCAAAATTTTGAGGCTGTGAAAAGGGGGCTTTAAAAATTGAGACTGAACATTTTTCTTACAGAGTTACATTCCTAACTAGATTTTTTCCCTAGATCAATTGGTCTGATTTCTGTAAGAATTCAGTTGTTACTTGAAAAAATTGACGTAAAAATAGTTATGGTTTTGAACACTTTCATAGATTCCAGATTTGTTTCATTTGAAACACGACTTCAACATATGTTTTGATAAGTTTAAAAAAAAACAAATCTTGAGTATTGGTAATAGTGATAATAAATCGTCATAAGATAATACTAAAAAATTCTCAAGACCAGTTTAAAGTTTTTTATGAATGATACTTTTTTTGGAAATGGGGAGGTCTTTAACCAGTAATCTACACAAGTTCTGAACAATGCTTTGAATGAAAAAATGTTACCTGGTAGATCACTAAACAATAAAATAGCATCATTGAACGACGAATCAATCAATCTTGGTCTCAACTGTTTCATCACAGCCAATCCAACCATCAGTGGAAATGATGTATCATGAAGTAGAACATAATCCCAAACGTGATACAATTTATGCATTGGTAAAACGTGCGCAAAACATGTCAAAAACCACGGAATCGCATACAATTCCGGGAAAAACCCGAGATCTGCTAAATGTGTATATAATTGGGCATCGACATATGCAAGTAAGTGATTGAAAACGGCAAGATATTCTGAAAATGAAAACGAATTGTAGGGTGGGTGAGAAAAAAAATGATATTAGAAAGACAATTTATTTGATCAAATCATACCTTGAATGATAGCAGAGTTATCGCGTAAGAAAAAATTGAAAAGATATCGATTGATAAACTCGTTTAGGCACGGAAGAGCAATCTCTGAAATTTTTTGAGAATCTAATATTCAAATATCTAGAAAAAAAACTCACGAGGATCATTGAAGTTAAGTAGAAGAAATGGGGCAGCTAAACTGTCACATCCTTGCCAATAAACATAATTTGTGTTTGATAACAGCCAAGCTTTTAGAATTCGTCGTAAACTAGAATGGGCTGCTGGTGATGTCATCATATCTTCGTACTGGAAAATGTTTGTTGATTTAAATGCGAGAAATTTAAAATTTTCTATAAAGATCTTTTCCTATCGATTTTTTTTCAGAAGAAAACGTGTTCTACATCTTTAGAAAACTTTTTCTGAAAATCCTTCAGCATCTACCTGATGACATCTTGGAATATCAACATCAAGCTGTCGATCACTAGTATGTGGTGCAAGAGTATCCAAATTATAAAAATCCAAACAATCTTCATCCTCCACATGAAGCAAAGATCTCCAAACTCTTGATCTCAAAACTGGTGGAATATCTACAAACGCCTCTTTTCGCAATAACTCTTCCATTCCGTCAAATTGTATGCAATCCACTAAATGCCTCAAAATTGACATTCTCTGCGCCTGAAGAATAAATGTATGAGATTGCAAAAAATAATCATTTTTACCTGATACTTCACATCTTTTTCCTTGATAACAACAGTTAGCGAAGATGTTTTTCTGTCAATAATTATATCTTCTGTTGAATCAGTGATTCTGGCAAAATATATTGGTCTTATGACATCGGTTATTTTCAAACTTGATATTTTCTCTAGAAGTTTGTCGTCTGGCAGAATAACAAGACAATCGTCAAACTGAAATTGACGACTTTCCTCGTTTCCGAAAAACACAAAATCTTCGATCACCGAGCTGAAAATAAAAAATATTTTCCGTGATAATTATTTTTCAAAATCTGACGTTTTGGAATACACAAATCCAACTTTGCATTTCATTTCCCATATCAAAAACCTTAGTCCTCCCCTGAAAAGTGGTACCTTGGAACAGTTGAAACCGGTGCTCGAAGTTGTATAACACCTTTTCGAATCATAATACTTTCACAACTTGCTCCACTCATTTTCCAAAGAAAAAACGCGTCTTCAATTGGCATTTCCGATAAAATAAAACATTTTTCCGTGTTCATTCTCTCCTGAATCTCTTCTCGCAACGCATTTATATCTACATATTCAAAATCTTCAATTTCAGAATCATTCAGGTTCAGATCTTTCAATATTTCTGTGATTGTTGGTCTCTTTGATGGAAGCGCATTGATACAATTCATGATAATTTTTTCGAGCTGGAAATTATGAAGTTTTTTTTTCTAAAAAAAAAAACAAACAAAAAAATTATACCGTATCATTTTTCTCATAATCAGTTGTTTTTTGAAGTGTATTGAACAAACACTGATTAGCATTCTCTATAAAAAAACAATTTTGATGACATTATTTTATGACCAGAAAAAACCTATCGTTTTACAGCATTTCTCGATAATCGAAATAAATTGTGGACCAGACCAATAATCACTAAACAATGTTTTTGTATACATTTGTTGAACAACCATACCAAATGACCAAACATCTGATTTTTCCGAGCATGAACCACTCAATAAAATTTCTGGAGCTGAACAATATGGCGAATTGATAATAAGTGATTCGGAATCTTCACCGAAATCTGTCAAATATCTGAAAGATTTTTGATAACCAATTGAATTGATAAGATATGTTTGATTTCTAACTTACGATAAGGCATAGCTTGCCAAACGAATTTTGATAGGTTTTATTTGAAAAACTTCAATATTTGAGATATCCAAATTGCCGTGAACATATCCTTGTTCATGAAGATATTCCAAACCTTTTGCTATTTGTAAAGATAAATCAATAACTTCCAAAGATCTGAAAAAGAAAAATGAGAAAGTTGTTAAGAAAAAGAGGAAAGTGGGGGAGGATACTCACGTGAGATTTGTATTTTTACAAAGTTGTTGCAAGTTTGATAAATGATGTTCAGATACAATGATAACCAAGTTTTTTGCTGGAAAAAAAATGTTTTAATACTCGTGAGTGGAGGAAAAGTAAGAATTGACATAAATTTTCGAATCAATCTAAATTTTTTTTACATAAAATTCTTGAATATTCCCCTTTGAAAAACACACCTAAAGAGCATCGAAAAAGATCCAAATATTGGCACAAATTCTCGTGTCGCAATGCTTTCATATGTTGGAATCTGAAATTCTCGGAATCTTTACTGTTTCTACTCTCAAATATACAAATACTCACCTTCCAAGCATCCGCACGTTGGGTGGAACTAACGGAAGACCATTCGCACACGTTCTTCCACCTTCTTCAACTGATCTAATGATAAATGCGCCAAACTTTCCATTCGCTAATGATCTCATTCCATTTACCTGAAATTTATCGTTTTTTCAAAGATATAATTTTTGTTATCAGAAAAATATAACGAGAAATAATTGGATTGGAGGAAAAATAACAAAACGAAAGGAATAAACTTATTTCAAATAAACTATGAGAAATATAATGGAAAAATAGGAGAGTGCAAACAATGAATAAAAAGGGACAGGAGAAATGACGCCCCAATCATAAAATATGACAGGGACGCGCTGCGTCTCTGCCCCAATTTTCTTGTTTGTCTCTGTCTCTCTAGCAACAATTGTATACTTTGAAAAAGTTCCATTTTTGCAAAATGGAAACTTCAGATTCTGGATCTCCATTGACTGCGCGTGCCAAATTCAAATTTGAGGGAACGAATAATGACGAGGTGGGTATTTTTTGAGTTTATTATGTAATTTTGTTCGAAATTTTCAGTTGAGTTTTGATAAAAATGATATTATCACAATCACTCAACAACAAGATGGTGGATGGTGGGAAGGAACACATGGAGGTTTGACTGGATGGTTTCCATGTGCCTATGTGAATCTGATCACTGAAAAAGGTATGTCTTTTTCTTTATTACTAAAATTCATTTTTCTAATTTAAAAAAAATTTTCCAGATAAACTCATGCGCTCGAGATCTGTCCCAAATACCACTGCAAAAGGTAGGTAGTTTTGAAATTGTTTTGTTTAGAGATAAAGAACTATTTTTCAGAACTTGTTGGTGCTTTGAATCAGCCTGATTATCGTGCTGATGTTCTTATTGATTACACAAAGCATGAGAAGGAATATATTGATAATATGACTAGGACGATTAGTAGTATTCTTTTACCGATTGGAAAATCTGGATTGTGAGTTTTTTGTGATAATTATACTCAAACTTTGTTAATTACAAGATATATAATGAATTTGATAAACAAATTTTAATTTCTTGCTCAAAAAATGACCCGGTGTAAAATACAAATCGATTTGAATCTTGCACTCGATGAGGTCATCACCCAATTTTTCGAAATAATTTACAGAATTTCTAGTTTTTTGTGATAATTATACTCAAACTATGTTAATTAGGAGATAATAATGAATTTGATAAATAAATTCAAATTTTGCTCAAAGAATGACCCGGTGTAAAATACAAATCGATTTGTATCTTGCACTGGATGAGGTCATCACCCAATTTTTCGAAATAATATATAGAATTTCTAGTTTTTTGTGATAATTATACTCAAACTATGTTAATTACAAAATAATAATGAATTTGATAAACAAATTTCAATTTTTCGCTCAAAAAATGACCTGGTGTAAAATACAAATCGATTTGAATCTTGCATTGGATGAGGTCAAAACGGTTATTTTGAAATAGGGAAAAACATTTCCAAGAAAAATTATTTTCATCTCACCCATCCAACATTACCTAAATTTCAGAGTAAATGCGAACGACTATGACCTATTGGTTGGAAATTTTGAAGAAATCTATACTCTTCAACGAACTCTTCTAGAAACTGTAGAAAATGAGAAACAGTAAGTCAAATTCTGGTTTTTTCTTCAATATCCAAATTTAAAATTTTCAGACTTGAGCTAACAAAACAAAAAGTTGGTGGAATTTTCATGAAATCTGCAGGAGAGATTAGAAATGCTTTATCAAAATATGCTGAAAATCATCCAAAAGCTGTTGAAGTTATCAAGGAAAAACAAAAAGGCCTTGAGAAGATTTTGATTGAAAATGAGAGAGACTACAAAGATTTGGTTTCTGGATTGAGTGAACCATTGAGACATATTGATAAATATCACACAATGCTGCAAGAATTGGAACGAATCGTGCCAGAAAATCATCCAGATCGAGGAGATTTGCAAAGAAGTGCTTCGGTTTTCAGAGAAACAAAAGATATTTGTGAGCAAGTTCGAAAACAAAAAGAGGCACAATTGGATTTTCTTGCTTTATCAAAAGTTGAGAAAATTGTGCCATTTCCAGAAAGAGGAACTATTTTATATGTTGGAGTTGCAAGTGTTGATATTAATGGGGCAAATTCAATTGATCGATTCATTGCGCTATTCACAAAATATATCATGTTTTTCGAAGTTACTACTAATATGGCTTATTCGATTAAAGAGAAGTACCCAGTTTCTGGATTCATTTTAAGAAAAAAAGATGTGGATGAATTTGTGATCGGTAGGTTTTTATACTTATTGTAAATAAACTGAAGTTTGGTTATATATAACCGATAATTAGTTGTTCGCTCGATTTTCAAAAATTGAAACCTTTTTCCAGAAAAACCTGGCACCGAAATCAAATTCAATCTCACTTCTTCAGCTGGTGAATTAGATAGATGGGTTAGCGCATTCACCAAAGCTGAAAATGTTTCAATTGGGACAAGTCTTCAAAGAAAACCATCTAAGGGACCACTTGAAAATGTAAGACTTTATCTATTTTTCTTCTGGAAAACCTAAACATTTACAGGAATATGCGCTAATTTCAAAACCTCCACTTCCACAAGCACCAGCTGAAATTGTGACAAGAAGAAGAAGCTCAAAATTGTATGTTATTCTAGGAAAAATATAAAAATTGCATTTTTTTCCAGACAAGAAGATTCGTTTAACGGTTTGAAATTTGATCATGAACTCGAGATGATTCTCCCGGAGGGTATGACTTTGCCATCGTCGAGTCGGAATTCTAGAAATCCACCCGAGAACTTCCAATTTGCCCACCTACCAACATATTTCTTGGGTGGAAATAATCACAAAAAACGAAATGAAAATGGTTTCAAAATGCGAAAAGATGCGGCGAAAGAAGAAGAACATGATTTTGAGATTCTTCGAATAATTGAAGCATTCTGTGCCGATACATCTGATTTGATTGAGGAAAATGGTTCAAGTTTTTATGTTTCACATGAAAATTATCAGCCTCAAGTTATTGTTGCGGATGAGGAAAAGATTTTGGTGGAGGAGAAAATTGGCGATGAAGTTGTTTTTCAAGAAAAAAGTATTGTTGATGCTGTTTATTCCATCAAAGATCAGTTGTCAATGTTGCAAAATGAGTTCGAGAAACTCTCCAAGGTATGTTATTATGCAATTGTGAATTACAGTAGCGTGCAAAAAGATACGAACACCCTGCAATTGTATCGTTTCACGGGACCTAGTGGTCCAATCGTTCTGAAATTTTTTGGGAGTGTTACTGGGGCTCCAAAAAGCTTTTTCTACAAGCGGGATATTGTAGTTACTAGCTGAAGAGTTTGAAGAACTCGGATATCAAACATCAATTTTTAGATATTTTCACAAAGTTCAAAACATCGTTGAAAAAATATTTTTTTAGTCTTAATTATCATCAACTTTTATTTTTTATGTCTTCAGGAAGACATAAGCTCTCGATTCCGACCTCAACTTAATGATTTCATTACCTACAAGGTTCATTCTGAAGGTTCTAGTAAGACCATCCAGAGAATCTGAAAATGCACAAATCTGGATTTTTTATGATATTTTATCGTTGAAATGTGTTCAAAACACTCTAAACTGGTCATTTGAACCATTCTACACAAAATTCCAATCAATTCCGAAGTTTTAACTCAATTCGCACATCACTGCATTTTCGATGTTTTTCTAGATCTTTGATTCCACATCATCAACAACATCAAAATTGACTTTTCATTGATCGAACTTGTTCTTTAGATGACTGTTCATGTTCATCAAGTGTCATGAATGTGCTAGCAGTCGTAATTTGAGATTGCTAGAAGCTGAAAGCTGACCTCTATGAAAACTCTTCATTTTCAATTGGTTTCCTTTATAAAATTACCCTACTTTGGTAGTTCGATGTTTATCGATCTGCTATTGAGCCGAAGAATTTTTTGAGTGGAAATGATGAATTGTTCAGTGTTTAGAACTTCTTTAAGAATTAGTTCGATCAATGAAAAGTCAATTTTGATGTTGTTGATGATGTGGAATCAAAGATCTAGAAAAACATCGAAAATGCAGTGATGTGCGAATTGAGTTAAAACTTCGGAATTGATTGGAATTTTGTGTAGAATGGTTCAAATGACCAGTTTAGAGTGTTTTGAACACATTTCAACGATAAAATATCATAAAAAATCCAGATTTGTGCATTTTCAGATTCTCTGGATGGTCTTACTAGAACCTTCAGAATGAACCTTGTAGGTAATGAAATCATTAAGTTGAGGTCGGAATCGAGAGCTTATGTCTTCCTGAAGACATAAAAAATAAAAGTTGATGATAATTAAGACTAAAAAAATATTTTTTCAACGATGTTTTGAACTTTGTGAAAATATCTAAAAATTGATGTTTGATATCCGAGTTCTTCAAACTCTTCAGCTAGTAACTACAATATCCCGCTTGTAGAAAAAGCTTTTTTGGAGCACCAGTAACACTCCCAAAAAATTTCAGAACGATTGGACCACTAGGTCCCGTGAAACGATACAATTGCAGGGTGTTCGTATCTTTTTGCACGCTACTGTATATCCCCGAATAAGCTCTAAAAAGCTCACCAAACATCAACGTTTCAAACCAATAGAGTTACAAATAAGAAAACTTGAATATTAATTAAAAATTTATGAAATCAATTCAATCAAATATGCAAGATTTTTGAAATTCATAAATATATCCGAATATTCAGTGAATGTTCAATGAGCTTCCCGGAATTCGAAGTTAATTTACTGTGCTGTGCAAAATGAAAACCTTGATTTTAAATTAAATAGGAGAATTCAATTTCAACAAGTTCAACGGTGAAATGAATTTTCAAAAAATAATTTCTCTACATAATGTTTCATTGTATTTTTGTTTTCGATTTTTTGAAAGTAGCTATAAATTAAAATACTCATAACTCGAAATCAAATTTGTCTCACTTGAAGCTCAGCAAATTGCATGATCCCTTTTTCAAAAATCAACCTAAAAATGCTCATAAATTAAACCACATACACACTTTTCATCCTTTTCACCCTGCTGCAAAGTATATGACGTATTAGTCATTCTCTATGAATTAATTGATCATTTCAGACAGTTGAACATGAGCAAAAAGCTCGTCGTCGACTTGAACATACATTGCCGAAAATAACTGGAATTTCATCACCAGATGGAAGTTTGAGTATGTCTCGAAAAGAAATCAATTCAATGGAATGAGTGATAGCTGCTTATGTCGATTCGTTTTATTCATTTATTGTTAATAATATTATTTTTAAAATGGTGCTCAATTTTATGCCTTTTCTTATTTTTTTCTCTCATTTTTGGCGTGTGCGTTCATGTGCCATTTTCCCACAAATAACTATGCATAAACTTTTCTTTTGCATTCATATTTATTTTTTTCTTCATTTATAAATTCATTCATTCTTCACGTTTTCTTCTATTTTCCAAGACTCGAAGAAATTTTTTATACAAAAAAAGTGATCCAAAAACAGAGCTTGAAGTTTGAACAATATTCAATTGCTCAATCGCTATCAGAAAGTATCAGAAAAAATGAAAAATCATGAAAAAAAAATCCACATTTTTCGAATGTTTTGATATTGTTTTATATTCCTGCTTTTTGTTGAAAGCATGATTTTGCGTTGACGAAAAATATCCTGGTTTAGTCTTAATTGTGTTTTTGTTGTGCTTCAAAAATATAATCGAGCTTATTTTATTATGTATTTTTCTGAATATTCCCACAAGGTTACATTTTTTATCTTTAGCTTTTCTTCGAAAAACGTTCTTTTATGAATGAAAAGTGCTCCAATTATATTTATTTTTACATAAAAGGAACAATTTTCCAATTTGTACTTCTTTTCCAAAACGTTCTAAAAAGGAAATAGTTACACAAAGAGCATTTTTCGTGTTTTGATCTATTTTCTCCTTTTTCATCAAAAATTGTGTGCATTCCGGTAAACTGGCACGCTCCAATGAATAGAGTTTTTTTTATTTTCTCAAAATGTTATTCGCAACAATTTTCTATTAATCTAGTTGTTCGACCAATGGAACCAGGTGAAAAAAATCGGACGTCAGAATATTCAATTTTCTTTTTTTTTGTCGGAATTTAGATTCGATATTTCTCACATTCAAAAGAAATTGTATCTGATGAAAGATCAATTTGAAAAGTGATCCGTTTGAAACTCTATATTTTTTCTTCTCTTCATCGAACACTACACTCTTTTTTCTTTTGAAACATAAGTTATCTCAAGTTTTGATCTTTTTTTGAATATATCTCCGACCCTATCTTTCGTAAAGTAGAGTACTGTGAGTACTTTTCTTCCTCGTTTTTTTTTGTAAGATCGCTTCTATTTTAGAAAGATTTGCACGTCTGATGGAAGTCCTTATATTTGTTATTTGAGATAATCTTGGAAGCCGATTTTGAAATTTTGATTTCAGGATCTTTTGTGAAATCCCATTTTGTAGATTTCTGATTCAAGGCATATATTTTTTATGATAATTTCTGAATTTTGTTCATCAAAACAGAATTCTGGAAATATTGAACTTCTCATGATTACAATCTCAAGAAAATTCCTGACGCTTATTTTCGATCTTGTTTTCAAAAATTTAGAACTTCGACATGATTTCTGAATTATCATTGAAAGATTATGAAATCATTGAAGTTTATTTGTTCCTATTAGAAGATAATCTCTAAAACCGCCTACGATTCAAGAATGGTATTCTGAAAATTGTTTTATTTTTTTGAATTCAACTATTACGACTTATCTTTGAGTTTTCTCACTGAAGTAAAAAAAAGCCAAAATTATCCACGAATATCCTATTCATTATCTAAAAATAACCCATTTAATCGAATTTTTCTATTTTCATTCGTCCAGCCCATCACATTTCTCTGAAACAAATTACATCAACTTCAAAAAATAGCCTTATATGAAAAATATATTAATATCCGTTTCATTGAATTCTAGGAAATGTTGAGTGTCTTTTCTATTGAAAGAATTATTTTTTTTTATTAGTATTAATCAAACGAGGAAGTACTAAAAATTGAGATGAATGTAGTCTGACCAAAAGACCAATTTTCACCGCCATTTATTTTATTTTTTGAATTTATGAACAGCATTTGTCAAATTTTGATAAAAACGTTTTGATTTTTGAGATGTTAAATTATTTACATATCTTTTTCAACGAACGTGTATTTGCTTTGCAACGTCTTTTCTCGCGAAATCTATGTTCTTCTTTAAAAGTGGAAAATTGTTTTGATAAGTTTGGTCTTTGCAAAATATTGTTTACCTATTTTTATCATTTTTTTTAAAACATCACTTTTTTTCAAACCCTTCAATTAATCCCTTTTTCTTGTGATTTGATTTCAAAAATGCTAAAAACATATATTATTTTCTTGATTTCAGTTTTGTGTAGTTTAGTTTGACTCAAGAGTATTTCTTTATTTTTTTAATGCCATTCTCAAACGCCTCGATTAAAAAGTTAATGATGCTTTTCAATAACATTTTTCAATGACAAAAAATTATAATCTTTTTTGAAACGGCATTGTTTCTCACTATCGATTTTCTATCTGCCAAGGAGCTTATGGACAGCTGAATTTTTGTTAGAAAATTTATTTTTTCCTGATGTGAGAATATTTCTGCAGATGACAATTCAATTTGCAAAGCACAGAAAACAAAATTTTCCAGCCTCGTGAGAAGTTTTTGAGTCTGACCAAAAGAAACATGTAGGTTTTTTCTGTCGAGCTAATTCAATTTGCTCTTTCTCTCCCGTTTTTTTTTCTTTTTCTAGCGAAAAAACGTCAGTTTTTTGCCTATGACCTCACATTCAGTCATAAAAACTACAAAAAAAAACAATTTTTCGAACATGCATTCATTTAGAGCTGGAATTAGAGACAAAAGTGCATTTTGTCTGCAAAATCATTCAATTTGTCAAGGCTGAGCATTTTTGTTCTACATATTGAAACAATGTTTTGTTGTTCTACCCTTATAATGAAATATATACATATGTATTTCTTGAGGACTTTCTTTCTTTTTTTTATATACATGTACAACATAGATACATAAAATAAAAGATCATAAGAGCGCAATATTGACCAAAAAATGTTTGCGACAAATTAGTTTTCTTTGGAAACAAACTATAGTCTAGTTATATTGATCTTTCATTTTTTGATTCTCTCCTCGTAAGAACGACGCTGTCAAACTAGATTTTTTCGCGTCGTCCAGAAAATTTGTTTATTTTTACTCTGCTCGCACTTCTTCTCTATTTTTGATGAACATCGAGATTTTTCGCACATATTTTTTCTAATACTAATATAAAAGACGTCATTGTTGACATTCAGAACTTTTTGCAGAGATCTGTTTTTTTTTCTGAAATCAAAATGTTTGTGCTCAAATTTTCTCAGCTAGTAAAGGGAGCTCAAAGAATGAACATTTTTGGAATGTGTTTCTTGGCAGAAGACAAGAGATAATTATTCCAAAAGTTCCGGGACATTTTTTTTCTGAAAAAAAATTGTAATTAGAAAAATTGATGACTTCGTAAAGCTTCTGTATAATATTGAAAAATTCTGATTATGTTTTTTTTTCACGTTAAGAAACTTATATTAATCAATTTGTGTTCTCAGTTTGAAAATTTGTAGATCCTGAATTTCAATCAATATTTCAAAAGAGTATCATCATAAAATAGAGTGCTGATAAAATTTACAACGGACGCTTCTCAAACAAATCATATTTTGATTGTTCCAGTGAACTTTCATTAGGAAACTGTTGTGTTCAACCTAATCTGAAAATCTTATCGTATGAAATCAGGTCAGGTTCCAATTGAATTAAAATCAACTGTTTCACCAACATTTCCATAAATCCAGTAGACGTCTTCTTTCTGAAATTTGATTGACTGATTTGCCACATCATAAATAGCAAAAATTATGTATCCTACAAATTTTCTCATAATACTAATAATCTCTTTGATTGCAGATCTACCTTCAAAATAACAAAACACTTTTTTGTTTTTAATTCCGAAATCTCGAAATCTCTTTTTGTTCGAGCAAAGACTAAAATTTTTCAAAAGTATACATATATTATTCTCCCTGTCACACAAATCATTTTTGATCTTCTCAATCACTTTTATCTTTCTTCTCTTCTCATTTTCTCTAATTTTTCCCCTTTAGCAACATGCGCCATGTTTTTCAAACAAATCATTCGTTTTCCGTCACTACATATTTATTGTTCCTAATCAATTATTTTCTCTTCTGTCACATTCTCAGAATCACCAATTCTCCCCTTGTTTCCTTGCGCGATGTTCATTTTTCCCCATAATAAAGAAACCCGCGTCATCATCGGAACAAACTGCACATTTTTCTATTTTTCTAGAGCAACTTTTTCCTCTTTCTCTCCCCTTTTCACATCTTCTGAATGTTTCGACACCCACGTTTTCCGCGCAGTCTCATTCTCAGAAGAAAAATTGAGAAGACGAAGAAAAAAATGTTTCTGATGGACTGAAAGACGAAAAAAAACCAAGTGTGTACTTTGTGTGCTAGTCTTTTTTCTCGAGACCGAAAAAGAAAAGAAAAGAAAGAAAATGATGGAAGACGACCAAGTTTTCTCTCGCTCTTTTTCTCTCTCGCTCTCTCACTCTCTCGCTCGTATGTCCTGCCACGATATATTTTCTTCTTCTTTTTCGCCTCACTCGAATGAATATGTTGTACCCCCTTTTTTCCATACCAACATCCTTTTTTCCCTCATACATACACGTTTATGAGTGTGTCAATTTGGTTTGTTGTTTGCATGCCCTTTTTGGATTTTCTTTATACAATGTTTCTCTCTCTCAATTAATATTAATTTTATCCCCCATCTTTTATGCAATTATAATAATAATGTTATTGACTTTCGACTCCTTTTGTTTCGTTGGTCATTAAAATGTTAGATAGTTCTTTTCCAAGATTTTTTGTTTACATTTCTTTAATGCACTCCCTTCTCATTGATTTTTTCCACCAAAGAAAAACGACTGAAAAACTCGTAAATCCCCCCAAATAATGCGTGTGCCTGATTTTTGATTCTTTTCGCATTTTTATTAGGCAATATTGTTCTCTTCTCTCAAAATTCTAATTTTTTATCATTCATTCATTACATATGCTTGAATGTAAAAAAAAACAATTTGAAATCAATACGAGAGAAAAGATAAGCATTTTTTTTTTGAAATTGAGAAGGTTTCCTATCACATGACTGATTTTTGCTACGTTTATTCAACTTCAAGTACATTTTTTTTGCTTTTTCAAGAAAAAAAGAACGAGTAAATTGTCCATTGTTGGATCATAACACAAAATATATGTATGTGTATGTAACTAGATTGCTGTTTCGTCAGGATCGTTTTTCTGTCTCACATTTTTTCTCGCTCGTTTTATTATATTCTTCAAAAGAAATACAAAACACTCTTTGAACTTATAAAAAAAACATTCGCACTTTTCTTTTACAAATATGTTTGTCTGAAGGGTGGATGTATCGAATTACGTTTTAATGTCATATATTTTTTCCAAAATACGTTTCCTACTTTACTTGATTTCTTGACTGAAAATTCAAACAAGACTCGCTGCCATAGTTACATGAAACATGATTTTTCCTTTTTTCTATCCCCTTTGTCTCTTTCTAAACTTTTCGTATCTTTTTGATATGTTATTTTTTAACCCATAATTAGCCCCCTTATTTCAAGCTCTCAACTTTATTTTTTTCTCTTCTTTTTTTTTGATTTACAGAAAATCAATATTTTAGTTTTTTTTTCAGAATAGGAATCGGTTACAATCAAATTTGATCTCAATGAAAGACGAATATTCGACACAGGTTAGTTTTTTTTTGAAACATATTCACTATTTCTCAATTCCATTCAATCGACCAAAGAAAACCGAATCGAAAATCGGCATTTCGTGACATTAGGGACATCAGATAACACCCGATTTTCAAAGAAGAAATGACTGAACAAAACATTGTTGACGTCATCAAAAAAGTTCTTTCAGGAGTGTTCGATATGCTCAGCACAGGCTGATGGAATGCATTATGGCGCACTGAGTTGCAGATCGTGTAATGCGTTTTTTCGAAGAACGGTCGTTGAAAAAGCGGTGAGTTTATCGATTTCTAACGATCTTTGATAGCTACAGTTGTACATTTTTGTATGTGTGTCAATATTTGAACGTGTGTGTGTGAGAAAGACAAAAAAACTAAAATCGTTTGGTCTCTCAATCTCAACTTACCACGGGATAAAACATTACTGAACATGAAACATTATCTGGGGATTTGAGATATTTTTAAATAGGAGAGAGGGATGATAGTTTATAGTTTTTCGGTGTAGATCAAAAATTAATTTTCATTTCTTTACCATTTTAAGACAGTGGTCGGGATTAGCTAGTAAAAGATTGTTGAAAAATTCAAGTAGCAATTAAGAATAACTGTGCCCTTTCATTTGAACTTTCCTAATCGATATCATTTTTTTTCAGAAATATGAATGTAAACATAGTAAAAATTGCAAAATCAATTCGGACGACCGTTGCAGTTGCCGATATTGTCGATATATGAAATGTATTGAAGCCGGAATGCGAGTGGAAGGTAATTAGTTACGAAAAAATTGTCTAAAACTATCCAATCTGGTTTTTTCTCTTTGCAGCTGTTCAACCTAGACGAGATCCAACTGGATCGCAGAAAGATCGTCGGAAGAGAATGTCGAATAAAATATCGTCATCGCAAAGCCCATGTGGAAGCGCAAATAGCAGTTTTTCGTCGGATCAAAAGTGAGTTTTCCATTTTTCTTCTTACGTTTTTCATTCATTTTGAGAGAATTACCCAATCAATCATATTAGTGCAATTAGATCGTGTAAAAAATGAAGGTCAAGAACCACTTTTAAGGTCATTTTTTCGAAAAAAGAACATTCTAGTTACAGTATATCAAATGGTTCATTTTCAATCGTCGATGCAATCAAAACTGAATTTGGATTTTCAAACCCTCATCGGAATTCTTTATCAAATGATATATTTGCAACGAATGATAAACTGAGCAAGATTGTAAAAACTGAACTGGAAGATGAGCAAACCGCAAGTACAAGTGGTGGCTCAGAAAAGGTACGCTTCAAAGAGTTATTGAAGTCAAGTAACGGCAAAAAATTCTCTTTTTTTCAGGTTTCACGCATGAACACACCCAACGATGACGATCAACAAGAGTTTCGACATTTGGTTTTTTCATACGGGGAACATCAAAGAATTATGCAATTGTCATTTTCAACTGTTGAGCAATTTTTAGACGAGCTTGAAAACGGTCAAAAGTTACGTGCGATGGATGCGACAGATGTTAACAAATTATCAGCTGTTGAATTGACGGGACTACTGTATTGGATTGAGAAAATGCGACCGTATCGAGATCTACCTGCTGATGATAAATCGATGCTATTGAAACGATATTCAGTGAGAAAATTGAGTCTCGATCATTTTTATAGCGCCTCAAAACATCCAACAAATGTGAGTTCATTATTTATGAATAGAAAAAAATGACGAATTCTTATTTCACCCCAAAAAAATAATTGTTGTTTTCAGTGCGAAGCAGGTGAATTTGTAATGAATAATTATACATTTGTGCCGTCTGATCGGACCGGTTTCGAACTTCCGGATGATGATGAAAAACAGATTGAAGCCAAAAAACTGTGAGTTTGTTTTGAGCCAATTTGAAACCCTTGTAATCTCCCGAATTAATCTAACTTCTCCTGTGTCGTAACAGTAACGTCAGCTATCCTAAAAGGACAGACATACTTACTTTTTTTGAAAATAGTGATTTGAGGACTTTTGCACCAACCTACTCACGATTTTGGAACAATGTCATTATTCCGTTTGTCAAATTGCGAATCACTGATGCTGAAATTGTTTATCTGCATATTTTGTTGCTATGGAGTCAGACAAGTGAGTTTTTTTTTGTTCTTTCGGAGGAAACCAAGTAGATCAATAATTCATTTGCGTGTTTCAAAAACTTTTTTTAAAACATTTTTAATGAACTTCAGTGTAGTTTCAGAAGGAATTTAACTTGACAATACACGATTCTACAGTATATTTTTGTTATCGATCATCAAAATTGTGTTTTTTTTCCAGACAATGAACACGTCACACAACAAACTCGCGATATAATGAAACAACGACGAGACTGGGCAATGTGTCGATTGTTCGATTGGTATCATGAACATGATTATGAAGAACCCGGTGTTCGATTTGGTCAAATCACTTTGATTCTTGGCGAAATTGAAGTTCGTATTTCAATGTCCCCACAAAATTCCTATATAAAATCATGATATCGAATTACCATGATTTTTGCTCACTCTAGACTTTTTTTTAGAGAAAAGGGATTTTATTTTCTGGCAAAATGATATTTTTCGTATACAAAATGAAAAATTCCAGATAATTTGCGATATGCATTGTCAAGATTTCCAAGTTGCGAAACTTTTCGAATTTTGCGATATGAGCAAATTCTGGTATGAATCGTTGTGTTATGCGCCATGCAATACAAATACGGTCAAATTCGATCCGAATCTCTTCGAAAGTCTGAAAACATTCACCGCAATTAGTGTTATCGAAACACACGGCGGAGTTCCGCCAACAAAACAGCAAACTGATCAAGCGTGGCAAAAGTTGAACAATTTTCAAAGTCCAGTTAGACCTGTAAGTTCACCTGATCTACAATTATCTGTTTTCAAACTATTATTAAAATCTTTTTTAGGTTGCTGCCGCTGGTGTAAGTGGTTTGATGCCATCAACGTCTGTCCTAAGTTGCGATCAACAATTGCTCGAAGTTGAGAAGAAGTTGCAAGAAGAATATGTTCGAAATCTTGCAACACAAAATTATCAGCAACAATTACAATTCCGTCAACAGCAACAACTGCAACTTCAACAACAATTACAGCAGCAAAACCTCACAAATGGTTTTGAATTTAATCCCAATTATTCGGCAATGGTTTTCAACCAAAGTGATATTGCCTAACTCTTTTGTTTGCTCGATTAAGGTTACATTTTTGTTAAATTTTATAGTTCAATTGATTCCCCTGATCTCACACTCGCCCTTTGTTTCATATAATTTTGATCTCATTTCCTATCACCTGAATTTGTAAGTAATTAACCCCTAGTATTCAATACAGTACTCTGTGAAAAAGCTAACCCTATTTATATATATTATATATATACTGACTATTTATACATTATTTTACAATACACAGTAAATAGAACACATCACCTCCTTGTGACTTATACGGTTTGCCCCTCTTTATTTCCTATTATTGATTCGATTCTTTCCCCCCTGGTTTTTTTTGTAGAAAAATATTTTTCCCATATTTTTGTGAATAACAATAAAAACAACATTGAATTTGAATGGAAACAATGAATTTGTTTATGTTGATTTTTCCTTTGACAAAATTTGAATTTGATTATTCCCCAGAGACATATATCGTATCAATTTTATTGGGTTTCAAAGATGTCTTACTTGCAGCAGCTTTTTTTGAAACAAAAATTTACAATTCAGAAAATATGAAAAAAACTATTTTTTTTCCTTTTTTATTGCTATTTTATTGAAGCCAGGGACGAGGAGAGGGGACGAAGTTTTTATTGAATCTTAGGCCATTCGCCAAAAAAATTCCCCCAATTTTTCTTAGGCCTAAAAAAGCGCGGGTAGTTTCCAACGAGCGTCATCCGAGGCAAACATTTTTGCAAAGAAAGGCTTTTTTGTTTCAATAAAGACCTCTATGATAGTCTCTGAAGGGCAAAAAATATAGTTTTTTGACATTTTCTGAATCGAAATTTTATGTTTTTTTTTCTTTTCTGTAAGCTATGTGATACGTCTGTGATATTTGTGAAAATCGTGATTTGTATCACAACAGAAATCACGATGGTCCATGTTTAGAAATATTTCAGAATAACTGGAACATTTGAAAAATAGTTCGAACATTGAACTTTGTGTGAAACTTTTTGAAAATAATACCGTAAAATTGCGAAATTAAAAATCTCATATTTTCAAAAAAAAAATCACTTACACTGATATTATTTTCACATATCCGATTACAACTTCTTCAGAAAACAACCATGTCTTTCAAAAAAGTTTAAAACGAGCTTATTTATTGAAACTTTGTGTACAAACTTGGAAACAAGTTCGAAAAATCAAAATTTTCAAAAGTTCATAAATCTTTGTCGTTATTCATTCGGAAGTAAAGCAAACGACATTTTCCAACTCTCCAAATGTTGAAGAAAGCCCACAGGAAAACATGTTGTTGATTTTTCCGTTGTTTTTTTGGTTTCGATTTTCTTCAACCACAAAATACAAATTGTATTTATTTTCTGCGAAAGAGAGAAAATTCTCCCATTTTCATTTTGCAAAGAGTATTAAATAGTAGAAATTTCTCTTCTTTTTCTCAATTTATTTGTATATATTTTCATAACTTTTCAATCAATATTTTCGGAAACCATATTTTTTTTCTCATATAAATCGAGAGATTTTTTTTATTATTCTGTACAAAAAAAATCGTTGAGTCAATATTTTTTGTATCTTTTAGTGATTCTTGAGAAAATTGTTATTGTACTTTTTTCTCTTTATTTCTGCCATTTTTACCTTCTTCAAATATCTTTCCATCAATTATAACAACCGACAAAAAAAACTCACATATTTGATCATACGCTCACCGTTTCTCTAAATCTCTCAATTTTCGCACCTTTCTACACTCACTTTGTCTTGTTTTGACGCGTAAAAGACAATGAGAGAACAACACAAATTGGGGAGGGTTTTGAGAGAAAACGAGAGAATCTGCTGTTAGACCGCCGCACTACTATTTTCAACGTTTATTGGATTTTGATAAAGAACATTTCAGTATATTATTTCAGCGTTTGTTTCAAATTTGGTGGCCGTGAAAATTGAAAAATGGGAAATAATCAACCTGGGTCGATGAACAAACGTGATCGTCCATTTGATGGAGAAAGAGGTGAGTTTTATTGATTTTTAATTAATTAACAAAAAAATTGAGGAAAATTTTAATATCACCCAGGAAACAATCATTTTTTCATACATGTTTGTGATTTTGAAACGCATTCTGAACTTTTCAGAGAAAAAAAACTGTTTGTTAGAGTTTTACAAATAATCCTCAAATCCTTGATTTTCTGTCTGTATTCCCATCCTTTCTGAAACAAAAATAATTCCAGGTAGAACCCGTACTCGCAGTGAGAATGCGTCAACTCCAACCAATGGTGAAGATGAGTGCCCAGTTCAACTGAAGATCGCTAAAGGAGATCATCGTGCTCATGAGTTTCCAGTGGTTTTCAAATGGAACACCTCGCAAACTTCGTGAGTTTTTCTCAATTCTTTAAAATTTTCCAAATCCTAATTTATTTCAGATTCTCTACCCCTCGCTCTGTGTTCATCTGTGGATCGTGGGATGGTTGGAGAACAAAGATCCCGTTGGTCAAGTCAACATCGGATTTCTGCACAATTGTTGAATTGGAGCCGGGAAAGCACGAATACAAATTTATGGTCGATGGAAAATGGGTTGTTGATGATAATCAAGAAAAAACTGGCAACAATTTGGGTGGTGAAAACAACGTTGTGATGATTGATGAAGCGGATTTTGAGGTTTTCGATGCTTTGGATCGCGATTTGGCATCATCGAATGCTGGCGAAGCAATGAGAAACAATGATCATCAAGCGAGCAAAGAATCACACGACACTCCAAATGATAGGTCAGTCGGGGTTTTCATTGGCTGTGAGACAGAAAAAATTGATAAACTTCTTCTGAAAAACAAACAAAGGCTATTGCACTTTTGTTTTTTTCATTAATGTTCTTTGTTCAGTAGTTTTATGACACGGCCCAGAAAAAAATATATTTGCATATTTTTTTTCAAGAACGTGGGATGGAAAAGTTATGAATAATTTTTTTTAAAATAAAATCGATTGTCACAGAAAATAAGATTAGTTTTTAAAATTCTTCAAAAAATGATCTTTAAAATATCCCAGACATCAGACAGAACAATTTGTGGTTAAATATTTGTATAACCAAACAACCAGACAATTTTGAATCAAACATCAAGTTTTCCAAATGAGCTATGAACTTGGAAACATATTTGATTCCTAATTCTGAACGGGACCAGCAGTTTTATTTTTAAAAGTTAAAATTCAATAATTTTTATGGTTACTTTTTATCAATTTGAGCAGTGGTCAAATTTAGCAAAAAAAAATCTGATGAATCAAAGAAATATCATTATCCTTCCATTTTCCACTATCAATTTCTTTTTTTTCAAAAACAAAACTACAAATACACAAAACACGGTCCCACAAAAATTGCTCATTTTACGATTCTGCAAACTATATACATACAATTTTTCGTATCAATAAAATTTCCCATTATTCTAACGTCGTTTCACATTCGCTAAAAAAATACATTATCTTAATCGAATTATGATGATTCACGGGGGCGAACACATATAAATCCAATTTTGAATTGTAAAAAATCATTCTATTCCCTTTCCATTATTCTTTCAAAAAAAAATAATGTCTGGCTCCAAGAAACGTATGTTCTACGTTGGAAGTGATGATGAATGGGAGGATGACAAAAATTCTCAAAATCCAACTAAAAATATTCCTGAAAATAAAGAGCCTCTCAAAAAGGATCCTGCGGAAAAAACAAAGTAAATCAATTAAAAAAAAAATAGATTTTTAATACAATATTTTTTCTTGTTCCAGAGAATTGGAGAAACTCTACACTTTCGGACAAGAAATGCCAACACGTGCCGATTTCGCCAAAGCTTGTGCTCCACCAGTTCTTCCACCACACCTTCTTCAGGTAATTTTCCAAAATAATTCACAACGGGGAAAATAGGCTTGAATGAATAAAAATTGTTGTTGTTTGACATGAAAAATTTGATATTTGATACACTGCTGAAAAATCAAAGAGTATTGAAAAATCAAAGAGTATTAGCTCATTCAAAAATTATTCCGGTGACAACACTTGTTTGTTCAGGAGGGTCAATTACAAACAAGGTTTACAAATTTGTTGAAATAATTTTTTGTAAACATCAGTGATCCAGTTGAACTTAACATAAATTGAAAATGAGGGAATTGTCTGAAATCCGTCGTACCTCGTCGGAATAAAAAATAAATAAAATCTGTCTTTCAGGTCATTCTCAACAAGGACACTCCAGTCCAATGTGACCCAAATGTTTTGCCAGAACCAGATCACGTTATGCTCAACCATCTCTACGCTCTTTCGATCAAGGATGGAGTTATGGTTTTGTCAGCCACTCACAGATATCGCAAGAAGTTTGTCACCACACTTCTCTACAAACCAATCTAAACACGTTTTTTTCTGTTCACATGTTACTTTTAATATACATTTTCGGCGGTTTCTTCTAATATCATATCTGTAAAATGCTCCTCAAAAAGCATTCGTAGACTCCTTTCCATTCCATGTTCATAATTTTCCTCCCTATAATCTGTCCGTTTCTTTTAAAAATAATTTACGTAGTGCATTCCACATGCATCAAACATTAGAATTTTTCTTTTCTTGTGACACTTTTTGGTTTTTATATCACGAAATAAAACGTTTTGATTTTCTGATAAAACAATTTAATCGCAAAAACCATGCGACTCTTGGCCAACGCCTTGTTTTTGGTGGCTCTCGCCTTTTGCGATCCCACTGTAGATGTGAATATTGTGACTGGAACTATAAATGCAACAATTCGCGGATATCAACATGTTGATGGAACATCTTTCCGTGGTATTCGATATGCTGCACCACCAGTTGGCGATTTCCGATTCCAAGAAGCTAGAAGACATGACCCAACTGGTTTAGTGTCAGCTCTCGGATATGGAAGCAGTTGTGTTCAAGGAAGTGCTGGATCAGAAGATTGTTTATTCATCAACATCTGGGCGCCAACAGTAAGTTTTTGGGCACATTTCAAGATTAAAAAACAAAACAAATTTTCAGAACGCGACAAGATCTTCAAAACTGCCAGTGTATCTTTATATCCACGGTGGTGGTTTCACTGGTGGTTCGGGAAATATTGGTGACGGTGTTTTGCCAAATCTCGTTGAGAAGGGAAACATTATTGTTGCATCTATCAATTATCGTCTTGGACCATTTGGATTCTTCACAACTCGCGAATCAACTGCTCCAGGAAATTGGGCGATCTCAGATTGGATTGAAGGATTAAACTGGATTCAAAGATACATCGAATTCTTCGGCGGTGATGCAACTCGTGTTACAATTGGTGGACAAAGTTCCGGAGCTGAAGCTGTCTCAATTTTATCACTCACTGATCAAGCTAATGGACTCTACAATCAAATAATTATGGAATCTGGTAGTGCATTTGGAGCAGCAATTATGTCATACTCCGAGAAAACTAGAGATACTAGCAAACAACTTTCCATCAAGCTCAATTGTGCAACAAACGATCATTGGGAGAGTGGACAACAATTTCAGGTTTTTTTCAGTTTTTCTTGAAGTTTTACAGCAGACATTCCAGGTTATTGTTCAATGTGTTCGCGGTGCTTCTGCTAGTCAAATCAACACTGCTGATCATTCCTTGCAAAGTCATCGTATGAAATGGGCAATTGTTCAAGATAAGAAATATCTCACAGATCGTCTTGAATATTTAGCAATGAAGAGAAGCACAAGTATTAATGTTTTGTTGGGTGATGTAAATCAGGAAGATCTTGGTAGTGAATTAAACAATATTGAACATAACTTGAATAATTCACGTAACACTGCTCCACGATTGCAAAATGATTTGCAAGATTGTTATGAAAATACTTATTGGGATAATAAAGGTGAGCTTTAAACTGTAATCAATTTTCTGATTGTGAATTCAAAAAAATTACAGAAGCGGTCAAATCTGCCGCTGTCAACAAATATATCACAAATCAAAATTGGTCTACCGATGATTATGCTGATTGGGAAGCGAGAAGAATTCAAATCTGGTCTGAAATGATTTTCATCGGGCCTGTTCTTCGAGATGGTGGATATTTCCAATACCGTGGAAATAATGTGTATCTTTATTCTCTTGATTGGCTCAGTCCAAATGGTAATAAAAGGTAATCTTGTTTTTATTCCTATAGATATGTGTTTCAGCTCTTCCGGAGATCACAAATCCCATGTTCAGAGGTTGTATGCATACTTGGGAATTGCAATATATTTACAGCACAGGGTGTAAAGGTTTCACTTGTACTGCAGAAGACAATTTGCTTCGTGATTATTTCACAACCACTTGGATCAATTTCATCAAATATGGAAATCCTACTCCAGCTGGAAGTAGCTTGCCATTCAAATGGTTGACAATGGGAACACAAAATCGTTATTTGAAGTTCCAACCAAATCCAACAATGTTCAATGATTATCATCCGGATTCAAAATTCTGGGCGTGCACTGCTCCAACCATTGATGGCTACAAACCACCTTTCTGTTAGTTATCAAACTACATATACGTTTTTGTCTCATTTTGATTTTTGATCTAATTTAAAAAATAAACTCTTATCAGAAAAAGCATTCATTTCCACATGGTAACATTTTTTTCCCGATAAAAAAAGTTTAATTTGTTTATAATTATGTGGTGGTTGATTACGACATCTCTACTTTTTGCTTTTGTCAAATGTGATGATCCAAAAGTTGATGTTGTTATTTCTTCTGGAAATGTGAGCGCAACTATTCGAGGATATCAGCATCCTTATGGCACATCATTCCGGGGTATTCCATATGCTGCAGCTCCAGTTGGATTATTGAGATTCCGCGAAGCACAACGCAAAGATCCAACTGGATTTGTTTCAGCTCTTGGTTATGGAAATATTTGTGTTCAGCCTAGTGGAACAGGTTCAGAAGATTGTCTTTTCATCAACGTATTCTCACCAAATGTTTGTATTCTCACATCAATATTTTTAATATTTTTAAATTTGCAAAAAAATATTTCCAGAACGCTAGCGTAGTTTCAAAACTTCCAGTCTATGTTTATATTCATGGAGGTGGTTTCATCGAAGGATCCGGTAACATGGGTGCTGGAATTTATCCAAACCTAGTTAACAAGGGAAACATCATCTTGGTAACTATCAACTATCGTCTCGGACCATTTGGATTTTTCTCAACACGGGAAACCATGGCACCAGGAAATTGGGCGATCTCTGATTGGATTGAGGGATTGAACTGGGTTCAAAGATACATCACATTTTTTGGTGGAGATCCCAGTCGTGTTACAATTGGTGGACAAAGTTCGGGAGCTGAAGCTGTCTCCATCCTCACATTAACATCTTTAGCAAAGGGACTGTATAAACAAGCTATCATGGAATCGGGAAGTGCTTTTGGAGCCGCAATTATGTCATATTCTCAAAAAACTAGAGATACTAGTAAGCAACTTTCCATTAAAGCTAATTGTGCGACAAGTGATCGTTGGGAAAGTGGAACTGATTTTGGAGTACGTTCTTTTGAAAAAAATCATTTTTTTTTTTACAAAAAAATAATAAATTTTTCCAGATAATTCTCAATTGCCTCCGCGGTTTAACTCTCAATCAAATTAACACTATTGATCGTTCTTTGCCAAATCATCGAATGAAATGGGCAATTGTTCAAGATAAGAAATATTTGACAGAACGACTTGAATATTTGGCGTTGAAGAGAGACACCAGTATTAATGTTTTGTTGGGTGATGTTAATCAGGAAGATCTTGGTGGTGAATTGCATAATATTGAACATAATTTGAATAGTACTCATAACACTGGAACACAATTGAAGACTGATTTGGGAAATTCATATGAAATGACTTATTGGGATAATTCTAGTTAGTTTTTTGATTTGACAATAAAAATAAATTTCGGAAAATTCAGACGCGGTAAAAGTTGCGGCTTATAATAAATATATCACGAATCAAAATTGGGCTGACAATGATCATGCAAACTGGGAAGCTAGAAGAATTCAACTTTGGTCTGAAATGATTTTCATCGGACCGGTTCTTCGTGATGGTGGATATTTCCAATACCGTGGAAATAATGTGTATCTTTATTCTCTCGATTGGCTCAGTCCAAATGGTAAAATAATCTAAAACATACCATTTACAAAATAATGAATAATTTCAGCACTTCCGCAAATCACTAATCCATTATTCAGAGGTTGTATGCACACTTGGGAGCTTCAATATATTTTCAGCACAAATTGTAATGGTTTCAATTGTACTGCTCAAGATGAACTTCTCCGTAATTATTTCACTACAACTTGGTTGAATTTTATCAAATTTGGAAATCCTACTCCAGCTGGAAGTAGCTTGCCATTCACTTGGCTGACAATGGGAAAACAAAACCGATATCTGAAGTTCCAACCGAATCCAACAATGTATAATGATTATCATCCGGATTCAAACTTTTGGGCTTGCACTGCCCCAACTATTGATGGATACAAACCACCTTTCTGTTAAAAAACAATTGTTTTACAATCATAAATAAATAATTTAAATATTCACATCAGCAGGAAACATTATAGAATTGCAAAATATGCTTTCATAACAATTCCAATCAGGATATTAGTCCAAAAACAGTAGTTCTCTCTTTTCTTCCGATTCTTTTCAAAATTTTGGAGTCTCAAATCTTTGAATACAAATAATATTTCAAAAATAGCCTTCAAAAACATTTGAATGGTTTTGCTCGATTCGTTGTTTCTACACAAAAGGTTTTTTTTTTCAAATGAAACATCTCATTTGTTCATCATATATCATTATGTCTATTCAATTTATGTGTTGTTCTTTTTGTCGATGAGCATTTGCAAACACCTGCCAAATGAAGTTTGAGTTTTCAAGCTCCACCCATTTTCTTATTGTACAACTTTCTCATAAATTTGTTCGTTCATTTCAACGATATTTCTAAAACCATGTCAAAAAATCATGTTCAACAAGAATCAGCTGACTCGGAGTCTGGAGAAAGTCCAAGCTCCCAATCAAACTCAAACGAATCAAGAAATGTAATTGATCGGAATTCCTTGGTTGATCATATTCGAAAATCACTGATGCAACGTTTCAACGATTTTTCGATAACTGAAGAGGCAATTGTTTTGATGAATACAATTTTGGAGCATGTTCTTGAAAAAATTCTGACGGAAGCAGAATCCTTAACACAGAACATGCGATCGAAAACAATTGAATTATCGTCTATTGATGCAGCAATTGAAGAAGTATTTGGAGGAAAACAACTCATGTTTCTGAATCAAATTCGAGAAAAAACTGTGGAAAAACCAAATGAAGGAGAGAAATAACTGCATCTCAAAGTAGTTTCCCAACGGCCTTCCTTAAGGCCAGATAACCGAACCCAACAGCCCTCTTAAGGGCTACAAATATTTTTAATAAATAATAAAATTTTTTATTCATCGTGAGAACCCTTAATTCTTGCTTTTCAAATCAATCGGAATTATTGGAAACCCAAACTTTTTGCAATTCTTTTTTCTGAATTCATTGTTTTTCCTGTGTCTGAAAACAAAATAACATTCAGAGAAATTGATTTATCCAGCAAAAACTTTCGATCAACATAAACATTTTTTAGAAAAAAGAAAGAAAACACTAAACTATGTAAATTAAAAAACCTTACTAGAATGGAATTGTTAAGAAGAGTTGATTGAATCACAAGAATAAAATACAAGAAAATGTAAACGCGGATTTTTTGTTTGTTACTAATGTAATTTTTTTTTGAATAATAGAAAAAAACCGTTTTCCTCAATTTTCCATAATTTTTCTAGATGAACAATCAAAACTGCTCAATTGAAAAATCATAGTAATCACAAAAATAGCTACATGAATTTTTGAAACAACCAGAATATTTTGATTGACAAATAAATTCATCATTTTTCAAAATCAACCGATGTTTTTTTTTGTTTGATTTCAAAATTTGAATTGCATACAATTTGAAAACCGTCTAAAAGAATAATATAAAAATAATGGGTGAAAAAAACAAGCTGGAGTTGAACGAAAAGATGAAAACTATACAATAATTTCCCTCATTTCGATATAAAGCACATTTAAAAAATACAAATGAATTGAATATTTTGTCAAATATTCCTTATTTTACACATGATTCTGGTGAGAAATAGAGATTTAAGTTTTTGTGTTTCAATTTTTGGGAAAATTGAAACATTATAACTCGAATTTAGAAGAAGAAAAAAGGAAAACGATACCTACTGGCCCAAAAATGAGCGGATATCACATTGTTTCTCAATTTGTTACTTAACAAATATGAACTTGAACAATTAGAAAAACATATAGAAAAACGAAAAAGAAGAATGATAATGTTTAAGATGAGGTACACATTTTTAAATATGAGATTCTTCTTTTCTTGACTTAAGCTGCTGGTTTTGGAGCTGGTGCTTTTTCTTCAACAAGAACTTCGAAATAAACCATACCAAGACGGGATGAGATATCGTGTTCAATGTTCAAAGAATAAGCACGGCATTCAACGATGACAAGTTTGTTCTTTGGAATGTTATCGAATTTGACCATCGCCTGAAAAATAACGTAAAATATTATAAAAACATAAAATAAACATACAATTGGTTGTTGGTATCCAGTGGTGAAAGCGTATGGATAATATCTTCCATCAATTCCAGATTCTGGGATATATTTCACTTTTCCAAGATGTTCTTTATCAATGTTGGTGGCTCCTTCACAATTGATAGCAATTGATCCTTGCTTGTATCTGTTTTTCACTTCTTCTGGGATACTGTTAGCTGGATAATCGACTGGGCGCCATCCGATCAAACGGTTCAATGAAACAACGACACATGGCTGAAAATCAGTGATTCGGAAATTTGAAAAAAAATATTAAGGGTCAAGGGTAAATTATTTTGAAAAATTGTCACAAAATTTAAAAATAAAAATCCTAGCATATTTTTGTTTCATCCTATTGTGAAAGTGAACATATGTCAACTTTAAATTATGGAATCTTGAAAGTATTTTGATTGTCTTTCTGTATTTTATGAAAATCGAAACTTTAGACTCACAGTTCCGGCTTTGTATCCATACTCTTGATTAGCTCCACATCCAGATTTGGCGAATTGATCCAAATCGAATTGGCAAGGCAAAGTTTCGTTTCCATCAGCTAAATCAGCATTTGAATCAGTTGGTGAGCATTTTCGTGTGTTTTCAGTCTTGTTGTATTTTGCCAAATAATCATTGAGTTGTGTAACATATGGTGCAAATGTTGATGGATCTTTCACATTGAATTTGATAAGCGTCGAATCCGGATTCTCTTTTAACCATGGTTGGTATCCAACACCTGGAAACAAAAGAATTATACGTAGGTAATTAAAAACCAACATCATTAATATTATCATTGTGATAAAATAATTCTTATTACGTAAATTGCTGCAATTTTGCATTTTTGAGTGCCGCGAAAAAATGTTGATAAGATAAAAAAAGCAAACAAAGTTCGACTTGTTTCCGGCGATCTCACCTGGGTTAACACCAATAATTGTTCCTTTTCCATAGAATCTTGGGACTTTTGGGTCAAGAGATTTCAAGAAAATTGCCAAACATCCGATCCAGAATGCAAAGAGGAAAAAGTAGAAGATGATGTAGAAAATTGTGATTTGACCTGGAATAAAAAAATATTTAAATTCTTGATCAAGAAATGTTTATTCAAAAAACAACTTACACCATGATTTTCCGGTTCTACCCAATACGGTTCCTTTATTTTTGTTGTAAAGGAATTGAGCAAAAGTTTCCTTTTCCTCCTGTTTGCTTGTACCATTCATTAGCTAAAAGAATTTTTCATTTTTTAAATTAATCTGAAAAAAGTCATTCACGCTAATATTTTTCACCTAAAAACTTTTTTTTTTGAGAATTTCTTTCTAGGTGACTCTCTAAAGTTATTATTACTTCATACGTTTTTGATTCTCTGAAATTCTATCTTATGCAAATGCCTTAATCATTGAAATCTCCCTTTGTAAAAAAAACCAGGAAAAATGATTTTCTTCAAACAAACACAAATTATCTCTCTCTCTCTACTTTTCCTAATTGCACAATTTATTTTCGAAAAAGTTCATTTACCAATGTATTTAGACAACAGCTTCATCGTTGTTTTTTTTGCGGTGTTTCTTCTGTCGTAAGTCTCTCTCTGTGTTATTTCATTTTCTCATCTCATTCAGTCTTTTTCAGATCATCTACGTCACAATCCAACTCTCTCTTATTCTTTTTCGTTTTTCTTTTTCTCTGCTCCATGTTTTTTTTTGCCTTTGCTTTTTTCTCAATTTCCAATTCACAGAAGGAAAAAAGGAAAAGAATTCACAAAATGGTGACGTTTTTTTTGAAAAAAAAAGAAAGTGAATAGGTGCGATGAAGAAATTTTTGAACAAAGAAAAAAGAGAAAAAAGTGTTTATTTTCAATGGTTCTTATCTTTAATGAGTGGTCCTTAAAATTATTTTGTTTTCTAAACAAAAAAGAAAAAAAAGCTGAGTTCTTCAAGGAACTTGGAATTAAAGTAAAACTAAATGCTCACATTCAGAATTTTCATTTTTTATGTCAAACACGCAATGTATCATGTTTAGCATTTTTTAAACATTATTCATATATTCAGAGATCCCTAAAAAAAACACTAACCGTGGTAGTTTCTTTAGCCATTTTGGATTCTTGATATTATTTCCACGCGAAATGTGTTCTTCTTCTTCTTCTCGGATTGATACCCAGCTGTCTGCAAAGAAAATTTTGAAAATTTCATGAAAAAAGAAAAATGGCAACTCAATTGGTTGAAGAAAAAAAAGAAAATACTTGGTTTTTTTTGTTGTCAGAAAAAGGAGTCTTCGAGAGCCTACACGCACATTGAAAAAAACGAAGAAAACGCATTTTTCTCCTTTTTTGGAGGAATTGTGAGCAAGAAGCTTTTCTTCTTCTATTTATGTGCGAAAAAACAACAACAAATGTGCTCCCTTTTTTTGCTTCCTATATAAACGTGTATGCATACATATGTTTTCAAAAAATTATTATTATTATTGAAAATATTTGATGATTCTTCTTTTTTTTTGCCTCATAGAAAATATAAAATACGGAAAATATTGGGAGAAAAAGTAAAAAAAAAGTTGAAAATCAAAATGAGATGAAACTGCAATATGATGATGATAAGAAGAAAATTAAATAATAATAAAAATTGTTCTGTGTTGAAAATAAAGATAACTCGAATTGTTTGTAAGGGGGAGCGAGAGGGGTGTGTCGTTTTTGTGTGTATGTCTCGTCGCTGTGTATGCACTCAGAGGTACAAGAAATGGGCTCAAATTTCACAAACGACTTTCACATTCACTCAAACAATAGCTGCATTGCGTTTAAAGTCAAAGTTTAACCAAACGGAAATGTTGCCATTTTGTTAATTAACGAAGACACTTTCTTCTTCGTCTTTTTATTTATTTGCGTGGCCCAGCCAAAATGGGAACAGTCACCCTTTTCTAGAAGAAGAAAAACATGACGAAAAAATAGAACGACAGAGAAAAATGGTTTCAGTTTGGGCCCCAATTTTCTGTCGAACACAACCGTAGAACAATTTGAAAACAATTCAATCAAACTGCCGAAAACTGGTCTAAAAAGACACACAAAAAAAGAAATACCCTTGTTTTTTGTCAATGCCAAAAAAAAAAACACAAAACTCCAAAGAAGATGACAATCTTGATTACAATCAAACGTTTGAAAAAAATAAACAAAAATAGAATAGAGAACTTCCAATTTTACACAAAAAACGCGCGCGGGTCACTCAAAAAACTTGGGGGGCAAAATGAAGGGAGGAAATGAAATGGGCGGAGTCTGTTCGTAGACATGAACTTTTTATTTATATTTTTTTTTTATTTTCTAAGAATGAAGAATAGTTAGAATACCTTATTCAGGACCTTCTAAAAAAAAGTGCAATTGAAAAAAAAAAATAATATAAAAGCGTTATCACACAATACAGTTATGACAGTTATAAGTGCGGGTATTAAAATGATAAAATTATAGAAAAAAATAAAATTTTTGACAGTTGGAACGTATCAACAACAAAAGATGAAATAGCAGCAGCAAAAAACACAACTATTCATCCAGGATGAATGGATCAGCTGTCAACCTCAGAGCACCGCCTGCTTTTGTGTTCCATGAAAACTTTTTTGTGATCTTTAAAAATAAGTTCTCCATTGTTGTCAGAACAGAGAAATCAGAAAAGTTTCCTACAATTAATCTCGAGGATGCTACCTATCCAAAAAAATGAAAATATATATCAAGGGGGGATTGACGTTGGCGGTTTTTATTTGTTTAATAGCACTAGTATCTCTGTTTTATTCTTTGAAATCTTGAGAGCTCTTATAAAATAAATTCGGCTATGTTAACTCTGTTTGTTGTTAGATATTTAGATATCACAGGATGACATTTTTTATAGTTGAACTGAACTTTCATCTATGGTAAGTTATCAATTCAATTGAGAGAAAAATGGTAACACCCAATTTAATAAGCTTTATTGTCATTTTTGTAACACACAAAAAACGGTGATAAGAACAAAAAACCAATTGTGTTGTGATAGATGCTCAACAATAGAGAAACACTTTTTTTAGCAAACAAAAATAGCTCTAACAAAGATCAAGTGTTCTAAAAAAGTGATGTGACAAAAATAGGGAAACGTTAAAAAAATGTTATACCTATTTATAATCGCTTCGTTTCATTTCATCTTTTTTTTCGAACGAAGAAAAACTGTTTGATACTTTGTTGACCGGTTAATTGACCGATCATTTTGGTTTTGGTTTGGGTTTTCCTTCTACAGAAAACAAATAATGCAAAATAAAAATAAAAATAAAATAATGTTAAGGCAAATGACCCTCAAAAATATGTGTTGTTGTTTTTGGCATAAATATGAAAACAATATTTTATTTTTCAAAAAAAATGTTCCAAGGCCGAAAGAAAAAAAAAGATTGACAAGTTTTGGGGTTGTTGAGTGAGGCGCAAAAAAGGAAATGATTCCACTCGTGTCGTTTTTTACTTCTATGAAAAAATGTCTTTTTTTCATATAGAATAGAAAAAACACGAAGAGTGAGTGAGTGAGAGTGAAATTGAATTCTTCGCGATTTTTTTTTTGGTAGGCTGGGGAGAAAAGAAGAGCTTAGCTTGAAAAGAATGGATTGGAAAGAGCTTACGGATAACTCAATTTTCCCGAAAATCTTCCAACTCTTCTTTTTTTTTTTCATTTCCCTTTTCAAAGTGCTGAATCTTTATCAACCCAAAAAACATTCTACATACAAACCAAAATTTGTCAAGGGGGAAAACTGAGAGAGCTCATTTTTTGTTTACCGACCGACTGGAAAAAAAATCTGAAAGCAACTGTTTTTCTCGCCATTACTACCCGAGCACACACATACACATACACAAAAGAAAAGATCGGAAAGCGAAAACAAGTAGCAGTTTTTTTTTTGCTTGCTCGAAAATATATCGTGGAGCAAAACATATATGTGTGTGTTTTTTTTTGGATTTTTTCCAGAGAGAAAAAGAAATGGAGAAAAAAAATAGAAATAGCAAAATTTTTCGAGTTAAACAAGTGCACTTGCGCGAAAAATGTTTTAAATCTATTAACTAATATTAGTGAAAGAGCTCACTGTTTTTAATCCTGTGAGCACACGCCTACACTTTTTGTCGTTTCGTTTTTTCTTTGACCCAAAGTAGGAGAAGAAGAGAAGACTCCTTGCAAAAATTAATAAGTGTGTGTTTTTGAAAGTGGCACACAAAAAGTAAATAGGAAGAAGAAGCGAAGAAAAAAAACGATGAAAAAAACGACGGACGGGAAAAGGGATTGACAATTCATGGAGGTTTATGTAAAATGCAAAGAATTGACATGAGTAACTCATAGTATTTTTTCCTCATATCTATCTCAAATATCTTATGTGGCACACTGACTGGAAATAATCATAGATCAAATTCGTAACAGTAGGAAAATTTTTATAAATCATCAAAAAAATGAATATTTTTTTATTTTGCTCATACGGATTAAGAAATATAATCTTCAAAGGAAGATTATATTATTCCATCTTATTTTTTTTCAACAGAGATAAGAAGTAAAAATAGCATTTTTTGAAAATGAAAATGATTTCTCACAAGTTTTGTGGTTGATTTTTAAGTGATTTTTTGATAAAATAAAATAACAACAAGGAAAAAACATTTTGATCAATGATAGTTCATTGATATCATATGGGTGGCAAGTAATAATTGAATGATGATTATGTTTATAACCATGATAAGAATTTCCGAAAAATAGGGTTTTGTTAGAAAACATTTAAAAATAGACCCTGAAATAAATTATTGTTTTATTGAATCATACAACAACAATAAAAATTATATCATTGTGACGAGAATTTGATTTTTCAAGGTTAAACCACCAAAATACATATTTTTGAAAAATCAAACTTCAGGTATTATTATTTTAATTACAAGAACCTCTTCATGTGATGCAAAGATAAAACTTAAATATTTCAGTTCACGTGAAAATCATTGAACGTTCTTATCATAAAAATAAACAAAAGTTTTATAAATTTCTACATTAAAAAAACATTATGTATGCATTTCAGAGTTTTGATTTCCAGACAAATATTTACCTAATATAAAAAATATAAAACATTTTTCAATTTCCTAACCAAATAATTTTGTGTATCCTGGGAGTTGAAAAATATTATTAGTTCAACAATTTTTAATAAAAAAACATCAGTTAAAATTAGTTGAAAAGACTCCTTTGTGAAAAATTTCATATTCCTAGAAAAATTGTTTTGAATAGAACATTAATAAGAGAATTTTATTAGAAATCCGGTCAAGAAAAAATAAAAACTTTGCAAACTTGCCATTTTTGGAATTTTTCTCTTTTGAATTGTTTTTTGATTGCCAAAAATACAATATTTAAATATACAAAATGGTATCTTGAAAACATCAAGACCTGAGTCATAGTTACCAGAAGGTTCTACAAAAAATGTTGGTTATTTTCTAATTTTCTCAAATACTGAAAAGTTTCTTTGTTAACATATTTTTTTTGAAAATCAGTACTCTAGACATCAACGAAACGAATCCGAGACTGCATCAAAGCGAAAAAAGTTAAATAAAAAGTAAAATAAGAGACTGTGTGACCTTTTGTTCTTCGTAGAAAAAGTGCAAATAAAAAAAGTGTGATCATTTCTTTTTTTATTCGCAGAAAAACGCGAAAAAAAACCTCCGATTTTTGTTTAATTTAAAATACGTCAAAAAAATGAAATAAGTGAATGATCTGTGCTCGAACTATCAGCTAACAAATATTTGAGTTACAATTTTTGCGTTGTCGTTTTGAGACAAATATATAAATTATGTTTTTATTTTTGTTTCCTGTTTTTTTTGGAAGAGGAAACATGATTTGTATCAACATCCGCTGAAATTTGTTTATAAGAAAATTATTTGATCATATATGATGTAAAATATGAATTTATCAAAAATAAAAATATTCTGGCTTTTATTTTTGATAAAATTTGCGGAAGCAAATATTCTTTATGATGTCTTAAAACAGTGAGCTCATAATAATATCTCAATTTTGAAATAAAAAATGAAAAGGGGTTGACAAATTTATCTCGTTCAGAATGGTTTCTGCATGAATGCTTTCATTTTATTAGAAAAATGTTCAGTAAAATTCAAAGTTCCAAACTTCCGTTCAATAATGTCAAAACTTTTCAAAAAAAAAAACTAGTTTGCAGAAGAACTGGTGATCCATGTGAGAATCTGTATCGCCACACGTGCCCTCTTGGTGTTAATAGAACAATAAGTCAGGAACTTGAAAAGTCAATAAATCCAATTCTTCAAAAATTTGATGAAACACAAGATGCTGTTAGAAAGACATATTCATTTTTGGTAAGACCCGTGAGAGACAAAAAAATAACACGACTTTTATAATAGAAAAGCGCACAAAAACTGAAGCTTGTTTCTAATTTCGAAGAACTAATCTCAATAGCGATGAAAAACCGATGCACCAATGACATCATTCAAAATTACAATTATTCTTTCCATCTTTCAAAATCTTGCAAATCTGCCGGAAACAAAAGCGAGTATCAAAACGTGAGTGGAACTTCAAACCCAGAAAAGCACTAAAATTTTCAGAAAATCGATAATATTCAAAGAATAATAGAATCAGCAATTGAATCTATGACATTTATCAAAATTTGTGAAAAATTCAATTTAACCAAAGGTGTTCAATATCTGGAAAACATTTTAGAACAAACGAAAAAAGTTATGATAGAAGATATTAAAAATACAAATTGGCTATTGAAGCACAATCAAACGGATATTGCAATCAGAGTTATTGAAAAAATATATCTAACATTTGACTCGAAAAATCAAGAGAAAGTAAAATTCTTTTTCAAAGATTTTGAAAATTGTTTCAACTCATGCTTGAAAGAGTGAGCCTGATCATAGGTAAATATGTTTTCTAAAATCAAAATCATTCAGTTTTCCTAACTCCACTGAAGTCTGTGTGACTCATGGTTATGAATGTGCAGCAAAGCATAACTTTACTTGGATAGATCTTATAAAAACCGCAAATGGGGTCAATGAACATAACAAAATCATCAATTTTGGGATCTCTTTTATCCTATATGCATCTCAAACTCAAGATGAAGTTCTAAAGGTTGCACTAATTGCAAGCCTGATGGCTCATGAATTATCGCACACAATGATGAATTCAATAACTGCATCAAATGATAATATTTTATCCTACTTTCCACCAAAAGCTGAAGATTGTATAACAAAACAATATGAGAGCACTTGCAAAACTTATAAAGAGGTTACGTCCAAAGTAAAAATATAGCAAAAAATGCAAGAATATATCGTCCAAAGCTCGCCTTATATTCGAAATACAGAACAAAGAAATAGTGTGTATATTCGAGAGACGCAGACACGAAACAGAGAAATATTGTGTTTACTCGAGAGACGCAGACAGCTAGACTTTGGACGATATATTTTCGCATTTTTTGTTATATTTTTTTACTTTGGACACCGCATTAAGTTTTTGTGGGAAATAATGTTGACTGTATTTTTTAGATTAAATGTTTCATGACTTTCCGTCAACTCGAAGAAGCTGGAGCAGATGTAATCGGGATGAATTTAGCATATAAGTTGTTCAAAAACATCATAAATCAATCTGCCTCTGAATCAATATTGAAAAAACTCAATTTATCAAACATTGATCAACTATTTTTCCTGACCTACTGGAGTATACTTTGCCGTCCGGAAAAAATCACAACAACAGAGATGAAAGATCATCCTGCTAACAATATTCGAATCAATGCTGTTGTTCAACTTCCAGAATTTCAGAAAAGTTTCAATTGTTCGGCTGATAGTACAATGATGAAATCTAGAACTGTAGGGTAACTATAAAAACTTGAAATTCTATTGATTTTCAGGACCAATGCCTCATCTATGGGAAGAAGTCGAAATTTAAATAAAATGCTCGAAGTTAATGTTAATAAACCTTTTCAAGAATCGCTTTTTTTCGCAATCGTAAAATTATAATTTTACAACACAACACCAAAATTATGTCTGACTCACTGCACCAAATGCTAATGTCAAAATGACTAAATGTGCATGGTTTATTATTCGAAAAAAAAATCAATCAAAGCTTAAAAATGATCTTTGTGGACATCCACAATAATTTTTATCATCTCCGGGTGGTCCAATTCTTCCTCTTCTTCCTCGATCTCCATCTCTTCCTCTCTCTCCATTCTTCCCTTTTCTTCCAGATGGTCCCATAGCTCCAGGCAACCCATCTTTTCCACGTATTCCACGTATACCCGGGGAACCAATAGGTCCAATGTTACCTCTTAGACCTGGTTTAGCTTTCAATTTGATATATCTATAACCATCTCGGCCAGGTTTTCCCGGAATTCCTGGATCACCAGGTAGTCCAGGAAGTCCTTTATTACCTGGTGGCCCTGGTGGTCCAACACGTAACATGTATAATCCAATTGCTCCAGGTAATCCTAAAATATATTTTTTGATGTAATTTTAAATTTAAGAAAATACTAACCTTGTTGACCTGGAGGCCCCTTTGATCCACGAGGACCGTTCGGACCATCATCACCTGGAGGGCCCTTAGGACATTTGATACATCCTCTCTTCACATATTCACATTTCTGAACATTATACGTAAAGTGATTATCTTTTCCTGGCGCTCCACGATTTCCTTTCTTTCCAGGCGCTCCATTTTTCCCAGGTTCTCCTCTTGGACCAGGAGGACATTGTGGTTTTATCACTTCGCACTGACACCATTTCGGTAAAAGTTCAGAGAATGGGTCACGTATTATCCTATCAATAAAGATAGGCTTTTTTTGAAGAGTTTTCGACATTTCTTTTAAAACGAGTGGTTGTTTCCAGTTTTTCGTTGATAGCCATCAAATCATCCCAAGCTATATTTGTAGCGATCTAGAAGCTAGTTTATTTTTAGAGCAAAAACATTTTCGGAATATATTTTAAAACTTGCAGTATTCTATTCGTTTTCAAGATTTTCTCTCATTGTTAGCTTTAATAATTCTCTGAAAATTTTATTAAAAGTCAATAGTACCGAAAAACATTTCTAGAATATATCATACGATCTTGATGAGTGCTCAATTTCAATTATGAAATCTCACCTTTATTTCAAAACTCGTATTCACATCAGTTTTATAATTTAATTTTAAAGTTTTCTGACCTTTAATAAATTCCTTTTTTCAGTCATTTACTTACTCACCCTAAATTCTGAAACTGTTCTCTCCACATTGAATCCCAAGTCTTGAACTTCTTGATAAATTGACAAAATACAATAGCAATAGTACAAAATTATTATGAAAGAACATAAAGGCAATGTAAAAAATGCCAAAGAATATAAACGCATCGGAAATAAAATACAAAAATGTTTCTTTTAGAACATTGCCTGGTCATTAAATCGGTATTATTTTGCGTATAAGCTAAGCTTGCGTTGGATTTATTTCAGATTAATTTTTTTCAGATACTGATGTTTCTCACAATTATTTTTTTTTGAGATATTGTCTTCAAATGTATGTATGTACATACATAGGAAAAACTGAACAGAAACATAAAAACATTAAGTGCTTTGAAAAAATAAAACGAATGAGAATAACACTGTGACTCATTTCTTTTTCTCTCACACTTTCCCTGTTTTTTTTCAATAAATATAAATTCTCCTCAATTTTTTTTGTATTTTGTTGCTTGCGGTCAACCATACTTTCCTTTATTATTTTTTATTGATATTGAAAAATATTTGTTCTATTTTAGGGTTGCACTTGATATGGATTCACAAAAATCTGGATTCAAGGTTGTTGCAGTCTGGGATAAGGTTAGTTTTTTATTTTTTTATTTTCTTACGCTTTCAAAAAAAATTTTCCAGGATTCCAAGCAATGGCAAAAACAAACCCCCGACAAAAGACATTTGAATGTGAGAATTAATTTTTGAAACACCAAAAATACAAACTATTTCAGGTTAGAGAAAAGGAGAAGACCATTTGTATTTCAAAACAGGAATCGCACTTTCACACCTCGAAAGTCAATCGATTTGCTGAAACAAATTCTAATAAATAATATTGTTGTGTTTTGTTTCAAATTGTTTTTTCTTCATATTGATTTTGAAGTTTTGTTAGGCTTTTTCTGTTTCGTTTTTCTTTCTTCTAATAAAAAATGTTTCAAAAACATTATGTGTGAGAAAATGTTTGAGACAAAAATACAATAAAAATTGGTTCTGCTTTTCCCAGATCATAAAACACATTTGAAAAGAAAACTGTGGTACTTTATGGTAAAGGGCCACAAAAAAAATATATATATAATCACATACATAGAAAAAAGCAATAAAAAACTCTCACGATATGTTGTTGAATCACAAATATATGAACTTTACTGGACCCAGGATGAAAAATTGCAAACATTTGTATGTATAGAACTGTAGGGGGCTAGGAGAAACATAAGATGGAAATTTTAAGTGGGGTAAAATGAAATTTGGTTAATGTTCAGGGGTGAGTTCGGGACCCTCTTTCCATTATGACAATAAAAAATCAGTATATTTGACACACTTTTTTTGAAACCTACTGATTAGTTCAAAATATTATCTCAATTTTCGACAATTTATGAAATCTGTGGTCTTTCCGGAATTCCCTTATCTTCGTCATCGAATCGATTCGCAAGTCTTGATAAAACAGCTTCTGAGGTCAGTTCCATAGGGATTCCATGTAAACCATCATTGATGTTTGAAGTTGTTGTAACTCCCTGTAATTATTTTTCAAAATCATCTTTCTTAAATAAAGAAATGAAATCTTACATAAGCAGTGTGCGGATCAAAACCAACATCCACATCAATTTGTGTAGTTCGAATATGGAACGGGAAATTTGTATTGCCTTGCGTTGGTCGTGACAAGTACTAGAATATTTTTGCTTTTCATATGATGGCGTGAAGAAAATAATAACTTACTAGAAAAACACAGTAACCATAAAATGATACAACATTTTCAACAATATTCACAACTTCAGCTCGAACCCAGTTGTTCAACGCAAAATTGGCAACTAGAACGAAAATTGGAGGCGCCCAGAACCTGAAATTTATTTTTGATCATCGAGATATTAGAATTTTTGGGAACATATTGGCATAGCTCAAAAGTATATTTTCAGATCTCTGTTTTTGTGTTGAAAAGTTACGAAATTACACATAAAATACGTCTCGAATGAAAAAAAACAAGGATTTTGTCCACAAGACTTTGAAAAATATTTTTGAAAACGAATTGTTCTTGAATATTTGTAAGTTCTCAATGTTAGTTCCGAAGATCCCTTATCAATTATTTTTTCAAACAAACCACGGTGTCATGAGAATAACCAGATAAGTGAAAAACGCTTTTTTGGCTTCATGAGCTTTTCTTGATAATAACGCAGAGATTAAGAAGAATAACCATGCAACAAGTCTCCAAAGTGCCAAAAGATAACCCGGAAGTGATTCAGATTGTGCATAAACCAGCGCTGGATCAAAGTACTGAAACAACTCATTTATTTTCAGTCGTTGTTTCTTCTTCTGAAATTCACCTTAATCTCCCAAAACTCCATCAATAAGTATGAAGAGACAAAAAAGAGAATCATGAGAAATAGAAACACCCGATCCATCAACCCAAGTCTCATTTTCGAGACATTCAACCCTCTTGCAATTGCCAAACACACATAAACAAAAATCATATCGGCGAGTGCTCGGATAATTAGACCTGCCGCTTTTACAACCGGTAATCCAACACCATCCATTGCATAAAATATATAATTAGTCACCAAAAATCCTAAACCCGCTGTGTTCATTGTTATTGACTGCGCACACATTCTATAGGTCGAGTGGTAGAGACGACGAGATGAGAGTTTTACTGCAAAATTTTTATTGAAGTTAGAGATCTGAGGTTCAAAAATATAACTCACTTCCTATGATATAAGTGGCCACCACTAAAATCACATTGAGAAATAAAAAAGTGCCATCTGATGGAAGAATTACTGAAAAACAAGAAAATTTTAGGTTGAAGATGGGGCGTAGTTTGGAGCTGTTTTTTTATATTTATTTTTTTATTGTCCCCATTTCCAAAATTTTTCCCACATACCGTATGCATTTTCAAATAAAAATTATTGTTACTCACAAAATGTTAGAAAAATTATATGCTACATGGTTTTTTGAGTATAACATAATAATTAAAATCAAGAATATCCTACAAAAAATAGAATACAATCTGAAACTTACGCCATTCATCAATCGAAAATTGATGCTTGAAAATTTCTGTCACCAATCCATTTGTCATTTGCAAACTGAATTCAGCATACACTCCAAAACTTTCGTTCGACATTGTCAATTTTTCTTCTTCCTCTTCTGGATCACAATTTGCCACTGCTAAAAACCACCAACGACTTCTAGCCGACCTAAAATATCATTTATTTTTCGAAATTCAATGTTAGAATCGCACTTAAAAATTCTTGTTCCCATACAAAGCACCCAATCTGCATCCAGATTATCTTGATATATTTTGCATCTACCATTTCCAGCAAAATCCGTTTGGAATGGGCTCAATTTGATCTATAAAATTTATTTAAAAAAGGTTAGTAATGGAAAAAGAAAAAAAAGTTCTCTTACAATTTGATTATTCTCCGAGCGATTCGTTAGAAGCTGAACACGGTCTTTACATGTCTGAAAATAACGGAAAAAATAATAAAGTGAGAGAATAATATAATAAGAAAATAACATACGGTGAGTTGTTTGTAAGCTTTTGGCCATTGATCTTCTGTATCGTAATAAAGCAATAGCATTTGTGTTGGGTAAAACTGAAAGTTTTTTTTTCATTTCAATACACCTGGAACACTAACTACGGTAACACACTTGATTATTTGATGTTTGCAGAAATCAAAAGTTTTCATGAGATTTATTACGTCATGGTTTTAGAATTGAAGATCTTATGTTAATATGAGCAATGAAGTGAAATATTATAATTATTTAATTAGCAAAGTCTGTATAGTTTTTCAAGAAAAATTTAACGTTTGAAATCAGTTAACCAAGAAGATTTTTTTTCAGTTTCAGGAAAAATTTTATTCATTTGAAAAATGTGAACATCTCTGCGTTCCCTATTTTTATAACAGTTTACATTCTCAGTACAAAATTGTCGAATTCTAAAATTTCAAAATGCTATCACATGTTTCTTTCCTTCAAACCTACCAATGGATATTTGAAAGAATACTCCAGAGTTCCTGTCTCCGATTGAAAGCAAAATCGATCAAGGTACACAAAATCCTGAAAAAAGTCCCGTTGTGAAAAATCCCCGTGTGAAAAACGGGCTCGAGCAGCAAATTTATACATCAACATAATTGCACTTGCTTATTCATTCTCAGCTCATTTCCGACTTCCTGTCGGAAATTATTTAGCAAAAGGACAACTTGCTGCAAAAAGGATTCCAGTCAAAACTAACTTTTTTTGAGCTCAATATCCCTTGCGTTCGTTTTGTATCCACAAAAATTGTGAGCGAAAAAATGTAGGCGAACAAAAAAATTGTTGGCAACATTTTTGGACCACCCTGAATAGAAAATGTTTGAGTGAAGAAAAGAAAAGGATTTTGCGATTAAAAATGAGACAATGAAAATTAAAAATTTAGTGGTTTATTCAACTAATCTCATATGTGAATGTGTGTTTCATCAAACTGATTTTGGTTGGCGGTGAACAACAAGTCGCTTAGCAACGCGCAGCCCGCGCAGTCATCTATATTTCACCAATTCCTTTTTATGCCTTTCTTCTAACCGCGCACGCGAACAATCACTATTATTATTTTTTTTCAGATTTTCAGAGAGACAACAAATAATAACCACAAATTTGCTAGAAATGTTTTTGGAACCGTTTGGAGCAAAACCAAACATTTCAGAGAAGGAAAATATATATTCAACAAATTTCAGAACTCAAATTGATATGTGAGCCGGCTTCAAAATTCTGAATATTAACAGAAATGGGGTGAAAGAAGATTCTATTTTTCGAAAAAAAAATATGTTACGAAAAAAAAAGAACCAGACAAGTTGATAAAAATTTTGGGGAGCGCGTAAAAAGACAGGTGGAAATGAGAATAATTTGGAGGAGGAAATTTAACATCCGTTCGAAAATAAATTGATTTCACATGAGAATTTGATAAATTTCGTCGTAATTAGATTTTTTTTATTATATTTAAAAAATTCAGCTGCACTTGAATATCAGAAATCAGTGATGTTGTTAAAAGTACAGCTGTTTTTTAACGCAATTATTGATATTTCACAAAGTTACATTGTAAATTGCTCTCTTAATCCTTTTTGTAATCTTTCTTCTCACACATTCAGAACCCCTACAACTTCCATGAGAAAAGAACAATTTTATGACGTGCCTAATATGATTTTTATTTGAGCGATTGCATGTCAAACTGTTTTTTTCTCATCTCAACATCTGGAATTCCAGTTCCGGTTTCTTTTGAAAAAAGAAATAAATGTTTGAAATTGCACGAAACACAAAACTATAATGTTTTTTTCAGTAAGTCGATGGGATTATTGAAAAATGTTAACATGAGTCATTTGATTAGTAGTTTCTTCAATTAAATCTAATCATAACGGAAGTGGAAAATGAGCAGAACAGAACAGAAATCAAACACTCATTGTCAGACAAGTCTGACTTTTTTTGAAAAAAAAACCCACGTGTTGGATTTGATTTTATAAATGTGATATTATTTTTTGACTAGAAAAATAATCTAATAAAAATAGTAATAATACATTTTAATCTTTTCCTGTTATGCGTTTTGAATTCGTGCTTTCAAATTCAAAAAATCACGATTTTTTGAAGTAGTTGGTTTCTGTGTTTTTCTCTTTTCAAAAATATTCAAATTCAGAGTAATTTTCAGTTTTCAATTATATCATTTGAGAATAATTCGCGGCCGAGACGTTATTCATATTAGATTCAAGCACGAAACATAATCAAAGCGTAGAAATGTTCCAGAAAATCCACATCTCTGTATCTCACAACTGTATATACTCCCCAAACTTTCGAATTCCAGACATGAAATCAGCACTTCCTAAAATAAATTTTCCTGAAAAATACATCATCCAGACAAACATTTTTTTCGGACTACTATTCATTATCATCAAAAAAAAGTTCAGTATATGTTGACAAGATAAACGAACAAAATTGATTTCACAAGAGAGAAGGGGGTTGACTACGGATTCTGATAATTTTTGGGTGAAGAAAAGAAAATTGATTAGAACAAAATAAAAATGATTTTCAAAAACTGTTTAGGAGATATGAATCTACTGGATTGGATTGAATCAGTGATCAAAATAAAAATGGGAACAAAAAAAATAAATGAGATTTTTTTGGGTTGATTTTGTTTTCGAAAAAGGTTAACACATAAAAATAACATGCAAGAAAAATATTAGAAAAATTGGAAGATTTTTTGCGATTTGGCAATGGATAAAATCCTTCGGGTTGAACGTTCAAGATTATTTTTTTCAGGTTCAATCCCTTAAAAATTTGGTGTTGAATAAAATGTTCACCTTGAGCAGTAGGAGATATCCATAGCAATCAAATCGCATTTTTCTGGTTTTGTAATACATATAAAATGGGGAAACAAAAGGTGACAAAATATAGTAATAGCTGAATTGATGCAGCACAGCTGCCATGAGATTTTTTCGAGACATTTTGGGATTTTTTAATTTTTTTTTAGTTTTTTTTGGTGAAAATTAGGGAATGAGATTTTCAGGAAAAATGTTTTGGGATTTGAAATTAGGGAAAATTTCCAAAAATGGAAAATAATAACACATGAATTGTAAATTAATGCATGAAACTAGTAATGACACTAAAAAGATGATCTACATCACTAGAAAAAAAGTTGTGAGATTTGATTAGATTTAGAGAAAAAAGTGTGTTAATTAAATTGAAAAAAGTTAATCAGAAAAGATTAGAGTTCGAGATTGAAACAAGTTTCTCCGTGCTTATATTTTAAATTAGATTTAAAAATAATTGAGATACATGTTACAACCTCTAGCCTGGTGATTCAAGAAAAAAAATGGATAAGTTTTTCGAAAAATAAAAAAAATGATTTTTAGAGTGAGATACTTTGTGCTGTACAAATGTAGGAAAAGTATGTTGATTTGATTGGTGGCGTTGGGGGAGCAACAACAACTTCTTGTGGAGATGGTGTTGGAACCGGAGATGGTGGCCACATACTATCATCAGTGTCAGTTGAAGAAGTTGATTTGACAGACATTGGTAGAAAATTGAATTCATCGGAAAAGAATCTGATGAGACGATTGATGCTCACAATGCTCATATCGCTTCCTTTGTTCAATTCCAATTCAATATTCTGAAAAATGTATAATTTATTGATTGATTTTTTTTGCTATGGCTGCAAAATATTTGATGTATGACCATTACCATACAAACAATTCTTCGTTCCACACACGACAATAAAATGTGTCGCAAAAACTATCAAATTTCAAAAGATGTTTGATATGTATTTTATTATTAAATGTATGTACATTTTTCGAAAAAATGAATGAAGAAAAATGTCTCAAAATATTGCACAAAAACTCACTTGAATTTTGTGCTCCAATGCGCGTGTCTTCGCGTCAAACAACGCACGACAATGAGTGTAGAACTTGTGTGATTCCACTGGTGGCTCTTCTGGCTCCAATGGATAACCCATATCAAATCCTTGCGATTTCTCGCTTGGAAAGAATTTCAATGGATATGCGGCCATCAAATCCAAAAAACATTGCTCCAACGCAACACTCTTTCTGTCACAAACTTCTGTAAATTTTATTTTTTTTTTTGTTTGGAAAAAATTTGGGATTAATTAAATTACCATTTTCATATTCTTTGATACAAAAATCAGCCAAGAAATCAAACAAATCCTCTTCTGGCATCAAAGTTGTTGTTTCAACATCATAGAAGAAAGTGCAACCATCTTGAAGAACGATTGGAACAAGTTCCATGCACAATGCAGCACGTGTCAATTTTTTTGCCTTTGCCTTGATGTCACTGAAAAAATATCTAGTTTATGTGGTGTTCCTAAAGATTTTGGAAAAATATTAACATACACATAGATATTGGTGTATCCAGCTGTGAGAATATCGCAAAGTTCGTGTTTGAGAAGATCGAATTGGCTGAAAAACAGTTTGGTGTTTATTTTTGCAACAATAAATTATTCCCAAAAAAATCTTTGAAAAACAGATATATCCTTTTGCAATTCCCAATGGGAACATCAATAGTCATCTTCCTAACATATTGTTGAAAAAAAAAGAACGAATAGGAAAAATTGCATTAACATGATGTTTGAAAGAAGGAAAGAAAGACAGAAAAATAAAACGCTTTTTAACATTCTATCCCGCACATGCGCATTGCTCAATAAACATTTCTATATTTTGACAATATTGAGGCAAAAGGATGCACGGGACAGAAAGGCGTTTAGATCCCTAATGAATAAGATAGGAATGCTCAAACAGTAAAACAAAAAAAATCTGAAAAATCTTACTTCAAGTTGCGATAACTTCCAATGTAGACATTAGTCTCTTCGATTCCAAAAGGGTAGAGCATTTTTGGGCGTTGACGAATTGGAACTGGTTTTGATCTTGGAATTGGTGTTCCATACATCTCAAGACTTCCAATATCTTCAACTGGTTCAGTTGGAGGAAGTTCTACAAGTTCGCCAACTTCATCGTTACTTTCTTCAATTGTTTCTTCTTCAATTGCAACTTCTTGCTTTTCTTCCACCAAAACTGCAATTTCTTCAACTTGTTCAATTCTTTCTACCTCTTGAACATTTGCCACTTGTTCAACAAGTTCTTCTTCTTCTTCTTCATAGTCTTCTGGTCGAAAAGTTTCATCAACTTCTTGAGCATCCTCAACATCTTCTAATGAAAAATCATCTTCTTCTGTGTCGGACCCGAAAAATATTTCAACTGGTGGCTGATTATTGATATAGATTTTTGTACTCAATGGTGAACCTCTCTGTTGTTGTTGCTGTTGTTGCAATTTCAATGCGGCGGCTTCAGCTTCGGCTTTTCGACGTTGAGCTTCTTCTTGAGTTCTCTTTATTTGATTTGCGGTTCTTGAACTACCCGTAAGTCTGCAAAAAAGATTTTGTCCTATTTTTTGTTGGGTTAAAATTGACTTCCATCATCGAATCTACACGTAGATCTAAAGAACACAAACATTTTTGTGTTGTTTTTGCTGACGATGATGGAATATCGAGTTTCAAATTTCAAATTTCCGTAGGAGAAAAAAAAAGTTTTTCTTGTTTGTTTCAACAATGTATAAACAAAAATTTTTTTCGGGCCAGACAATCCAAATTCTTTCGGAGCCCCCGCAATAAATTGTTATTTATCCATGTATTTTTCTACTCTTGGATACATTTTGCCATTTTCAGGGATTGGGTGGGAAATTCAATCGTTTTGTTTATAAAGATTTATATATTTATGTATACATTTTCTGTGTGTGTGTGTGTGTGTATGTGTATATAGTGAAAATCGAGGGTGACATTTTATGTCTTTTATAGAGAAACACACAACAACGATTTTTACATCTCTCCTCTTCTCTCAAAAGAAATAAAATCGAAGGAATTTTTATTTATAAAATTCAAATAATATTTGTGGCACGTAGATAATTGAATCCACATGTTCTTAAATATGTATCTATGTTATATATTAACAAGATAAAGACCCCAAGATTTCCAAGATTGAGAAAAATAAACTTACAAAAGTCCCTTGTAATGTGAAAACATTGTTGAATCCCGTATGAAATGAGTTTCACCAAGTTGAGGATATACGATCTGAAAATTTTAATTTTTTTTCAAAAATAAAATCAAGAAAGAAAAAGATGAAAGAAGGAAAGAAGAAGCAAAAAAAAGAAGAAGAATATTCAGACGGCAACAAACGGCGGCTCAAGATAAGAATGAGGCAAAATGCACAATTTTTCGCGTAGCATCTTTCTCTTCTGGCTCACATACACACACACTACATATATAGGAAAAAGGCACGAAAAAAACACGCAGACAACTTGTGAAAAAGTTAAGTTAACTTAACTTAACTTAAGTTACCCATCAGAAAGGATGAAACAAAAAACGCTGGGTTGTACTTTTTGCGCTACGCGACAGAGAAAACACATTGAATAACACAACAGAAAAAAACGAATTTGAATATGAAAGAGAAGAATGATTCTTCCGTCAAGGTGAGAAAAATCGTCCTTTTTGTTCAATTTTCTGTTTTTTCTACCTACATATGTAATCTTTAAAATTTTGTTGAGAATTTGAGAAGAAGAAAAAACCCCTGAACAACAATAAATTATTGATTGCTCTACTGTGTGTTCACACTACTTGAGTACGCATTGAGGCGCAATTTGATGCGATTTGTGACATCTTCATTATTTTTTCTTTCTGTTACGTTGCCTCTATCAAACCAATTTTTCTCACTTCAAAATTGACCGAAAAGGGAAAAGGTACAGTATATGGAAAAATATGGAAAGAAAGAAATAATAATATTTTATCAGTAACATCTTCAAAGGTGACGTCAAGAATTTTATGTATGAGAAGATGACTATCAAAAAGAATTGCGGTATATTTTAACAAAAATAAATAAATAAATATTTTTTGGTCCATAAGGAACCTCTAATAAATATAAATGTTTCCCTCTCCAGCTGTTCTCGAAAGTGGGCGTGGTTTGAGGTCTACCCCCCTCCCCCTTTCGTTTACCGTACTCAACTCTTGGTGCTCCTCCCATTATTGAGCAACAAAAAAAAATACAAATCTTTTTAAGCAATCTGTGTTGTTTTTGTTTGTTGCTTTAAAATTCTCATGAGATTGCGATGATTACATTTTTGCTATGAACTATGTGCTTCTTCAGAATTTTCGCTGCTCCTTCCTTCAAGGAGCTTTTAGGCACCGCAAAAAGATGGAATAGAAGGGAAAAAAAGGAAGAAAACAAGTTATGATGAATAGAACAAGACAGGGAAAAATAACGAAACGAAAAGAGATGGAAAGAGGGGGGGGGGGTGTGGAGAAGATGAAGAAAATAATTGGCGGTATAATTTTGCGAGTCGGTAAAATATATTTGAAAGTGTTGTGTGTGTGAGGTGAGTGAAAAAGATCATTAACTGGTTAGGGTTGGACGGACGACAGGTTGAAGTGATCGACGATCTTTTCCATGTATTTTTCATGGATTTTTTCTAGTTTCGGGAAGTTTTCTAGCAAGCCTTTCACTTCCTTGTATAGTTGGAATCATATAAAACTTTGAACTACTCAAAATTTTTTGACAAAACTTAAACCCAAAAATAAAAAAAAATAGAAAAAAACGTGTGACTTTTCATTTTTCAGACTGGAGAATTTTTTAAATTCTAGTCATGTAATATTCGAGTTGATTTTCATTCCTATTTTTGTGGCTCCCCAGCTCTCCAAAGTGTCAAATGACATTAATTCACAGGAACATATGGGATACCTATCCATTTTCATTGCGCAAAGACCACTAAAAAATCTGCTCACTGTATATTATATATTTGTAAAAATGAGAAAGATGCCAACTAATTAGCATTCGCGATCATTCTCAATTTCAGCCAAAAAAAATCGTAAAATAGATTGAAAAATAAGAAGAAGAAGAAGAGGAGAAAAAGTGTCAGATTCATTCGAGATAAACTAATTATTTTTTGCTGTGCTTTGCTGAAGATGGAAGAGCAATGAGCATAATTTTGTTGGATCAAGATTGATGGGAAACTATTTTCTCTCCGAATGTATCTTTTTTTTTCACAAAAGTAACATAAAAGACCAAAAACATTTGCATACATTGGAACGAGTTCATAATAAATTCAGAATAGAATTTATATGTTTCAACAAAATGAATGAGGATGAAAACTAGAAAAAAGAGAAGATATTGTTATTTTTCGTTTTGCAAATAAACGACGACGACTACCACAACGACAATTCCAAAATAAAAAGTACTAGTACCTTGAGGCAAAAACAAAATTTTGCACCTGACTGAACATTCTTCACACTTCTTCACACCCATTGCACACACACCAAAAACTCGCGAATGAAATATTCAACAAGATGCTACTTTCTTCTTTTTCTCCTACTTATTTACTTCTCTTTTCATTAGTCTATTTCATTTTTGCAAAATAAAGGGATGTTTCACTTTTTCACACGGATGAACTCATACAAAAAATCTATCTAGAGTGTTAGTTGAAGTCTTTTTATGTACATAAATACGTATGTGGTCATATAGACACCTGTCTTCATGTGTGGCCCATAAAAAGGTGAACGAAACGAAAAAATTTATGACTTTTTCTCTTCTCCTCGTTTTTTTTTCATCTTCTTTTTATTCACATTTTTTGCGCGCGCGGGATTTTCGAATGCGAAAAACAATGATGGGAACGAACGCGAATTGCATAAAATAAGGATTCATAATAAACGAAATAAAATGATCGAAAATCAAAGTATTTTTTGCGTGAGAATATTATATAATTTTGATTTTTGTGGATCTCATTTGGCAGAATACAAATACATGAGAATAGAGAATGCACTTATATGGAAAAATTATGCTAACCGGTCAAAATCAAATGTGGAATGAGAGGGATTTATTGAAAAAATTATTTCTATACACAATTATTTGATTGTTCAAAATATTGGGAAAACAGATTGTTGAAAAATCAAGAAACTCATCGAAATTTGGACCAAAACTGTTCTAAAGATTCATAAACCAAAGCCAATATTTTTTCTGCTAGAGCAAAAATCCTACTGTAAACCCCAAAAGTTCATCCGACATTTTCTCATGCCTCAAGCATCATATTCCGAACATCGCCTTTTTTGCATCGTCAAGTCGTAAAGTAGGCATGTTCATTGTTTCTTTACCACCAAAAAAACTGAGCCCCAACTAATTAGTCGCCTTGTGAGAAAAAAACCGGCGTCTTTTCGTTTTTCTCTTGTCTCTGCTGGCTTAAATAAGCTTTAGATGTCAAAGTACAACACATTAATACCTCCTTGCCATTTTTTACAACACAAAAGACCAACAATAAAAAAACTCAAGGTGTTCCATCGAGGACAATAAGAAGAAGAAGAAAAAAAAGAGAAGAAAAAAGGTAGAGCAGCTGGTTAACACCTGAATTTCTTTTTTTTTTTGAAAAAAATGGAAACATTTTTCCTAATCTGGGAAGAAAGCAATATCAAAGTCAATATTTATTAGCCACTGACTAATGATTGTGTGAATAAGTGGTGGAAAAATGATGAGTAAGAAGAAGGTACTTGAAAATTTTTGGAGGGACAACAAAAATTAGGCTTATAAAGCAAAAACGAAGGAGTGGCTCTAACATAAATGTAAACTTGTATATGCTTATATTGACATTGTTTTACTTTACCCCCACACTGGTTTGCTCGGAGAAGGGAACAATAAATTGAAATCGGACACTATTGAACACAAGGAGAATACAAATATTTTTGCGATTTCGTGAGAAAAACGAATTTTTTTCTTCTTAAAATTGAGCAAAATAGACTGACTTCAAAAGACTTTCTGTCGGCAAAATATAAATGAGTAAAAAGAGTGAGTGAGTGAGTGACAGATGTTAACTAAGTATTGAAAAAATAAATCTGAATAACTTTTTATCGCCCTCTCTTTGTAAGGTAAGTGTTCTTTCTTTCTGTTCTCACTCATAAAACGACGTTACTGTAGTTTATTGAAAGTCGGCATCTTTTGATGTCAATCATTTTAATTGAGTTTTCATGAAGGAAAAAATTAAACCAAACCAAACCAGTTCAAGCTCAAGGGATAAATGATGAAAACGAGTGATCTTGGGGGGTTTTTTACGAAAAAAATGAAGAAAAAAATGTATCCTGCCTGCCTGAACTTTAAGTACATTCATTTCCGTCTTTTATTTTCAGTGTAAAATGTCTAGGATTTTTAAATGTTTCCCAAACCTAAAAAAAATAACAAAAAGACTTACGCAACACTTGCGCATCTCCCCTAATTATTCAATAATTCTTTCCCAAACAATTATTATTATTATTATTAGTTATGCTAATCAAAAAATAAACGTCGTGTTGTTTTTTTCAACACTTTGTAGCTCGGCCAGCAACAAAATTTGAATTTCAAATGTTCGGAGTAAATATTCGAATGTTTACCGAATATTTCAATATTTACCGAAGAGAAGAAGGTGTGACATTGACGACACACACACACACACTCTCAAATATATTATATACAAAACAACATTTTTTCGAGAAGAAGACGAAGAATAAGGACGACGACGAAAAATGATGCGCAAATTTTATTGATTTTGCGGATTTGGCGCGAATTTTGGATTATTTTAACGATCGCGGGCGGCATATTCTTTTTTTCATTTATTTTGGGCTGGATATTGACATGTTTTTTTATGGTTTTCTGAAAGTGACATTTTTAAATTGATTTTTGGGCTGGTTAAAAATTTTGAATATTTACTTCTAAAAATTCCGAAACTTTTTTCATTTGGAAGTCAGATACAGTAATCCAATGAATTTTGGATGGGATAAGAATTCAAGAATAATTGGAATTTTTACCAATGAAACGTTTTTAGATGAAATACGTTTTGAAAATTGTAATTTTCATTTTCAAACGTTACAACAACTTTCAATTCACTCAAAAACTGAAATTCTGAAAACACTTGGAAATCAAATTTCTTTAAAACCTACAGTAACCTCCAAGCCTCGATTCCAAGAAAGAATAACAAGAATGGCGTATCCTAGGATTTGGGATTTTTACGACTTTAAACTTTATTCCAGAAAATTCTAATGAAAAAAGTTGCCCTTTATTCTTAATGAGATTTTCAGCCGTAGCCCAAATAAAATAAATTATCTGAATCATCAACTCACGATACCCTTTCTTTTTTGCAACCGTCGTAAAAATAACATGAATAATAAAAATAATAATAATAATAATGAATTGCAAAAGAAGAAGGCGAAAAAGAGGAAGAGAGGAGCAGGTTGCGGATGTATGTATGTCAATTAAATACCAGCAGAATAGTAGCAGCAAAACAACACACAGCCACACACTCAAATTGTAAAAATGGCGACGAATTTCCAGGTGACCGCTTCGGCTCCCCCACCTCTTTTTTTTTCACCCCCCCCCCAAACTCCGCCCCTCGCTCGCCAATTTCCTCAACCATATCCGACAGCCAAACAACAACAATATAGAAAAAAGTAGAACGGATTACTGTATGTGTCATGTTTGGGCAACTAATTATATGTTACAACCAACCAAAAAAATTGTGGATATTTTTCTCATCTTTTCTGGAACAGAATGAAAAAGTGCATTTCTCTTCTGCTTAATAAAATATGAAGGAAAACGAAAAAAAAAGAAGAAGACGAAGACGGAAAGAAAAATAATAATGAAATAAAAGTGCAAACGACAACGTTCTTCTTGATTGGCTAAACAACATGAAACTAAACTGAATAATGCACAATGTGCATAAATGAGCTCCTTTTTGAGCTAGCAAAAAAAGTGCATTAATTAAGATATTCATCTATGTAGGATTCTTCTAGATATTTGATTCTCTACATTTTTTCATTCCAAACCACAGAAAATTCTTTTTTTTTTTGAAAAAAAAAGATGTAGTATTGTCTCGAACAGAACAAAAACAAATATGGAACGTGGGCCGAGCAAGCTAAGGTTACTGTATTTATTTACACGGTGTAAAATAAAATAAAATAAAAAGTTTTTTTGAGGGAAAAGGCGAGAAAAGATGAGTACATACAAGATAAGCTTAGAATAAAGAAAGAGAATGGAAAGGGGGCCCCCAGACACACCTTTTTATTTGTTGTAAAAATGGGAAACGACAAAGAACAAGATAATAGTAATAAAGAAGGTTTGCACAGGGTTGGGAGAAGAGTTCAAATATATTTTTGAGATCAGAATGAGCATTTGAGAACTTTAATGATAAATAAATTTTGAAGAGACGGTGTTACGTCTTTCAGAATCTTCAAGGTTTGAGTTTTCAGTCCGGCAGGTTTTTGAAGATTTTTATTCATCTTGAAAAATATTCAAATCCCGCCAGCCTTAAAAACAAGCTTCAAGAAAAATTTAAGAAACCATAAAATATTTGTCATGTCAAAAAAAATCATCAGATTATTGTTATTTTGGGGCCATTAATATTATGCACGTAATTTCTCAAATTATTCAAAGAAGATACGATGTGTAAAAATTTTCGTGTAAAATCATAAAATTCACGCATTTCTTCTTTTTTTCTCAAAAAAGAAAAAAAATAGCTTTGTATACATACATCTCGAAAAATTCACATTAAAGAAATCTATCTTCCATCTAAAAGTGTTTTTTTTTCGGATGTCGAAAAAGAAGATTGTTCACTGAACAGCTTCTTTTATGTGATTAGAATTGCATGAATTTTCGTGCCATCAAGAAAAAAACAAAGAAAAAAATCGTGGACTTTTGATTCTTTTTTTTTTCTACTTGTCCCTTTAAGTGGTATGAAAACAATAACACCTGTGTCTTCTAAAACAAACAAATAGAACTCGATGCTCCTTTAATTAACAATACCGCGCGCTTCTTCCTCATGTTATATGTCAATCAACCCGTTTGATTATTGTGTCAAGTTGTCTTTGTTCTACACCTGACCTACAGTAACCTTGTGCATTTTTTTTGGAGGACACAACTATTATTTTTGGGTTTTTTTGTATCGTGTATAGAAAAAATTGATATTAGGGAAGTTTCATTTTTTTCGGATATCTTACGGAAAATTCAAATGTACATTTTTTGAAAAAAAAATCCATGAAAACAAGAAAGTGCTTTGAAATTCGAGTTCACTCAACTTTGGATTACTTTCACAAAAATCATTCATCCTTCAGGTTTCAATAAAGGTTTCCTAGTTAATTTGAATAAAATCAAATTAATTTTCAAATGCATAAATAAAATAAATATCTTATAATATATGTATGGCCGCCTTTTCTCTCTTGTCTTCTTGTTAATTATGCGCATCTGGCTAATTTGCAATATTATTTACTCAAGAATCAGGTTAAGCAATCAACGCAAACAAGGTCAGGGTGTGAAGAGTGAGACAAAAAATGTAACTATAGTTTCTAGGGATTTGATTAGGGATCGGATTAATATACATATTTAATGCAAATACATTTTCTTTACACTCACATATAAATGTTTCTAATTCATATTGATACTAAAAATAAAAATATGAAAGCAAATAAATATCATATCAAAATTGTTTCTCAGGAAAAAATTCTAAATGAGTCATATGCAAATTATGGCGGCTCTTTTCATAAAAAATGTGGGAATTCTTGAGAATCTTCTCTTATTTTTTGTGTCCTTTCTTTTCATAACACACAATTTGTCAAGCTAAAAAATCCCTATTTGAGAAAAAAAGAAAATTGAAAGAGTGAAAAAATTAATTAAAAAATTTCGACGGAAGAAAGAAAAATATGCATGCACGAAAATGTGAAAAGAAAACAAAAGAATATGAGAAAAGTGCCGACGTTTTGTGATATATTGAAATAAGTAATCAACTATGAACTGACTGACTGACTGACTGACTGATGAAACGTGTTTTTGAAGCGAGGCGAAAAATTTTTGAGCAGAGGGGAACAGACGATGGGAAACATCTGGTGCTTGGGAATTATGTGCTCATCAAAACAACAGTGGCCAGAAATGCTTGGTTTTATCTGTTCACAGGAAGTTTTTCGATTTTGAAAAACTCTAATTTTAGGTTAGCTATGAATTAAGCTTATGATTTGGTTTTGATTCTTGACATTACCAAGTTAAAGTTTATCAAATCTATAATTTTCTTAAAGAAAAACTTGTGACGTGGAAGAGCTTTAGTCTTTAGAATGATTAAAACTAACAAAAGATTCTGCGAGGAATACGAATCAATATATTTTTAAATGATGATAAGTCCAAAAGGGATCGCCAGAATGGTTTCACAAATCAAAAGAATAAGTATAAAAATCAGAAAACTATAAGAACCGCAGTTCTTCTCAAAACAACAACAAAAACTCTTTTCGAAAAAAAAATAAAAAGACAATACGCACCACCACTTCACACAAACACGTCAATCTCGTGAGGGTTGGCGCATTTTGAATTCTTCACCTAGGGTGAGCGAAGCCACTCAAAATTTAGATTTCTTTTTCAAAATCCAGATAATTTTTATAAAAAATATCAAAATATTTTTTCTCGAAGTGTGTTTTCTCCAAATTTTTAATTTTCACCGCTGTCGGCATTGGACAAAAATGAAAAAGCAGAAAGAGACGAAAAAATAACCGAGTCCAATTTTATGGCTTATTATTATTATTATTATTGTTATTATTACTATTATGATTTTCATTGTTCACGATTTATGGCAATTTTCAATAGACTAACGGGCGGCCCTTTTTTCTCAAGCTGAGTTACGAAAAGTCGGAAGAGGGAGGACGTGTTTTCTTTTTTTCAATTTTCTAGATTGCGGGGGACACACTTTTTTTTATGAATTGTTGACAAAATCAGAAAAAAAAGAAAACAAATTTGGTGAAATTGGAATTGGATGTGACTGGCGGCAATCGAAAGAAAACGAAAGTTATGGCGACGATTGAGGATTTGGGGAGAAGGACTTGGTTATTAAGAGGATTAAGGTTTTCTGTGTTTTTTCCATCATAAAGGCATAAATTGCATTTTTTTTCCCTTCCGTTCCGTTTCCAAATTTTGTTCCTCTTTTGAACAAAGCAGGAGATGAATTTCAAATAAATAAATAAATAAAAACATCGTGCCAGATATAATAATAAAAAACAAAATTCAAATTCATATGGTTGAATAATAACAGAATTCAAATGATATGCATTCCAAATGATCAAACACATACATAATAATAATAATATCTGTCCACAAGTCAATAAAAACATTAGTGACCTCCTCGTCCCATAAAGTATTCACACCTGCTTTTTTTTTTTTTTTGCCCTATGTCCCAAAACACCAAACAACACACATTTATCCTCGGTTTTTTCTTCTGGCCTACCACCATTCGAAAACATTAATTTACATTTCACTCATTGTGTGAAGGGGGTGCCACATTTCATTCCATTTCATGAAAAATGTGTTTTTTTTTCTTCACAAAAATTTAAATGCGATTCCCACAAAGGAAAACACTTTATTTTAATATTCAAGTTGTTGTTTTGTTGTGGTAAACAAAAAAAAACATTGAACTACAGTAATCCAAACATTCAGATATAAATAACTTTTTGCGCGCGGAAAGAGCATTATTATTAGGAAGCAAGCAGTAATGGGTTGTTGTCGGTGTCGGCGATATTTTTTTTTGAAAGAGTATTATTCACATAAATATGAACTATTAGCAGATTTTATCTGATGATTCTTGGGGTAGGAAAGGAGGTGGTTCGGATAAAAATAAATTGTGTTTCTAAATATTAGGTAGGTTGAAAAGATGTGGAAGTTCTGCTCATAAAATAACGTTTCTATGAACCCAAAATCTGTGCTATAAAAAATATTTAGATTTCCTCACGTTCAGAATCATGTAAAATGTATATCATCCACAAAATTTTCTTGGAATTATGAATCTCCTCATCCATAAACTTCTGAACTTGCAATATGGACAGGATCTGCTCAATTCAAAACTTCGGAACATTTTCAATTCTACCAACTCTAAAAATATTGCCCTGGCAAAATTCTACCTCATTTTTTACTACTCCCATAAATTTACGATTTGTGATCAACTATGAATGTATCCCCGTAAATACTCACTAAATGCTGAGTTTTACGAGTTTCTAGTTTATATTCGTAAAAAAATAGCATTTTTAAGGTATACTTTAAAAAATGAAACTGATGTTTTGGATATGAGAAGGTTAAGAGCTCTTAAAAAGTGCAAGATACAGATTTTTCATTTTTTGATTGAGCTACAATTTCTGTAAGATCACCTGACTTTGAAAATTATTAATTTATTTTCAGAATTTCCCATTGATGTTAAAAGTCAGACTTTTGCACTTTTTTCAAAACTTTGAAGAGCAAGAACAAAATATTTCTTGTAGATCTTTCCTGACCAATAAATCATAATTTTCTGATAATTCTAAACATTTCCTGAGTTATCTTAAATTTCCTAACCAAATTTTCACTACGCCACGCCAATCTTCTTTCTCCCTTTAGATGTCCGGTAAGCTACGCTGTCAAAGTTCAGTGACCATATTTCATTTCCCCTCCACAAAACAAAAAACCTCTGTTATTCCCATCAATGATGATAACAATAAAAATTTCGGCACATAAATAATTTACGACCTATTAAAACTTGAACATTGTCTAGGGCAAGTCATTTCACAACAGTTGTTATCATCAACAGAACACAAAAAAACACACCAGAAAGTTCAATGCACCTACCTTATTATGAGTAGTGGTGTTGGTTGATTGGTGCGCGGGTGCTGTTGAGAGTGAATAAATATGATTTATAGAATGATGTGGTCGATGTTGGTTGAAGGGATGAATAAAATAAAATAAAATGTTAAATGGATGCAAGAAAAAAAGAGGTGGAGCTGCCGAATGAAATCGAGATGGACCAATCAGCGAAAGGCGGAGCGCCGTTTTTATGGGAAACGTAAAAATGGGCGTGGTTGGGACGGAAAAATGGCATATTATTAGACATGAAAAAACAGCACTGATGTATACTGAAAAAGATAAGCCACCTTAGCCAAGTCCAGTAAATGGTACAAAATTAAAAAATCTGGAAATTTTTTTGATTTTCATCAACAAAATAATGCATATCAAAAGTGGAGGGAATTATCAAGAACTAAAAAATATGAGCAGGAACGTTTGTGGAAATATTTCACAACCTGGTAGTCAATTTCAGTATTTTTATGCAAACATGAAATTTCAGAAAATTGAGACGATCCTCGGAATTGTGAAGTTTTTTCACTTTATGTTTGAAAAGGACATTTGACTTCAGAATAATTGGAAAACGTTTCATTGCCAAAAATTCAATTATGCATAAAAATTCGATAAATTTTGCTTCTGAATCCAAACTTCTTTAAAACTTCATGAGAGGAAAAAATTCTGAAAAACCTTGAAGTTTTGGAGTTCTGAAAATTTCTATTTTCCCGTATTGAGCTCTCACAAAAAGCTCAAAATTTCATAAGTCTATTCTCTTTCTTTTTCCAACCATTTTTCCCTCAAAATATGCCCTTTTGAAAATCCCGAAAAATCCAAAAATAGCTGCTGATAAATCGAAAAGTTCATCGGAAATTACAATTTTTTGTGTTTGTATTCTCCAAAAGATAAAGCTCCAAATATGTATAATGCTAAACTATTTCGCAATTCATATTTTTTTTATTTTGAGAAGGAACGCTTTTTCGAAACGTTTCGAAGAACACACATATATTATTTCGTAACAATAACCAAGAGCATATCTTTTTCATTTGTTTTGTTCAGTGTAAACCAATAATTCACAAGTTTTGAACACGGTATCCTGGCAACTGAATACATTTTCCTTGTACTTTTTCAAAAGATCATTTTTAGTCAGTTACATTGATGAAAACACAAAATGATGAGAAAAGTATAGCAATTAGAACTTTTTTACTGAAACGAAACGTGTTTTCAGACAATTTTCCATCAAAGTACAAAATTGTTCTCGAAAAAAACTAATAACTTATAAAATATATAAAATATATAACCAATAACCAAGTACAAACTCGTAAAACTTAGTGTGTAGTACTTACCGGATAAAGTCGGTCACAAATCGCCTTTTAGAACTTTTATGGCCTTTCTTTTTGCTTTTTACATATATAATATGAAAAAATGTTGCAGTTTAGTTGGTGACTTATTATAACATAAAACAACGGAAATTTATGTTAGTATTCTTCTTTATGAGTAATGTGATGTCGGCCTGAAATAAGAAGAACAGGAAATACCGTATACATACTCTGTTATGTTGTGTAGTTGTCTATTTCGAAATGAGTGAACGAACGTTTCGAAATCTTTATTCTTTGTTTGCAAACGTTCAATTAAGTTGTAAAAAGGGACCTTGCGATTTCGATTGGACAAATTGTGACTATATAGAGCAGGATTGTTGAAAAAAACAAAATGAAATTTGAAAACAATAAGGGATGTAGAGAGAGAGATAGAGAGAGAAACTATATTTCTCATCTCACATTCAGTATTTAAAAAACATTTAATTAAAAGATGAATCATCAAAAAGTGCCCCGCCATACCAAAAGGGGTACATTTTATAAAACATCAAGAAAGATTCTGTGATTTTTTGCATCATAATTTTTTCTCTATGTATTTGTTCAATAAAAAAATTATTTCGAAATCCTATGTTTCCATGTACACAGTATTTTCTGAAATGTTTCTGGTAGATCAAAAATGTTTTTTCATAATTTTCCATAGTCGATGTGCACTCAAGGCAATAGGGAACTTCCTTATTTTTAACAAATAATATTATCTGGTCTTACCATAAAATCATAAACCACGCTTAAAAATTGTATACCAACTTTTTCTACAAAAATTCCCTCATCGAGTTCAATTTTATTACTGAAAAAGAAGAAAAACTGTTTTTCACATCTATCACGCCACAAGTTTTACAATCTTTCAGATTTATGACTATAATAATTTTAGGGTCTCATATAATTTCTAGTTTTCTCGAGGAGACAAAAATCGAATAAAAACAATTTTGTCGGAAAAGGAAAAAGAATACTGTTTTCAGGAGGAAAACGTTGAACTTTTGCAGAGAATTTTTGAAAAAAATCTATACCAACTAAAAAATCCGAAATTTTATTTTGAAAACCTCAATTCTTCTCGAAACCCAACTCTGAAACCAGTTTGATCTCTAACCAAACAAATTTGTTGTTTTTTTTTATTCTTTTTCAGGCACCGCCGACGCGATTGAAAATTAACTATGCGTCGCAATTGTAGTATGTTTTTGTGTATGAAAATGAAAATGAATGAATGGGGGGAGGAAACGACGGATAATTATTATTTCACGGTTTGCCAATTTTGGGAAAATCAAGTCAAACAAAACATTTGATGTTGTACGGCGGCGGTGACAATTAAAAACAACGATGAAATCATGTCATTCCGGATAAAACGGTCACAGAACATGTATTGGTAATTATATATTTCTTTTTTTAGAGGGGTGTTCTGTTTTATAACTGAAGACTTATTTTTGTCATTACTTTGATGAAAATTTCACAGAGGTTTTTTGACTCAAAAATAGTTTACATTTTTGGAAAACTTTCTAACTGATTTTAAAATTCAGAAAAAAATTCAAGCTAATATTTTAGCAGGTTCAATCTTCGAATATCCATTTTTTGTTAAAAGTATGGGTGGTCTAGAAAAAGCTATAAAAAAGAGAAAAAAATGTTTCAGAGACCAGCAGCTGTCAATAACGTTCTCCAATAAAACACCCAATTCAAATTTTATAACATTGTTCCAATGTGGGTTTTTTTCACATCTCATCTCATTTTTTTTCTTATCCTCATCTACACCACTAAAAAATGGGATTCTAGGCAAAAAAAACAAAAAAAAGTTACATAATCAGGAAAAAAGGAACAATGCGAAGAGCATAAAGTATTACTCAATAAGAGCACCCACTTTTCCCTTTCTTCCAATCTTTTTGTGTCGGCTTGACACCTTTTATGTGTATATTTGAGATATTTGTGTGGGGTCAACATTAAGATCTTTTTTTTGAAATATGAGACGAAGATGTTTTTCTCGCATTAGTACGATTTTCTTGTTAACGTGAGAAAATACGGGGAAAATATTTTTGTATAAATGCACTTTCGCAAATTGATGTGTGAAATTTTTGTATAGCTATATATTCGAGTACAATATCAGTGGAAAAAAAGGTGTGCCACACTTTTTAGTCATATTTTTCTTGGAAATGCGGAGGGGTTTGAGGGCTCGTTCGTGATGTCAAAAGAACAGACGTTATTTCTTGGAAACTAAAATATGTATGACTAAAACAAAGTTCGATGATCAAAATAATTCAAGTGCACGTTTTTTTTTGTTTGGAAAAATGATGACGTTAGAATGATATGGGGCTTGTGAAGTTGTTATGAGAAACAATCGTTTTTATTTTGAGATGTATGTAGTTCCAGACACTCAATTATTTCCTGATGCTAACACTTATCCGGAAACAATTATTTTCACCTTTAATTTCAGAAAATTGTAGTTGCAGAAGTTGATGAATTTTCTTTTGATAAATTGTGTCCGGTAACAATTATTTTTCATAATGTTTTCTAAACTTTGTACTTTTTTTTTCCGAAGATATTTATCTGAAAACTGTTTGTCATGAAGTTGTGTGTTTCAAGTTCAGAAATATGAAAAAAAAGTTCTAATAGTTTCATAAAAAAAGTTCACGTCAACTCTAGAAAATTGGGAATGTGAGAAAGTTTTCATCTTTCACCCAACTACAAAATTGTCATGTCAACAGTACAAATTGTGTATTTTCAGGTGACAAGAAAAGTACATTTTCCCCTCATCTCCTCATTCCTGTTCACCCATTCAATTCCATTTCATCTCTCATCTCATCTCATTTCAAAAGGTCATTTTCGCCCAATATAGATTTATAAATATATTTAATTACTCCGGTAATGGTTACGCGGTAAAATGAAATGTGTTCACAAAAAATATGTATTCTCTTCGATTCGCTGTTTTTTGTCCAAATATTCCAAGGGATTTCTCTGCAAATTTTTTAAAATTGAAATTTGGAAAAAGTGAAAAACTTACAACTTCAGTGGCAGCATACTCAATTTTCAAAATAATCACATCCCTACGAACAACCTTTTGCCAATCAATTTTTTGCTTGTCAACAATCAAGGAAGTTCCTTTTTCAAAACCTGTCAGAACGATATCAGTTCCAATGATTGCGACTTTTGTCTGAAAATAAATGTGATTTTTTCCAAGAAAATGAAAAATGATAAATGATACCTTGTCTGTTGCTGTAACAGATTTAAGAACAGTTTGATCTATTTTTGTGTCCAAAATCCAAGCATAAATTATTGTTTCCTGATATAATTGTGCATTATAAACATGATTATGGGAAGGGTTGATATCGGTTTTGATTCCTGAACGATATCTTGAGGTGTACCTGGAAAAACAAGATTTGGAACTGAATTGAGGAAACTCTAAACAAAAAATGAGTTACCAGATATTCGCTCCACTTGAGTCATTCTGATGAATCCAAGGTTTGGTCTCAAAAATCGCTTCCGAGTGTGAATTTACAAATCTAGAAAAGCGTTCTTATGTGTATTTAAGGATTTAGAAGTTCAAAAACTAATGAAGCTTTTGTTAATAAATATTTTCTCACTCTCCAATCTCGATCAATCTATCCTCAAAAATACTGGGAATTCTACCATGCATATCTGGTCCAATATTCAACAACAAATTTCCATTGCATGAAATTGATCTAGCAAGTTGCTCAATAACTTCAAAAGCTGTATGAACATCTGCAGCCTAAAATCATTTTTTTTCTCAAAATTTCAAAATATTTGCAGTCCTACCCGCATTGCTCTTCGATTACCCCAAGAGTATTTATCCAAAGTCATACAATTTTCCCATTTTCTATTGAGCAAGGTACCTGCAGAGAAAAAAAACACACACATGGAAAAAAAATGTCGGTTTTATTAGAGAACATTTTTTATGTGAGGTTTTATTGCTGAATCAGATGAATTGGTTTGTGTTACAGCATATATATGTATGTTCAATTATTATAATCGTATGATGATGAAATAAATGGTTTTGGGCCATTTTTTTTGGGGAATACTATTAGTTCGGGAAAATTGAAAATTGCTCTGAAGTCATTAGAAAAGGTTAATGGTTATGTGAATCAAGAAAATTATGCAGTAGATTTTTTGAGGGAAAAACTTTTTTCTCACTCACCTGGATCATAATGATCAGAATATGTCATAAATCCTCCATGTTTTCCCATAGTTCCAGCACCCCATCGGTCATTGACAACAACTTGATCTTTTACAGGACTGAAATTTCCATAGTATTTTTTTTATTTCAAAATATTATCAGTTATGTACATACCTTGAGTTATAAAGCCAGGCCAAAAAATCCTTGGCTCTCCAATAATCGTCAGATTTATCCCATTCACCATCACTCCAAACAACATCAGGACGATATTTTGTGACAATCTCAATCATTTGTGGATAGGATACTTGCTGGAAAAATCTCAATTGTAGGTTGTTTTCCTAGAAGTTTTCCTAGTACCTCTGGATAGAAGGTTGTGTTATATTTTCCATCATCAAGAAACAGTGGATTGAACCATTCGAATTGTGAAAAATATAAACCAAAATGAATATTTGTTGCCTTGAAAGCGGTTTTCAATTCTCCAACAATATCTCGCTTCGGTCCAATATCTTGAGAATTCCAGTTCCACGAAGTTCTACTTGGCCACATTGTGAATCCTTCATGATGTTTTGAGGTGAATACGAAATATCTGGCACCAGATGAATTGACGGTTTGGACAAATTCTTGAGGATTGAAGTATTCGGCAGTAAACTGAAAAGGATTTTTTGAAAATTCTCCTTTTCACCGCCGCCAGACTGTCTGATAAGATATCTTTGAATCTTGGCTCTTAATTTTTTCCCAAGCCAAATACAATTTTTTTCACAAAATTTTTCCTCACAATCAGTGAATATTTCTCGAATGTTTTGTTGATTTTTCAACAAAACAATATGTTTCAGAATCGAAACCGGGATCAGAATCTAATCAAACAAAACGTTTGAAGTCATAAATTTTTCACATGATTCTATCAACAAGAAAAAAAGGCTATCATTACATCTTTTGCAAAGTCCGCATATGTTGTTCCTGGTTTATAGTTTTTATCGATGAAATTGACAACTTCAGCGTCGGGTTTTGAACCTTTCCAATACCACCACATCCATTCCGATCTATAATAATTTATCACAATGATCAATTAAACTGTTCTTCTTTTTTCTCTTATTTTTTCTGGAAAACTGAAAAAATACTACTTATCAAATCGAATTTACTTCAACTACCTACTTCCTGATTTTTTTTTCCGAAAGAACAAGAGAAATCGAAAAGGGAAAAGAAAAAACCTGTATGCTGGAACTGAATAAACACCCCAATGGCAAAAAATTCCGAATTTTGAATAGTCATACCACGAAGGCAATGGTCGATTATCAAGTGAATTCCAATCGGGCTGGAAAAAAATAAGTGAGAATTGATCTTTAATGTGTTAATTGATTAGTCACCGTATATTTGGAAAATGCAGGAGAGATCAGGAGGAATGGAACAAGTTTTAATAGAAAAATCATGCCGAGCAAATAATTTTCTAAACAAAAAAGTTGTTGTTGGCAAATAATAACTAATATTTTATCAGCTGTGACCTGAGAATATATATATTCATTTATTTTTTACTTTTTCGAGATAACGCGAGGAAACTATGACAACAAGCCATTTTTTCCCATAACAAAGTTTTTTTCCTCATATGTATATAATTTTTGAGATAATGAAAATAACAAGGGAAAGAAAACTTGCGAATTGTAAGCTGTTGAAATTTTTAGAAAAAATTATGAAAAATGTCTTGAAAATTGATCAAAATCCCAATCAATACGTCGAACCTGAGCTTCAAGATTCAAATTTGCTGAATTTTTTTCAGATACTCGTTGATCTTTAGAGTTCTCCAGCCTAAACTTATCTCATACATCAGTAGAAGTTTCTTATTTCAGATTTTTTGGAGCTGAATTCTCAAAAAAAATCTTCCAACCTAAATATTTTCCAGAATCAATAGACTTTCTGTCTTTTACCCCATGATTTTTGGCCATCACTGTCATATCAAGTGAATGCTAAAAAAGTGACAAACATTTGGAACAACTTGTATCATCGATCCACGAAAAAAAAGTTTACTATTTCCCTTTCGGCAACAAAACAATAAATAAGAGAGAAAGAGAAAGAGAAAAAACTTTCGGTTTATGTAGGAACGAAACTTTTTTTTTTCAATGTTTTTCCTATCTTTTTTCAACTATCACTGATTGCGTGACCAATCATGACTGAAAATAGTTTGGGGAATTTTAACAGAGACGCAGATGAATCCAGAAAAACTTCCAAGACAATTGTGTAACTTAGTTGGCCAACCTGTATATAAACGCGGTTTATAGACATTTTTATTATATCGTACTCAGTTCTATTTCTGTGATCGATCTCAAAAAGGTAGCCATTTTTTCTGATAAATTTGATTTTTTTTTCAAATTTTCGAAATTTATAGGATGACTGACAAGAAATTCGAAACCGAAAAAGTTAAAAGATTTGCATTCTTCGGAATTGCTGTCTCGACTGTTTCTACTTTGACAGCAATTGTTGCTGTTCCAATGCTTTGCCTTTACCTTCAATCAGTCTCATCGTCTCTTCAAGATGAAGTAAATTTCTGTAGAGTTCGTGCCAGTTCCCTCGAGGGTGAACTCACTAAACTCGAAATGGTTCGTGCTCCAAGAAAGGCTCGTGCTGCTCCAGAACAATGTTGCTCTTGCGGAACTGGACAAGCTGGACCACCAGGACTTCCAGGAGATGACGGAACTCCAGGAAATGATGGATCAAACGGAACTCCAGGAACACCAGGAGTTGACGCTGATGGTGAAGATTATAAACCAGATCCAAGCCAATTCTGCTTCAAGTGCGACGAAGCTCCAGCTGGACCACCAGGAAAGCCTGGACCAAACGGACCAAACGGAAATGCTGGAGAGCCAGGACGCGACGGACTTGCTGGAAGACCAGGAGCCAATGGGCCACCAGGACAACAAGGACCACAAGGAGCACCAGGAAACGACGGGCCAACCGGGCCACACGGACCACAAGGAACATCAACTGTTGTCCCATCTCCAGCTGGACAACCAGGATCACCAGGAGCCCCAGGACCAGCTGGGCCACCAGGAGCCGCTGGAAGACCAGGAAGAGATGGACAACCAGGAGCCCCAGGACAACAAGGAGGAAACGGTCCAGACGGACACCCAGGAAAGAACGGAGCCGATGGTCTTCCAGGAGCACCAGGAAACGATGGAGCTCGCGGAGGTTGCGATCACTGCCCACCACCAAGAACTGCCCCAGGATATTAGAATGTTTTTTTCTATTTTTTTCATATCCTTTTTCAATGCTTCTTTGCTGCCATAAACAATGTTTTTCAATTTTAAAATGTTTTTTTTTTCTATTTTTGCAAGAAAATTGACAATTTTTTGTTTTCTCTCAGAATCAAATAGAGCGGATGATAAGAAACTGAAGTTTCAAAACAATTCTCAAATTTATTGAAACAAAGAAATCTGAAAATTTTCAGAATACAAAACATTTTCTTATATATTATTTATTAAAAATTATTATTACAAGAAAACCGGGAAAAAACAAGAATGAAAATTGAATTATTATGATCTGACAGTTACAGTAATATGATTATTAGTTGTGGTGATGCTGCTATAAACATCATCTCCAAAAATGTTTTGGACAATTTGTTGCAACTCTTCAGAAGCCGCTTGAATCATTGCTCCACCAACAATTTCGTGAACATTGAATTGCCAATCAGGGACAATTTGAGAGTTTCGAAGTTTCTGAAAAATATTTTATTAAAAAATGAAACAAAAAAAAATATGAAAGTGCTGAACTCACCTCAAGAGAACGCATGCCATTGACGAGAGTTTGCCAAGACATACAAACATTGATATCGGGAACAAGTTGCATTATCTCGATAATATCATCAAGACAAGCAATTGGGTTTAGGATGTTGATCTTGGTCAATTTTGAGGTTCCAGTCATATTGACAGCCCATTCCTCCACTTTCAATTCCATTTCATATTGAACTGCTTCATTCAATCGATTCAGCATTTCCTCGCTGATTTTTGGACCATTGTATTTGATATCTTCAATCGAGTCGCAGCATAGAATTTGATCGATGAGATGCATCGGAATATCACTATCGGTGTTGATTTCCAAGTGAACACATTCCGCGTTGCGAAACACAAGTCGCCATTCCGACAATTCCACATCTCTTGGCACTAATTTGGTGTTTTGGGAGCTGACAGTGAGAGTGAGTTGTTCGTTGGTGTATTGGATTTTGGCGTTGCAATGTGGTCCAGGAATATCGTTTCGTTCCTTTTTGTAAACTTGATCCATGAATGAGCAGGTTTTTCGGAGTTTTGGCACATCTTTTCTCTCGAGCTGAAACAAAATTTTATAATAGATAAGTTAGAAAAATGAAATTTTCGAACTTACATGTTTGAAGACAACTCCAAAACATTCTCGTGGCAAAGCGTGAGCTGGATGTTCGTAGTCATAGATAGAAGTAGACATAGTTAGAAAGTAGTAACTTGACGTTTTATTCGTTAATGAATAAACTGATTTCGATTTTTGATGAACAAAACAGATGTCATTAGACCACGCCCCCTTTTGACCTAGTTGTCAAAATTAGAGCACGTCTATCCCCTTTTTCGGAATTTACGAGGTGTTAGGGAATGGACACACGGTGGTGTGTCACACCTGGAATGGCTTTTGGGAAGAATTTGAATGACATATAAGAGTTTGGAAAACATTTTGTAGTACTGTAATAGGTTACTGTTGGTCTAAAAACGTAATATTTTTCTGAAAATCATGTTGATCTTTAAGATATTTGGAATTCATTTTTTGAATAAAACTTTCAGTAACTTGATATCACACTTGGCGAGATAGTGCCCCAAAATTTTTGTGCAGCGTGAAATTTTAAATTTTAGTGAATTCTTTCATCAAAATCCGCTGAAAATCAATGAACACTTCACTTTTTCGTGAAAAAAAATGTGCAGTGAAATGAAAAAAATTTTGAAAATTTTTATTAGCTTCCCGCCCGAATCGAAATTTTGGTTTGGGCGGGAATTTTTATTTGAAAATTTTTGTACAGTATCCTTTTTGGACACGTCTCGTCAGGCGTGCTCGGTATTTTTTTCTGATAAAAAATTTTATGAACTTGTATTAAAAAATAAGCAAAAAAAATATCACACGAAAAAAGTTGAATAAAAAGAAAACTATGAAATTTACCCAAATAAAATTTATCCCGATGAATTTACTTCATATTTAAAAAAAACGCGCGATCAGTCATCATCATCGAATTTTTTTCTCCTATAAATTGTTCAATTCAAAGTTTGTGAAGATATGAATCTCACCGGTCAATCAAAAATATCTGCATTCCAACAAGACCAATTGATAATATCACCAAACCCAATCCAACAATGAGATATAGATGTTGCAAAAAGACCATCTCTGTGCCAAAATATGATGGATGCAAAATCCAAAAATATTTTTCCATGTTGTCGTATCTATCTTGAAAAATTTTGTTTGGTTATTTCAAATTTTTATTGAAAACTCACAATTGTTATCTACATAGAGTCGGTAACTTCCACTTTTCAACCCGGTTGGATGTCTAGATGTGTCCAAAATACGGTAGGCTTTTTTAAAATTCTTATATGCTGTTTTAGACATCCAAATAATGAATGAATCGTTTTGATAACCACCCATTTCACAGATATGTTTATCCCAACCAATTGGTTTGACGGTGTTTTTGAACTGAAAATTAATCTTTGAGTTTTTTTTTAATTTAATAAAAGTAAAGATCTCACCATATCTGAATCACACAAATCTTCATTGTTTTCTGGATGTCCAAATACATTTTTTGTTGAATCAGGCACCAAACCATTTTCTGTCCAATGAATCGGTACTTCTTTTTCTGATCCAAACTCACGAAGACGAACCAAGCGAAAGGTATCTTTAAATAACAAAAATTTGAAAGTTCCTTCATGTAATATTCATACCATTGAACATAATTGTGGCAAGTCCTCCCATTGGTGCATAATAAGAAGATTCACCCTTTGCACACTGTTTATCCATAATCGAGTAATTGGCATAGTTTTTAAATGACAATTCATTTGTACACATATAATATTTACTACTATAACTTGAAGGCCATGGATATTCTGGATCACATTGTTCACTTGAATATTCGCTATTTGTTAATAATTGATTTTTGCACATTGCTTCATTAACTAGCCGATGTGTTCGAAGAGCATTTTTCAACTCGTAATAAAAATAAATTGGTGGCGCATAATTTTCATCCAACAAGAAATCTATATAACCTTCAGTTGAATTATCATATCGTAAGCGAGTTAGACGAACTTCATTATTGGCATGTTGTATTATTAAAGAAATTCCGATAAATGTGAATCCAAAGAGAATAGTTAGAGATATAATTATTCTGGCATCAATAATCGGGGTATTTCCTGGTAGTTTTTGTTGCAACAATTGTTGATCTGCAAATCTTAATTGTAGGTAAAGAGGTGGATGAAATAAGAAAACGACTAATGGTTCTTGAAAATGATAAAAGAGTTCATAAAATCAATAACCATTACGTGCTTTGAAATCTCAAACAAAAATTTCCTTGGCATCACCAAACCAATTTTTCTTGACTCGATTAATAATATCCTTTTACAAAATATATTATTTTGAATATTTGTCTCCTTCCTCTCATTACCTCTCTCCTCATTTTCCACACTCTCTCTCCTACTCTGGTTCTCTGACTCTGCGCCCCTTCTCTTCATGTTTTCCTTAATTTCATTTTATAATCACCTTATGATTTCTTTATTATTTTTTCCTATTTTTTTTCCTTTTTCGCGCGTAGGTAAGGTTTAGTTCTCATAGTTAAGGTCCAGCAAAGAGGCATAACTGATAGGACCTATCTCTTCACGTTAAAGCTCTGTTAAGGCTCTTCTGCTCCTTTAAATTTAATTGATTTGTCTTTCATTTTCTTATTTACCACCTTTTTTAACAGAGAAAACTCACGAAAAGAAGATTTATCTATAGTTTCAATAGGGTATTCAACAATTTCATCTTCTTCAGAAAATTGTACGGTTTTCATAATAATATTACTAATGATAAATACAATTTTTAAAAATCAATAAGCATAACATAAACGTTGCAAATGACAAAATCATGAATCATATACAACAACATCGTTGTCAAAAAAAAAACATTTGATACTAAAAAATAACCAGGATGTAGATATAAAATTTCAAGCCGCGTAAAATCCCACAATGTAATGATGTTTCTGTGGCTTGTTTTATTGCCCTTTGTAGAATCGAATTATACAAAAGATACTAGTTTATATAATCAGAGTTATTATAATTATTTAGATGCTCAAAATAAATTATTTGATGATTTATTTGATGGATATAGAAATGAACTTTCACCAATGTTTACGAGAAGTAGGTTTTTTCTTCTTTTCTTTTTTTTTTGAGAAAAAACTTTTCCAGTTATACAAATTTATTTTCAGGTTCTGTGAGTTCAATTGAAGATCTACTAGAACTCGGAACTGAACCTTACCTGTGGAATTATACTGTTTTCTTATATTATTTCAAACTTGTTGAAGTTGATGAGCCATCTGAAAAAGTTGGAGTTGTCCTCGAAGTCATAGAGGTAATTTTGATTGAGATTTCAGAGCAAAAAAAACATCGATTATTTCAGTACTGGTATGATGCAAGATTGGTTTGGGATCCGTTCGATTATCATAATATATCTGTAATTTATGTTAGACAAGAGAAAGTGTGGAGTCCAACGTTTTCTGCGTTTGCTGTGTGAGTATTTCTGGTGATTTTTCAAGGTATAATAATTTTGATGTTTAGAAATGATATCCAAGATTTTCGTGATCAAGATTTCCGATTGGTCTCACTTTCTTCAAACGGCCAGATTTATAGTTATATCCCGTGTAGGATTTCAGCTAATTGCCGATTAGATGTGAGTTATACAACAACGTTCCACGTATTTTCAAAGTCACAATGTAATTTCAATTTTTAGGTCAAAAAATTCCCATTTGACACTCAAACTTGTCAAATTCGTATAAGTTTACCAATATTTTATTATAAGGAAGTGAAAATTATGAATGAGATATATAGTGGAATTTTGACGAAGGAGCAAATTGCGCAGATGGGAAATTCTGAATGGAAAATATTGAATTTGACTTCCCGTGTAGAAGTTCTCCAGTACCATGATGCATTTGGAAATATACAATTGGTAAGTAATATAAATTAAAATTTTTCAAAATTATGAAATTTTAGAGTATTTTCGAATTGAAAATGAAAAGAAATCCAATGTTTTATATATACATGATTGTTTTTCCGTCGTTTATTATTAATGCACTTTCAATTATTGGAGTTTTTATAATGAAATCAGACAAAATGTCTAGGGTAAATTTGAACTTTTTAAAAATAATATGTAAAGAAAATTTCCAGCTAAACGTTGGTCTCACGAATATTATGACAATGACATTTATCCTTGGTGTTATGGCTGATAAAATTCCAAAATCTGGAGAGATTCCACTTCTTGGTATTTACATTATTGTCAATTTATTCATCATGCTTTTTGCTGTGGGAATAACAATAGTTTTGACTCGACTCAGAGAATGGATGATTCAAAAATGCCACCAGCATCAAAAACAAACAAGGTAATTTTTCAGAAATTTTTCAACTAATTCGAAAAATGTTTATTTCTAGAATCAAGGAGAAATTTGAAGAATTTGTCAAGCAACCTCTGGAAATTTGTCTAATATTTGCATTGGAAATGGCGAATGTTGGAAATTTTGTGATGATTATTCTATACTGGATTACTGCATAAAAATTGAAATTGTACCGTAGTTTTTCTCCTCCGAAAAGTGCAGAGTTCTAAAACTTGATCTTGTGAGCATGACATTTTGAGGTTGTAAAAGGCAATGTTGAAAAGTGGGTGTGAAATAGTATACGCTTAAAAAGTTCAACATTTTTTTTTCATCAAGCGATAGTATTACTATGAAAATTCTGGGAATACATTGAAGAAGAGTCACAATATTCTTCGTAGTTTGGCAACAGAAAATTTCAACAAAAAATGTTAGAAGAAAGAATAACTTGAAACATGGTTGTTTGATTTAGAGCAAGTCTGTTGGTCACTCAACCTCATTGCATATATCATAAAACCCTGAAATTTTTTTTACTTTATTCACCATTTTTCAACCATTCAGTAATTGATACCCATTTCCAAAATTTTCATTTGAGTACCTTCTAATTTATTTTTCAATCAAGAAAAAACTCCAACTGGGAGGAGTTTATTTTTAAAAAAGTACGGACACAACTCATGTTTTTTGTGAAATAGCTCAAATTTCACGACCTTTAGCCAATGGTTGGAGAATCAAAAACAACGAAAATAATAGAATTAATTGGAGTTTGATAATATAATCATCTTGGAATGTTGAAAATGAGGCGAATTGAAGAAAAATTGATTATCAAAATGAAGTTCACATTTTCTCTTCAAAATTGAATAGATTGTTTTAACTACAGTACTCTAACAAGCCCTAATTTTGAAATTCGAGTTGATTGGATAAAATTAAGCTAATTTTCTTATTCTGTGAAGTTTGATTTTCCAAAAGTAACTCAAGTCCCATCCTAGTAGTTTGAATCAAACACTATGTAAACAAAAGAGTAGCTAAATTTATTGTCCTGAAAAGTTGAAAAAATATTCAAAAAAAAATTTAAAGGTTCATGCGGTTCATTTTGTTATTCGCGTTAATAGTTAGAATATGTGGTTATTTTCAAGACGGAGCTTCGTATGGTGAGTGTCGAAATTTTTAGGAATTTTTAATTATCTGATAAATTTTACAGAAGACATTTATTATGACTATTTACACACCCAACAAAATCTCACTGAATATCTATTTGATGGTTATGATCCTACAGTATCACCAGTTTTTACAAGAGGTTTATTATCTGAAATGAAATTTTCGTCTATGAATATTTTTTACAGGAATATCAGATACAGTAATAACATTCAAGAATTCAAATTATTCAAATAAATGGAATTACACAGTTTTTTTGTACTATCTGAAACTCATTGATATAGATGAACCCGCTGAAAAAGTTGAATTCTGTCTAGAAATTATGGAGGTACGTGTAATTGGAATTCAATAAAAAGTTTGTCTTGATTCAATCATTTTTTCAAGGTTTGGTTTGATGCAAGATTAACCTGGAATGCAACATTATATAATAATATTTCCACAGTTTACGTGAGAGAAGATAAAATATGGAGTCCTACGATGTCTGCATTTGGAGTGTATGTTATTTGATTTTCCCGAAATAATTTCCATCTTTCGAATTGAAAAAAATCGTAGTTCTTTTTAGAAATGATGTTCAAGACTTTCGAGATCAGGATTTTCGACAGGCTTCAATTAGTAACAGCGGAGAAGTTTACACATATATGCCAATTAGAATATCAGTTAATTGTCCTTTGAACATGAGAATGTTCCCATTTGACCATCAAACTTGTTATATTCGTTTGTGCTTGCCAATGTTTTATTCAAGAGAAATTAGTATTCATGTTCAGTTTTATGATGCTATTCTACAACCGAGTCAAATTGCAGCAATGGTATTTTGAACCAAATTTTGAAAAAATAAAATACTTTCAAAATTTTAGGGGAATTCTGAATGGCGAGTTATCAATTTGACAGGAAAAATAGATGTTTTGAAGTATGATGAACAATCGAGTGATTTGGAAATTTGTATATTTGAAATTACGATGAAAAGAAATCCAATGTTTTATTTCTATATGATTATTTTTCCTTGCTATATAATTAATGCAGTTTCACTTTTTGCTATTTTTCTCAAAGACACGGATAAAATGTCAAAGGTGAGTAAGACTACTTGAAAATTAAAATGCTTGTTTTCAATTCAGCTCAATGTAGGGATAACAACAATAATGACACAAACTTTCATCCTCGGATTCATGGCGGATAGTATTCCAAAAACCGGGGTTATTCCATTACTTGGAATACATATTCTGATTAATCTTGGAATAATGATTGTGGCGATTGCTTTTGTTGCTGTTCGTGGAAAAATTCAGAAATTCAAAGATACAGTTTGTGAGACGATGGGAACAAATTACAGGTTGGTAATTAAAAATTTCAAAATTTTGAAACACTTCGAATAATTACAGAGCAAAAATGATCGAAAAAATTGGCAAAGTATTTGAAATGGTATTATTCATTACACTTCATTTTGTAAACCTTGTTAATTTTTTTTCTATTATTGTTATCTGGCTCGCAACATAATTTGAAAAATATATTTTTTTACAACGGGTGATAATTTATAAATTTTGAACGTTGTGATGGAGTTTTGGAAAAACGCGGTTAAATTCTACCTTTTCATGGCTCAACAAATAACTGTATTTTACAAAATATACTATTTTGAATATACGTCTCCTTCCTCTCACTAATTCTCTCTTCATTTTCCACACTCTCTCATCTACTCTATTTACTTCTCTAACTCTCTTATCTTCATGTTTTTATTAATCACCAAAAGATTTTCTTATTATTTGTTTTCCCATTTTCTTGCTCTTAAGCGCGTAGGTTAGGTTTAGATTTCATGCTTAAGTTTCAGCAAAGAGGTTTCACTGAAGATTTTTTGATCGTTTGCCACACTCAGCAGATTTGTGCTGACGGCTGCAACCAAAGAAGTGTCGCAAACTAGCGCAAAAGATGCGAATATTTTGCCTATAAGTCATAAACATTACAAATCCAAAGAACACTATGCTGTGACTTCTTTGTAGTTTCAACGTACCTTGGTAATTTGAGTGACATCCATTTTTATAGTAGTTTGACCCAAAGACTAAGCAAATAAAAACGTACCCTAAAGTGTATCGTTTGAAGACTAAAAAGTTTCCGAGTCCATGAGGTTCGTTTTGTTATTCACGTTGTTTTTAGAACTATACTGTTATCATTATGATTTTGAAAATTATGGTTTGTTTCGTTTACGTTTCTGATAGAATGGGAGTTGAAGAATTTTCAGAAGAAATATATTATGATTATTTGCACACACAACAAGAATTAACCAGAAATTTATTCTATGGATATGATGAAAGTGTATCGCCTGTCTTTGTCAGAGGTATGTGATTGAAGAAATAACGTCGTCACATTGAATTCATCATACAAGTTTTCAGGCATAAGTGATGAAATCATAACGTTTAAAAATGCAAACTATTCTCCAAAATTTAACTATACGGTATATGTTTACTACCTCAAAATGATTGATATGGATGAACCAGCTGAAAAAGTTGAATTTGTACTTGAAATTATGGAGGTATGTAGAACTTGAAAATACTTTTATATACATGTTTTTCCTTTCAGATCTGATTTGATGCAAGGCTCACATGGAATGCAACACTGTATAATAATATTTCAACAGTTTATGTCAGGCAAAATCGAGTTTGGAGTCCAACGATGTCTGCATTTGGGGTGTGAGTAACATAATTTTTTAATCTGTTCATCATAAATATATATCTTTTTTTCAGAAATGACGTAGTGGATTTTCGAGATGAAGCTTTTCGACAAGTTTCAATAAGTTATCGAGGCGAAATTTATACATATATGCCAATTAAAATATCTATCAATTGCCCTTTGAATATGAAAATGTTTCCATTTGACCATCAAACTTGTCATATACGCTTATGTTTACCAATGTTTTATTTGAGAGAAGTAAAAATGTTGCTCGAATTTTATCAACATGTTTTACAACCTTCTCAAATTGCATCTATGGTAAAACCACTATTTCATAGTGCTTCAATTTTCAACTGATTTTCAGGGAAATTCCGAATGGAGAGTTTTGAATGTCACTGGGAAAATTGAAATTTTGAGATATAATCAACGATCAAGTGATCTTAAAACATGTGTATTTGAAATAACTATGGAGAGAAATCCAATGTACTATCTTTATATGATAATTTTCCCAAGTTTTCTGATTAACACAATTTCAATTTTTGCTATTTTCCTCAAAAAAACTGATAAACTATCCAAGGTTGGTGTCTATTCTTCACAATCAGTTCAAAAACGCATTCAATTTCAGTTAAACGTCGGAATAACAACAATGATGACAATGGTTTTCATTCTTGGATTTATTGCCGACAGTATTCCAAAAACTGGAGATATTCCATTACTTGGTATATATATTCTGATTAATCTTGGTATTATGATTGTTGCTATTGCTTTTGTAGCGTTTCGTGACAAGTTGAATAATATGTTAGCAACTAGAACTGAAACCGGAAAAAAAGACTGCAGGTAAGAAATTAACACTATTGATCTACAAATGAACTCGGGTGAATTTCAGGTCAAAAATCTTCGATTGTCTTGGAACATCATTAGAAAAGTTTTTATGCATATTGCTTCATCTTATCAATTTTTCAAATTTTTCTGTTGTCATAATAATCTGGATTATAACTTAATTTTCGAATTTTTTTTGTTATATTAATAATTAAAAAATATAGTTGTTCAAAAAAGATTTCAAAGACAAGGGTTTTTCTTTCTTCCGAATGGCTATTTGTGGTCACGAGTTTTTATTTCGGGAAAAAAATGACATTTGCTCTAATGAAAAAATGAAAAGTGGGTGTGAAACCCAATCCTACTCTTGAAAATGAAAAATTGTTTTTAATATAGCCTTAACTATAATGTAGCCATCATTTGAAATACCCATTTAAAATGATGTGTTAAAACATTCAGAAAACCTATCCGTAATCCAAAACAGAAATTCAGTCAGTCAATTTCAAAACTAACGAAGAGAAACGGTTTTCTGATGTGTTTAATCGCAAACCATCTTCAATAACCACAGAAAACAATCCTTGATAGTACATTTTGAATAGATATTTGTGACTAGATTCAAAATTAATCAACGGCTATCATTAACACTGTTTACTAATATGATTGAAAACAACGTAAATTTAAATGTTCGTGAGTACACTGCTTGTTCCCTTTAATATACAAATTGTTCTTCATAAGCAACACTTTCAAAAATGACGAGTGTTGAGTTCAGAACTCAAAACTATAGCACATACTCTTTAAAAAACATCAAGAATCAGGCAAAAATAGTGTAGTTAAAGTTTCATATTTCATCAAATGACTCTCGACGTACTCTAAAGCATTGTTAAAAATGAAAAGTTCAATTCTGGTCTTTTTTATTTCTTCAATAACCTGTTATTTTAAAAATTCCGATTGGTATCGTGAGTGATTAATTTTTATATAATATAAAGACAAATGTTTTGATCTTCAGAAAAAGATTACTATGAATATTTGGATGTTCAAAGCCAATTGGTTGATGATGTTTTCAAAGATTATAAAGAAAATGTCGCACCAATTTTAACAAGAGGTTAGAATATTTTAAATTGTATTCAATCAAAAAAAATTACTTTAAGGTATAAGTGATGATACAACAGTTTTTAAAAACGCTTCTTATTTGCCGAAATGGAATTATACGCTTTATATTTATTATATAAAACTTGTTGATGTGGATGAGCCAATGGAAAAAGTTTCATTTGTTATTGAACTTATGGAGGTTAGTATACACAACTTCTTTGATGTAAAATTGCGTTTTTTCCTAGTTTTGGTATGATGCGAGATTAACTTGGAACGCAACAAAATATCAAGATATAAAAACAATCTACGTTCGTCAAGACTCTGTGTGGAGTCCAACATTATCAGGGTTTGGAGTGTAGGTCTTCACAACACTTCTAAAAATCTGAACTTTTGTTTTTTTTGTAGAAATGACATTGAAGATTTTCGAGACTCTGATTTTCGTCAAGTATCTATTACACATTATGGTGCATTATATACTTATATTCCTATTGCTATATCAGTTAATTGTCCATTGGATATGAGACTTTTCCCATTTGATGAACAAGACTGTTATATTCGATTTTGCTTACCAATGTATTATAAGAGAGAAATTGATATTTTTCTACAGTTTTATAAAGTGATTTTGAAAAAAGCGCAAATTGAAGCAACGGTTAGTTTCAACCCTTTGAACATATTTGTATTGATTTTATCCACCAGGGAAATTCTGAATGGCGCGTAACAAATGTGAGTGGGAGCATAGATGTTGTAAAATATGGAGATGACGTTAGTGATATTGAATTATGTGTACTTCACATTAGCATGAAACGGAACCCTATGTATTATTTCTATATGATTATTTTCCCATCATATATTATCAATACAGTGTCAATTTTTGGAATTTTTATGAAAGAAGCCGATAGAATGTCAAAAGTTCGTGAATATTTCTTTTTTAATTTTGAAAAAAATATAATTTTTCAGTTGAACGTCGGAATTACAACAATGATGACAATGACATTTATTCTTGGAGTTATTGCTGACGATATCCCGAAAACTGGAGTTATTCCACTTCTTGGTATTTATATTATTGTGAATCTTGGTATAATGCTTTTCTCAATTGGAGTTATAGCATATCTCGACAAATTGCGGAAATATGTTACTGATCGTTTGAAAGTAACAAAATCAAAGCATGACACGAAAATCAAGAAATTCATCGGAAAACCTCTGGAAAATATCCTTTTTTGGGGTCTTCATATTGCAAATTTGCTTAATTTTTCAATGATGATTGTCGTTTGGGTTTCAACGTGATTTTCATTGTTGTGGAATTTTGTAAATAAATGTTCATTTAAATTTCAATTTGATGGAAAATTTTTTCAATAAAAAAACATAATTAATTTTATGTACAGATAATCAAAATGAAAAAAAGAAAAAAATTTGCACAGTTTGGAGCATCTGAAAAAATAAATCTATTCAAAAAATTATTTAAATTTAAAACTTACGATGTTGAGAAAACCGAAGTTCTTGCGTCCATTTTTTTTATGGCCCGGAAATATCATATTTCGTTTCGAAAACACGTCGTTTTATCAAAATCAGAAGAATAATCAACATAAGGATAACAACAATCAATGAAAACAAATCAACCAAGTTTCGATGGCATTCCATATTTTTAACATGAGAATAAATTGATTTTGTGTTATTTGAATACAAATTGAACAAAAATGAAAAACCATCGTTGCGGAAGAAGATCAACAAATCAGTTTCTGATGAATATTTTAAAATTGAATGAAAAAAAAATTACAGAAGTTAATAAATTATAAAGAACGCTACGTTATTGGTATTTTTGTGGATTGTTGTCGTACTATTTTTGTGTGCTTTAATGAAATTGAAAAAAAAAATATGTGAAAAAAATTTTGAATATACTTTTTTTCAAAATTCGGAAATTACTGATTGGTGGTCATTTCAATGCTAGTTCTGAAATAAAATGTTTTGTTCGTATCAAACAATCAAATGAACTTACGATTCAGAAGCCACATTGTAGTTAACAAACTCATTTGTCAGCTTTCGCTTCCAAATATTCCTGTTTTTATAAATCAAACTGCCAATCAGAATGATAGAAACAATAAGGACTATTATGGATATAACAATGAGAATAAAAATATGTGATCCAGATGTGGATTTGATTGGAACTTCATTCTCTGAAGCGAAATTCTTGAAAATTGAAAGAGTTTTCCCTAAACTTACTTGACCTAACATAACTAATGAAACCTTTATCGTTGTTGTTTCTATCTGTTTTGAAATGTAAAGTCATAATATTCCCCGTAGATGAAAATGTTTTGTTTGAAATACTCCCAGTTAATTGAGCTATAACATTTTGAGTTCCATTCCCATCATATAATCTCAAATAATCATGCATATTTTCCAACCCCAGATCATCGATGAAAATTTCGATATGAGATCTGAAAAATTCAATATTAAAATTTTTAGTTCAAAACAAGCAGTTACCCATTTTCACTGGTTATTATTGTCAAACAATCTTGGGTGTGACAATGAGTTGTTGGATAACCAGAACTCGCCAAAATGACATCCTTTGTTCCATTCAAATAAATAGTTTGATTATTGCAAGAACATGCTGTTAAAAATTATGACATGGGTATGGTGTGTTAGAATTAAAACCTACGAATTTCAAATTTCCATACAATATGGATTTGTGAAGATACTGTATTGGTGGTATTTGAACGATTGAAGAGAACGTGCAAATATGGTTCAAAAGTTTCAAAAATTCTATCCTTTTTCAATAATGTCTGACTATATCTGGAAAAAAGAGAGTTTCAATAATGTCTTTTATTTTCAAACTAACGAATGTTCAAGCTTTTTGTCATGAAACTTCAACATATCGAAATCATCTAAATCAGTTGTAGATATTTGAACTCTGATTGTTTTTTTCTGTGGATTATCGATTCTCCAATGGCAAAACATGAAATCACAATGCGATGGAATAGTCAGAAAAATTTCATCATCTGTGCTATATATTTTATCGTTAAATGTTGAGCATTGACATTCTGAACAACTCATTTTTTATTAAAATCTTCACACCAATAAAAAACTAATAGAAATACCTTTTGGAATAATCAATCGAGTCAAGTTCACTTCAAATGATCGATATTTTTCTTCATCTCCTGAAGTATATGTAAAACTAAGATTTGTTGTATCCAACATCATTGTGCTAAACGGTGTTTCAACTTTTAAGCTGAAAATTAGAAAAAAACTGTAGATTCAAAAAGACTTATATCTCACTTCATGTAATCTATATTTTTATACTTCATTTTCATTTGATCTCTGGTCGAAATAAAACGTAATTTTGATTCCATCAAAATATACTCGTTCTTGTTATATGGATAACTCATAACATATTCACAATTTCTCAGCGGGCAAATTGTGGATGGGAAACCGGGTTGGCGCAATGTTATTGTATTATTTGTTTCATTGAAATCGTAACTTTTTTGTCCACAGTTGCAAGCTGAAAAAAATGCAATTTTAATTTAATTAAAAAGGCGCAAACCTTTTGGAATTTTCAGAGCCGAAATATTCGCAATAGTTTTACTATTCAGTTTGATAAAAAACGGTTTAGCATGAAAACTATGGCTTCCTTTGAAGGGTGAAAAACTGCCATCAATTTGTTTCAATTCGTAATCTCCAAGAGTTTTGATTATTATTTCATCAAAGTCGTTCTGTGCCGTGGGATCAACTTTAAACCAGCAAATATCACTATTTTCGAGAACAACATCTTTTTGAATGACTGTTTTGTTTTGATTCAGTATAACGAGAGGGAAATCACAAACATTTTGAATATCTGAAGATAACTAGATAATGTGGTTTGATTTTGAAAACTAACCTATTCTTTCAAATGCAATAGTATATTTTCTCTTGAGACTAATCTGCAACCCAACGTTTTTCGGTGTTGTATGAAATACATTTTTATCATTTTGTGTAAACATAAAAAATTGTTGAGTCTCGTTACCATCTATAACAAACTGCCGAATATCAGCCAAGCTCCAATGCAAAGCCATTTTTAGCGTTATAGACTTTTTCGGATGTGGAGCAATCTGAATGGAAACACACATTTGAACATATGTTTTTTTTTAACTTACAGTATATTCACAATCATCATGATAATGTGGACCGAGTTTGGCTGAATCCCTATTTTCATCAAAATAAGTTTCACCACAAGATGTAACAATTCGAACATAGTAGAATAAAAGCAAAATAATACTGCTTAATTGAACCATCTGAAAATGAATATGTGGAATATTTACGTTTCAAAAAAACGAAGAATATTTTAAATGCAATATTGTCGAACAATTTCTAGAAAAAAGTCAATCTGGCAGACACAAGTGTTTTTTTGACAGATGGGGATAGTTTATGTTTGGGGCAAATTGTTGGAAAATGTTGTGAAAAATCCACTCTTCATCAATTTCTTTTTGATAAATGAGAATGTGCATTGAGAAAGTGCAACCGCACGAAGCAGAAAATACGAGAATCAAATCACTTATATGAGTCACAAAGATATGATGGATAACTAGAAAAAATCAATACTTTTATCGTTCCTGGCTAGAAAAACGTTTTAGTTTAAAATTCTGTTGTGAACAAAAAAAGATGAAACTTTTTTATATAAAAACTCAGGGCGTCTTTCAAATTTTAATAAAACTGAAAAAGTAATTTTTTAGGATTGGTATTTTGTATGAATACAGAAAAATTTAATGGAGTTTCAAACTTTCATTTTCAGAGGCAACATGCTAAATACTTCTTAATTAGACACAATTTCAAATTTGCCGGTTTTACGTGTTCCCTACCTTATTTTACCGTTTCAAGAATAATCGATTTAATGCTCAGTTGCTCATTTTATTTATATATACATAATTTGTTTATTAAAAAAAATTATTTTTTTGATTATTCATCAGGTTCCGTATGAACAGCAAACTTCAAATTTATTTATTTTTTATTAGAAAATTAAATTTTTTTTTCAATTCATATGATGATGATTTTTCAAAGTTTCTATGACTTTTCATATTCAAATTTGCACTTTGTTATGATTTTGAAAACTTCACATCAATGTTTGCACGCATAGTGTTGTTTTTAATTCAGCTTTTCTCCTTACCCAACAAAAATCCCAGGAGAAAAAAGGATTTTTTGATGATAATGGGGTAATATTTAATAATGCCCAATTAGTCTGAAATTCCCTTGATAGTTTCATTCTTTCAAATTTCATTCGTTAACGATACTAAAAAATTGTGGTTTTTTTCAGTTTTCGTTTCGAGCTTTCGATTTTCAAGATGAATTTCACAATGATTCACATGATTCATCTTCATTCCTGGTGTTTTTCAATTCCAACATTCTTGTTCAATATAGCTTTGATAATTGCGTTGCGTCGGGAATCAGCTAACCGTAATCAATATGGCGGCGTGAGTTTTTGTGGTTTCAATTTTTGTTCGAAAAATTACAGAATTTTCAGTTCAACAAACTATTTTCGATTAATTGCTATGTTGATGTTTTTAATTATGCATTATTCATATTTCTCCAGCCGGTATGAGTAAAAAACAATTTTTTAGATAACCGGGTAAAAATTCTAGGTTGTTTTGATATTCCGTGGTCAATTATTCATCTCGTTTTTTGGACCTGCCCAATTCTTGTCAAAAACTCCGCTCATTTTCTTGTTTTCTACATTTTTATCGCTATATTTTTTCAAAATTCATAACAATTCAATGATGTTATTGTTGCAATCGCTAATTTCATTCAAGTGAGGTTTACTTTCTTCCTAATTTGAAAATGTGTTTTTCTTAGATATGTGGTATCAAAACATCCTATGAGTTTATTTTTCCTTATTTCTTTATTGATCTTTTTGATGCAAATGATAATTTTGAACACATTTTTTCTATACAACGATTTGAAAGATGAACAATTGGAAGATTTAGCTTTTATGATTGGTGATTATTTTCCATATTTTTCTGTTAAAACAGTAAGTTTTCTAGAAAAAAAGAAAAGTTCACATGTTTTTCACAAGAATTATTATTACTAATTGTCATGTTGTGATTAATTTTTTTTTAATTCTCATAATTTAATTTAATCATCCTGATTCAGGCAGCAATACCAAACTTGATATATTTTATCTCGTCATTCTACGTGACTATAATAATTGTTTGGCTTGTTAAAAAATTGGTTATGCATAAATTCAAAGATGTTATTAAATACAACTTGTTACCCATTCAATACTCCGATGCAATTCCAATGTATCAAGTTCTTCGCACTGTTGTTAGTTTTTTTTAGATATTTGATTTTTCATTAATTTTTTTCAAATTTTCAGAACAAGGTCTCAACAGTTTTATTAGTTACACCTTGCCTGGCTCTTGCAATAGTGTTACATTTGAATTTTCAAGCCGGTGTTCGTTCAATGCCAACATTTATTGGATATTTTTTTACACCTTGGATTACCCCATTTTTGATTTTATATGAAATTGATGTGTATCGGTATGGTGTTCACACAGCTTGTGATTAATTATACATAAATTTAAAATTTTAGGCGCGAGTTTGGATTATTCATGCTTGATCATTTCCGTTTTAACAGTTTCAAGTGGCCAAGTTCTACAGTTCACACAACAACTTCAACAATGACATCAGCTTGACTCTCTTATTTTGATTTCATAAATTTATAAAATTTTTAAATTTTCAAAACTCGGAAAAAATTAAAAAATTATTTGAGTGACTCAATCTCTTCGAAGTCTGGTGATTTCGATTTCTGACCTGAAATATTTTGTAAATAACAAACAACGCATTCGAAAAACTCACAGTCCAGAGGAAACTGTATAATTCACCACTCCATTTTTTCTACAAGCAGGTTTTTGAAATTTCCTATTCAATATTTGAGAGAAAATACATATTATAAGCAATATAAAAATGGATATAATCCCTATGAAATACAATTCAAATTGATTGGAAGTAGTTTCAGCTGTCTTATAAAACTCTGAAATTGTTTTGATTTTAAAATTGTTTTGTGAAATTCAGACTAACTTGTTTTCACGTTGAGATGGAACCCTTTTCGATTATTATTCCTATCAGTTCTAAAATGTAGAGTAACAATATTTCTAGAAGATTTGAATTTTTCATTCGCGAGATTTCCAGTGAGCTCAGCAAGACCTTTGCCTGTTTTTGACCCATCATAGATTTTCAAATAATCATGCATATTTTCCAAACTTAGATCGTTAATAAAAACTTCGATGTAAGACCTAGAAGTGAAATGAGTATGTGCCAATTTTCTTTTAAATTACCCATTAGGACTTGTTATAGTTGTCCAACAATCTTGTGATGCACAATGTGTGTTTGGATAACCTGAGCTTGTTAAAACTTTTGATTCATTCTCTGCTAATTGTATGTTGGGTGCACTACATGAACATTCTATAAGAATTATATAATGCAAATGAACATTAATTTTTACTCACTCGCGTTTGCGTACCATTTCATAGTAATTCTAGTTGGAAGATTTTTTGAATTGTGAAAACGATGAAAAGCAATATTCAATTGATTCTCTGATGTTTCAAAATCTCGTTCATTTTTTAAAACTGTGTTGTTATATCTGTGTAAGGTTTTTATTAGAATATACATTCTTTTTTCGTAATAAATCTTACGAATATTTTGAAACCCAATCATTCAAAAGTAGAACATCATTTTCATCCAAATCAGATGCGGCTATATGAAGTTTTATATTGTAATCCTCTCGATATCTATACAAATAATCAATTCTCCAATAACATAGTACAACTTCACAGTGAAGTGGAATATTCAAAAGGATTTCATCATCTCCGTTATAAATTTTATCATTAAATGTTGAGCATTTGCATTCTGAATGGGAGTTTAGAAAAAAATCATTTGTTTGAAATCTCAAATATTACCTTCAGGAATGTGTATACGGGTGAGGTTAATTTCAAAAAATGTATTCATCTCATATTCTTCTTTATTATATATGAAACTGAGATTGGATGAATCCAATACAATTAAATCAAATGGCATGTTCAATGGAAAACTGAAGAAAATTATTTAAAAAAAATAAACAAGATATTTCTTGCTTACTGGTATGTATTTCTGTAAAGCGACTTCATTGAATAAGATTTCGATAAATTAGATCTTGATTCAACCATAATGTATTCATTTTGTTTTTGAGGATAATTCATAACAAAATTGCAAGATATTCGTGGGCAACTGATATTTTGAAAACTAGGTGATTTTATGATTATAGTGTTGCAATGCTCGCCAAACTCGTATTTTGAATCTAGACATTCGCATGCTGCAATAAATTTCAAATTACTGACAAACTATGAATGATTTCCAGTTACAAAAATTGAAATAGCACCCTGAAACTCACACTCTGTAATATTCGGATGTTTGTTATGATCACAGATTTGGCACAAGAACAATTTGACTGAATATAGAATAATCAGTATTTTGAGAAACATTTTCAATGATATGTTTAGAACATTTGCACACTAATAATATATATTTTTGAATTTTTTTCAGAAACGAAAACTATATTGTATATATAACATATACATTTTTGATCTATCAGTTTATTGTTTATTTTATCATGATTTTTGTGAATGACGATAAACAATCATATTCCATTCAGAAAATTCAATATAGAACAACTTCTGTTTCTCTCACAAAAATATTCATTTCATAGAAACTTACAAGCGACTTTCTGACACCGTGAACAATGTTTCACTATGAGAAAAGAAACACCAGAATATCACTGTTTAAAAAAACGCTGTGACTTGTTTTCTTACTTCTAGCTAGAAACTTGAAACAAACTAGAAAGAATAGAATTCTTTATTATTTGATTTCATTTCTGTTACAAGTAATATAGTACACGTAGAAATAAAAGAGGTAACAACATTTTTCAAAAAACTTATCAAATTTCAGCACTGTTTTCAGTTTGTCGATAGGCTGGTGTGATGTTCAAGTGAAACTTATTAGTCCATCTAAAACTAACTTCGATCAAGTTTCCATAAATTTTTGTGAGAGTTTGTTCAAGATTCGAGATATCCAATACGATTCTATCTTGACTAGGATGTCCTCTGAATTCAAAACTCCAGTGTGGTAAACATGTTGTTTGTCCGCAAAGACTCTGAAAAACATATGAACTGTTTTTCCGAAACTATAAATGAATAAAAAACTAAAACTCACTAGTAACGATGGAATACTATTCACAAATCTTCCATAGTTCATTGGAACTTCGATAGCGGAAACCGTTTTCGCAACTTCGATAATGTCAGTAAGATCATTGATTTCACAATCAATCATAAGCCATTTAAACTTCGGGAATCCAATGAGTTGTGGGTTCCAATGATCGACAACAACTTGAAGTGATTCAACGATAAGTGGAGCAAATCCATCGAGAACATTTTGATTGATTCTTTTACCAACATATTCAGCTCTGTTAATTGAATCGCAGCAAATAATTTTTCTCCAAATATCATCAGGCAACTCTCGATCGCAGTTCAAATACATAAAATTGCATTTGGCATTTTTGAATGTCATATACCAATCGTCCAACGGCACCAATCTTTGTGGCCGATCTTCTGTTGTTGAGCCAATGTATAAGCTGAGCATTCCATCGTTATAAAAAACATTGATATTGCAAATTGGACCAGGAATGATTGCACGATGTTGTTGAAAGGTATCTTCCATGAACTTGCAAGTTCGTCGTAATTTTTGAACTGCTTCTCTTTCGAGCTGGAAAATATACATCTTTTAATTATAATTTATTGATTGCATATGTTTATGAAGGCTAAAACCAACAAAAAAACTCACTTTTGAAAAAATAACTTTAGCACAATCATGGGTAAGAATCGAAATTGGTGATTCGCCGTCTTTGAGAGCATACAATGCACATTCAGTTGATTCCATTTCAGTAGATGAATCCAAACAATTGTCCATTTTTGATTAATTGTGAATAATATGCAGAGGAAAACAATATTTGACTATTTTTTTGCACAAAATGAGGTAACCGGCTGCTTAGTTGCACACTGTTTTGTTTACAACTCGTCCTTTTTCTTTGTTTCGACGTTGTTTATGATGAGCCCGTTGCCAAAGGTCCTGTGAAAAAACAGATGTTTTGAGGAAAAAATGTGAGTATACAACATGAATAAAGTTTGAGTACAGTTAGCAGAAAATTGAAAAATGTTTACTTGCAACAAAATGAAAATAGTAATTTTCAAATATCACAGCAAAAATTTTTAAATACGAATGTTTTAAAGAAGTTTTCAAAAGCAACATTCGTTTCACTGTAGTTTGGAGAAAAAATTTAGAATATTTCAATAATGGGATGATTCAAGTAGAAAAAAAAACGTTTTTCGACAAAAAATTTCGGTTCAGCAAATGTCAAAAAACTATAAATCAGAATATTGAAAAATATTTGCTGCGAGAAATTTTTAATTTTTGTATGGAAAAAATGTCAAAAAATAGGAAAAAAACAACCACCCCATGAGTAATCGCCGAAACATGGAAGAACCACACAATTGTCGTCAAAGTGTTTGCACAATTTCATGAAATTGCGGATCTGCGCAATCTGCAGGCAATATTATTTCGAAAAAAAATAATTTTTTTTCTCAAAAGTGTCAAATTTTATAGTTTTTGATTATTTTTTTTCATATTTCTTGTGAGCATAGCTGAATAGGTTAGTTTTAAATTGTTTCGGGGTTTGAAAGCATTTCGAAATGGCCTGTATACAAGGGCTTCTCAAGAAATAAAAGTTTTATTGATTTTTCTCGAATTCAGATTGTTATACATTATACAAAAAACAATAATGCTGACAAAAAATGAAATAATATGGCCCCTATCATTTGACATATTGGAATGATTCCTAATTCAATTATTTCATTTCAATTTATTCGTTTTTTTTTCGGACTATTCCTTTTTTTGAAGTGTTTATGCGCTAGTTCCGATGTTACAGAAATGAAAAATTCAAAAATTTCAAATTTGAAAATAATGAGAATCGAATTCTAACATAAGTCCTGAATACAAACTTAATTTTCCAATATAAATGTCCCGGCAAATATGAGCACTTTTTTAAAATTGTTCGAAAAGAATGCACTTATTTCACAAAAAATTGAAGTTGAACATAAATTTCAGAAACAATGAAAAACTGAGAAAAAAATTCGTAACCGAGAAATGTGGGGAATTTCGCCAAAGCAATAAATAAACGCGCTCTAACAATGAGAGTTTTGGAAAATAAGAGCGAGTTTGTTGCTTTGGCCGAATAACCGACATTTCTCGGCCACCGGAAATATTATTTGATATATTGAGCAGTTATTGAGTACTGTCTTCAAATTATATTAATTTTTTGTTCAACTTTTTTCCTGGGACAAAATTTGTAAAACTTAAAAGTTTTCCAGTTTTACAAATCCTTCTTTTTCGAATCAAAAAACATAATTTCAGTCTGATTTTGATATTATTTCATATATTGAGCATGTTTAGAGTACTATTTTCAAATTATACTATTTTTGTTTTTTTCCCTTAAAAATATTATTTCTAGATAAACAGAAAACGTGTGTATATAAAAATTTCCTTCATCGGTAGAGAACGTTTTTGTAACGTCCCATAATTGTGTGCTATTATTTTCAAAAATGTTTCTGACCAAAAAATGTAAGATGAGTACTTTTTGAGGTATAGAATTACCGGAAAAGAACGATAAAATGTAATTCCGAATATGAATGTCCTTTTTTATGTATCATGATTTTTCAAACCCAATTTTACCTTGTTTTTCTGATTATTTCGGTTTATGGGTTCTATGAAAATACTGGTTTGTACAGTGAGTGGGGAAAATTCGAGATTTTTCAAAAGTAATTGTGCATTATTTTCAGATCAATCGTATTATGATTATTTAAAAGCACAACAGAGTTTAATTGATGATGTTTTTGAAGATTATGATCCCACCGTCTCACCTATTTTTACAAGACGTGGGTGTTTCATTTTGGAAAAAATTCATCGGATTTATTTTATAAAAAGATTAGAGCCCTATTTTCAATTTCAGATAGCGATGGTGATGATGACACTTACGACACTCAAAACTCACCAAATATTTGGAATTACACCGTCTATTTATATTATTTGAAATTAGTAGATGTTGATGAGCCTTCAGAAAAGGTTTCAGTCGTTCTAGAACTTATGGAGGTAAAAACATTCTTCAAAAAACTATCCCGTATATTTTTTCTAGTTCTGGTATGATGCACGATTAGCATGGGACTCGAAAATGTATCACAATATAACATCATTTTATGTTCGGCAGGAAAAAGTGTGGAGTCCTACGCTTTCAGCATTTGGAGTGTGAGTTTAGTTTTTAGTCGAAAAAGGGAGCTTGGACTAGAACACCTTATTTAATCAATTATTTTTGGGAAAAAATATTGTTTTTCAGAAATGAGATACAAGATTTTCGCGATCAGGACTTTCGGATGGTTTCTGTGGTGGATATTGGTTTCATTTTCACTTATGTTTCTGTGAAGATATCAGTAAACTGCCAACTAAATATGAAAAAATTTCCATTCGATCAACAAAAATGCCAAGTTCGTTTATGTGTTCCAATATTTTTCTATAAAGAAGTTTCGGTATTTAATGAAGTCTACAGTGGAATTCGAACTAAAGATTCATTTTCCAAAATGGTGAGTTTTTCGAAACACAAAAAAATTTCAAGAAAAACATTTCAGGGTAATTCTGAATGGCGGGTAGAAAATCTGACTGGTAGAATTGATGTTCTTCACTATAATGATACATTCAGCGATCTACAATTATCAGTTTTTGAAATAACTATCAAAAGAAATCCAATGTATTATTTTTATATGATTATCCTCCCATCTTATATAATCAATGCTGTTTCAATAATCGGAATTTTTCTGAACAGTGCGGATAAAATGTCTAGAGTAAGTTCAGTTTGAGCTATGAGCAATCAAAAACTATTTTCTTTTCAGTTGAATGTTGGTCTCACGAATATTATGACAATGACATTCATCCTTGGTGTTATGGCAAACGAAATTCCAAAAACTGGAGCTATTCCACTTCTTGGTATTTACATTATTGTTAATTTGAGTATAATGATCTTCTCAATTATGATCATAAGTTTTTTTGGACAGTTTCGGAAATGGATAGAACCTAGATTGCGGCATCCAAAATTAAGGTAGAACAATTTAGAAAAAATGTTTGATTGAAGTTAATTTATAGAAAATATGTGATGGGACGACCAATCGAAATAATAATTTCTTCACTTCTTCATCTTCTCAACACAGCCAATTTTGTTACAATGATTGTTATTTGGGAGACTAGCTAGCTTTCAAACATTTTTTCGTGCTTTCATAAATATTTTGAACACAATAAATGTCAAGGTTTCAAGTTTCAGAAACATAAAATTCAGTCTATTCAGAGTACTGATGTATTGTGTACTACTTCTATTTTTCGTTGATATTTCTTTTTCAGAGGATGAATTATATTTTGAAAATCTTGAGTTTTACAGTAAGAATAATGTGAAACTTGAAATCTTTAAAAAAAATTTTTTTTAGATAAAAGTTATTATGATTTTCTGAACAATCAACAGACGTTAATCAATGATGTTTTTAAAAATTATGATGCCACAGTCTCGCCAGTTTATATGAGAACAACTATAATTAAAGATGAATATGATATTCAACATTCACCAAATATCTGGAATTACACTGTTTTTTTGTATTATTTGAAACTTCTCGAAATCGATGAGCCGTCGCAAAAAATTGATGTTGCAATGGAACTGATTGAGGTATGAATTTATATAACTTATGATACTAAAAAAATATATATTTGTTTCCAGTATTGGCATGATGCTAGGCTCACTTGGAACTACACAAAATATAATCAAACAAGTATATATGTTAGACAAGAAAAAATTTGGAGTCCCACGTTATACGCCTTTGGAGTGTAAAAACCATAAATTAAATTTTTAAACATCAATTCCTAATAATTTTTAGAAATGAAATTGAGGATTTTCGCGATCAAGATTTTCGTCAAGCAAGTGTTCACTTCAGCGGACAAGTTTTCACATACATTCCACTCAGAATATCAGCAAATTGTGCTTTGGATATGCAACTATTTCCATTTGATAAACAAACATGTAGAATCAGCTTTTCTCAACCGATATATTATTACAAAGAAGTTCAGGTTTTCAGCCAAGTTTATGAGTTAATTCAGAAAAAAGAAGGGTTATCAACGATGGGAAATTCTGAATGGGAAATTACTTCGCTCGTTGCAAATGTCAGATCAGAAATGTTTGATGACGGGTTTGGAAATATTCAATTGGCAGCTTTTGTAATAACACTTAAGAGAAATCCAATGTATTATTTTTATATGATTATTCTACCATCTTTCATTATCAACACTATTTCAATAATTGGAGTTTTTCTAAAAGGAGCAGATCGAATGTCAAAGGCAAGGTTGTGAATGGGTGTTTTCTTAAAGGAATATAGTTTTCAGTTGAACATTGGTCTCACAAATATTATGACAATGACATTTATCCTTGGCGTGATGGCGGACAAAATTCCAAAAACTGGAACTATCCCACTTCTTGGTATTTATATTATTGTGAATTTGCTTCTCATGGTTTGTTATTGTGATTACAATTGCTCTTGATAAATTCAGAAAATGGATGCTCCCAAAACTCAAATTATCAAAACATAAATACAGGTTCAGTTCAAGTTCACTCAAATATAAAAATATAATAATTTCGTTTTTTTTTCAGTGAACGCTTTGAAAAGTTCCTGGGAAAACAAATTGAAACCGCAGCCACCTTAATCCTACAATTTCTGAACTTGACAAATTTTTCAATTATCATTGCATATTGGATAAAACATAATTCGAAATAATTTATCATAGAAATATACAGAAAATTAATTATTAAATAAATATTTAAATATGACAAAATAACTTAATAGAACTTTGCGCCCGTTTCGTTGAAAAATCGTACATAACATAGAAATAATTAAGCAAATACAGGGATCATTTCGTCAGATTGGAACAAGTATTTGTTCAAATCTTCACTCTCTACTCCGGTATCGTTCATTGCATTGTCGGTCGCCATTGAGCCTATAAAAGTGTTGTTGTTGGAAATTTATATGGATTCAGAATAACTTAAAAAAAAGAAAAAACACTTACTAATATCAATGAAATATAATTCATCATCAAATGGTGAAGCGGTTGTTGTCTTCAAATCGTGATATTTCGAGTCGCTATTCTTCTTACATTTTCCATTATCATCCTTATTCGAGAAGTCCATATCTAATTCATATCCAAGTTGACATGTGCAAGTAATTGTTTTCTCCGAACAATAACTGTTCTCAACCAAACAACGTTTCTCTTCAACAAGTGTTTCTAAACAATATCCACCAATTGTTCCATTTTTACGCTCATCTACAGAATCCATGAAAATAACAGTTGTTGGATCATAACATCTTCCAGCAATGTTCGAGAATCCTTCAGGGCAATTTGAAATACATTTTCCACCGTGAACAAGAGGTTTTGAAGTTGGGCAGATACAGTAACCATTATCGCAAGTTGCATTAGCTTCACGATTGCTGCATTGATCATCGGAAATGCAACCTTTCTGTCCAGCAAAGAGAACTGAAAAAAATTGTATAAAAGAAAAGTATAAATTCTAAAAACTCACTCTTCAAACATTTTCCATCCATCATAAAGAATCCAGGTGGGCAATCTAATTGTCCTCCTTCTGGAACTGGTGTAGTTTGTTTGTTAACAGGTTTATTGACAGCAAGCATAATTGAGACTGATGAGCAGCATTGGAAGCGATTGTCTTTTTCAGCAAAAACACACGAGAATCCATCTGGACATGGTTGTTGAGAGCATTCAGTAATTTGTTGATTGAATCCAATCAATGGCCGAGATCCCAATGGGCAGCCACTTTTTGAATCCGAATTTCCGTTTTGCATTCCCATTCCGAAACCAGCTCCATTTCCAATATTGAAATTATTGTTGTTGTTGTTGTTGTTGTTATTTACATTAGCAAATTGTTCCCTGATTTTCTTTTCCATTTCCGCTTGCGCTAAAGATGGCGGCAAAATTCTTGTGTTATCCACACCTGGAATCGGATCTGGCACAGCAATTTGTCCAGCATTTACCATTGGTTGTCCTCCAGGGAATGTTTGTGTCATTCCAAACATAGGTGATTGTTTATCTTCAACTGGTTCGTTATCAATTTTTCTTGCTGGTGAAGCATATCCGCTTGGAGAAACCACGTGAACTGCAGTGTCAATTGGGGCGCAACAATAGGAATCTTGTTTTTCTGGTGAATAAATACAGACGTATGGTGCAGTTGTTGGACACGGTGACAATTGCATATGACAAGTTGGTGGGAAGCCATCTCTTGAAATGTATGGAATTTGTCTTGGTGGGCAGTATCCTTGGAATCGATCGCTGAGATCACCATGTGTGCAACAGATGAATTTTGATGGAACATCGGATTCGAAGCAAGTGTAGCCGGCTGGACAATCGCCACGCATTGGTGAACAGACTTGGCGTTGGTTGGAGACTAAAAAAATAATGTATTGTTATAAAAAATTTTTTATTCGGAGGGACATACCTGGATCAACGTATGCAACTCCACGAAGACATTGTGGTTGCGAGAAGGCCATACTTCCAGATGACGAGCAGCAGAGATGATGTTGTGGATTCGTTGATGGCATACATAAATATCCTTGTGGACATTTGTTACTTCCAGCGGGACACGCGAGAGGTCTTCCACCATATTCAAAAACGGAGGAACCAGCTGGACAACGAATCAAATTTGAGTTGGTACAACAAACCGCTTGACCTGTCGATGAGAATTCACATTGATAACCAGTTGGACAAGTGTTGTGAACAAAGTTGCATTCTTGGAATTTGCTATCTAATCCGCGGAATGGGGTTTCTCCATTTGCACAGACTGCGTTGTTGATGTTGGTATTCTTTCCTGATGATCCTTGATTGATCTTGTTATTATTCACTGGACGGTTTGCTGGTGAAGGTGGTTGATATTTTTGACAACAAATGGCTAGTTTCGCAACGCTTGAAGTCATACATTTTGAGTCATCTGGACATCCATCAGTTTCTCCAGAACAAATTTGAACTTGAGTCTTCTCCAAAAACACTGGAACATATCCTTTTTGGCTGCATTTTGGTGGGGTTGTTCTACAACACGTTCCTTGTTTGAATCCGGTATCTTTGAAACATAAATGATTTTTCGGACAATCTCCAACTGAATTCACAGTGCATGTTTGACCATTTCCCAAAAGTGTTGGTGGACACGGTGAGATATTAGAGAGAAGTTCAGCGAATGAATCTGGTTCGTATGGTTTTCTAGTTCTTGGAGCTGGTTGTGGTGGAGATGGAGCAATCGGACGAATTGGTCTTTGAGAAGATGGCTGTGGTTCAGAGCAACACATGTGGAATCCAGGAACTGTTGCTGATTCGAGACATTGGAAATCTTCTGGACAATCATCTCGTTCAATACTGCAAGCAACAACAGAATTTGAGCCAGGAATGTTATATGGAATACGATTTCCTGGGCAAGAAGTGACAGCTTTACAACAAATTGGTTGATTGGTTGATGATTTAACACACGAAGATCCACTCGGACAAGTTGCTCGAACATTCAATGTGCAAGTTTTTGGAGTAATCTCTCCTTCTTCAGTAAATGGTGACATTCCTCTTGGGCACAATCCATAGGTACTCGATTGAACACACGATTCAATGCAAGCATTTTTGGTTGTGAAACGATTTGCAGTTCCCCCACATCCATTGAAAACAAATTGTGAGCATTTTTTCTTGGATTTATCAAAGAACCACATGCTTCTCTGGGTTGATCCCTTACATCCATTTCCTCTTGACATTTTTGCATTACAGGAATTTTCAGAAGTTGGGCAACAGAATGACGCTTCGTTACATTCGTAGCCAGCTGGGCAGGGATCGTCTTCACTACATCTTTGAATTTCCTGATTTGGATTTTTCAAAGGAGCCAAGCCATCGCAAACTGAAAAAAAATGTTTTTTTCGATGAAAAATTACAAAATATTACCATTATCTGCAGAATGCAAGCAGAAGTTTTGACATTGATCAAAGGTTTCAAAATTGTTACCATTACCATTACAACCATAATAATGGAAATGTTGACATTTTCTGAAAAGATTTTAACTCGAATTCAAAAAATCCAACAAAAAAAATAACTCACTGTGTTGAAGGATTGAAATAGTATCGTTGAATTGTAAGACTTCTTCCAAAACATGGTGTTCCTGCAGAAACCATCTCATTACAGGTTAATTCTGGAGTTGGGCAACAAATTGGATTTGGTCCAAAAAGTGGAAGTTGACAGAAATGTTGGCTTGGGCAAGTGTCAGCTGAGGCGAGAGCACAGTTTGCATTTACAGCTCCAACACGATGAGCTTGACCGTTTGGACATTGAGTATCAACACAGAATCCTTCACATTCTTCAAGTGATCCGAAATTATTCGCATTTCCACCACATTGACTAAATTTTTGTTTTTGAATATGAATTAAGAAATTTTTTTTGTTTGAAATTTCAAACTTACGTGAACTTGAAAGACCGACAAGTTGCTGTATTCACATCAAAATAATATCGATTGGTAGATTTCATTGTTGATGCACATTGAACTCCAGTATTTCTACCAAGTGAGCAAACTTTTTCTTTGGTTGGACAACAGTATTGAATTCCAGCGTTGCTTGCGCACGAATAACCTTCTGGACACGGCACATTCTCACTACATTTCATTGGGCCATTATTAAGAGGGCTACCAGCTGGGCAAACACCTGAAAATTACAGAATTTTTCAAGAACTGAGAATAAAATCTGTTTTTTGAAACTTACTTGCAAAGGGACAACATTTCTTATCATTACAAGTAAATCCATTTGGACACGGTTTCGTCGCACTGCACTGAATATTTTCAAGAGGAGTCTCTCCACCTGGACAATTTCCCATGTTTCCACCATCAGGATTTGAGCAACAAATGAATTTGTTCAAATATTGCGATTTACTACAAACATATCCATCATGACAAACACTTCCATCAGTTGGTGAACATTCCACAGCATTTGATCCTCGAAGTTGTGGCGCTGAATTGATTTGACATCCCATATCTTTGGCGCAACATCTTGTTGTTGTTCCAGAGACTAAAGTACAACCAAATCCAGTTGGGCAAGAATTATCGTTGGAAAGTACACATGAGCGAGGTTTACCGGTGGTCATCTAGAGAAAATAAATAAATAAATAAACATGATCTTCCGGAATCAAATGAGCAAACAAACATACCTCAACATATGTGACACGTCCTTCGCCACAAGTAATTTTATCAGTCGATGATTTTGTGGTTGGTGTTGGATTTTGACAACAATAACTTGATCCAGTTCTCTCATAGAATTGACAAGTATAACCATCTGGGCAACTGCTGATTGATGGATTACACGTTACTGGAGCAGATAAAATTGTTAATGGAATTCCAGCACCGCATAAATCGTCTGGAGCTTGATAGAAAGGTTGCGAGAAAATATCATCGATTGGACTATCGGATTGCATTAATGAATCGCATTCATTGGTTTCAGCATTGAAAATTTTGCCACTCGCACATTTTCGCTTGGAAAATGAACCCTCTAGATTACAATATAGATATGATTCAGGATTGTTTGGATCAGGCTTTTTTAGATTTGATGTTGGATCACACTCTAATGTGGCATGTGTTACAAGAATAACTGAACTTATACACGATATCAGGTGTTGCCACCTCATTTTCTGAAAAAATATAGATTTAGTTTTTTTTTTGGATTTGGAGAATGAATAAAGAATGCAAATTATGCAATTATGAAATTAGAAAAAAAACAGGAAATTTAAAAAGTTAAAGAATCTTTGGAATAGTCTTGTAGATTTGTAGAAAAAATATCGGGGATTTAACGTGCCTTTTACCAAAGCTAAAAAAATAGGAGAAGACCTAGACCAAGTACAAAAAACTTTAAATGATAGAATATAGTTATCACAAAAAATGAATTACACGCTCTTCATAAAGAATGAATAAATATATATAAATATGAACAGTGTTGTGGGCCGATTCAAGTATAGGGAGGAGGAAGGCACATGCCCTTCGGCACATACATATCGAACACGAAACCGGCTCTAACTCCGCCCTCTAACGCGCGCCACCAAAACGGAGTTGGCTTGCTGGCTGGTGCCACAGAAAACGACAACAACAAACATAACAGCCTCCGTTGCTCGCATGATCTATGCGGCGCTCCCGCAGCAGCCGCCGAGCATTGTCTTCGAGACGCTCGTTTGTTTTTCGATGATTGGTTGGTTGACCGGAGACATTTTTCTTCTTCTTCTATGTTTGTGTATTTTTGTGTTTGTGTGTCGTACCGAAATAAGGAAGAAGGCAAAATGAGAGAGAGAGAGGAAAAAACAAGGAAGAGGGATAAAAAAGGGCATATTGGACTAAATATAAGATGACAACAAACAGGAACAGGAAACAATTCAAGAGATCTAGATCGAATAGATCATCCACATTCAGTGGCGCTATGTTGATTTTTGTTATTTAGTTGATAGTGGTGGTCTGAGAATGATGATGATGAGGTGCAAATAAATGTATGACTCATTTTATAACTTGGACTAGTTTAGTTCACAAGATTGGAAGATCATTCCTGACAAGAGATAGTGATGAAAAATTTATGGGATTGAGAAGAAAATGGGGTTGAGGACAATAACATTTTTATTTCATCTGGAGTTGAGGAGTTCTCATGTCAGAATGTTATTTCAGTTTCAAAATTTAAAAATTATCTCAAGGGAGTTGAAAATCAAAATTAAAATTTGGTTTATCCAATCATCAGTTCGGAAATTTGAAAATTTCAAAAAATCGTGGTGTAAAATAATGTCCAATTTTTTTTCATATTTAGAATTTCCTTGAAGCACTTTGGAATTTGGATTTCACAGTAGTTACCAATTGTTTAGCTTTTACGAATATATCACTCCTTTTAAGGTTCTGCCTTGGTTACACACAGTATCTATAACTTTACAATGCGAAAAAATAAATTATGTGAGGTAAAGGATAAAAAATGTTTTTAAAGCTGTGGTCAATTTTGAAAAAACACCTAAACAAAATGCTTTCAACGAGAATCTAGGGTAGTTCAAAAAAAGTACATTTTTCGAAATGTCTTTGATCTTTAGTAGTTTATCACATTGTTCAAACTTGATAATAAATGTCAACAAAATAAAAACAACAACAAGCATCAGCTAAACTCTTTTTTCTTCACACAAAATCCAATTGGTCAACAACATTTCTCATTGTTCTTCCTCTCATATACTCGTTGTTTTCATTTTCTCATCCCAAAAATAGATACCATGTACATATTTCAAAATCTTTCCCAATTGTTTGTCACCTTGACCAAAAGAACAAAAGCTTCATCTAAATTTGGAGTAATTCTCTTTTGAATTAAATAAAATGCTTTGTTTTTTCTTGTTTTCTTTTGAAATCATCAATTTTATGTGAGAAAAGTTTTGGTGGACAACAACATACATCGGCATAACAAAAAACAAACAAATCTCTCAAGATTCCTCCAAAAACATGAGAAATGTAAATGAAAAGGGATGAATCCTTGTGAAACATATCTCTTTTTTGTTGACACTCACGAAATATTGAAATTTGATTTCATTTATATTTTTGTTGTCATGTATTTTTAATTGGAAAATCTGACATCTAAAGTTTTCATTTCCCAAAGGGAATGAAAACACATTTACGACAACGTCAAACTAAACACTTCAAATTATAACAATTGTATGACTCATATTCTAGTCCATAATTAAAACACGTCATTTTACCACGTTTTTTCCTCGTATTTTCATGAATGGGCAAAACTTGGAGAGCAAACAAATGAATTAATCATTCATTGTTAAAAAGCATCATTGTAGCGGAATCTGGTTTAGGTCGAGTGGCTACGGTTTGAAACTGACTGAACGATTGGAAAACAAAGTTGATCAGGTGGAAAAGAAAACAAATGGAATGGAATTTGGAAAAGGAATGCACTTTTGAAGAAATTATTGGCGGAAGAAATTGAAAATCATTTATTGCGACTTTTGAAAATTTTGAGTAGAGAAACAAAGTTAGAGATCAAAATAAATAGGGAGTTAGTGAGATCAATATTAAGATTAATTAAAGTTTTTTTTAGATGGACAAAATTTAAAAAATAAATAAGAGATAAATGTAGTGTTTAATGAGAAAACACACAGCAGAATAATCATACCACGCCCAGGGCACGGCGCCAAAAAATTTGCACGGCGCCAATAAAAATTCACCATTTTTTGAGCACATGTCTTTCGAAAAAGAAGTACTCTTTCTGCATGACCTCCAATTCGTATTCATATGGAGGGAACCAAACCTGAAAATAAGATTTATGTTAGAAAAATATAAACTCTGTTCTGACGGCTCTATAAAACTTGTATTAAAAATGTTTTATGATATTACAAAAATATCTTACCCAGAAAAGTCCATATGGAATGTATGTATCATTTTCGTATGCGTCAAGTTCAAGATAGCTAGAAATGTCAACAATATCCATCAGAAGTTCTTGAATATTTTCGCGCATTCTGTTTTGACACACTTTGAACAGCTTGGTCTATAAAACTCTTTTATTAATATTCATTCACAGTAATTAATTTTGAAATTTACCGTGCGACCGTGCAAACCTTTGAGACGAAGTTTCAGAATTCGAATTTGACGCTGAAAACAAAAAATTTAAATTTAAAAGAAACAGAAAAAAAGCAAACCTTATCTTCAGCTAATAAGTTTCCCATTTCACCTTCGACTAAAACAAAGTAGTTAGTATGAAGAAGAGTTGGATAACAAACCTTTATCATCAAAAAATTATTTTTCTCTTTTTCCTCAATTAGCTGACAAAACCTCACATGATTCGATTCTAAAAACTTTTATTAATATTCACGTTTTTTCTTTGATATTAATAGAAAAAGAAAAAAATATTCGAAAATTGGACCAGTATATATATAGGTTCTACAACACAAAAAGTACAGTAGTGTTTTGTTATGGAATAATGACAGGGGGAAAAGTTGGATATATACAGGTGAGAGAGAAATCAAAATGCATTTTTGGTTTTGGTAGGAAAACAATAGATTTGGAAGCGTAAAAAGCAATGAAACCCGAAAATAATGTGTTGGTGTTGTTTTTTTTTTTCAAATAAAAAATTATGGTTACATATGTGTTTCTTTCTGAATTCGTCGAACTGATGGACTTGCGGTTGATGACATTGTGGAGGAGGGTGATGACGCACCACGACCTGAGTCTCGACCATCCTAGAAAGAATATTTATGATGGATGGATAGGAAAGAGAAAAAAGTTGAGTTACCAATGAGTATGATGAAGTTGGTTCTGGACTTTTTGCGCGGACTGAGACGATACAATCATCAAGATGTGATTGAAGCATTTCGCAAACTCTCAATGAATCTGACAACATTGTGTCGTAAACCTGGAAAATATTGAAATTTATATGTTGGAGACTTGTGTAGGAAACCTAGAAAAAAATGTTCCAAATATTTCAGTAAACCCAAAGATTTTGAGATATCAAAAGCTCAAGGTAGAGTTTTTTATCAATTAACATACAGTGGCGTGCATTAGTGATGCATATTTGTGTTTTTTGGGTGTAGGAAGGGTGAAAATAGTCAGAATGGGGTGAGATTTGGCAAGAACACGTAAATCAGTCCTAAAAATGATCTATAATCAAAATATAACCGATTTTGATATTTTTCCACGTGGCAGTTATATGACGTGCAAAATGATGAAAATCGCATTTTTCTCAATTTTTGCAAAACCAACTCCAATTTCTTTTTTTGTTCAATTTTTGTTAGTTTTTGAGTTAGACACTATATTTTAGCTCAGTTCAGTTATTTTGGTCCAACAAACCAAGTGTTTTGATAGAAATTGAGAACTATAGTAACCTCCTGAACTGTACACCTTTACTGAAGCATGCCATCGTTTTTGACCATGGCTGAAGGGGTGAAAACTATTTGGTTAGATTGATATTATGGACTCAAATGTTGTCAAACATCATCAAAAACATGTTTTGAAAGTTTGTCCTGACATGGAACTACCAATTCAGAATTATGCTGGGACAAATGAAAAATCTTGATTTTCTACTTTCGGAATAAATCGAAGTTCATGATTGATTTTTCTTATTAAGAGGTTTTTCATCGGAATTTTTTTGCGAATTCTACTCGATGGACCACTGTGCATCAAAATTAATCCTAATCAGCCCATCTATCCGTGAAAAACATCATTTTATTGAATGGTTTTCAACGGTTTTTTGGAAATATCAATATGAACATTTTGTCTGATTATTAGTTCGGGCATAATTTTTTTGTTATCAACCCAAATCGGCTAGAATATGTTCAAAAATCGTTTTGAAAGCTTTTTCCATGATTTCTTTGGGTTTTCTATTTAAATTTTTCGAAAATCATTGTTTTAGTATCGTCTGGTTTTCATTCGACCGAGTTGATTGAGCGTTATCGATTGATAACATCACCAAATTATGAGATAAGCTAGAAATTGATAAGAATCCATGACAACTTCAATTCAGATACAAGAAAGGAACATATTCAGCTCATTAAAACCCACTTTCGAACTTCTTTCAATAATATATGCATAAAAATTGAGAAATTTGTTGGACAGAAATTTTAACATTTTTTACATAATCTCTAATAAATTGGAACAAGTTAATCAATTTTCATATGAAACTTTCCAAATAAGTTTTTGATGATGTTTGACAACATTTGAGTCCATAATATCAATCTAACCAAATATTTTTCACCCCTTCAGCCATGGTCAAAAACGATGGCATGCTTCAGTAAAGGTGTACAGTTCAGGAGGTTACTATAGTTCTCAATTTCTATCAAAACACTTGGTTTGTTGGACCAAAATAACTGAACTGAGCTAAAATATAGTATCTAACTCAAAAACTAACAAAAATTGAACAAAAAAAGAAATTGGAGTTGGTTTTGCAAAAATTGAGAAAAATGCGATTTCCATCATTTTGCACGTCATATAACTGCCACGTGGAAAAATATCAAAATCGGTTATATTTTGATTAGAGATCATTTTTAGGACTGATTTACGTATTCTTGCCAAATCTCACCCTATTCTGACTATTTTCACCCTTCCTACACCCAAAAAACACAAATATGCATCACTAATGCACGCCACTGTAGGATGTTCACCCGGTGAGAGGCCGAGAAATATTACAGGAACAATTTTTAATTGCACAATTCTCATTTTGAAATCTTGAAGAAAAGTAGTAAACAGAAAAATTCATTTGAAATTTTGTAATTATGTAGTTTCCTGTTTCAGCTCGAAAATCACATTTATATAGAATTTCAGAGTGAGTTTGTATAGTTTGAAGTTCAAAAATCTTCAGGAGAACATTTTTTCTTTACGTAATTTCTAACACGCTTTTTTTCAAAATCTCAAACATTTTCAAATTTCCCATATTCTCTCATAACCCCAGTTAAAACTCCACCTCTTTCTCAAAAAGACAATTCTTCATCGAATTATCCTCCTTCTTTGTAACTCTTGCATGTTTTGGAATACTTCTTGCAACAATTGGTTTCTCATCTCCAATCGCTTCCAAAGCTTCAACCAAAGCCTCATCCTCGAGTAAAACATCCATTGACATTGACTGAAAAATGTGTGTCAAAGTCTTTAGGGATATGTGACTGATGCACTTTTTTTAGAAACGTCATGTGATTTTTTGGGAAGAAATGGATTTATGATTTACTTTTTTTGTGAGAATTTGATAAAAGGTTTTTTAAGTGAGAAAAAACCAACCTTTCCAAAATCTTTCTGTCCTTTCGTTCCTTTTTTCTTCTTTTTTCCACCATCCATATCAGCTGGCATTGTGTTACTTGTCACAATTCCTTTGTTTTCTTTGCCAACGACAAAATTCTTATCCTGAAAAAAATAAATTGAAGTATATTAAAGTGCACACAAAGACGCGAAACAACAAAAAAACATTCTGGGAGAAGGAGAAATCGCAACAGCGGCGTGAGAAAAAAGAAGAAGCACTTGTTAAAAACCTCTTGCTTTTTTTGTTTGGTTGGCTTTCTCTTGGGAGTTTTCAGAGATTTTCTTGCCAAAAAAAAACGAAAAATATACAAAATGTTGTTTTTTGCTTTCTCAAATTCAATTTTTCTTGTTTTTACAAGGCAATTTTTTTTCTGGAATTGGCTGAAAGTGGATGAAAAAATCAGATTTATTAAAAACCAGAGATTTTTTCAGGTCAAGAATTAGATTTTTTGAAAACTGAAAAAAATTTATTTGAAGAGAATATTTGTTTCTGCTTGGTGAGATTTCTCTATGGTAACTTCTTCCTTCACAAAAACTGTGACATTTTTCAGAAAATGTTCAGAATTTTTGAACTTCACTTTTTTCAGAATTTTACTTCACAATTGAAGTATCCAACTGCCTTTTCAAAAATTCGAAAACTCATTTTTCACAAATTCAAAATTTCCTTGATTAACCCCCTGTCAACAATATTAACTCACATTCTTTCTGGTTGGTGACAAAGTGTTAGCTTTGATATCATCTGCAGCTCCATTGACTCGCTTCTTTCTTCGAAACAACGAAAGAAATGGGGAAGATGTCTTAACTTCGCTCATTTTTCAAGACCCTGAAAAATTAATTTTTTATTTTTGTACAAAAAAAGTTTTGAAACAAACAAGAGATGTTTTGATTGATAAGGTTAATCAATTAGTAAGTCATCAGATATCATAGAAAATTAAGAAATCAGATTCAAAAAAAGAAATGAAAAATTGTGGTATTCATTTTTTTTGTTTATGGAAACGAAAAAGACACGAAAAAAATGAAGAAACAACAAAAAAAGATGAAATTGCTCTGCTAAACAAATAAAGAAACAATGAAAAAAGTTGGTTGACCTCACCTCAAGCTCTAAAATGTCTCAATTTCACTATTTCAAATTTAAGGAATTTTCCGGTTTCCGTACGGCGTACAAAAGGGAAAAATAACAATATAGAAATTATTGATAAAACAAAACGTTACGATTTTAAAAACATACAATGTTTCAATAAAAAATTCTCTCGGAAACGTCAAAAACTTTAAAATTTTTCTTTTTTTTTCATCAAAATTAGAGGAATATTTATTTTTCTAAAAGACTTGGTGTGTGTTTGTCCACAATCAAGTTAATCACCAGATAATACTGTATTAATCAATGAATTATTTGTATTTGCTCTCACTCACAGTGTACTTTACCCCAGTCATGAAAAGCATTTCGTTTTCAACAATAAAAAAATTGAAGAACTCTTTTTTTTCTCTCCGCTGGAAAAATGCCAGAGGAAAAATAAATATTGACTATCACAGATTTTTTTCTTCTTACAGAATTGAAGAAAAAAAATGAAATTCTCAAATCTTCGACGCGTGTATAATATGAAAATTGCCTAATGGATAGTAGAGAACAGAAAAAAAATTCGAGGATGAGAAAATTATACGATTTCAATCGGTCGCCAACCAACCAACAGACAATTCGACGGCGGTGACGATGCCAATGTTAGAAGAGAGGGGGGAACCAATAAATGGCGATTCGATTTAATGAGCCGTGTTGTCACAAAAATTTTCGATGTTAGGCTGATTTTTTTTTTGAAATTCAATTGAAATGGTGTGTGAAGTTTTGTTGAAACTCGAAATTATGATACTTGAGAGTGAGCTCAAAAATAAGCATAATTTCATGTTTTACTCAAAAAAAGTTTTGAAAAATAGAAAAAACTGGTCATTGCAGAAGTTAGGGCCACCCATAGAGAATCAATGTCAAAATTAATCGAAATTGACAGGTTGGATAAATTTGAAATAAACTTCCTATATTTTATTTGTGAAATTTTGGAGAATATTGAAATTCTAGTTGTTAATATTTGAAAAAATTTCAAAATTAGTCAAACTACAAAGTTTTAGGCTTCGAATTTCCAATTGCTAATTTAATTATTAGAAGTCGCTAATTATTTCCTAATCAGTTTATAAAAATCAGATTTACGATGAAGAATACTATGCTAGTAAAGCGGGATATCAAGAAAGCAGATTGGCTAAATTTCTAACATGAGTAATGATGGAGCAATTTTTTTCGAAATTGTAAACATTCTCAAAGTTTTCTAACTACAGAAACGTGATAATCAGGTGAAAAAACTAGAAACGGTTCAGTGAAGGATGATTTTCCAAGAAGATCAGAATAGAAACAAAAAAACAAGTTTACCAAAAAACAAACAAATGACTCAGATCTTCTAGATTCTGGCAGCAAATAGCCATTCATCTATCCAAAAACGCAACATTTTGCCGCCCAAAACAAGATAAAAAAGAAGAGGGTCGTTACAAAATGCTCTGTTGCTTTTGGCTCGTAAAAAAATCTAATAGTCTGACTGAATTTTCGAAACAAAACAGATTGAAGCAAAAAAAAAAGAAGAGAAAATAAAATAAAATGTATACGTCGTTGTGAGTAAAAGAGCATAAAAAACGCGTAAAAAAGTTGGCTAGGCCTATTTTGTTTCAAAGACCCCAAAAAAGCAACAACAAATGAGACTATGCCCCAAAAAAATGTGATGTTATGTGAAAAAATTCGATACATTTTATATGAGACTGACTCTATGTTTTGATGTTGGTTGGTGGTTTTACAGGGTGTTAGATATGTATAGCATTTGATGTGGTGTGAAGAAAAGGAGAGTGGAGTTACCCACCAAACAGCTGGACCACCCGGTGAGAGGCCGAGAAATATTACATAAAGAAATTAAAATAATATTGTAGTGGACATTCGAATTATGCTAATTTGAAATGACATATAACCTCAATTCAAAAAATGTTCAAATACTCCTCGAATTTTTTTTACTACTATCAGCCGAAAAATATGGAAATGTACAAGAAAACATACATAACAGCAAACAAACACAAAATTCTCACCAACTTTCAATTCATGTTCAAAACCAAAACCATAAAACAAATATGAAATTTCTATCTAGCTCGAAAGATTGAAAAATAAGATAAATTCTATGTGTTTTTTTCGGCCAAGTTTTTCTTGATGTGAATGAGATTTGAGTTGAGTTGAGTTGACTCGCAAAAAAGGAAGAGATAGATCAAAAAAGACGACGGGGAAAAAAGAATGAAGAAAAAGCACATAAATTGTGCCTCACAATCATGACAATTCAATCCGAATTCAATTGGTGTTGCGTGCTAGGCGGATTTCTGAAATTGAGTGGCCTTTTTTGGAAAGAGAAGAGGAAGAAAATGAAAAAAATAACAATTGGAAATGAGGAAAATGTTGTTCTTGTTGAAAGGAACGGAGAAAGAAACGTGTCAAAAAATAACAAAATTATACAGAATTTTTTGGAATTTTGATATTTTTGTGTCATCGTTGTGGCCATTTTAACATTTAAAAATATAGAAGAGTACGTAATTAGGCAAACTTTGAATAACTCATCTTGTAAAGGTTATAAGACGAGTCAGAATCATGTGTTGAATTGATTTGATATAAAAGAATTTGTTGAGTTATAAGCTTAAATTATAAACATGATGTGGGATTATCAGATGTCCCTTTTTTTCTACTAAAGTTTCTTAATTCAAAAAAAATTTAAAATTCCAGATTTATTTTGAAAATGAGTTGTGAGATCAAGTTACCTATGATCTTTCTTGACCTAGTTTTTTTCACAAAAAAAAACTACATTAAAATTTAAGAAAAATCCTCTCTTGCACAATGACTCATACTTATATTAAATCCCCCTCAAAAAAAAAACTATACGAATCAGAAAACCCGAACCCGAAGAAATCCACAATTTCTCATTCATCTGGTCAAAATTTTACAACAATATGTAAAAAAAAACAAGATGTAATAATGAACAACTAATTAAAATTTGACTTGACTATCGGAATGAGATGACACATTTTCATCTCATCTCTCTACAGACGAAATAAAAGTCAGAAAAAAACAACGTCGAAACCAATGCAATTTGTCAAAAAAAACCTCGCATCGGTGGCAACATTTGCCAGCCAGGGAGGTCATAAAGGGTTTATCCAAAAAGAAACAAAAAGGAAAATGAGAATGAAAAATGGCATTTTGAACATCGAATCGAATTTGGATCTTTGTGTAAAAAATCACACATGTTCGAGTTGTGGTAAGAAAAAAAACGTTCTCTTTTTCGCTTTCTCTCGAAAAAAAGGTTGCAAATATTATCAAGAAAAAGTAAGTGTCTGTTCATACTACTTCAACTCTTTTTTTCTATTTACCAAAACTTTTTTATGTCTATTTTCAAATAAAAGTTGAAGATTTTGAAAAATTGTCAAAAAAAGATGAGTCAGATAACTAGCCCTAGCACATATGTTATTTCTCATGGGAGGTTTTTTGGGTGGAAGGGTCATACCAGATTTTTGTTTGTTTTCAATGATTTATGACAGTGTTGATAAAAAAATGAACTGAACTGATTTTTATGAGCATCATGGGAATTTCCATATTTATTGCTTTTATTCACATTCAGATTCAGAAAACATATGAGCGAAAAATTAGAATAAAAAACCATGTAGTCAAATGCGTTTAGGAACATATGTACATAGTAATTGTGAAAACAGAAAGACACCTGTGGTTCTGGGCAAAAAAAATTGAGTGGAATTTTATCGGCTTGTTTTTGGTTCATTAAATTTGCGTTTTTCTTGTCAGATGGGGGAATTTGGGTTTTTATGGGTATGCGTTTTTATAAGGGTTGTAATTTCTAGAAAGTAAAAAACAAGTGAGGACTTGGAGAATTCGTGAAAAATTTTAAATCAAACAAATTTCGGAATTTTCAGAGAATACTGATAATCTGAAAATCAAACAACAACAACTTATGTTTTCCAAAAAGCTTGATCTAAAGAAAACAAATCAGAAAAATTGGGTGATAAATTTTGACTAGCTAAAAATTGGACTCTCAAAATGCTTCAACAACCTTTCAATTAAAGCTGAAAGCTATAATGCAAAATTCAATACCAAGAATTTTCCCATTTTTCATTACTCGGCTAGACTCCTATTACTCATATGAAAATGAACATTTCTCATAAATGAACACACAGCACAATCTAACGTAAGTCAAGCATGAAAAAAAAACAATGAAATAACTTTCCTCCAAAAAAAAGAAAAAACAACAATATCTTGAAGATATATGAGAAAGGAAAAAAAAGAAAGAATAATCATCAAGATAATATCAAATGGTTAATAAATTCAAAATGTCGTATGTATGTATTTTTGAAAACGAAGCAAGAAGAAGAGGACATGAAAAACGCATAATAATTCTTTGGGTAAATATCGAAAAAGCTAACATGAAGGTTTCACCCTAAAAATGTTCAAACTTTTTTTATGAAACGTAACGTACTCCTATTGAAGAACAATAAAAATCCTCTCATCTAACAACAGCTGATTGTGGAGGTCGGAATGGACACAAAACAATAATAAAAAATTGGATGGAGAAGGGGCGGTGTCTTTTAAACCAAAAGGATAATAAATTGACAATGAGGTGTGATAGTTGTGGTTTGTGTATTATTTTTTGATTCTGAGTCAGTCGACAACAGTTGAGTGTTCATGGAAAAAATGAACATCTATCTTCAGGGTGGTTAATGTGAAGATGGATAAGATACTAGACGCTTCGAGAATTAAAAAAATTCTAGAGAATAGAGGATTATTTTTGAAACAAAACATTTTTATGGCGGTCTGACTTTGCAGCAAAATTGAAGATTTATAAGTTTTGTCCTGCTTAAGTGGATCTCAAACGTGGCTAAAAATCGAAGTGAAGAAGCACAGAGTCAAATAAGTTTAGAAAGAAATTCAAAATACAGAACATGTGTTGTCTACAGCAAAAAAAAATAAGAATAGCGAAAACGTGCATGTTCGCCCTATTGACAAATGTTTTTTCTCAACCGTCTCTCGAATATTTCGTCGTTGTCGTTGGGTGTGTTTAAATTTTTGAAAAAAGCGGTTTCAGATTTTTTTAATTTTGATCAGTGCCTAAACTTCAGAAGATTCTCATGCTATGAAAAAAATTAAATTAATAATACATTTTCAGGAAAAAAAACATATGGAGCTTTGTGATTTTTTTCTATTAAAAATCATCTTTCGGATAAACTGAAACTCGGTCAGTTAAAGTTTATAGTTGAAAACATATCTCAGAATTTCTATTCAAAAGTGAAAGAAACCTTACAAACCCCGTTTCTTTGAAGAAAAACTCCCACCAAATCCACACATAAAAGAACCCAAAATGTTTTTTTTTTCTCCGTATATAATGAGAAACCCAAAATAAGAAGAAGAAGTATTGTGAGAAATTCTCTCTTTGTTTTTTGTTTTGTTCTTTTTGTGTTTTTTCTGCTGCCCCAAGTTGTACCTAACGCTAAAATAGTACAAAAAATAGAGAAATTTAAAAAAATATGACTAAAAAATGAAAAATGATGGAAAATGCTTGACGGATTTTCAGAATGATTGATCTTGATAACACCTTTCTTCTTCCGTTTGGAACAAAAAACAATAATCATGAGATTTGGCAGAAAAAAAACAATAACATAAAAAAGGCAGAGAAAAAAAATGATATATCCTATAAAACAACAAACACTTATTCATAACAAATAAGAGTGAATGTACTTGAAAAAAAGGTGTGGAACATAAACACTGACAAAATATGGGATATGTATTTAGATAAATTTAGTGAGGCCGGAACGAAAGAAAGTGATAATTGATAAGAGAAGCATATAGATATTCATACTACGTAATGAATAATTGAAATATTAAAATGACACCTGCTGAGGCAGAAGGAGGAGACCCAGCTAATCAAATAAGATATTTCTGGCAAGGTGTTGAATAGATTAAAAGGGGAACCTCATCCATAAAATGTGTCAAATTTTGACCACTTGCTGCTAATTGATACCAAGTGCCTTTTATATGTATTAGCCAAAAGTTTTCTTTCAAGTCATTCATCACTAATTAGCGTTGAAATGATACTAATTAGATTTGAATAGAGAAAGAGCACAAAAAGATTTTATTTATGTGTTTTTTTTTTGAAATTGAAGATGGAAATGAAAACGAGGAAAAAACATTACGATTAATGCAAGTTTTGCATCTTTTTAATGTGCCGGCTACTTGGAACGGCAAAAAAACGATTAAATTTTTTGAAGAACATCTGTTTATGATGATTTACCTGATGGAAAAAATTGAGAGAAAAAGTTTTTCTTGGTTTTTGAGCGAAGAATAGAAGTAATGTGATACTAGAAAAAATTGTTTCTTTGTTTGTTGGTAAACACCAAACTAATTTGTAAGGAATATTGTTTAGCAAATTGGAGTTGCATGTATTTTCAGTTTAAAGGGAGGTGCCCAAGTAATTTCAAAGACAAAATTTCAAAAAAGATTCAATTTTCAGTTCACCAATTATCCATATTTTTAAAAAAATTCAAAAACTAATACTCAAAAAAATATCCACTATATTTTACGTTCAAAAAATATGAACCAGAAAAAAGCGGAGAGAAAACATGTGTAAATGGCACAAGTGTATGTTTTATCAACAAACGAATTTATCTTCTTTCAACATTATATTTCAAATCTGATCTCGAAAAATCGCCACACACACACTGGATCACTATTTTTACACACATACACAAATTTTACACATTTCTCTGTTGTCGTAACTCAATTTTGTGTGTGTGAAATAAAAAATGGAATATTTTCATTCAATCGAAATATATCCTCTTCTTCTTATTAAAATTCTTATAAAAAATAAAATGACAGCAACTAGAAATGACACTCCAACTATTGCTAAATACGTCCACCATTTATCGGAAATTGGATTCAATTCAAATGTTTCATCTTTGAAGATCTTATGTTTCTGAAAAAAAATACATTTTTTCAAGTTTTAGAATACCAAACTCACCGTTCTGCTAACAAAATTATCAAAAACTGTGATATTATTTATCCAAAAGTTCAAACATTCTTTTTGAAAGTTATTTTTCATAGTTGGCCAGGTATCTGATGTAGAAATAACTTGAACAGAAAAATAATTCATTTTTGAGGGATCCAGAGTTTTCCAATCTACAAAAAAATACTGATGAAACCAGATATTTTGCAAATAGGTCTAACTTGGAGATGGCTCGCCATATTTCGTGAAATTCACCAACATTCGACTATAAAATGAGTCCAACAATTGCATATCGGTTGTTCGGTTTTCAGTATTGAGTCCAATGAAATATTGCATATCAGACATGTGACTTGAACCTGGTTCTTGGCTGAAAAAATATTATTAAAAGTAAAATCGGTCTTTGGATAATGAATTTAACCTACTCTGATTGAAACAGAAAAACTTTACCACCACGTTCAGCCATTTTCTTCGAATACAACCAAGTTCCAACAAATGTTGATTCAGAATCTGGTTCATAAATCGTAGAATTTGGAGCATATTGCAAATAATCATAATATTCAGCAACTTCATAAGGATTGTGAAAATTCCAAAAACTTCCAGAAACAAACGGATTTTCTTTTGGCCATCTTTCAAATGCATTTTCTTTTTTCGTAACTCCAATAAGAATTTCTCTTGGTGGACATTTATTTATAAATGCTTCAACTGTTTCATTTTCTAACATTATCGGAGGATTTCGAGAGAGTCCAAGGAAATAATGATGATTTTCAAGAAGTTGATATTGTGCTCTCATTAAAGTTTTGTAATCAATGTTTTTCATGCAATCAAGTGTTTTTCTCTTATCAGTGAAATACATATGGCACTGAAAAATTCCAATTTTCATTTCTTTTTTATCGAAAGATCAAACTCACTCCAACTAATTTGGTGATATTATAAACATTTTCTGAATATAATTCTGGCATCACAAAAGAAGGTAACATACTGAAAATCAACAATCTCTTGAACAATTTCTGATGTGGATCGACGAATCTAGAATTGAATAAATAAAAATACAATTGGATTGGCAATACCTGCTGAATCCAAGAGCTGCAACTATTGTTCCACCCATGGAATGTCCAATAAGATGAACATTTTTTGAATCGCCTCCAAAATTTTTGATTTCCCGATTGACAAATTTGATTGCTTCTATGCAGTCTGAAACATTTTTTGTTTAAATTTTTTTCGGAAAATGAACTTACCGTATAACGCGAGATTTTTCTTGGGAATTGATTCATCTTTAAAACTATATGATCCAAAAACTCCCAAACGAAATGCCGGAATAACAAAAATAACATCTTCAAAAAATTGTGTTTTTCATTTTTATAACAACAAATGAAAAAACTCACCCTCTTTAACATAGTGCTGTAAAATAAAATCGTCTGGAAAATAGTTAGGCGATCCTGAATCCATACCACCTCCGTGAAAATAAATAAGAACATGACATTTTTGAGATCTCAAACAATTTTCAGATGTGAAAATATTCAAGTACAAGCAATCTTCAGACATGTGAAAACGCTTCTTTTTTATCAAATCTTCTGGGCTCAAACAAGAAGGCCTGAAAAATATATTAAAATATCTATAGAAAATTTATTTATTTATTTACCCAAACTCGGTTGCATTTTTCACACTTTTCCAAGATTCAAGCTTTGAAGGTAATTCAAATCGCAAATCACCAATTGGTGGTTTTGCAAATGGTACACCTTTGAAAATATGGAAATTGTTCCCATTTCTTCTCTCTATGATATTTCCGCGTAAGTTACCATAACTTGTTTTAATAATAATATTTTCAGAGTTTGAAATAGTACAAAAAATAATAATGCAAAAAATTATATAGCACCGAGATAGCATTTGGAATCGTATGTATTTTGAGAATAAAAAATTGTTTCCTGATAACAATATTATAAAGATACAGGTCAACAAGAGCACAAAAACCTTGGAGTTTGTGTTATCTGCACAATTTTTTGTGTGGAACTGTTTTTCACATATCAGATATAATTAAAGTTGTTTATAGTTCAAAATCCCTGATTATCTCAATTTTTGGCTAGAACTTATAACCCTAGAGAATTAGAAAAATTCAAATGTTCAATCCAAAATAATAATCACGAATAAAAAACAAAAAAAAATGATGTTATCTCATTGGTCTGATACATTTTCTATATCCTGGAATGTTTATTTTGGAACATCTGGAACTTTTCTGAACTTACTTCTGATATATTTAGTCTCAAAACACACACCAGAAGCCATGAAAGTTTATGCGTAAGATTTCAGTGATGTCTATAAAATTATCTATTTATTTTCTTCCAGGATCATAGTTAGGACTGGTGGAATTTGCGATGCAACATTCTCATTTTTGGTAATTTTTTTCAGCATCAGAGTTTTCACTTCAGGGGTTTCCTTGATGTTGATTTTCAATGGTTTTGTTAATTATTTTCCATTCGTACCAAACCAAGTTTGTTTCATGGGTAAAGAGTTTTTTTTTCGAATGTCTCCATAAAAAATATGTTCAAGCATACCTCATACAAGTTCACGTCTATGTTCTCAGCGTATCAATCATATTTTTCTCATTTTTCTATCGACAGTATGTGGTGACGAATCCAAATCCTGGAATGTTTTTATCTCACAAAAATGTCAATAAGTTTATCAATTGTTTGATGCTTTCAACAATTAGTTATATTGCAGTCATGATCTATTTCAACACTATTTCAGAATCAACATTAGATGAATTAGTACAAAAAATCCGTCCAGAATTAAAAAATTATTTCTGGAAATATTATGTTATCATTGATTTTACACAATTCCCCAATTCTTTGTCTGAATCTTGCATCGTTTTTCAAAATTGGATCGTTCTTTTCTATGGTAAAGTTTGGTTTTGTCTCGATCCCATATCCATTTTTGTTAGCAATTTATTGTCGACGTAAAGTAAATCGAATGTTATTAACAATTCCAATGAGTCCAACAGTCAAAAAACTTCACACATCTCTAATGACTGTTCTCATTCTTCAAGTCCTTTCACCGTTTTCGCAAATCATTTCACTTAGTGTGCATGGCAGTTCTATGATTTGGAATGAGTTGCAAACTCCTTTTATTGAAAATTTCATTGAACTTCCTATTTCACTATTACCTTCTATCACACCACTATTCACGATATATTTTGTAGTTCCTTATAGGTTAGAAAAATTAAAACAAAAAGAGTAATATTTTATTTACAGAAATGCTTTGAAATCAATTTTGGGGTTTGAAACAACAAATGCTCAAATTCCAATATTTTCAACATCAACTTCAACATCAGCACCTCAATTGTAGAAAAATAAGGTAAGAATTGTCTTTTACAAAATCTATTTATGCTTCAACTGCATAATATATTTGAAAAAACATATGATCATGTTACAAAAACACAATGCAGAATTTCAAATTGTTTTGCATAATTTTCATTTTTATTAGTTGTTTTTTTCTCAAAAATATAATGAATTTTTTTCCGATAATCCTATGAACCACATATCTCGGATTATTTTGACTATGTGACGTTCCTTCAAAGGAGTTTCGATGATTTTTCTAGTATGTAAAAATGATTTTAACTTGTTTACCTTTTCGGAAGTAAAATTTATATCATATGTACATTTTTTCTTTTTGTATTTAAATTCTCAGCGGGAAATATTTTTTGTCACATTCTGGAGCTGATGAAAGAATATTCACGTGATTGTTTATAGAAATGTTCCTTCAAAAGATTTCTCCTAAATTTTTTAAACAAAGTTTTGGTTCGATCACTTGGAAAAATCATTGAAAAAGAGAAAACATTTTTAGAAGTCAATAAACAATTTGTAAGAAAACTGTTCAAGTTTTCATAAAATGAACGTTTTACTGAAAAATTGAATCTTCACTTCTTTATGACTGTTTGATTAACTCAATCAAAAAAAGAAAAACAAAAAAGGATCTCTGAAACTACTTTGACTTTGTTTTATTTTTTGCAAACATTTGAATCTTCAAGCCCTAATTTTTTAGAAGGAAAAATTGTTTTTGAACTTTAATTTTGAAAAATACGATCAATTTTTGAAAAAAAATCTTATTCAATATTTTTTTGTATTGAATGTACTCGAAAGAGGGAATAATCCAAAAATGTAAAAAAAAAATCGGCCCGAGTTTTTCAAAAAAAAAATCGGCCCGAGTTTTTCAAGAAAAATCGGCCCGAGTTTTTCAAGAAAAATCTGCCCGAGTTTTTCAAAAAAAAGTTACAGATTTGGAATAATCCAAAAATGTAAAAAAAAAATCGGCCCGAGTTTTTCAAAAAAAATCGGCCCGAGTTTTTCAAGAAAAATCGGCCCGAGTTTTTCAAAAAAATCGGGCCGAGTTTTTCAAAAAAAAGTTACAGATTTGGAATAATCCAAAAATGTAAAAAAATCGGCCCGAGTTTTTCAAAAAAAAAAAAAATCGGGCCAAGTTTTTCAAAAAAGTTACAGATTTGGAATAATCCAAAAATGTAAAAAAAAATCGGCCCGAGTTTTTCAAAAAAAAAAATCGGGCCAAGTTTTTCAAAAAAAAGTTACAGATTTGGAATAATCCAAAAATGTAAAAAAAAATCGGCCCGAGTTTTTCAAAAAAAAATCGGCCCGAGTTTTTCAAGAAAAATCGGCCCGAGTTTTTCAAAAAAAATCGGGCCGAGTTTTTCAAAAAAAGTTACAGATTTGGAATAATCAAAAAAAAAAGTTGATCAAAAAATTATAATTTTCTTTAGACAGTACTTAATAAATGCCCTACAAATGAATTTAAATCATTTTAAGCCTAAAAACTTGAAATTTGGTTCGATAATTATGGATTTGTAAAACTGGAAGGTCTTCCAGATTTACAAATTTTTGACCAAAAAAAAAGTTGATCAAAAAATTATAATTTTCTTTAGACAGTACTTAATAAATGCCCTACAAATGAATTTCAATCATTTTAAGCCTAAAAACTTGAAATTTGGCTTGATAATTATGGATTTGTAAAACTGGAAGAGCTTCCAGATTTACAAATTTTTGACCAAAAAAAAGTTGTTCAAAAAAATATAATTTTCTTTAGACATTACTTAATAAATGCCCTACAAATGAATTTAAATCATTTTAAGCCTAAAAACTTGAAATTTGGTTCGATAATTATGGATTTGTAAAACTGGAAGGTCTTCCAGATTTACAAATTTTTGACCAAAAAGTTGATCAAAAAATTATAATTTTCTTTAGACAGTGCTCAATAAATGCTCAACAAATGACTATATGAATGAATAACTGAATGAAAACTAAATGAATAACTTTTTTTCAAAAATTGATCGATGACGTCATCCATGGCAAAATTAGGAAGACTTCCTGATTTTGCCACGAGTCATTTTTTGATAAAAAACTCGAAATTTTTCATGAAGTCAATTGTAATTCTTATTCTTAAAAAATCTCGGGCCGATTTTTTTTTTTACATTTTTGGATTATTCCAAATCTGAAAAAAATTTCGAGTTTTTTATCAAAAAATGACTCGTGGCAAAATCAGGAAGTCTTCCTAATTTTGCCATGGATGACGTCATCGATCAATTTTTGAAAAAAAGTTATTCATTTAGTTTTCATTCAGTTATTCATTCATATAGTCATTTGTTGAGCATTTATTGAGCACTGTCTAAAGAAAATTATAATTTTTTGATCAACTTTTTTTTTGGTCAAAAATTTGTAAATCTGGAAGACCTTCCAGTTTTACAAATCCATAATTATCGAACCAAATTTCAAGTTTTTAGGCTTAAAATGATTTAAATTCATTTGTAGGGCATTTATTAAGTACTGTCTAAAGAATATTATATTTTATTGATCAACTTTTTTTTCTTCAAAAATTTGTAAATCTGGAAGACCTTCTAGAAAAAGTGCCACATAGACTTTGCCCGTCAAAAATTGTTTGGCTCAAAATATTTTCCAAAATTTTTATACAACAAAACGCAGTAAGACCACTCTCTAAGGTTTTCAAAACTTATTCTACAAATTTTGAAACAGTGAATTTTTAATATTTTTTGTGCTCTAATCTCAACTGTTAGTTTTGCCCCCCCCCCCCCCGCCCAAACTTCAAAATAAACTAACTTGACTGGCCGCCCGTTCCGTGAGAAGTTGTTCATATCTTTGAATGTGCTGTTCAAACGAAACATCTTCTTTTTCGGAAGCCTGAAACTTCTACATTCATGTTCTTAAAATTTTCGCCTATTCTTAAACTCACGGCCCGAGTTTTTCAAGAAAAATCGGCCCGAGTTTTTCAAAAAAAAATCGGCCCGAGATTTTTCAAAAAAAAAAGTTACAGATTTGGAATAATCCAAAAATGTAAAAAAAAATCGGCCCGAGTTTTTCAAAAAAAAAGTTACAGATTTGGAATAATCCAAAAATGTAAAAAAAAAATCGGCCCGAGTTTTTCAAAAAAAAAAGTTACAGATTTGGAATAATCCAAAAATGTAAAAAAAAATCGGCCCGAGTTTTTCAAAAAATCGGCCCGAGTTTTTCAAAAAAATCGGCCCGAGTTTTTCAAAAAAAAATCGGCCCGAGTTTTTCAAGAAAAATCGGCCCGAGTTTTTCAAAAAAATCGGCCCGAGTTTTCAAAAAAAATCGGGCCGAGTTTTTCAAAAAAAATCGGCCCGAGTTTTTCAAAAAAAAATCGGCCCGAGTTTTTCAAAAAAAAATCGGCCCGAGTTTTTTCAAGAAAAAATCGGCCCGAGTTTTTCAAAAAAATCGGGCCGAGTTTTTCAAAAAAAGTTACAGATTTGGAATAATCAAAAAAAAGTTGATCAAAAAATTATAATTTTCTTTAGACAGTACTTAATAAATGCCCTACAAATGAATTTAAATCATTTTAAGCCTAAAAACTTGAAATTTGGTTCGATAATTATGGATTTGTAAAACTGGAAGGTCTTCCAGATTTACAAATTTTTGACCAAAAAAAGTTGATCAAAAAATTATAATTTTCTTTAGACAGTACTTAATAAATGCCCTACAAATGAATTTAAATCATTTTAAGCCTAAAAACTTGAAATTTGGTTCGATAATTATGGATTTGTAAAACTGGAAGGTCTTCCAGATTTACAAATTTTTGACCAAAAAAAAAGTTGATCAAAAAATTATAATTTTCTTTAGACAGTGCTCAATAAATGCTCAACAAATGACTATATGAATGAATAACTGAATGAAAACTAAATGAATAACTTTTTTTCAAAAATTGATCGATGACGTCATCCATGGCAAAATTAGGAAGACTTCCTGATTTTGCCACGAGTCATTTTTTGATAAAAAACTCGAAATTTTTCATGAAGTCAATTGTAATTCTTATTCTTTAAAAATCTCGGGCCGATTTTTTTTTTACATTTTTGGATTATTCCAAATCTGAAAAAAAATTTCGAGTTTTTTATCAAAAAATGACTCGTGGCAAAATCAGGAAGTCTTCCTAATTTTGCCATGGATGACGTCATCGATCAATTTTTGAAAAAAAGTTATTCATTTAGTTTTCATTCAGTTATTCATTCATATAGTCATTTGTTGAGCATTTATTGAGCACTGTCTAAAGAAAATTATAATTTTTTGATCAACTTTTTTTTTGGTCAAAAATTTGTAAATCTGGAAGACCTTCCAGTTTTACAAATCCATAATTATCGAACCAAATTTCAAGTTTTTAGGCTTAAAATGATTTAAATTCATTTGTAGGGCATTTATTAAGTACTGTCTAAAGAATATTATATTTTATTGATCAACTTTTTTTCTTCAAAAATTTGTAAATCTGGAAGACCTTCTAGAAAAAGTGCCACATAGACTTTGCCCGTCAAAAATTGTTTGGCTCAAAATATTTTCCAAAATTTTTATACAACAAAACGCAGTAAGACCACTCTCTAAGGTTTTCAAAACTTATTCTACAAATTTTGAAACAGTGAATTTTTAATATTTTTTGTGCTCTAATCTCAACTGTTAGTTTTGCCCCCCCCCGCCCAAACTTCAAAATAAACTAACTTGACTGGCCGCCCGTTCCGTGAGAAGTTGTTCATATCTTTGAATGTGCTGTTCAAACGAAACATCTTCTTTTTCGGAAGCCTGAAACTTCTACATTCATGTTCTTAAAATTTTCGCCTATTCTTAAACTCACGGCCCGAGTTTTTCAAGAAAAATCGGCCCGAGTTTTTCAAAAAAAAATCGGCCCGAGATTTTTCAAAAAAAAAAGTTACAGATTTGGAATAATCCAAAAATGTAAAAAAAAATCGGCCCGAGTTTTTCAAAAAAAAAAGTTACAGATTTGGAATAATCCAAAAATGTAAAAAAAAAAATCGGCCCGAG